GGAGGAGCGGTTACTTGATTCTCCTCGAACAAGTTCGGGCGACATGTACATGGGTGTACCAATGACCGACTTTTGATTTTTGCGCTGATCTTTGTTTGCAGCTGCGGGATCCTTGTAGTGGTCCATTGCTGCGAGGGTTTTACCTTGTCTAGCGATGACCATGGCTGCGCCAAAATCGACGTATTTAATGACTCCATTGTGGTCAAGCAGGATATTAGCGGGTTTGATATCGCGGTGGACAATGCCAGCCTGATGAAGGTAGGCTAGACCCTCGAGCATCTGAAGGGCATAGACCATAATGACCATCTCATCTTCGATACGGCCGTGCTCAAGTAAGGTAGCAAGAGAGCCGCCAGAACAGTATTCCATGAATATGTATACTTTGTCACGATGGACTTCAATACCGTGATAAGAGACAATGTTAGGATGGTCTAGGACTTCAAGGACACCCATCTCATCTCTAATTTGTTGAGCTGCGCCTGGGATGACAGATGGCTCTTGGAGGCGGATCTCCTTGACAGCCATCAGGTAACTTGTATCCAGGTCGATCGCGGCATAGACAGATCCTGAAGTTCCGCCACCAATGAACTGGCCTTGCTGCCAGCGTAAGTTGATGTTTGTAGCCGATGAAGAAAGTACCCTAAGCGAACGGTCGGCCTCATTGACGCCTTCCAGCACTTTTCCTAGCGGCTGTCGTTTGGCATCTTCTTCCGCCCGGAAGGCCTCAATGTCTGATAAGTGTAGTAACCTCTGGGCTTGTACCTGTGCCAACGCCACTTCATCACTAGTAATGTCACTGCAATCCAAATTCCGGTAGTTCCCAGCAGGATCCGAGTGTTGCTTTTCTGCCTTGGCAGCCAATGTTGATCTGGCGCCCATGATATCAAAATGGGAAATTAATAACGCCATGCAGCCAGCAACTTTAACACGAAGTAGTTCGTACTCTTGGTCGTTCAAAGAAATGATAGCATGGCCGTGGGTGATTATCATAGCAAACTCGAGTGCGGACACAGCCCATTTAAATGTCTTGCGATCCGCTGCGTCGCAGTCATCGCATATAAAAGATATCCAATCCAGGCCCAGTTTGACTAGTTTTCCTTGGTTCATAGACCTGCGGTTGGGGTCCATGTACATCAGTGATCTCTTGCCGAATTCAGTAGCAAAGGCAAAGCATGATTGGATAAGCTCAAGATCTTGCCTGTCCGTGCTTTGGCTTCTAATAATCTCCACACTATCAATAATAGTATTGGACAATTTAAACGCCGTTTTCTTTATCTTGTTCAGCTCTACATTAACACGTCCTAGGTTCGCACGTTGTTTGATAGTCACGTCGAATTCTAAGCCTGTTAGTCTAGACAGTGCCAGACGAGCATTTTGAAGTCGTTCCTGGGATCCATCGGCAACTAGACGGAGTTTTCCCATCCGGACATCAGTAGGATGTTCAAGGAAGTCAACCTCGAACCGTTTTCCGGACCATTGGAAAGGTTTGTCTGGCCGGATGACAAGGATATAAGGGTAAGAGAGATTGTCAGTGACATCATCACCGCGGAATGAAGTGCCGAGGATGGCTTGGATGTCCTTTTTACGGTCGTATAGGGACGGTGATGCAATTAGACATACACCTTTCTGGCCAACAGTGTTAGTAGAAACAACGAGGAAATGACCGGATGCCAAGAGTGCCTCAGTAAAAGTCTCGACGTGGTCATTACGAAGATTGAACTCTGTGGCATTCTCGAAACGCTGGCGAAGGAAACGTGAGAACCTGAAGAGTTTTCGCTGTCGAACCCGAACGGAATCAAGAATGGTCTTGTATCGTTTCTCGTTGTCAGAGGCATCTTCTTGTGGCTTAGATAGGAGTTCACGCTCAAAATGCAGCATCAACCGCTGCAAGGCTTTGGCGGTTAGAGTGCTAAATTGTTCGGCAACCTCGATATCACCGCCATCAAGCTGTCTTCCGATCTGGTTTGAGAAATCCCACTCCTGCTCCAGAATTTCTGCTTCCTTAAAGGTATTCTTGTTTGCACTCAATTTCCAGTTCAGCAGTTTGAAGTAGTATTTTAACGCGTCTAGGACGACCATATCGAAGTTTTCATCAACACAAGGGGGAAGATCCCAACCTGGCTCTGGGCGTGAGATGACCATGTATCGATATTTGATTTCAGTAGCGACTTTCATCAATATCTGAAACTGGACGATCATCTGATCAAGGAGAATGGGGGACTGTTGGCCCGGGTCTTTCATCTTTTTGGCGTATGAGAGGCGGACACGGGTGACTTCTTGAATAAGACGTGAAGGGAAGTTGATTAGGGTGAGCAATTCTTCGATGTAAGGAGGTAGATGGCGTTGTAAAAACGCGTCCGAGTTTTCAATCATTGTATTTTTCGCCTTTTTGATGACTTTACCGACACCATCAAGCATCTGGTCACCGCCTTGTAGGGTCTTGAGACCGTCTTCTTTCATGACTCGGTCGAGGAACGATCCCTCATCGGAGAGTTCTGATGCGTAAGAAGTCTTGACCAAAGGTTTTGTAAAGTCAAGTTCATCATTGCCTACCCATTTCTGTAGGATGGAAAGTTGCGTGTTGATAAGCTTGGTGGTATTGTGCCATGAGAGGATGGCATTATAAGACTCATAGTACTCCTCGGAAGCAGCACGGGGGTTTGCAAGCTCGAGCTGTCTGCGGGAGGCATACAGACTTTCCACGTTTTCAATCTTTTCGACAATATCTTCAACCTGTTGCTGCGGGGGTTTCCCGATCTCCGCCTGACCCTTGATTTTGAAGTTGATAATCTCTTCTAGCATTGGGCCAATATTCTTCCTTTCTTCCTCAATGATTCTAGCCTGAGTTGCGATAGGCCGCGCGAGAGTACGAGCTTTGACACCCAACCATATCTCGCCACCTAGCACTTCCTTGCTCTTCTGCTCCATGGTACCAATAAGACGTTGTTTCTCCTGCCTTACGACATCTCCTTTGAGTACGGAGGCCAGCATAGAATGCCACTCTAGTCTCTCCCGGGCTCTGGGATCCCGCAATTCCTCGAGCGTGGGCTGGAGATCATCTTCTTCCAGTCCTAGGCGTAGATCCGGGTCAAAGGTATCTGGGTCAAACTGAGCCTCGGAGGAGGGTGACTCTTCGCCGACATCAGACTCGAGATCTAGAGCCGCCGAGGCAGTCGAAGACGACATCTGGTTATCAGTGCCAAACCACTCGCTCGGTGGTCCTTGCCGTACTCTCTGTACATACGCTTTCTCCTGGGCCTGGTACTGCGCGTTGGGATCGCGGTCACGTTCCCTGCGGGGTGTTCTCTTTGAAGAAAGCGGCAACTGGCTGGTTGAGTGCGCCGTAATGAACTGGTTGGGTCGTCGTGGAGGAGCATAGGTGTTTGACGGTGTCCTGGCTGGCCCTAAAGGCCGTTGTGGGCGCATGAGATTGCTGTTGCTTTCTCTCTCACCCATTGTGCTTGTACCTCCTATGGTTGATGCTGTGGCTGCTTCTGTACCACCACTACCGTTGCTGCTGCTACCTCCGATAGAATTGCTGGCAGCGGCACTGCCGGGCCATGAGGGATACGAGGATGGAGAGACCGCCGGCGTAAGAGTCAGGTGCGGCGATGGTGATGGTCTGATGAGGTTGATATTGGACCCGACGCTGGGTGTACCGGGATCTACTTGGGAAGACGCTGAGACTGAGTTTGTGACTTTTTCCCCCTTTCTGCTCTTTACAACCGGGGGGAAGAAACGAGAAACAATGGAACGAAGAGGAGCTAGAAGCTGGACTGCAATCTTACCTTTCTGGCCTAAGCCGGGAATGGCTTCCTCGTGCTCGTTGTCGCCGGAGTGAGCAGCAGTGGCAAGCGAGTATCCAACAGGATGATGGCGGGTGTAAAAATAATCGCCGTTGCTATGATCCCGTTCTCGATCGCGCGTAGCAGGGCTCTCCCTTTCCATTATGAGAGCAGGTCTTGGTCCCTTCGGGCGTCGCTGGCCGGAGAGCGGGTTGGGCAGCCTGAGGCTTGAGGTTTGGGGCTTGACCTTGAGCTGTGCTCTTTTGGTATAATTAACACTAGCGGTTCCCCCTGGTCCCTTTATTGTTACTAGACCTTGCACCTCAGTACTAGCGGCCCTCTTCGCAAATGTCTAGTTGACCCTGTGTCCCCTGCTAGTCGCTCCAGGTGGCGGTGCTGCTTGTCTGTTTACGCAAATAAGCTTGCAGAGTGCGTACTGGGGTCAGCGAGGGATATTGAAGCTGCAGACAGGTTAGCGAGTAGCAGACAAGCGGGTGGAGGAGCCGTTTGGCCACACCGAGCTTAGTTGGCAGAAGTGAACTGACAGGTCAAAATGCAATCTGACATGCCACAGGTCAAGATTTTGCGACACCATGCCCTGATATCAATGCCGAATATCAGAATCACAGGCTGGCATCGAAAAGAGTCGAACAGCGCAAGTTGATGAGATGAAGTCAGGAATATCCGAATTGGGGAAAAGCGTGGAAAACCTGAAGGCGAGTGCGTATTGTAATTACATAAGTAACAGGGTTACTTGCGCGATTTGTCGCGTTCAATACAGTATTACCCTTACCACATGACCTTAAGGTGTGGCTCGTGCTTCCCAAAGCAACTTCGGGGCTTTTCGTGACCTGCTGGAGGTCGACCTGGAAGCAACCGGAAACAGACGAAACAGACGAAACATTTTTGATACTGCTGGTTCTATGAGCCATCGCGATGTCTGACAGCGAGAAACTGCCGTCTACTTTCCCTCAGCCCGACGAGTTCGACTCGGACCCGCGAGTCTCCTTCTCGAAGCTTGACAACAAGTACATACTGGAAACAGACAATGGCGAGGAATACACTTATGATGATGCTCTGAAGAGATGGATACCCTCGGTAGGCATGCTCATGGCTTAGTGACATTGAAACAAGAAAGAGGCCACGATGGTGACTCTATCCGTGGGGCATCCTAACTCATTGTCTTGACCGGAGATACAGCTGGACGAGTCCTTGATGGAACAACAGAGACAGGCGTACAAGATACAGGGGGTCGATGAGGAGGAACCTGCAAATCTCAAGACCCTCCAGGAGAAAAAGAAGAAGCGGAAACATAATGATGTCGGTATCCCCTTAGCTTCTTTTCGTTTTTGCCTCCGGGGCTCAAGATCTAACAAGATTCTAGGAATCAACTACCGCCCAGAAACCCAAGAAACCGCGTGTTAATACCGCCGTATACGTCACTGCCATACCTCTCGATGCCACTGTATCCGAAATCAGCTCTCTCTTCAGCAAATGCGGCGTTATCGCAGAGGAAATTGACAGTGGAAAGCCACGCATAAAGATGTATACAGACGAACAGGGCGCGTTTAAAGGAGATGCACTCGTCGTATATTTTCGTCCTGAATCCGTCAACCTCGCTATTCAGATGCTGGACGATACCGATTTTCGGTTTGGTGAGAAGGGTGCGGAGGGTAACATGAGGGTGCAGCCGGCAGACTTCTCCTTTAAGGCTGTGCAGGAAACCCCAGCAAAGGCGAACCTGAGGGATAAGATGAAAATCATACGCAAGACCCAAAAACTAAATAAGTATGCAGCCGTCTAGTCGGAGAGATTGATAGTAGTTTGGCTAACCTGGGCCTAGTAAACTCACCGATTGGGATGATGATGATGTTGGGCCTAGACATTCAGGAAAGGCAGGGAAGGTTGTGGTGTTGAAACATATGTTTACACTGCAAGAGCTGGAGGTAAGCTCCCCAATCTGTTCTATTCAGTATATCAGCATTTTTTTTTAACTCTCGGCTTTCTCTCGCAGGAGGATCCAGCCGCCATTCTCGACATCAAAGAAGACATCCGCGAGGAATGCTCAAAGCTGGGTGAGGTGACCAACGTGGTGCTCTACGACAAGGAAGAATCAGGAATCGCCACAGTCCGCTTCTCCGACCCCGAGTGTGCCCAGGCTTGTGTGCAGGTATGGCTTTGCTTAAGTACCAGCATGATTTTACGGCCATAGAGCGCCGAGCTAACAATAATTGCCAGATGATGAACGGCCGCTTCTTCGGCGGCACCCAGGTCGAAGCATACGTAGTTGACGGTAAAGTCCGGTTTAAGAAGTCAGGCGCTAGTGCAGCTGCTGCCCTACAGGATGACGGGGCCGGTTGGGAGGCGGAGGCCAGCAAAGACGACGAAGCTCAGCGCCTGGATAAATTTGGTGCCTGGCTCGAGCGGGAGGAGGCCACTAAGAAGACAGCCGACAGCTAAGCGTGTCGCCCCTCGAACAATCTCTTTTTTATTTTTCGGTTTCTATATCACTCGTAGGCTTAGGATAGCTAGCCCTTGGTTCTGTATTATTATTATTATTATTTCTCCTGCTATTTCGCTGCTCGCTCGGCCTCTTCATATTTACATAAGCAATTATTAAGCAGCCCCTTAGCGCCAAACGGCAGTAAACAACGCTAGGCCCGATCGAGCTACCTCCTTTGCTCACCGCCCACCACGCCCGACTTTCTTCTCCTTTCTTCGACTTCAACTTCTCAACTCCCCAACTTCACACAACAAACACAAGAGCAACAGTCCTCGACCCCGACCTCGAACACTTCACTCCGTCCACTCCACCCTCAACCGCCCGTTACTCCCGTCAATATGCGTGAAATCGTAAGTCTAGCTTTTCCCTGGTCCATCACTTCCCCTCTATTTGTGCCCGAAAAACACGACACGGTCTGCACAGGCCAAGAAAGGGGGGGAGGCGAGAGGGCCACCACACGACCATGTCCCAGCGTGAAGGGAACAGGCTTCGAGTTTCACAATTCTCGCATAGCGAGCGTAGAGCTTCAGGCTAACGTGCATTTATCGTATAGGTCCATCTCCAAACCGGCCAATGTGTAAGCTTTGATCGTTCCCTGGTTCATCGTCAGGTACCCGTTTGAGTTAACAATTGTTCAACATTAGGGTAACCAAATTGGTGCTGCTTTCTGGTGAGCATTCACGCGTTGCAGCATAATTGTATATTTCGTGTCGAATTATTACTGACTTGTTTTACAGGCAAACCATTGCTGGTGAGCACGGTCTCGATGGATCCGGCCAGTGAGTGATTTCGCTGGAAAATATTTCCAAGTCTCGAGGGACATGAATGTTGACAACTGGGATTTTTATAGCTACACCGGATCTTCTGACCTCCAATTGGAGCGCATGAATGTCTACTTCAACGAGGTGTGCACGACCAAGACCCTTCCCTTCAGCAGCATACTAACTCATTGGAGGCAAAGGCCTCAAGCAAAAAATACGTTCCCCGTGCGGTGCTTGTTGATCTTGAGCCCGCCGCTCTCGATGCTGTCCGTGCCGGTCCTTTCGGTCAGCTCTTCCGCCCCGATAACGTCGTCTTCGGTCAGTCCGGTGCCGGAAACAACTGGGCCAAGGGTCACTACACTGAGGGTGCCAACTTGGTCGACCAGGTCATCGATGTTGTCCGTCGTGAGGCCGAAGGCTGCGACTGCCTCCAGGGTTTCCAGATCACCCACTCCCTCGGTGGTGGTACCGGTGCTGGTATGGGTACCCTCCTGATCTCCAAGATCCGTGAAGAGTTCCCAGACCGTATGATGGCCACTTTCTCCGTTGTCCCATCCCCAATGGTCTCTGACACCGTTGTCGAGCCATACAACGCCACTCTTTCCATCCACCAGCTCGTTGAGCACTCCGACGAGACCTTCTGTATCGACAACGAGGTACGTTTTCTCTAGCTCCCCTTAATTGGCCAGGGTTTGGTATTTCTAACTGCTTGTAGGCCTTGTATAACATCTGCATGAGAACCCTCAAGCTCACTAACCCATCCTACGGTGACCTCAACCACCTCGTCTCCGCCGTCATGTCCGGTGTCAGCACCAGTCTTCGTTTCCCAGGTCAGCTCAACTCTGACCTCCGCAAGTTGGCCGTCAACATGGTTCCATTCCCTCGTCTCCACTTCTTCATGGTTGGATTCGCTCCCCTTACTAGCCGCAACGCCTACTCTTTCCGTGCTGTCTCCGTGCCGGAGTTGACCCAGCAGATGTTCGATCCCAAGAACATGATGGCTGCCACTGACTTCCGCAGCGGCCGCTACCTTACCTGCTCTGCCATCTTGTAGGTACCCTAATTTATTAGTTCTATTCTTGGCTTCTCTTACTAACACCTGAATAGCCGTGGTAAGGTCTCCATGAAGGAGGTTGAGGACCAAATGCGCAACATCCAGAACAAGAACTCTGCCTACTTCGTTGAATGGATCCCCAACAACGTCCAGACCGCTCTTTGCTCTATTCCTCCACGTGGTCTCCAGATGTCCTCTACTTTCGTCGGTAACTCCACCTCCATCCAGGAGCTCTTCAAGCGTGTCGGTGACCAATTCACTGCTATGTTCCGTAAGAAGGCTTTCTTGTTCTGGTATACTGGTGAGGGTATGGACGAGATGGAGTTCACTGAGGCCGAGAACAACATGAACGACTTGGTCAGCGAATACCAGCAGTACCAGGATGCCTCCGTCTCCGACGGTGAGGAGGAATAGTAAGTATCTGCCTACCTATATAATATCCGTCCTACCTATACGCTAACCAATACTGCAGCCTTGAGGACGAGCAGCTTGAGGGCGAAGAGTAAATGCAATGTGCAGGTATATTTCTGGCTCTCACGCCTCTCTTTCCTCCCACTTGCATTTCCTTTAAGCCATGCCTCTTTCTCCGCACAGCAGATGTATCACATCCACTAAGTGCAAGCCTTGCGTCCAATGGACTCTAGCGCGTGCTTATGCTCCCACCCTCTGTTCTCTTGTCTGCTTAATAATTCCCCAACCAGCGTGTTCGTTTTGAGGCAAGTCGATATTAGTCACTGAGTGATTACAAAACATGATCAATTGGCTGTTTGATATCCCCTCTACAACCCAATATTTTTTAATTTTGCTCCCTTTTCTTTTGTTTTTCGGAGAAACAATCATAAAAACATTTCCCTTTTAATTCCTCAAGATGTTCATTCACTTTACCTTCTCTTTGCCTATGTAGATACTAGGCATGCTTCTTATATCCCGACCGAAGATAAAAGAGAGCGAATGAAACTCCAATTCTTGACAACATCCCATAATTGCCTTTTCTTTTCTTTTTTTTTTTCCCTATTACTAATTGATAACGACCTTAAACGTAGTAGTACGGTCATACGGGCATAGTATAATATTATATAATTAGTTAACTTGTCATATTCCATGGCGTCATCTAGTAACCCGATAACTGTTAACCACTACCTACTCATTGCTGGGATACAGTACACTCTGAACAGGTACAAACTCTTCCTTGATGGACCTCATACTCACAAACCTGCCCATCAAAGCCGCGCTACCGGCCTTATCATTGGTACCAGACGCCCTAGCACCTCCGAATGGCTGCTGCCCAACAACAGCACCAGTACACTTACAGTTGATGTAGAAGTTTCCAGCAGTACCCCTAAGGGCATTCTCGGCATATTGAACTGCCGCACGATCCTGAGAGAACACAGCACCAGTCAAGCCATAGGCACCGGTGTTATCAATTGTTTCACAGATCTTCTCAAACGCATTAGCTGCTTGATCTGGGTACACGAGGATAACCAGCACTGGCCCAAAGAGCTCGGTGTTGAGAAGGTGATGTTCTGGGTTCGTTGTGGAGTATATAGTTGGGTGAATGAAGTATCCCTTTGAGCAATCGTATTTACCTCCAGCAAGGAGTGTAAGCTCCTTGTCATTTTTCGCGTCATCAATAACCTTGGCCAATTTCTTGAACGAAGCTTCGTGGATAACGGGTCCGATGAAATTAGCGAAGTCCTCGGGAGGTCCGATCTTCAATTTCTCCGTCTCTTCCACGAGTTTGTTTCGGAATACATCCCATTTTGACTGTGGCACGTAGGCTCTTGAGCAGGCACTACACTTCTGGCCCTGGAACTCGAATGCTCCGCGAACCGTATGAATAGCGGCATTGTCCGTGTCTGCGCTGGCGTGGAGAAGGTGGAAGTTCTTTCCTCCGGTCTCGCCTACAATGCGAGGATAATTGCGGTATTTGCCGTCTGCTACACCCTGGGCGATCTTGCCATAGAGAGAACGGAACACGGCTGTACTGCCGGTGAAATGTAGGGAGGAGAAGTGCTTGTTGTCTAGGACCAGGCTGGTGATTCTCTCAGCGTCTCCGGGGACGAACTGAATGACACCCGCTGGGAGGCCAGCTTCGGTGAGAATGTTATGGATGAGGTAGTTGGACGCAATGGCAAAGGGGGAGGGCTTCCACAGCACGACATTGCCCATGAGAGCTGGGGCGGCGGGCAGGTTGCCTCCGATAGCACTGAAGTTGAATGGGGAAATAGCATAGACAAAGCCTTCGAGGGGTCGGTATTCGACACGGCTGTAGTATGTTGTTAGAGAGTATATCTGCATAATGTTCTGGTAATAAGGATACTTACTTCCAGACTCCCGGGGCGTTGTGAACTGGCTGCTGAGCGTAGAGTTCAGATGCATAGTGAACATTGAACCTAGATTTCGTCAGTACATATATATAATCAATATAATTTGGAAAAAGAGAGTATGATATACCTTAAAAAGTCACACAGCTCAGCAGCAGCGTCGATCTCTGCCTGCCATGCGTTCTTCCCCTGGCCCAACATGGTGGCGGCCATCATTTCATAACGGTACTTGGTGCCGACTAGATCAGCCGCCTTCAGGAAGATAGAGGCCCTGTCTGAGAAAGGCATGGCCTCCCACTTCTTTTTGGCTTCCAAAGCATTGTCAATAGCCGCTTTGATGTCTTCATCTGAAGCAGTGTGATATTTAGCAACACAGACGGCGTGGTCAGATGGGTTCTGCTGCGTCTGTATCGGAGAGGTGGTGATAGCTTTCCCTCCAATCACGACAGGAACTTCGAGAGGGGCTTTCTTCTTGAACTGCTCCAGGGCACAGACGAGCTGCTCTCGGTCTGGAGAGCCCTTAGCGTAGTGTTTCTATATCCGCTGTTAGTTAAGCTATACAGCTTACGAACGGGGAGAGGGGCTGCGACAGACGTTTGGCTCATTCTGAACCGTGGGGGGTTTGAAGGTAGCGAGCTGTGCCATGACGACGATGTTATACAGGTGTATCAATTGGTTGTCTCTGCTGTTCCGATTGTCCTCTTGTACGCCTCTCTAACTCCTAGGCGAGCTCGCCGGCCACCAGGGACTGAGAGGAGAGCTTTATATGCTGCCCGCGGAGAGCGGGGAAACTCTGCCAAGCGGTGCATTTTGGTTTCGGCTGTAGGGGAAGCTCGTCGGTTTTTGCTTCTTTCGCTGCTTCTCCTCCGCCCGGCCTCCTTTTCTCCTTCTGCGATACTTTGCGTCTGCGCGCATTCTGGAGCAATGTCGATGTATCTCGCATGCAGCAGTGGAAAAGCTGGGAAAAGCGCGGAAATAGTCGGGCGGGAGGAACACCTGGGGTAGTCACGTGGCGATAGCGTGGTTATCTAAAAGTTAGTTACATAATACACTCGGGCTTCGGAGTATCACGTGCAAACTTAATCTTTACCCTAATTCTTGCTCTGCGGCTCAACATCGCATTGCGGCTTGTCTCTTTTGCTGGGATATTAGCCGGTTGAACTTGGAGATTATGATGTCTCCTTTACAAAGCAGCACAGTTTGGCAGATGAGATGCATTTTAGACCACATATTTATTTCCCCTGCAGCACGAAAATATCTGGATCGAGCACCGCTTTGGCCGTTGGGTTATAAATAGAGTGTTGTCAATAAGCTCTACCCAGAACGGATTGCTACTAGAAGGATTGGAAAGCGCCCTCTCCCCCAGAAGATATCACGGTAACTAACACAGATATAGGACGGATACAAAGTTATGTGCTTTGGCCCGGATAAATTTAGGGTTTATCGAAAGGATTCTCGACAGTGTGTCGTGTGTCCGATGAAATACTGCGATGGTGTCCTTGCTAATATGAAGGGTGCAAGGGGCCCTATTTTCGAGCACGATTTCCACCTCCCCTCCCCCCAAGGTACCAACATGATGGCAGATAGCAGATATCCGAAAGATCCAAAGTGGAACTGGCATCAAGCTTACAAGGCGCTTTTTTAAGACAGAAGAAGGCTAATACACCTCAGAGAGCACTGGGACAAAATCTCTGTAGCAGAGAGAGGAGTGGTTGACAACACACATAGTTTTAATACTTGTTCAATTATGAAGCCATAGCAGGCCTAATAGCTGATGGATATGTAGGCCGAGAGCTGATTAAGCTCCGTATACCCGACAACACCCTACAGTCCAATAGGTACATCATTTTCACAAACTCTAGAGATAGATGTAGCTGCGACAAGATAAGAGACATAGAGCGGTTAGCTATCTAGGTATACTTGCGGGTTGTCATCGCATAAAAGGACACTGCCTCGTCCGCTCAGCCTGCAGCTTCTTCTTCATCTGGCCATGATACTCCTCACCCTTGCCCAAGAACCGTTGCGGCCCCACGCTCGAAGTGACGAACCCGTTCGGAAAATACTTATCGCCATCGTCACCAGGGACCGGCTTGCCCAGCAGCCGAGTGTACAGTGCCTCTGGTCCCCAGCGGTTCCATAGCGTGGGCTTGACATAGTAGGGCGCGTTGTCCCAGGCTAAAACGCTATGTGGACTCGAGCCGTCGTCACCCTCTTCGGAATGGCGAACGGCGCGGCGCCAATAGGGGCGGGGTAGCAGGAGATGGCGGGCTACGAACTGGCGCAGGGCAAGGGTGTTTGCGAAGATGAACCTATATATCCACTCAGGGCGATCATATCTGGTCACGATCTGATTAGATGGGCTAGAACTTGTAATTGCAAGGGCGTGTGTAGCGAAGGGAGGGGGAGGGGTTCAAAAGCACATACATCATCGCAACCCGGAGACGGTCCTCCATCAGGAAAATAACGCCCTTCCACAAGACGGGGTGTAAGAACTTTGGCGCATTATAAAGCAGCAGTTTCACGGTCTCGTTGGCCGTCTCATGGTTGTTCTTGTCTGGAACCATGCACTTGCGTTCATACTCCCTGCTCCAGGTATCGATTTCCTCCAGCCAGTGTATTCCGTCTCTGAAGCCTGAGCTGGCTGATGGCAGCTTATCGTACTTGATTTCCATCGCATCTCCTATGCTCTTCCAGAACGTTCCCACCGCACATCTCTCCAGGTCGGTGATCTTGCGCCAGTCGTACCGGTCCACCCATCGGGCTGGTTCAAGTGCAAACAGGCTGAGAGTGTATAACATGTCGTCATCCAGTATCTTACCTGCTTTACGGTACTGACTATGTAGATAATTCATGCGGGTGAGTGCTTCAAGTGCCCTCTCTGAGGTGGGCGGGTTTGACACGAACTCGTTGATCAGGACAGAAGTGTCCATATATCGCTTTGGTGACGTCTGCGGGTTGGACAGCTCTGAGGTTTGCACCAGCAGTGTCGAGATAGTAGGAATGCCATACGTCTGCCATAGTTACGATGACTGTATTAGTCCTCCATCTTCATTCTGTAATTAAATGCTCTCGCCCCGAGGTGAATGATGAAAAACATACCTTGAACAGTGCGAACTGCAGTCCCTTCAGTGTGAAGAACGGAAATTCAAGCGTCATCATGGTCTGATGAATCGCCCACGCCTCGTCGTTGGTCATCTTGCTCATTTCCTCACGAGTATGGTACCCATACTGCTTCTCTAGACTGCGAATCCTCCTGAAACGAAGAAGCTGCACTGCTGTGAGGTACGCAGCACCCACGCAGACTATCCCTGGCACCGTGAAGAGCGAATCTTTCGCCGCCGTGCACAGCGAGGTGAGATGCTCCATGACGGGGAGACAAGCCAGCCGTGTTATTTAGCGGATCTCATCTATTCCAGTTCCGTACGTATTAGTGAGGTGTTTAATCTCCGCTGTTGTGATCAGAAGGATTTAAATAATCATCTCGCTTACTTGTGATGATGTTAAGAGGCCCGTCTAATCAACCACTCAATTGCCAGCCGCGTGGCTCATAAATTGGGCATCCCGGGATACGAGCCTCGGTTCAGCCCAGCAATACGTGTCCACAAAATCGACCAGAGAGTTGCAGACTGGAACAACATTGAGGAGCAGAGGATGGATCAAGCAAGTCTGGGGCTCAAAAAAAGATGGCGGAGGAGGGGGAGCACCCGTTTGGGTTCCGCTCTCCCGAAAAACTCTCTTTCTGCCTCTTCCGGGTTGACAACCTTTGGCCTATTTAATCCGTTAACTAGTTGGCTCTCCAGAGCTCAAGATCAATCTCCTATCAACCATCGGTAGTTATATCTTCTCGTGTTTCACCTGGATTAGTAGCATGCTGAGCTTGTCCAGGCGTGTTGGGATATAACTAAAGAATCAAATGATCGTTAAACACCAAGAAATGTGTACGGACCTTGCTTTTCAATAAGATACCCGCCAAATCTAGCTTTTGGTGAAGGGGGAAAGCATCGTAGCCCAGAGCTACAATCCTAAACTCAGCAAGCGGCTCATTGAAGCCATCACGGCATGATTGTCTACCCACAGGTATCTCATATGTTGCCCTCCAATATAGCATCTTCCAGCCCCAGCTGAACTTAGAAGGCAATGACAGACCTCACAAGCCTGTATATTGTCAAAAGCATACCCTTGGAGTTGTCAATCACTCGACCTATCTTTCGGGTAGAACCAATTCCTGCCAATTTTGCAACTGTAACTTGGCTCATCTTACTTGGCAAGGAATACCAAGTCACTCTCGAACAAGGTGCATTTCTTAGCATCAATCAATACCAATGATTGAAAACAGGTCGTACCTATTAAATAGTATGGTATGTGGCAGGCGAGATGTTTGTCCCGAAGGGTCTTTTGAGTAATAGTTATATGACTCTTACCCAAATTTGAGTAAACTTGTCATACTCATACGGCCTTCAATATAATAGCCCCGCCTCTCTCTATTAGTCCTTGTAATTGAGACCCGAGACCACAGTTAGAGTCATCTACTTTGGCTGAAGGAAAGGATAGCTGCATTATTGACCAGGGTCGCTCAAGCCAATTCTCGGATCCTGAAATTCGAGTATACGGACAGTCCGCGAATAGAAACGATGACGTTCTAAGCGACATTTTTGGGGACATTCGCGCAGTCTTGAAGTGGTCATACGGCCGAAAATCGCAGGTCAGAGCTTCATGCGAGTTCTCTAAATAAAGCTTGCTATCATGGTCCAAGGGCATGGATACTGGGTATGCAGGGGATGGGAGAATATTCCATTTACTCCTCACAATAAGTCCTCCAGCCATGGGTTGTTACAGTGTGCGAGTGAAGGCCCCCGGACTAGCGAGTTGGACCATTCGGGAAAGAAGTTGCAACAGTTGGTCATACCGACATTTCGTGACACAACGATAACTAGAATTCCTTTGTTCATGCTCCGTATCGACCTAGATCGTTCTCCGCATATCGATGGTCAGTCAGCTAACGCATCGGACAAACCGTGCCGCGCAATAGCGTTTTATGAAAGCTCTCAGCCCGTATAAACATAGTTTTGAGTAGTTCAAGCTCAATATCAGCCACAATTCCACTTGGCCTGGCTGACTCGTCAGCCCTTGGTATTCAATGTGTCATCGAAGAAGAGTGGTAATATGACGATGAGGAATGGTTCTCGGGACTAGCAATAAAATTCCGAATCATGGAACAAAGCACGGGAAATGCTTTTTTGCCTTCCCGAGACTAGCTTATTTTTAGAGTTGGCGGGAGCTCCCGCCCAATGATTGTCTCGAGTTTCACAACATAAACTCTGAGTGAGCCATGCCTGCATTAGAAAAACTATGAGGGAGCAGGGCTTTATGCGAAGAAAAATATAAAAGGTTCATTGGTATCGGTTGAATGTGTTCGTATTAAACCTGATGTGACCCAAACAGGGCCTATGCCTTGTTCTGGTAAGTGATGGTGACAACCGTAATGCTAGGCCACATGCGGTTATTCAAGCCGATCTCATGGATGGTACCATCTAACAGAAGTAATTTTAGACATTTCTTTGTTGGTAATATGAATTCCCTGCTTCACTCTCAACGTATTTGATTATTAGAGAATGGCAACTTAAACAAAAAAGCTGTACACCTCAATTCTATAATACAGAGTGCGGTGTTTCGCCGCTTTTTTTCCGGGCAATGTTGACCACTCGTGGCATAGACAGGGCTGCTCCGGTCATTGATTCCTGATACACATCGCCAATCAAATTGAATATCTTCTCCGAAGCCTGGTGATTGCCTGCAGCCGCCAGGGTCGTTGCAAACTCTTCCATTGTTAGAAGATGTTGATCACCGTTTGCTTTTGTGAGATCAGGTCTATCCACGTAGTTGAATTGTCTGGCACCCTCAAATCCTTCGCTATTGAGGATCCTAGGAAGTTGCAGTACCCAATCGTGTCGGCCGTTGGAGTACACGAACTCTCGCAGGGAATCAAAGGCTGGAGTTGAGGCTGCTGCTGCTGATAGAGGATGTCTGACATGTGTATCCGGGTAATTCAGGTCGTCCCACTGAATATATCCACCTGGCTTTAACATCTTATGGACCTTTTGAATGATAGGCCTTGGATCGCTGTTCTCAACCACAAGAATCAATAGTCTCAGGTGAACGATGTCATATTTTCCGATCATTTCTTCCGGCACATCATCAAAAATATTCCACTGTTTTATTGTAACATTTTGCGGCCACCAATGTTTCTGAGGGGCATTTGCAAGGCTGATATCAAATCCATCCAACTGTGCGGACTCCGGTAACTCCCGAGCTAGGTCAAAGAGCCATAATCCAGTTCCTGTGGCAATATCTGCAACCCGCAAATTTTCTATTGGGGTAGAGATAGATGGATGCAAATTAAAATGTAAGGACTCTTTCCAGAGATAAAACTGAAAATTGAGCCTAGACGAGGCAAAATAGCCACGATCAAGCATGTATCCTCGGCCATCAGCTAGGTGGAATCCGGAGCTGATATCATTTTGCGACTTGGTAGGCAAATGGGGGACGGGAGGCATCTCTTTCGTGTAATATCTTCAGAGCAATATCTGTCAATAATGAGAATAGCAGGAGAACATGGAAATGGGCATGGAAATGGCCGTTGGATTGAAATCTTGGCTGTTCTTGAACTCAGGGGGTCCTCAATCAACACAGGCCGCATAGGACAATTATAAAGAGGAGGATCTCCGCAAAGCTAGCAACAATAGTCTTCGTCAAGACACACCGCTCCCTTGCAAATCCGAGATTAATGGAAAAAGGAAAGCGAAGGTTCACCTTCTGACTCGATCAAAACCCTTCCACAACGGTGAAAATTGAAAAATTTTCCGCCCCCGAGAGGTTTACACATTGTATGGAGTAGTATCGTACTGTACATCCTGCACAGGAACGGTAAAACCTTCGGTTTGCATATAATCAAGTGCGCGTGCCGGTTCCGAGGAGTAGCATCATCGGTAGGACCAATCTTTCCCCTCCTTGCCGAGCAGGCAGGCAGAACGGTTGTGACATTCGGGCATCTTCGCTTCCATCCCGCAGAAAGAAAACATCAACACCCTGTCTGTGGAGACTGATAATGCAAGATTGTCAAGCATGCAATGTACCGATTTCAAGAACCACTGGAGACCGATTGCTCTCCAACACATTTTCTTCTCTCCGATCAAGTGTGGTTAGCCATGTCGGCCTCGGAGGCCGGTTTCAGGGGAAGACCCAGAGAACCTTATTCGTCAGCCCAATTATTTCTCGAAGTGGCTGTCAGAGTGAAAGTATACGAGAAAAGGTCGGTGAGAGTCGGTGTCACTGCACAGTAACTCATCCACCTAGTACAGGGTTCTTTTGTCTTCGGGGATGTTCGTATCGAGCAAGTTTCAGTCGAAAGTGCAGGGATTCTTTTGGACGAATGTTGCAGGAGTAAATTGGTCCAGGTGTTTAGATTTGTTGATTCTTAGACCAGCAGAATTATCTCTAGCAAGTATCACATGGATTTGAGCTAGACCACGTCATCTAAGAATGTGTTGGAGGTCACCGATGTCTGCAGGTTTGCAGCGTTCGTTTCCATAATTTTAATTCTCGCCTTGAAATGCCCATTGTCCAGGATGCTGAGTGGCTGAATTCTATGGCATCCTTGCTTGCTTGGAGAATATCGTGGGGTAAGTATATGTACCAGATGTTTGAATGGCCCAATACGGAGTACGACGGACTGAACTATTGCCCCTCGGATATAATATGACTAGTTAAGCATGACGACACAGGTCTTATAAAAATGCTGTGTGGATCCGTTGTGTGAAGCGTCTTTCTCTTGTTGCAGAGAGAGAACCACCTGAAACTTCAATGACAGAGAATTCCTCAGTTTCCCATGCATGATGCTGTTTTTAGTTAGCTACAGGGGTTAATGTACGTTGCCAAACGTGCAGACCTTCTATTCAAGGAATAGTAGGAATAGGTTTTATATAGATCAAATCCCCTCCTTCACGTTTCCTCGTTGTCCTGGAGCAGAGATTGGATGTACCAGGAGTCCAATTTTCGATAGAATCTGGACGTATGTATGCTATCTCCCCTGATCCAAGTAACGGCGGCAGGGAAAAGATGGAAGGAGTATAAACAGATGGTGGCGTCTCTTGTCGAGTTATAAATACGAGCCAAGGAAGTTTCGTGTTTGTTGGATCAAGTCGAATCCATGGACTGGGAAACAGCGAGATCGGAGGCATCAGAGAAGGACCAGGTTCAAACGACCTTGCCTGTAGCATATCCTTCTCCTATAACTACACTGCAAGATCAGAGACGAGATCAGGCCCCCTCTGGCTCCATGGTCAGGCGGATGGAAAACACCCGTACCAAGGAGGATCGCCATGACCATCATTTGGGGTACGTAACGTTAACTTCTCGATATACGACAGGAGATAATATGCGTGCTCTCTGCCTTAGAATCAGGAATCCTGCCAAAAAGCTTAGATGGTTGATTCTGACCGTGCATGCAACCAGTAGAAAGCACATATGCGAGGTGTACTAAAATAGGATTTCATCTTGCCAATGGTCCTGACCCCTGAACCTTCAGGAATAAGAAACAAGATAAAGGAAGAAAGAACGCGGAGGAAGCTTGTGGCACCGTATTCTCATATCCATAATGCATGGCCGATAAATATCCATACAAACGCCAAATTTGCGAGCAGAAAGAGACGAAGAGAGTTAAAACCTCGTAAGGAAAAGGGCAAATGATTTGCTGAACTCCAACGACCAAGTTAGACAGTAATTCGTGCTTCCGGATGTCAAAGAGGGAAACGATCCATCGAAGTATAAAGGAGGAGAAACTAGCGTGGAGGAATCGTCAAAAGAAGGCAAGATTGAAGATATAATAGTAGTAACCCCGTGGCCCTGACCTGGTCAGTACTCCGTACCAACACCTCGCTTCTGAGATTGGATTGAATTGTCCCATCCAGCCCGCTTCGTTTCCCGTTAATGCCAAATTTCAGTTTTGAACATCTTTCATTAGACAGAAGATAAACCGCATCTTGAAGACACCAGTCTGTTGCTTGCGTCCACGTACGGAGATAAAAGCGAACCAAGGGGCCCCGTCACCCAAGAAAATTCTAGTCGCCAAAAGCCCTCTCCATCTTTCATCCTCATATATCCATCTGTCAAGATGCATGGGACAGATGCATTACGGGTGGGCGTTGCAATTGGACACGGAACAGGCCCAGAGCTGGCGGTGGTGTTCGAGAATGTCCTGCAAGAATTGGCGTCCCGTTATTCTCTGAGAATCGAATTCGTCCGATCGGACAGAATTTATCATTCTTATAACTCCCTGCCTCTTTCAGATGAAAGCCAGAATGCAATCCTCGACATCTGCGACGAAACCGTAAATGACATCACGCACTATCAGCAATTTTGTGAGCGGGAGGCCAATCGAGGTCTGAAAGTCATATTCCGAACAGCAATAAGTGCCCAGTCACTGTATGCAGTACGTCAGCAATTGGAAGCCGTCAAGGTCGAGTGCTTTGATCGTGGCACGTCATCTCTTTTGGTTATCCGAGATCAAGCACAGGGGTTCTATACAGGAACCAATAAACTCGAAAGTGATCAGAAATCTGTATCGAGGGTATGTGAATTCCGCAAAGAAGTGTTCCAGCATATCATAGCATTCTCTCTTGAGCGGGCAAGAGAGAAATGGGGTGATGACCTTGGGGGAATAAAGACCATCTTCTTGGTATACAAGTTCCATCTCTTCGATGGATTATTGTTATCCTGGGCCAAGGAATTGACTGAAGAATTTGGTATCAAAGTGGAGTTTATTCAGCCGGACACAATGAACAGGAATATGATTGCATTTGGTGTTAGCCGTTGCTTGATGGTGGCTGGCAACGAGTATGCGGATATCATGCAGACAATATTCCTGGAGAGATTCAACATGCGGGTTCAAGAAACATCTTGTTCAGAAAACGTCTACTTGAAGCCAGCATTGAACCGGCTTAGCGAGTACCAGACCACCCATGGCTCGGCGGATGATATCACAGGCAAAGGAATCGTAAATCCATCTGCCACTATACGTGCTGCTGCTGCCATTCTCGAGCGTTTCGGTGGTTGTACTGGTATTGATGCTGAGGTTGATGAGACGTTGAATGTCCTTCAGCAGAATAAGTCAGTTACTCCGGATCAAGGGGGTAACCTCACCACCAACGCTTTTGTCGATCTCTTTCTTCAGACCCTTCCAAGCCCAAGTGTTGGCACGCCCACTGGAAGCGAATTTTCACAGCCATCCTCTCTGGCCGACGATCCTGCAGATATATGTCCAGCACCAGACTTTGCAGCAGCCTTCATGAAGAAAGGGACGGCTGTAGTGGTGGTAGACTTTCAAAACGATTTCATTTCACTAGGAAATCCGGAGACTATGAGCTGCATAACGCATGCACTTGTTCGTGTACTTGCCTTTTCTAGGTCTCATGAACAAGAGATCATCTTTATCCAGCATTTAGGGGACCAGCGTTACCAGAATGCTAGTTGGAGACATCGAAACCGCGTTCAGAGCCGCAAAGAGCTCTGCGTAGAAGGAACTCGGGGAGCTGATCTGTCCCCGGCCCTCTCACCGGCGCGCGGTGAACATATATTCACAAAGAAAGCTCAGTTTGATGCATTCCAAAGCCCTGAGTTCGAAAAGTATATTTCTGAAAAAGGGATTGAACACATCATTCTCGTGGGCCTGTACGCCGACATATGTATTGACGCAACAGCTAAGGCAGCTTTCCAGAGAGGCTTATGGACCACTGTTGTCCAGGATTGTACGACAGCTCTGCACTTGAAGGACGAAGATATCTTGGGGTACATGCAGAAGGTTTATGGCACCAGAGTTGTGGAAAGTGAAAAACTCTTGAGAATGCATGCATAGAGGGAAATCTTGTTAGAACATTGACCATTTTTCGGTCTTGACATCCCACAATTCAAAGTTATTGATATCAGAAACCGTTATATCTCAGGATTAAAGCCATCACCCTTCTTGATGCAATATTCCGTATTTTGTATCTCGGCGGAGCATTTTTTGTCTATAATTTTTCGGAGTTAAATTTAGCAATTATTTTCCTGATGTACGATAATCCATCATTGGGCAATATCGGTCTATCCACAAGGGCTAAGACATGTTACTAGGGGTCTTGTGGCTGCCATGTTCGGGTCCATCCCTTAAGTGTCCCTGAATGCTTCGGTGATGCAAAAAAAGCCAGCAAACGAAACATGGGGAATATAAAAGCACTGCATATTCCTATTCAGGCTGATGTGCCTCCCATGATATCCCTATTTTAGGATATATATGAGAACCAACTTATTAGAACATATTAACTACAAGCCTCCTGCAGAAGGCTTGTCTCGTTAATCAGCATCAGCAAGATGTTCGGCATTGATAGGCCGTCCTCGGCTGCGCGAGCGATCAGTTGCATATGCGGGCAGTTACCAAGCAATACTGACAGCGAGTATTGTGGAGATAGGGGTATGGACCGAACCTATTAGTTGGCCTTTGCCATCGACTGTGTCGGTTCGTTCTGAGTGCAGGTGTCAACTCCGGCTGAGCTTCGGCTATTCCCTGTATCCTGTCGTTAAAATAGGTGCATTATGAATTGTTTTGAAGGAACAGGCGGCTTGTATACGGACTGAGTTACGCGTTGGTAAGCCATGGATCGACCTGGCTTGAACAGCCTTCGTTGAGCAGGCATCTTTTGTTTCCTTCGTCTCGAGATCTTCGTTTCTGCAGTGTTTACGAGGATCCGTTCACGTGACCGACAGCCCTCCATCCATTTCTAACCGCAAGCCAAACCTCGCTTCTTCGCACGCCTCGACAACCTCCTGTACCCCTGCACGCTGCAAGGGAAGACATGTAGGGAGGGGAGTGAAGGAGGCAAGAGATTGCAGGTTCACGAGCTTGCCACAGTCTTCTCTCTTCTTTGCTATACTCTGCATGCGGCTAACTAGCATTGATCTGCCGGAAGAGTGATCAGATATCGCATCGATACCCCTCGTCAAGGACATCGTCCGTTCGAACAGATTACGAGTGAGACGGAAGAAAGGGAGTGAAAAAGGATAAAAGGAACCAACCTTGAAGCCCTTGAGTTGATCTCCACTGTCCCCGGGAACCCACATATTAAGCCTGCATTTGCATCTTCCACACGCCAGGATGCTCCTCGACGAGAAAACAACACCCAACCTTAAACAGGGGGCTGGCTTTGTTAACAACAATGAATGTGGGCTCATTTGAACATTTCCATGGCGGAGGGTATCTGCCCGATGACCAGGACCATGTTGTCCAGACTTGTCCTGATGAGGGTTCTGGTTTTGAAACAGAGCCCTGATCGTGTGGTAGCCACTGAATTTCACTCGAGAAAGGCAGCTGCTGGAAGGTTTCTTTATTTTACTACACTGTACGAAGTACAGCGCGCGTAATATATTATGGCTGGGGGCTTCCACCTTGTCAGAAACTCGACAGCGATTGTTCAGCTCCCCTGTTTAATTCCACGCACTTCATATCAATCATCAACCTCGAAATATGGCCATTGACACATCCGTATGGTACAAGCCGCTGATCGGACGGCGGCTCAAGGCCCCTACACGATATGTGTTTGAGAAATGGAGTGGAGTATCTGGCAAAGAACTCATTGCTCATCTGCATTCAATCGTGAGACGTCTCAATATCCGCGGAGGAAAAAGCACGCGCATTTACGGAGTATACTGACACCCATCTAGCGTGATAAAGCTTGGCCACTGGGCGAATACCCATGCGTGGGTGAATGGATTTTCCTACTCCCTAGCATTTCAGCCTTCAAACAGTTCCCGGAGATTGTACATCGTGCAAAGAAGGGTGCTACAATCCTGGACATTGGGTGTTGTTTTGGGCAGGACCTACGTCGCCTTGCTGCTTATGGAGCACCAACGGAGACTATGTACGCTCTCGATATCAATTCGTCGCTCTGGGATCTGGGTTATGAGTTATTCAAAGACGCAGACCGAATGAAGGCCACTTTTCTTGAGGGCGACTTTCTTCAGGATAACTCCGCGCTGTCCTGCCTAGATGGTAAAACTGATATCATTATCGCCTGCCAATTCCTACATCTGTTTGGATGGGAGAACCAGATCAAGGCTATGAAACGAGTTGTGACACTTTCAAGGCTGGGAACAATGCTCATTGGATACCAGCAGGCTAGACTGCAAGCAAGGGAATATATCAGGCCCTGGGGCATGATGTTTTACCACAACGTTGAATCATTTCACGAGATGTGGGAGATTGTGCAGCAAGAAACGGGGACACGCTGGAGTGTGACTGCGCAGCTCGTGGATTTACATGAATGGGGGATGGAGGACGAGGATGTAGAATGGATGCCACAAGACAGGATGGGAATCAATTTCGTCGCTACTAGAGAGGAATAGTCACATGAAATGGCGCTGCATAAAATGATCATGCACTCATACCTGCACTTATATCTATGTACGATTAGACGCCTTGAAATGCCTCAATGAATTCCCCCATGATTTTCACGCTCTCGTCAAGATTGACCTTGAACGGGGCACAGTGGCTCTGAGGAACCTCCTTGATCTTCCATTCCTGCCCGGTTCCTGCTATCATAGCATACTGTGCGTCTTTCGGGACTGCAAGGTCATTGGTAGCCACGACATACGCCAGTCGGTCCTTGAATGCAGGGTCTGAGCAGGCCGTTGGTGGTTGGGGAGAAAAGAAGGCCAGCGAGGAATGAGGCTTCAGTTCCTGTTCAGTTTTCTTGGCGAGACCATGGTCGAAGTCGGCGGCAAACACGTTGATGGGGTCCTTTGGGACGTTGAGACCGGGTGCAGGCTATAGATGTTGTGCATGAGCATAGGGATAAATTTGAAGGTCTTATAGGCAGGGAGCCGACATACGTTATCGAGCATTATCCAAGGGGGAAGCACGCCCCCCTGAATACCAGCACAGCTCAAACCCTCGGGCACAAGGAAAGCACTGAACAATATCATGCCGAGGATGCCTCCTAGTTTCCCTGATCGAAGCCGTTCGGTCTTTGATAATCCTTTGGCAGCTGCACAACCGGGCATACTCCCGTAGGAATGCATGACAAGAACTACATCTTTACCTTCGGTCTCCACGAGAGGCTCCAGAATGGAGCGTACAGCTTTGGCGTCTGTTGCGCAATCGGCCGTTAAAGGATCCTGGGGCTCCAGAGACGGATATTCGGCGTAGCGAGTTTCGAACCCGGCCTTTTCTAGCGTATGGATGTACGGAGAGTAGAAATTCTCTGGAATCCAGGCACCTGGAACGACAGCAATAGTAGGCTTCGTCATGTTCGAAATCTACACGCAGATAAGCTGGTGTATAGAAAAATGGCTCAAATTGTGATATTTAATGGGTTTCAAGCCCAAGCCAGACGTCCTCCGCCCCCGACTATATAGCCATCCTACTACCTAACTAGGTTGCATCCCGAAAATGATACCATATTACACATTCCTATTGACAGGGTTCTATACGGGATCCGAGCTCGTAAACAAACGAGGCGCTGGCTGTGGCATTTAGACCCCTCCTAACATCATGCGGATATTATCCTGCCGTCTCGGAGGCCTAGCTCAAGGTGTCGAAGTCGCCAGGGGATCTACCCGTTTTTCGCAGGGTACATCATGCCCTTCAAAACATCGTTGCTAATATCGCCGCATTACGAGGGCTCAGAGAGTGAGTGAAAAACCCTTCCGATAAACATGGGGCCCGGCGGAGTTGAGGCACAATTTCATTTAATTGAGGGCTTGCAACCGTTCAGCTTCATTTCTCTCCTTGATGCCCTTGATCCCGACGGTTTCTGCCTCATACAGGGTCTCAAATCTACCCGCTTCAATGCTGTTAAACGCCATCTTAAATGCTTGACACTCCCTTCGATTCTCATTGTTCACCTATTCTGCCGTTCGTCTTCCAAAACAGCCAGTGAACCCTGTTTGCTTGTCAATTCCGGTGTGCTCCCCGCCTGACACCATACGGAGCGATGTCGCTGGACTTCACCCCTCCGCCGGGAATTGATCTGTCTGAATCAAGACAACCACAGCTGTATGCTGCGTTTATCTCCACATTCTGCTTGTCAGTCGTTGCTGTTGGCCTTCGTCTGATTTGCAGGCTTGGCCACCTGCGGCCGGGACTATGGTGGGATGACTACATGATATGTGCTTCCTTGGTATGAGATGAAAGAATGATTACAATCCTGCCTCTTTGGATTAGGCAATTATTCTAATCGCTTGCCCAGCTTATGACAGCGGGGAATTTCGTGGCCATGATAATATGTATGTAGCTCTCAATCAGCACTAACGTTCCAAAACTGATTGGGTGACATATAGGGATACCCAGGGGACTTGGAAAGCATATATATCCATATGGACTTAAAGGATTCGGAGACTTCTTCCTTAACCTCTTCGTCATTGAAATTCTCTATACTCTGTCTATATGCTTCACGAAGTACTCTATTCTTTTATTCTACTGGCGGATTTTCAATGCTACTAGCATTCGTATCCCAATATATCTTATCACCAGTCTGGTCACCGGATGGGGTATCGGGGTGGTAGGTTGACAAAGAGTCTACCAATTGAGCATGGCACAGCTAACAGAACAAATACAGATTGGTACAACCATTTTCCAATGCCTGCCAATCCAAGGCTTCTGGGACAAGACAATTCCAGCAGTTTGTGGAGTTGATGTGAACAGCTTCTTTATAGGCAATGCGGTACCAAATATTGTGACCGATTGGGCTTTGTTGCTCTTACCTCTTCCATATATCTGGCGTTTACACAGAAACACTGTCCAGAAGCTTGCAATTTATGCAACGTTCCTACTTGGTGGATTGTGAGTAGTCCCTCTCTCTTTATAGTAATGATCTAGTTATCATGCCAATAACTAACCCTGGAGTTCTCTAGTATATGCATAATATCAATTATCCGACTTACTATCATGCTGGATGCCTACAAAGTGCCTTCAATTGACGTTACATGGGTGTTCATCGGCCCGTCCACTTGGACTGCTGTCGAGACGAACATCGGAGTGGTGTCAGGTATGTTTCCCTATCCAACTCTGACAGTAGTTATGCCATATTGACTCTACTTTCTAGCATGTCTACCCTCTCTCCGCCCACTTCTACGACACTTTGGTGGTTCAACCGAACCTAAACCTTCATATAACAATCGCGAAGGAGCAGGCTTCAGCGGAGGTAGCGGATATTCCTACGGTTCTGCGTGGGCAAAAAAAAGCCCTTTGCCTTCCAAAGGCAACGGACAACAGGCGTCGGCCTGAGGGGTTTGGCTTTGGCCAGACCTGATGGGAGTTCAACGTTGAGTGTCCGGGGATGTTCGAGGGGGGGAGATAAGAGGCGGTAATCCGGGCAAGATTCTTCCAGCATAAAATAATGCCCGCCCATGAAAAATTGGAATTGGGTGATGTTTTTTTTTATGTTGGAGGAAAAGAATTCCCCCATAGGTAAAAAGGTTTTAAAAAGAGGAACCCTTTTTGGGTTTTTGGAAAAAATAAATAAAAAAAAGCGAGGGGGGGGGGGGGGGTTGAATCGAAACGTCACCAGTTTTACTTTTGCATGTTGGTTAGTTTCTTATGGCTTTTTCTTATCATTCTTGATGGTTATTTCACCTCCAACCACCGCCTGTCTTTATTAGCAAATCAAATTTCACTGTATATAAGCTGTGTAAAACCTTGTCAATGCTCAGAGGTGATAATGCACTAATGCTTTAATTCCTTACAGTGTGGGTACTGCTTTATTCAACTAATTGAGCATATTTTGAGTATTCTTGTCTACTATCTCATGGAGGAAGGCAGGAGAAAACAGGAAGCGTGAGTTTCGTCTCGAAAGGCGAGTCTAACGCGTCAATAGCAATGTATGTAGAGTAAGAGGAGCAGAAATGGTAGTCCACCTTGAATTTCGACTTTCAACTCTTGAAGGGAAGCAGAAAATCTGGTTGAAGAACCGTGGCTCGCAGTGGTAGCATGCATGAATATGCGGAGTGTGTTTTCGAAAGCACAACTATGATTACACTTGTTTAAAAGAAACAGAACGTAGAGGAACATCAAGCGGAAGGTAGAAGGAACGGCGGCCGTCGAAAAGGTGAATGAAAGGCTATATAAGAAGAAACACCGACGTGTTAGCATGTGTTGAGGGACGGGATATGGACGAACTTGAGAAGTTTGCTTACTTCGTTTCTCATGAAGCTGGATTTAATATCTCCATCTGTTCAGCCACCGATCTGCTCCTGGTGCACCTCGAGGGTGTCGCCGTCTTGCATATCTAGCTATAAGGGTATATGTGAGTCAGATTTCTATTTAAGAAGCGAAAACTAGGCAGAACCAGCAGGGACGCTTACAGTCTCAGGAGAGTCATCTGGCCGGACCCTTGTGCCATCAAAGAGAAAACGAACAGTCGAGAGTTGCTTGCCTTGTCTCTCGCAGAAGGCATCCATAAGTTTCTTCAGCTGCGTACTCCTCTTGATCTTGAAGAAGACTTCATTATTGTTATCAGTAACCTTGATGTTGAGGTGCTCAACAGGAGCAGGCATGGACTGAGGGGGAAGATCGGCCATTTTTTCCGCTGTTTTCAGGCGTTTGAGTGCAGACTCTGCGTGTATGGGTTCAGTGGTATAGTTGTCAAGGACAGGAAGATCTGCAGACGAACGTAGCTGACGTTGTAAAAAGTCGGACGTTCAGGTGGGAGTTGCGAGTTGAAGGTGAATGCTGGATCTCTTGGGTCGCCCCCCGCAAGAACCTGCGCCGGCAGATCTATTTTCCGGTGTATCGGATTCATTAGGTGAGGTCCCAATGGATCCTTCCAACCAAATCGTGGGCAGGGGGACAGGAAGATGGAAGCTGGAAGGAACATGAAAACGTTGGAAGAGCAGAGAGAAAGAAGAAAAAGACAGAAAAGAGCTTTTTGTCTTAGTGTATATTTGTCCTTCGATCAGACCTGGTGGTGTTCTCTACGTTGCTGAGATGGAAGGTGTTGATGCCGACCCTCCTTGCCACCCGCAAGCAGTAAGTCCTCTTTAAATATCCATCAATACTGTCAGTTCGACATACCTATTCACTGGCTAATCAGGTCACTTAGTGTGCTATTCAAGGTAATATTGACCGATTCGAGTGAGAACAGACAGTGAGAGCAAGGCCATAGGCTAATCGTATCAAATATGAAGCATGTCTGACCAAAAACTCCTACAACGAGGCCAAATGTCGGAACCAGATCATCCAGCTGTACAAATGCTGCAATGCTCTCTATACACAGAAGGGAGAGGATGCAAAAACCCCAAGTTGCCCGAAATCTTCTTTACTCAAGTTGAAGCTGAAGCAGATTGAAAATGGCGATTTTTGATATTGTTGATATTGATAGCACTCGATAGACACCCAGCGTTGCATGCCACGTAAATATAGCATCTATGAATATGTATTATAATATCCCATCAATCAATATAGCCAATAAAACAATAACATGGGTTCCTGTCCATTCTGTATGTAACAACCGTCATATCTTTGATTCCAGGGGGGAAAAGTCAATCAAGAGGTAGAGGATTGTCGTTGGTCTAAGACGGCCGTGAGCACGCTAGAGATTCCAGAGGAACCTGAACAAACATTAAAACGCCCTTCTCCTTGGAGAGAGAGCTGGCTGTCCCGAGACTCTAATGACCGCCTAGATGACATTTGTTTGAAGAAAAGAAAAAGAGAAGAGAAATTGAAGCCGAAAAAAAAAAAAAATTATTTGAAGTGTTCCATACACGTGACGCTAGTACGTTTTGGGCCTGGTCGCGTCGCGCTAGTTCGTCTTTGGAAGCTTTGCAGTTTTTATGCTGGAGGCGGAAGAAAGCGAGCAAGAGTAAATAATAGAGCAGACGGGGACGTCGAAGACATCGGCAACGACAGCACAGCAGCAGCAGAGTCCATCAGATCAGGGATAGACAATGTCTTCAGTCTCTGAGAGCTCCGTGGAGGAGTCGGACTCCATGTACTCCGATGTAAGTTTGGTGCTGTTCTTCCTGCGCTGAGGATGCGAAACTGATAGAACTCTAGGTCTCACCAGCTCCTCCGAGCCATCTCCATGACGTTGAAATCATCGAAATAGACAGCAGCGAGGATGATGGATACGAAAGGGACGATGGGAGACAGGCCATAGAGCTGGATGATGGAGATTCTGAAGAGCAGGACTCTGAGGTTGTGACGGATAATGAGTTTGAGGCGCGGCCTGGTTTCGGTGACGACGCCTCAATGGAGGACGAAGAGGATGAGGAGGACGAAGATGTTGATGAGGATGATGAAGATGAGGAGAGCCGTGATGCAGAAGAAGATGTAGAGAGTGTTGGAGATGTCTGGAAGCTGAACGGAGTTCATCACAAAGGTATCAACGGCACAGCACCTGCACCTGCACCGGCCTCTCATCCATCTAAACTTCGCACCGGTAGGTTAAATCAAAGGAGTTCGACTTCATTAACCACTTTTGCTACACTAATGCTAATGCATGTGAGTATAGAAACTATCACGCTCTCTGAAACTCCCGAACCACCCCTCCTTCTACCGACAGGTGTAAAAGACGCGCTTCATCCACTACAACACACTGCAGATCGAGTTGTCAAACAGATAGAAGCCTATGCGCAAAGTCTAGACAATTTTAGGCGGCAAGGCCTCCAACCGGGCGATACCCGGGCATTCCAAGAAGCCTGCAAGCTTGTGAAGAAGTACCAGCAAATTGCTGAAGATACTGCGAAGGAACTATCACAGCCCACCGGCGCTCGAAGATCACTCAAATCTTCCACCCTAATGAACCTAAGTCAGAGTTACAAGCCTAATGTGTCGGTTAGCAAGGATGAGGAGGCCAGTATCAGACGTTGGCAATTAGAGGCAGACACCTGGGGGTTGGTCTTCCATCTGCTTGCAGTTGGTGACCCAGAGTCGCACATGCAGGCGCAGCTTAATCAGAAGACAGCATTGCAAACACTCCATAGATACTCGACGGACCACGATATCTGGGAGACCTTTCTGAGAACCGACCATTTCGCTGTTGAGAATGCGGTCATGCTCAAATGGCTAGAAAACACTGCAAGGGCTGGCATTGAAGTCATGGACTCGACGATCTCCAAGTTGGAAATGGATGCAAACAGAGGTGAGGGGTTATGGGCTCATGGGTGGTTATACACAAAAGAAGCTATCAAGGGCGCGAAACGATTGCGGTCATGGCCCCAACCTCTCGAGCCTGACGACCCGAGCGTTACTGCGTCTCTTTTAAGTTCGTCCCACAACGAGCCTCTAATTACTCAACTTGATCCCGACGCGGTTACTCGACAAGGCCTCGGTCTCCAGAAACAAGATCAATCCTTTGAAGAGGCAACATGGCTAGAATGCTGGAAGATGATTAGAACTGGCAAGGATTGGCTGTCTATTCGGGCATGGGCTAAGGAGCGTCTTGAAAGCTGGCGAGCAATAAGTTTGTGTGGTTCAGCTGGGGATTCGTCACTATCGGCTAAGGATCCTTCTCACTCCAGCCTTCTTCGGATGATGAATTACCGCTCTCAGGAATCTTGGAGAGCTGCTTGTTCAGTCCTTGCCAATAACCCGAATTCTAACCGCTACGAACGGGCTGTTTATGCCCTGATATCTGGAGAAACCGGTCCCGCATATGAAGTCTGCCAAAGCTGGAGTGACTTCGTTTACGTCAATTGCAACCATACTCTACTTTCCCGGTACAGAGACTTCTGCAAACAACTTCAGCGGAAACTCAGCTACGCTCCGAAGGCCGAGGTCGAGCTACGTGTTGACCCTCCACAGTATGACAGCATACGCAACTTCCTGGATACATTGGTCAAAGATCCACGAACGGCTAAAGAGTCTAAAAACCCATACTGTACCATACAGGCTGCGATATTGGGCCGGAGCTATGACCAGTTCTTCAACCTCCAGGCGAATGCTTTGGCCAAAGTAGCGCAAGAGAGTGGAGAGCCTACTCTTATACCCGACATTAGCTCCATGCGAACCTTTGACCAGCCAACATTAATTGCGGCGAAGGATCATGATTCTCTACGGCTTACGGCGCACCTATATCTCATCTTGCGGGCTGTCGGGCTGGTCCGTTCCGACTCGCATTACTCTGCCACCGCTTCTGTCAACGTGGTGAGGTATATCGACTTCCTCCGAGAATATGGGGCAACCAGGGATATTCCGCTCTATGCATCCCTTCTTCCCCGCGACATGGGCAATGAAGTCCTTGGAAAGGTTCTCATTGAAGTGACTGAACCATCTGAACGAGAATCACATATTCAGATGATGAAACGCCTCAAGATTGATACGTCTGCAATGATTCAAAGCCAATGGCGATGGGTCCTGACGGAAGCAGATAAGAAATTCAACCCGAAACCAATTAAGCTTGTGAGAACAGTTACTACCGGCGGTGATAGACCAGGAAAGATTGGACATATCATGAAGGGATTCATTTCAAAGTCCAAAATCTCACCGGAAGATGAGAACCTGATTCGTTGTATTGACTGGCACCGATATATCAGTGGTCAGTGGTCGAGAATATGCATCCTTGGAACACATCTATACAAGCGATTTATCAGTGAGTTTCCCCTGCACTCTGCAGATTCGCTAGACACGCTTTCTAATGGGGACTATTTAGCTGCTGGTAAAATCTCTACTGCTCGCGAAATGTATAAGCGCGCAAAACTGCATCAGACACTTGTGGACATGACCAACCGTGCCCAAGGACCATTACTGGATCCCTTGACAAAAAACGGTGTTTCTAGTCCCACGTTGGACAGCGCTTCTGAGCAGCAAAAGGCTAAGGCGACGGAGAAGCTTACGCGCGAGCAGCTTCTGATGCAGGCCGAAACGATGTTAGAGCTCGAGCAGCTCATTCAGTCCTTTGATGCCATTGAAAAATGGGGAGATCTGATGGACGATTATACAAAGTACGTTGCTGCGCCTCCGATCATCAGCAGCTGATGCATGATACACTAACCGGACTTGAGTATAGTTGCTCTGATGCTACGCAGAAGCCTGCAATAAAGAAGAAACTCCACCCCGCTCTGGATGCAATCACCCATGCGATAGAACCTCTTTGTACCGAATGGCTTATCCAACCAATTGATGGTAAGTTTGCTCAACCGCTCCTTTTTTTTTTTCCCCCAGCTGACATGTATCATTCAGACGCCGAGGCGAAAGAACTCGCCTTCATACGATCAACCTATCTCCCGGAGATTATCCTGGCATACCACACTGCCCTCTATTATGCAGGACACATACTTGGTCGTGAAATCCTTGCTCAGTGCATGACCCTCGCCACTGTAGTTTCATCATCGGCAATCATAACAGAAAGTTTTATGGCATCAGGCCGAATGGGCGAGCTCGTCGATGCGCTTACCCTGTCTAGCTTCGCGATGATGGGCACAGGGCAATCTAAATTGAAGCGCAAACTTCCCAACGGAGGTACCAACGATATTTGGAGGATCCGACCAATTAAACTTGATGAGAATGAGGAAGACGGGCAAGACGATGCCCATGATGACAAGAAAGTCAAGCTTAGCGTAGGCGAGAATGGTGTCGATGGGAACCATATCTCCGGAGTTTCAACACCGACTGCAGTCCCTGTGGTCTAAAGAAGGCTAGAGGTAATCTGGTCTTGACAGGACGCGGACGTCCCTTTCATATGTTTAAAAAAAATGTCTGATGCTCTTTCACTTTACTTCATTTCATACCTGGCGTGTACTGGCAACCTCTTTTTGATTCCCTTTATCATTTCACTTTCCGTTTGATTACCCGACTAGGCGACGGTCCCGACATTTCATACATAGGCGCAGGCAGCGGTGGAAAGATGATCTGTTGTATTATAGCCCTCATAATCACTAAAAACTCAGTCAATGTTGTGAATTGCATACCTATTGTTCTTTCGATTTCTCTTTTTCTATGTCTACTCAACACGAAGCAGTTTGCTGACCATATATTTTGCCTATTGAAAAGACCGCCTGCAATCGCCTTCATTAGCTTTTTTCTACTCTGTACGGAGGATACGGTTATGAGCTGATAATCAGCCATCAAAAACTAGTAGACATAGTAAGTATGCATGGTAAAGAACCCAAGAATGATCTCTCATGATATTATTGACTCCATCAGGTTAATCATCATCAACTTGGGGGCCCTCAGTACGACGTGCTGGCCCCTATATCGTATGGGTATTAATTTCGGCTGCCCCATCAGTACCCGTGCCTGAACAGGGATACAAAACCTTCGCTTACTTCAGTAGTATCGAAATATCGAAAGCAACCAACCAAATTCGAGTTAACGCTGCCTTGATAATAGTTAACCTTCCAAGGCTTGGAAGACCTGGGATTCTGGAAGGGATGGAAGCTTTCCCTTTTGTTTTCCCGTTTGTTGTTCTGCAGAACAGATCAACCCTCACTCGAAACCTGCCTTGCTGGAGGACTTGTCTTCGAAGCCCGGAAACTCCTTGACGCTCCCTTTTTGCCGGCTCAGAGGTAGGTTAACTCACGCGCGATGTTCGTGGCCGTTCCCGTATCATATCCTGTTTCACAAGCTCTTCACCCTCAATCATAGCGGCAAGCTAGTGCACCCCCATTCGCCCCTGGGCCTCTACTGAAACTTGGCAGTGTGGCAGTGTCCTCGGGCCTGTTGATTTGCTGGATCGCTCTAATATCTGGCATCTCGTGTGGATCCCGTACTATTGTCTTTGCGTTTCTCCAAGAAGGCGCAGCAGCCAAAGTACTATGAGCTGTTCCTCTTCTTGATATTCGTTGTCTCCCGTTCCAGGGCCTCCCTTTTCGTTTGTTACGTCGAATCGCAACCCAGGTCTGGTCAAAGGGCGAGGCGACAGTCGCAATTGGCCATTTCAACGGTTTATCCTTGGGTCTCTTCGTGGTTGGGGGTGAAGGTTATGATATCATCGTCCGCTGTGGTGCTCTCCGTGGTTGGTTCGCCCGCTGCTGTGCTCGTTACCAGGCGACTTGTGCCTTGGCGACTTGTGTGAGATTTGACCTTTTTTTCCAGCAGAGAGCACAAAGCAACACTTGACGTGTATTCAAAGCCCTCCAGGTTGTTGTTCTGCTGTGCCGTGCTGTTTTGTTGTAGCTCGTTGACAAGTAACTAGTGTAAGGTAAGCCGCCAGGCTCGCGGTTGTTCTTTTTCCTGGTTCAAAGTTCTTTCTGCCCGTTTAGGCATGAAATAACACAACCTACTTCGATATCCAACCTCACATCAACTTCTCTTCCCTTCACCGTCCCCTACGATCTCCCAGGCCGTCCTGAGCCTTCACTGGTGGAGAGCAGGCCAATTTGATATGCTGATGGGAAAGCCCAGCAGATCCCTTTTTTTCGATCTGTTCAGTGCTCGCCACCGAAGAGTGAAGCCCTTTTCGAGCAGGGTCTTGTGCCGGTCACTCCGCCGACCCTACTGTGTGAGTTCGCCCCCGTCGACTTCGCATCCCCAGCATTTTCTATACGGAGTTTTACTTTAGGGTAGAGAAGCTGAAGAATCTGCTCTGTTTCTTGTATTCCTGTTTTGTTCAATTTTCCTCCGGTGCTGTATCGTGGCTCTCCATTTGCTGACCTTCGTGTTTTGACTAGAGCTCCATTCAACCCTAGATCCGTGATACACTGTTGTACCAGACGAATGTTTATCTCATATGGTCATGCCAGTTCTATCTATAAGCACTTACACCATTCAGAGTAACTGCGCCTGATCAGGGCTGCGATTTTTACTTAATTCTGCATCACCTATATATCACCCGATTCCTGAGGGATGGAACCGCCAAATGACGATGCTCCCAACCTGTCCTCGCCGTTGCGGCGGGAGCGAGCTCCCACGATCACGATTGACACATCCGCTGTTAGCAGTGCATCTAATGTCGGAGGTCCTGAAATAATGACGGAAGAACCGCAGGGACAGAGTCAGCAAGGGGGCGGAGAGGGCGGGAATGGCAAGTCGACGGATACTCATGGCCAGCAAGAAAGTGCCTTGAACCCTTCATCCGAGAGAGAACGAGAACCACGGCCTATTTCACCGCATAATATCTCTTCGCCGACGTCGAAGACCGCCGACCCAAACTCGCAAAATTTCTTGTCTGTACCAGGGACGCGCTCAAGGGGAAACTCCCTCGACTCTGAAGATGCCAACTCCCCTCGCTCGTTGGGCAGTGAGACATGTGTCCCATCATCACCGTCTACCAGTGAGCATCCTGACAAAGGTGCATCAACAAAGGACGTCGACGTTAGGAATGATCCTAATGCTTTGAAACCTGACCCCAAAACGGAAGACGACTTTGAAGTGGAGAATAACAAATTCGCCTTCTCCCCAGGTCAATTGAACAAGCTTCTCAGCCCAAAGAGTCTTTCCGCTTTCTATGCTCTGGGAGGCCTAGCCGGATTGGAGAAGGGTCTGCGGACCAACCGCTCAACAGGTCTCAGCATCGATGAAACTGTTTTGGATGGCACGGTCTCCTTTGAAGAAGCTACCAGTGCTAGTACGCCGGAACACACTCCCAAGGCGTCAGGAAGGACGACGAGCATGAAATATGATGCTGAGGGTGTTACCAAGAACAATGATAGATTCGTTGACCGCAAACGTGTATTCAGTGATAATCGGCTCCCCGCAAGGAAGACCAAGTCCATCTGGGAGCTGGCTTGGATCGCTTATAACGATAATGTCCTGATTCTTCTCTCCGTCGCCGCCGTCATATCTCTTGCACTAGGTATATATCAATCCATTACAGCTACTGGAAATGAGGCTAGAGTTCAATGGGTCGAAGGTGTAGCTATCATGGTTGCTATCATTGTTGTTGTCGTTGTCGGAGCAGCAAATGACTGGCAAAAGGAAAGACAATTCGTGAAGCTAAACGAGAAGAAAGAAGATCGCAATGTTAAGGTTATTCGCTCTGGAAAGTCGGTGGAAATCTCGGTTCATGATATTCTCGTGGGGGATGTGATGCACCTTGAACCCGGTGATATGGTGCCGGTCGATGGTATTTTCCTCGAGGGGCACAATGTTAAATGCGATGAATCGTCCGCCACTGGTGAATCTGATGTCCTTCGAAAGACTCCTGGTGATGTTGTCTACCAGGCCATCGAGAACCAGGAATCTCTTGCAAAGCTGGATCCGTTTATCTTGTCTGGTGCTAAGGTATCAGAAGGTGTTGGTACATTTCTAGTTACGTCGACTGGTGTCAACTCTTCCTACGGTAAAACAATGCTCTCCCTGCAGGATGAAGGCCAAACAACCCCTTTGCAGCTCAAGCTCAATGTTCTCGCCGAGTACATTGCCAAACTGGGTCTTACTGCTGGTCTAGTCCTGTTTGTGGTTTTATTTATCAAGTTCCTCGTCCATCTGAAAAACATCCAAGGTGCTACTGCGAAGGGTCAGGCATTCCTTCAGATCTTTATCATGGCTGTTACTGTTATTGTGGTTGCCGTACCCGAAGGACTGCCCCTGGCCGTTACTCTTGCACTTGCATTCGCAACAACACGAATGTTACGAGATAACAACTTGGTTAGGCTACTTAGAGCTTGCGAGACCATGGGAAATGCCACAACCATCTGCTCGGATAAGACTGGCACTTTGACTCAGAACAAGATGACTGTTGTTGCTGGAACCTTTGGAACTTGGCCCAACTTTGGAGAGAACGGCCCATCCTCTACACAGCAGGATGTGAATGAGAGTAATCAATCCTCAGAGACGAACAATGTTGCTCCTGCCGACTGCATTTCATCTTTGTCGCCCTCGGTCAAGGAATTGCTGCTAAATTCAATATCTCTAAACTCCACCGCGTTTGAAAGTGACGAAAATGGAGCAACTACCTTCGTCGGTTCCAAGACCGAGACTGCACTGCTCACTTTCGCACATGACTATCTAGCACTGGGATCTTTGAACGAGGCAAGGTCAAATGCGGAGATTGTGCAGCTTGTCCCTTTCGACTCGGGCCGAAAGTGCATGGCTGCAGTTATTAAACTCTCAAACGGCAAGTACAGGATGTTGGTCAAGGGTGCCTCCGAAATTCTCATTAAGAAATGCACAAAAATCATTGCAGACCCAACCAGCGAACTCGCCGAAACAGAGCTTCGTGAAGAGGAACGATCTGGTCTGAAGACTATTGTGGAACAATATGCCTCCCGTTCTTTACGAACAATTGGCATCATCTACCGCGATTTCGAACAGTGGCCTCCTCAGGGAGCACCTACGCAAAGGGAAGACCGCAAGCAAGCTGTATTTGAACGTGTGTTCGAAGACATGGTTTTCCTAGGTGTCGTTGGTATTCAGGACCCTCTGCGCGCTGGCGTTGCTGATTCCGTTCTCCAGTGCCAAAAGGCGGGTGTTTTTGTCAGAATGGTAACAGGAGACAATATTATGACGGCCAAGGCAATTGCACAAGAATGTGGTATCTTCACCCCCGGAGGTCTTGCCATCGAGGGACCGGTGTTTAGAAAACTCAGCTCGCATCAAATGAATCAAGTGATCCCACGTCTGCAGGTCCTAGCTCGATCCAGCCCTGAGGATAAGAGAGTTCTAGTTGCCCAGCTTCGAAAACTAGGTGAAACTGTTGCTGTAACTGGAGACGGAACCAACGATGCACCCGCTCTCAAGGGAGCAGATGTTGGATTCTCGATGGGTATTGCCGGAACGGAAGTGGCTAAAGAGGCGTCCGCCATCATTCTTATGGACGACAATTTCAACTCAATTGTGAAAGCCATTGCCTGGGGCCGAACCGTTAATGATGCTGTGAAGAAATTCCTGCAGTTCCAAATTACGGTCAATATCACTGCTGTTGTTCTTACATTTGTCTCTGCTGTGGCCAGTAACGATGAGGAATCCGTACTGACTGCCGTCCAGCTGCTCTGGGTGAACTTGATCATGGACACATTCGCTGCTCTTGCTCTTGCTACCGACCCTCCAACTGATACCATTCTTGACCGCAAGCCAGAACCCAAGTCTTCCCCACTAATTACGCTTACGATGTGGAAAATGATAGTTGGCCAATCTATTTACCAGCTTATTGTCACGTTTATTCTCAACTTTGCCGGTAAAGGCATCCTGAATTTCGGCCATTCCGAGAGGGAAGATCGGGTATTCAAAGCCCTTATCTTCAACACCTTCGTCTGGATGCAGATTTTCAATCAGTATAATTCCCGCAGAATTGACAACAAGGTGAACATCTTTGAAGGAATCCTGAGGAATAGGTGGTTTGTCGGCATCCAGTTCATCATCGTGGGAGGACAAATCCTCATCATCTTTGTTGGTGGTCAAGCATTCTCAGTCGAGCGTCTCGGTGGAAGGGACTGGGGTATTTCGTTGATCCTCGGACTGCTATCCATACCGGTCGGCATCCTTATACGCATGATTCCAGATAGCTTTGTCCGTCTGCTCGTTCCGAGTTACTTTCGGCGGAAACAGGACAAGCCGCAGGTATATATCTCTGATGAGGAACAGCGATTTGAGTGGAACCCAGCCCTTGAGGAGATCAGAGACCAGCTCACCTTCCTCAAGAAGGTACGGGGCGGTCGACTAAATATCCTGAAGTACAAGCTCCAACACCCGGAGACTCTCATCCCTCGCTCCCGAAGCAACTCGAAATCATCCGTACCACAAACCCCGCAAGGCGAAGACCATGAGAATGGCAACACCCAGCCACCAACTCCGAGCTCGCGCACCAGGTCTCGCTCCAACTCTGCCTTTGGGCCTGCTGCGGCCATGGCTGGTGTCGTGGCTGGAAGCATAGCAGGCTGGTCCCCCGTTGGCCGATCAACTGGTGAACAGGAATCGATCAAATTCTCCGGCACTGGTCGACACTCCGGTCTTGATCAGCAAGAGGGCATCGAAGTCCATCCAGGCACTAGGGAAGACGATCCCATTTTGACGGATTACTCACATACAAGCAAAGTGCCACCCAGTCAGAATCCAGACCTGACGCCTGAATTCTCTCATACCCGCCCAACAGCCGGATCATCAACCGAGAGAAGAAGCTGATCTAGCCCTGTCGCCCGGCCGCCCGCCCGAAGACATACTTCACATAACGCGACGAGAAATATAACTCAATTATTCTGATTATGCAACTGCATTGTTCAACGGCCTTTCATACTACTTGTTCTGTTTCTTTTTCTCCTGCTGGCCCCCTTTTTTCATTCTCTTCTCTCCGAAACAATTGACATGGCATATACCAGCATCAGTAGCAACCACTTAAGTTGGGCCAAGTTGGGCCCATAGCATTTCAAGCACGTCTTAATATCCCCCCCTTTTTTCTCCTCCCTGGACCGTTATAACTTTTCCAAGTTTACCAACCACCTACTTCCTTACTGAGGCATCATCACTATCACTGGACCAACTCCACAACCTCGGGGGTCCTTTCTTTTCTTTACATCTCATCCTATCCTATTCCCCTGGATAGCCTCGCTGAGTCTCAGATGAGAGCTAGGCAAAATTGCATCAATCGTTTCCAGCATCCCGCCCTCCCCCCCCCCCCCCCTTTACTTCTTTGTTGCTGGGGTTTTAATAAATCTGTGTGGGGGCAGGGCAACTTTTATCATTCTTTCATCCTCGTGGCATACATCATTTTGTTCTTCTTTTATTCAAACGTCTACTTATTCGTCTACGTCTACCTTTATCTTTTTCATGTATATATCTTTCAATGACTCAGGGGGACCTACTTATCCTCTGCTTCAATAGTGTGTTCCTGGGGAGGGTGGCTTTAATATCATATCCTTTCTGGAGCATCTATTTGAATAAAATACAGATGCATTTTGTCATTCTACTTCGGTCATTAAAGGTAACTTTCTTCTATAGTTTTAGAAACTTGGTATCATATGCTTTTATAGCATTGTTTCATCTGTATCATTATTAAAGTACATTGATTTAATAACAGGCAACTAGAGAGGCCAAATCAAAGGAAAAACAGCAGCGACGTGAAAGTCCTCTTTGATATCAAGGCAGGCAAGGCAAAGTGAAAGGTTGTATGATGTGATATAAAAACACATTCATTCATCCCAGATAGCGGCCTTTGCCTTCTCTTCTTCCTCTCGCTTCTGCTCCTCTGCGAGCTTCTCCTTCTCGCGCCGCTTCTTCTCATTTGCAATCACAGTGCGGTCATATTCCTTCTGACTATCAGATCTGGCCACTCGGTGACCCAGCGCGTTGCCAATCATCCTCGTAGCCACTGCAATCTGTTTCTCAGGACGCTTGGAGTAGCCTGAAGAGGTACACGAGGCACTGCTGGTGGTAGAGCGGCAGCTGGACTGGCGAGACACGTTGGGAGTTGGAGGAGGCGCGCGGATGCCGCTGCGGCTGACCTGGTGGTGCTGGTGGGTGCTGGCCTCAGCCGGGGGCGCCGTGATGGCTGTTTCTGCATCACTAGCTTCATCTTCGGAGGAGGAGAGGTCTTCGTCTTCCCAGGACTCGGCGATCTTGTTGAGACGGACGCCGCCGCGGGGAGTGGGTGTGTGGGAGTCGATGTTGGTGCCTGAGCCTAGCTGTTAGTACCTTGTAGTTTGATATATTGTGCGCGTAACTAGCTTGTGATAACCATGATAAAGACAGCATGTTAATAGCACAGTGATAGACGCACCTGGACGGCCTTCAGCCATGATTCTGGTCTTTCTGGCGGCGATGCAGAAGCAGAAGTAGATATGTAGATGTAGCAGTGGAAGGTGGAAGTTGGTGCAAAGAAGATGAAGCAGAAGCGCAGCAGGGAGACAACTAAATAACCCGGCAAGACTTCTTCCAGCTTCACCTGGACATCCAGCAGCCAGTGACTCTGGGGTTATCTAGCTAGCTAGTAATGGCTCTGTCCTCTCTGTCCGGCTGTTGTCCTGTCCTGTCCTGTCCTATCCTTCACTATCTCGACTGGCCAGCAGTGCTTAGCAGCAGCAGCCCTTCTCACTGATAAGCCGCAGCGATGACATCAGTCAGCTAGTTTATCTATCTTGAACCAGCCACTAGCTAGCTAGCTAGCTAATAATCTCTTAGGCATGCCTTGGGTGACTAACTAACTAGCTGGTTAAGGGTTAAGGGAAGAATAGGGGGCAACGGATAAAGGACCGCAGCAGCCCTGGATGACATGCAGCATCCTATCCATGCCAGGGAGTGACTGTTGAAGAACTCCTCCGTTCCGGCCTCGAGAGTCTCCCTTCTCTCTCGCTCTCGAATATAGGCCAGGATGGAGATGCTCTCAACCATCCCACCGCGGAGAGCCGGGCAGTCTTGTAACTAGCTAGCCAACTCTCCATCTCCGACTCTTCAGGGCCGATCGACAAGCTAGCTAACTAGTTATCGGCTTACGAAGGCTTAGCTAGGTAATTAGTTAACTAGGCAGTTCATCGTAACTAGTAGATCTATGTGCTGGTTCTAGATAACTATCTGCCTGGCCAACTGGTGGCTAGTTAGTTACCTCGGCCATTCCAGCTTCTGATATCCGCCGTAAGGTAGAGACATACGGGGAATCATGACGGCCACGTCCCAGCAGCGCTTCTACCGGGCGAGTGAGCCTGTGGGGTTCGTCTTCTGGTCTCCTTCATGTTTGCTTTTACCGCGAGACTCGCTCTCCTCCTTCTCTGATCTTCCTCTGCTCGCTGGGCGGACTCTCCATGCGTACGGAGTGGCTAGTTATGAGTGGCTGTTTGACTAACTAGTTGTACTGCGACTCCATGATGGCCCCGAGATGGACGCAAAGCTCGTCTGGCCGGCTATTCAGCGGCCAGAGTCCATCTGGCTCTCTGCTACGGAGCCATGTATATTCATCTGCGCCATTCTCTGCTTCGGCTGAATCTCGTTCATATGAAGACACGCTGCCACACTTGAAGATAGGATCCCGCACCAGGGTTCTCTTCCAGGGGTTTACCGGTAGGCTCTCACTCTGACTTCATTGACTAACTATAGTGATAACTAGCCACCTATGTTCTAACAAGTAAATAGGCAAACAGGTATTTGACCTCTGCGTCGTGAACTAGTGACCTAGGAACTAATGAAGCACAGGCGACAGCCAACGTCAAGGAGTCACTGGCATGGGGGACAAAGATAGTTGGAGGCGTCAAGCCTGGCGTCGAGGGTGAACATCTAGGACTGCCCATCTTCCCGTCAGTTCGCGTGGTAGGGTTACTGGCTCGTTTGGGATATTGGGCATACCTCCATACTGACTGTACATAGGCACAAGAGAAGGCCAAACCAGATGCCTCCGCAGTATATGTGCCCGGGAGCCAGACGGCCAAAGCCATAGAAGAAGCTCTCGAGGCAAACATACCCCTTATTGTCGCTGTGGCAGAGCATGTTCCCATCCATGACATGCTCAGAGTCAGTCATGCATATTTACCCCCTTATCCGAACAGCTAATCTTGCTAACACTGTCATAGATACACTCCATGCTCAAAACACAGTCTAAATCCAGACTCGTTGGCCCAAACTGTCCTGGAATCATCTCTGCCATCGGGAAATGCAGAATTGGGTTTCAGCCTCTTCAATGCTTTGCGCCGGGCAATGTAGGCATAATAGCTAAATCAGGCACGCTGGGCTATGAGACTGTTGCATCTACGACGAGAGCCGGGCTGGGACAAAGTTTGTGCATAGGTATGGGCGGTGATGTGCTTGCCGGCACCGACTTTGTGGATGCATTAAAGGTGTTTGAACACGACAATGACACTCATGGTATTATCATTGTGGGCGAGATAGGTGGTGAGGCGGAGATGGAAGCTGCAGAGTGGATCAAGGGGTATAGGGGGAGGACTTCAGAAGCGAAGTAAGTCCATTTATTTTGGGTCAAAAAGAGTGAATTAATGGGCCTGGTTAACGGTGTATAGACCAATTATGGCGCTGATTGGCGGTATTGAAGCTCCGCCCGGACGAGTAATGGGCCATGCGGGTGCCTGGACAGCATCAGGTGAACCGGATGCCAGAACCAAGATACAGGCGTTGCAGTCTGCGGGCGTGGCCATGGTAGATCACCCGGAAAAGTTTGGTGAAGGTATGAAGGCATTGTTGGCTGGTGCTGGTAGGAGATCCAAATCGGTACGTTCTTATTCTTATATTTAAGCAGACACAATCTAACGGGTATACGTAGACACAATCCGGGCCTTTTGTGCAGCGAGCATCATATCACACTCATACCAGGCGTCCACAGATAAGCCTGCCATCTCAGTCAGCAAGATCTCCTCAAAAGAGGACGTTATACATCAAATCCTCTGATGCATTCAGACTCCTCGAGGCACAAAACATCTCAATCGCTGAGTCAAAATATCCGGCTAACTTTACCCTTGCCATCGCTATAGATCGTAAAACGTGCGGTCCCTGCATAACCGTATGCAATGGCACAGATGGCAACACTCTCAAGTTCCCATTCAACTATCATGCACGAAATTTTGACATTGCATCCGTCAGGAATACTCTTGGTTTCGTTAAATATCATCCTATGGCCACCGGGTCCCTAGAGAAACTTCTACACGGGTTGATGAATGTTTTTGTGACAAAGGAGGCATTTCTTCTCGAGGTGAAAGCAGGTATAACTCCTGATACAAAGGATATACAGATCCTTGAGGCACGATTCGGGTTCGACGACGCTGCGTACCGTAGCTCAGGAAGACAGGGCGATATCCATGCCCTGCGAAATAAAGCTGATGAGGTTCCTGCTGAAGTTGAAGCAGAAAAGAACGGTATAGTATATATCACGTACGCCAGCTCACCTCTCATATCATCCAGTTAAACCCAATGTTAACACTGCATCTAGGCTCCCGGGAGAAGGCCGTATAGGGACCCTTGGTAAGTGGCTGCCACTCCCGTTCTATAGTTTTGTTTCACTGACTATCGACCTAGTAAACGGCGCTGGCCTAGCCATGAACACCGTCGACGCCCTCACCCTCCATGGCGGAAGCTGCGCAAATTTCCTCGACACCGGCGGTAAAGCTACCGCAGAAACCGTCAAGTCGTCCTTCCAAGTCATCCTATCTGATCCGCGAGTAAAGAGCATCTTTGTCAACATCTTCGGCGGCCTTACGAAGTGTGATATGATTGCCGAGGGTGTTATGATGGCCTTTCGTGACCTGGGTATGAAAGTCCCCGTCGTAGTTAGACTAAGAGGAACAAACGAGCAACTCGGCCAAAAGATGGTATGTCTGTCTTCTTTGCATATACGGAGTCGCCATTGTTTACATCCTTTACTCACTCCTTCTATAGATAGCTGAGAGCGGATTGCCTCTCCACGCCTTTGACTCTTTCGAGCAAGCTGCAAAGAAGGTTATCGGCTTGTCAAAGTAATATAACACTAACGTATATACTAGAATATATGTATGTATGTACTCCGTAGCTCCGTCTAAAAAGAAGAATTAGGGAAGAAAAAAAAAAAGGCGGCCATCAAAAAGAACGAGGGACGTGGGACTCGAACCCACAATCTTAGCTTAGCTTACTACTCGCAGTAAATGAAAGTAGGAGAGCTACGCATTACCCTTCTGCCAGCCCCTCTAACGCTAAGTAAGACGGCGCCCTCTTTCGGCCCTTAACCAGGAGACTGCCCGTGGACGGCAGAGAGCCACGCCATGCGAAAGCGGACATTTAGAAGAGCAGACAAGGCACAAAGAGAGCTTCCTACGCTGCAGGATTCTGCCTGGCCTGCTCAAGGGCTCTTTTACATCTAGACTTCGCTGGTCGGAGAGAAAAACGCCGGTCCAGCCTTGCCGCGGACCTCGGCATCCTCGTCTGCTGAGTAACACTAACGCCGACTTCAAGTTTTGCAGTGGGCCTGCGGAACAGCCTCCTATCAACAGTTTGATAGCGGACATCTACCTGCTGAAAAGCTGCTGCCTAGGACGTTGTTGGGGGCGAGTGGATAGAGACGCAGCTCAACCTCGAGGACTATTCTGGAATCGAGACTCTCCCGGCCTTCCACGCTCAACATGGCTCGTCTAGCCCTCGGGCTGAGGCACAGCTGTTGCTTATCCCAATTGAGGAACCAGTTGCTTCGGCAGGTCCCTGCTTCAGCCAGATCCATCCGGGCCCCAGCAAGGCCCTATTCGTCTGGTTAGTCTTGTCCCCTGCGGTCCGTTTCCGGCACATTTTTATGCCGTTGGGAAAACTTTGCCATTTATAGGCTTCTTATCTATACAAATATATACACCTTCTTGCGTATGCATTCAACTTACTTACTTTTCTTTCCAGCTCAAAGCCAGACTGCATCCCGAGGCGCTTATTCTTATACATATCCTCCCCCTCCTCCTCCTACATATAAACAACGGTCACTTTTCCGTCGCATACTCGGTTTCTCGGCCATAGCCATCGGCTCTTTCCTCGTCGGCGCCATGACAAGCCCGGAGCTTGTCGACATGGGGCGTGACATCGCTTCTATGCGGCAGCTTTCAAAGACTAGGCTGCTCTACATACCCCCGGATGAGATATCCAAGGAAATCAATGACTATATCGACACACATCCTCTCTCTGTTTCACTACGGGGAGATGCCAGATACACCGAATCTCGACCACATCTGGAACAGCCTCCCAGAATGCGTGCGCACAGCCTCACGGGCGGCACATTGGCAGGTCCGGAACGTATAGTCGTGCCACCATTCACATGGAGTACTACGGACGGCTCATCGTTTGTCTCGATATTTTATCTCGGTTCTGACGTGTGTGGTCACCCTGGTATTGTCCACGGTGGTCTGTTGGCCACTTTGCTCGACGAAGGGCTCGCAAGGACATGTTTCCCCGTTTTGCCAAATAAGATTGGTGTCACGGCCAATTTGAATATTGACTATCGTGCCCCTGCGCCAGCCGGAGAATTCTTTGTCCTGAGAGCGAAGGTCACCAAGGTCGATGGCCGTAAGGCATGGGTGGAAGGCTGGATTGAGGGCCTGCCCAAAGATGGAACCGACCCTGTCAAGTACGTCGAGGCGAAGGCTTTGTTCATAGAGCCGAAGACGGCTGGAGTAAGTTCAATCGTTTTACCACCATCAGTTATACCTGTACTGAACCTAATGTGCTTGAACAGTTATTTTCCAAAGGCCAAAAGGACACCTCTGCCAAAACTTCACCTTCTATCCCCCGTTGACACACACAAATATTCCCAGCCTTTTAGCTCCGCGTTTCCCGTCCAGTTCTACATCCAGAGATAGATTTTTTTTTTTTTTTTTTTTTGGCACCTTTCTTACGGCTTATCTTGTTAGAAGCTTTGGCAACGATAGACGCGTGTCACTTAGATCTTGTTTAATAAACATGCCACTACATGTATCAGTAATAAATATAATGTTACCTTGATGCCTCCTCGAGCCTAGCTGCCGATGTAGGACTCGGTGCATATAAATCGCGGTGGAGCCAGCCTCGGCTCCCTATTGGCTCCAGCACCACCGAGCTCTCACCTTAACCCAACCTATTCCTATCTATCTGTCTAACAACATTCAGATGTCAACAACAACCACCGCTTAGCATTCAACCAGCTCTATCCAACCGAAGGACCGAGTGCTTCCATCCAGAGAGCCATCCATCCTCTCTGGCCGTTCTCCTTATGACCGCGCTTTTGGCCCAATAACCACTAGCCACACCGAACAACAACTTCCAGCCGTCACAATGTCCAAACAAGCAAGATACATCCTCCTCTCGCTACCAAACTCCATCTCCCCTTCACATCACCGCGATGATGCCCTTGAAGCCATACGCTCAATAGTCGCGGACAACGGAAATACAGCCCCCTTCACAGTACCAGAGTTCAAGATCGGAACCCTGGACGCCCTTGTACAGCAGGCAGATGAACTGGGTAAAGTCGAGGCACTTTGCGAGAATGTCGTTAGTAAAGTAGGAGATGTGCTTTCGAACGTGTTAGAAGGCGATGAGGCGCAGATATCGAGGATGAAGATGGTCAATGAGAGTGCGTTTCTGTCATTGAATACCGGACGGATAGGTGGGGTATGAGAGAAGGCATGGCTGACGAGGAATATAGGACCGTTGGATCAGTACTTGCAATCGTTTTCATGGAACAAGGTCAAATACAGAGCTGACAAGTCGTTGGCAGAGTTGATTGATCTCCTGCAAAAGGTATATGCGCGAGATGTCTATGTTATGGACGAACGATAGCTAACTTCCTAATCAGGAAATCAATAGCATCGATAACGATGTGCGAGCGAAATTCACCCAGTATAACAGCGTCAAGTCAAACCTGGCTGGTCTACAGAGGAAGCAAACGTCAGTCATGATCATGACTTTGTTCCGTGTGTTTTATTTAGATACTAATATTTTTATGCAGAGGAAACCTTTCCACCAAGTCCCTGGCCTCAGTTGTTGATCCTAGCCTCCTCGTGCAAGACTCAGAATACCTAGAAACTCACCTTATTGCTCTCCCCAGCCGAGATGTCAAGGATTTCCTACGTGCATATGAAACTCTCTCACCCATGGTCGTTCCACGCTCGTCCATACTACTTGCTTCAGACGATGAATATACACTCTACGGCGTGACGACGTTCAAGAAGCACAGCGCAGAATTCATCCACAAATGCCGCGAGAACCGATGGACGCCGAGAGAATACAAATACGTTGAGGACGGCGGCGAAGAAGAACGCAAAGAAATTGACCAAGTTGCTGGCGACGCTAAGAGACTGTGGGGTGAAGCTTTGAGACTCGGAAAGACTGGATGGGGCGAAGCCGTGATGGTGTGGGTGCACATCCTTGCTTTGAGAATGTTCGTTGAGACCGTCCTGAGGTACGGGCTGCCGTTGGACTTCACATCCGTCTTGATTAAGGTACGTACCGCAGCCCCTTCCCTGTACTCTTTCCATAGAGTACACGAAGCTAACGTCCCTCATTAGAGCACGGGTAAGAACGTTAAAAAGATCAAGGATGCGCTCGACTCATCGTATTCTTACCTGGGCGGTAATGCGTTTACTCGGGACAAGAAAGGTCGGGTTCGGAAGGACGACCCGAATGAGATGCAACAGGTGGGCGTTCCCGACACGGCAGCCGAATATACAGCCTTTGTATATTATGAGTTCGAGGTAGAGTAAGTTAGTTGGTTGTTATCTTGGAATTCGGGATGGTACATAGCTGCTTTGCTGTTTTTGTCTGCTTTTTGTCTACATATCTCTACTCCTATGGAGTAAGTACCGTTTAGGCTATCTATGTGAAATTTTAGGCAGTCCTTTTTTTTTATCACAGGCAGATATATACTTCTAGAATTGGATAAAAGATCGTTAGTCTGCGATCACCGGCAGTTTTGATATATTTTCGTGTTATTCGATTCGCTGTTGGTGATACAAAGAACGTTGGGCTCAAATTGAGGAAAAACATATTCTTTCAAAGCCACGTACTCTACAAAGGACCTTTTCTCTCATAGCAAAAGAGCAACAACTTCCACAAAGACGGAAATCAAACACAAGAGGCAAACTTCTCGGTTTGAGGTTCGTTTCCTCTCATTCCAGGATTTGATAGATCCACCGGAATTCTTGAGAGATCAGTGGGGGGTTGCCAATGAAGAAGTGTAGCCAGGCAAAGCCGCTACTTTTTCCAGGAGGGATAAAACGCCGGATATGGGACTTCCAAGGCCAGTAACACATCTCTGACTGCTCCCCTGCCATAGAGCTGTTATCCGATCCTCAAACTGAAGCCAAAATCCCTGAATTGGCAGACATCTTTCCAAACGAAACACGTTTGGTCGCCAGTCAAGATCATCGCCAATCTCCGCCAATCTCAGCCATTCAGCGACGGCAAATACGTTGTCATGCTTAGCAAATCCGGGAGTCTAGAATTTAGACCTCCCCAGCTCCATCGCACGGCGGAGCCAAAGCCCAGGCTGGCAACTGAGCTGCTTAGAAATATCTGGGTCCAGGACCGTACGAATTAATAACTCGCTTGGCCAGATGGCTGCTGGAGATCAAAAGTGGCCACCTATGCTCTGCACGGCTGCTTATATACGGGGAACATCGAGGAAATCGTTTCAGGATGTAACCAACAAGGTTACACGGTTATACGAGACGGTATGCCGACTCGGGATCTTTTGTTGGTTGTAGATAATACCCAGATGCTGAAGAGTGCTGAAGAATGAGGGACCCTATTTTACTGTCTACCATCTCAACGAGGGATGGAAAAAGTGATACGGCCGCTTTAAGTGCCGTTTTCCAGGTACAAAGCCATTTACAACCCGGGAGGCGAAAGAAAAATTATCGCTCCCTATTTCCATGGTTCTGAACGAACCACCAGGAGGGGCGTTTCATCCGCCAAACTCTGCGACATTCTGCTCGTCTTATCTTCAGCAGATGTACGAACTGCTGAGGACCCGACCTAAACCGTCCCTGTCGTTTTCCTAACTTGTAATCTTACCCCGGGAACCGGGATCCCCTTATTACCCGCATCCGAGTTTATCCTCCACACCTGAGAGGGCTGGATTGATATAAATCTCAACACATCCGGCTGTTGGAGTATTCCAATAATCTCATTCTTTGCATCCACGATAAGAAGCGCCGCCAACACACCTCCAAGACTCATAATCCTCTTCGCAACTCCCTCACTACATCCGTCACAATGGGCTCGTACGTTCATATTTTCGTTTGATAACTAAGTTACGACAGCTAATTCGTCATAGACTCGTCCATTTCCACGAATCTGACTTCACTCGCGAGACTCGCGCTGCTCACATTGGCCAAAGAGGCTTCACCGTCTGGTTCACCGGAATTTCAGGCTCCGGAAAGTCCACCATCGCTGTAGCCCTAGAGAAGGAGCTCATTTCCAAACGCAAGCTCGTTACTTACCGACTTGATGGCGATAATATACGTACTGGTCTCAACAAGGGTCTCAAATGGTCGGCAGCAGACCGAACTGAGAACATTCGCCGTATCGGCGAGGTAGCCAAGCTCTTCGCCGACTGTGGGATTGTTACTCTTACTTCTTTTATCTCACCGTTCGCCGTCGATCGAGCTGCCGCACGTAAGCTGCACGAGCTATCAGAGGCAGAGAAGGAAAGAGGAGAAACTCCCCTACCGTTCATTGAGGTTTACGTCGAAGCACCTGAAGATGTCGCCTTCAAAAGAGATAAGAAGGGCCTTTTGAGAATGCAGAAAAGTGGAATGGTGAAGCTCTCGGGTGCAGGCAAGTCGGGTGATGAAGAATACAATATCCCCGAAAATCCCGAGATACACATCAACAACGACGAAAACATGACCATGGAGATTGCGGTCAAGCTCATCATCGACTACCTTGAAAAGAGGGGTCTCCTCGATAGCCCACCAGACATTGCAACTGCTGAAGCTGAATCCGCGAAGCGCGTGAAGGAGGGCCAAGACATCAAAGAAAAGAGACTACTGCGTGAGCTAGACGAGAAAGATGCCGCCGTCAAAGCCGCCGTGGCTTCCGGTAACAGTGAGCAGATTGAAGATGCCCGGAAAAGTGCAGCCTTGGCTGCAGGTGCTCTCAAGTCCTTTATCGCCAACAAGTACAGAGCGATCGATGAGGCCGCCAAAGCTGCTGAAGAAGCTGCAGCTGCCAAAGCGGCCGAAACTGAAGAAGCCAACAAACTTGCACAAGCTACACGTGCTGAGGCTGCTAAGTTGGCCCAAGATCTCGCTACCTACGATGCTGAAACTTCTGCTCGTACCACTGCTAATTAAGCAGCTCCCCCTCTCTGTTTTATCCTGTTTTCACCTGCCTTATGCTGTAAAGATATCCTCTCACACCTTGATATAGAGCACGGAATAGTCACGAACTACGAACATAGATTTTGTTATTTTTCATATATTTCCAAGTAAACCAGTACTTGTTAATTTACAGTAGATAAGTTTTTGACATCGAACGGCTATCATAAATGACTCGTAATCAGATTGGATCGCTGAGTGTTTGGATGTTTTCCAGTTAGATTTGCGTATCTATTAAAAACGGTCGCTCGTCCACTCTATGATAACGCTTGTGATAGTGAACAGAAATATATGTACATATCTAGTAAATCTATGTCAATTCACTGAATATGTCCCCTGGAAGGTTTAGAGCTGTATTTCATACATAACAAAAGGTATAATAAACATCTCAATGCGAGTAAGTGGGACAGCGAATTTCATAAGCTATAATATGAGATTACCCCCTGTAGAATTTGGATTCAATCCAAGGCATAGGAGTAACAGTAGCTTTGCGGAGTTTCTTGCGGACAAGGATCCCGACCTCTGTACCCTTCTTATGAAGACCCTGCTTAATGTATCCCATGGCAATGTTTGTACCACCAAGAGTTGGGCTGGGGAGGCCAGAGGTAACCACACCGACTTCAGTTTTACCATCTGCAAGGTCCACAATGACTGCACCTTCTCGGGCAGGTGCACCGCCTTCAACTGTAAAGCCAACTCGTCGCCGAGTAAGCGTCTTGGCTGGGGATGCGAGTTGTGGGAGAATGGTGGAAGCTCCGTTGAATTTGGATAGGGGAGACGATGGGTCCCTTCTGTCTTTACCAACAACCCAGCCAAGACCAGCAACCGGTGGCGTCTCGGACAGAGATATATCATGGCCATATAAGCACATGCCAGCTTCCAAGCGAAGAGAATCACGAGCGGCTAGCCCAGCAAGCTTGACATCTGGGTTGGAGATGAGAAGTTCGGCAACACGGCGAGGCAAATTGGCATCAGAATCAGTAGGAATAGAGATTTCAAAGCCGTCCTCTCCGGTATACCCTGTTCTGGAGATTAGAAGACGTGACGGGGTGCTTGATCCATCTGGGAAGTTCAGATGGAGCTGGCGACATTGGCCAAAGTGAAGGGTTGAAAGATCGGCGTCGGCGGACGTTTCTTTCTTGATAAGTGGCTGAAGTGCGCTCGCGCTTGCGGGGCCTTGAAGAGCAACTAGAGCCCTGTTATCAAGTATAGTCCAGTTTATGACCGAGTCGCGCTTGGAGGGATCTTGAGAGTTCCTGAATGCCTCGATTTCTTTTGTTAGAAACTCGAGGTCTTCCTTACGACGACCTGCATTTGTAACGAAGTAGAATGACTCCGGTCCAAGGCGTGTGACCACAGTGTCGTCAACAATTCCACCAGTACTTTCGTCCAGGAGACAGGACAAGGTAGAATGGTTGTCCTTTAGAGAGTCAAGGGAGGCAGGAGTAATCTTCATCAACAAGTCTCGTGCACCTGGACCGATAATGTGGTGTTGGACCCTGAGTATGAAGGATGCCAATTAGACTATCAATTTTAAAATATAACATAGACAGATACCAAGACGTAGGTAACATCAATGCACTCACATATGGCTCACATCAAACAAACTGGCCTTCTCTCGCGTCCATTTGTGACTCTCGACGTGGCTCAAGTCGGCATATTGCAAAGGCATGGCATACCCCGCGAAAGGGACCATTTTGCCCTTGTGCTCAACATGAAAGTCATAAAATTGCGTCCTCTTGATGTCAGATTCAGCTGCAGAGGAACTGGAGGCATATCTCAGCCCTGATGGTGTTCCCAACGTGCTGCTGGCAATCAATGGCTGCCGATATCTCACAGTCGGAGCTCCGTGAATTCGGCGGTGATGTCGGCTCAATTGAGCGCCGTAGGTAACTCCGCTCCAGCATCTGGAGCTCACCCTGGCCTGGAAGACACCGCTTCTGGCTAACTGAGGTACTCTTGCGATTGACTTCATGGTGAATATCGAATTGCGGACCTCTGGAATCAATACAGGGCAAAGTTCGGCAGCAAGAATGAAGTCGGAAAATGATCGGAAAAGTGACGGGGAACTTTCTAATAGCCGGTCACGTGGAGATATGAGTTCCTATCGGCTGATTACATAATGGCTTTGTCACATGACACATATTTAGTCCGAACTCCCGAGCAGAACATCCATTAATTTTCAGCCTCCATTCAAAAACACCAAAACTCCCGATATCCTCCTGTAGAACTCCATCGAGCTCTCCATCGATTTTCCTTCATATATAGGCTATTGAAAGTATACATCCCCAAAATATGATATTGCAGGATGGCCATGTTATATACCCAACTCCATGAGCAACCACCGTGAAATATAGAACTGCCTCTAGTCCTTTTATAACCCGTTATCCTTACAGGAAAAGGCACTGCCGACCTTTCCACTCTGGTAATTGAGCACGACACTGTCAACAGATGCCTATATAGGTTGTTAGTTGACTGTCACCTTGAAGGGCTGTAGCTGATGCATCTTACATATGTTCCTGGGCCAAGGAATAGCAAGCCGACGCCAATGAGGAAGACATTGACGCCCCATCCGATCCACCCTCTTATGCTTCGGGGCTTCCCTGGCTTCTCGGCTTCGTCTGCAGACTGCATTCGCAGATACGCCACTCCCCAGAAGATGAATCCAAAGAAAGAGTCAAAAAGCGAACTCATTATGGAGAGAAGATCGGTGAAGAATGGAATAACCTCAGCCACAATGAAGGCAAGTATCCAAAGCACCGCCAAAATTCCAGCCCAGGAAGACCAGCCGACCAGAGTGTGTTCTGTCTTATGGCGAGTGTTGTCGAAAAGGCGGAAAAAGATGAATCGTGCAGACACCGATGCATAAAGCACTCCAAGGAAAATCAATGTAGGTACCATGAATGAAAAGGCAACCTTCTTGTATACCTCATTGCTGAGGGAGCCAAATGCTGGTGCAGTCATGTATTGTGTGCCTGTAAAGACATAGACAATTGCACCCACAATACTGAACACGATTATCTCCGCAATAGTGACCACCCAGAGAGCTTTGCTGAAATCTTTTGGGTTTCTCATCTCGGCAATAAAACTGGGAAGGGTGATCTGGCCGATGAAGGTATAGCTGATGTTTAAAAAGGCAGACATTCCCGCAACAAAGGTCGTTCCGGGAAGTGGAAATGCTGTGACAATAGGTTCACCCCCCATTAACTTGCCATCAGGGCCTTTATGATTAGGATCAGGGTTATACTTCGCTGGGTGAGCCTCAAGTCCGGCAAATATCATCGAAAGTAGAACCGATATAAAAGTGAAAAAGGCCGATAGAGTCGCAAGTTTTGAAAGTGTATTGAAAGTCCTTGGTATGGAGCACACGAAAGAAATGACAGCTGTCACTGCGACAAACAACACGGTACAAGTGCTGTGATTTGTCATTGTGTTCAAGTACTGTGCACCGACCAAGCAATGTAAGCCCTGGAGACACATGTTAGCGATGATGCGATAATGGCCTAGAAAGACAAATCACACCTGGATAAAGGTATTGTTAAGGAGGAACATGATGGCCGTGAGATACCATGCCGCCCTAGAACCCCAGAAAAGGCGTTGGCCGATGTCACAGATATCCCGTACATCCGGATGGCGCAGACAATATTTCCTGAGTATACCAGCGGTTATTGAATGCGATACCCTTGTGTTCTGAAAAGAATGCTTACCAGATGACCAATGAAGTATATAGTACCATTCCAGCGACCACAACCGTAAGTATCAGCCCTGGTACTAGGCCGAGGACCGAATAAGAGTATGGAAATGACATGATAGCCAAGCAGATATACTCTGAAAATAACAGAGCTGCAGTCTATTTCAGGTTTACTCTGTGATTAGCAGCCTAACCACAAGAGTAGAAGAGTTGGTTTCGAGAAAAGTGACTATTCATCACAATGAATGCGGTGGGAGAAGTTTAGCAAACAAACCTTCTGCCAACTACAAGTCCTATACTTGATGGCATGGCCTGCTTCCAACTCAACCTGCTTGCTCACACTCATAGCCGAACTGCTATCATCTTCGCTGCCGGAGGTTTCATCTCCAGTACCACCGTATCCGCCTTGGGTAAAAATTTGCGAGGGCCCCCTAGCATGAGCAGGCAACGGAGAAGTATCAATTGTCGAGAGGTCCTTGCTGACCCCATGTTCTCGATCTAACGCCATTTGATAAATCTGATGGTACGCTTCCAGCGTACGGGAGCAGGCAGGGCAGTGGCAGCGATTCTTCGTTCGACTGATGACATGTACTTTAAATTTTGCTCTTTCTGTGATAGGTAATAAATTAAGGAGGGATTCCTCTTTCCGGGAATATTAAAAACTAACGATTGAACTTTCTTAAAAAGGAGATATAAGCTCGTGATCGCAATATGTCCACGGGTACTCCGTAGGTGGTAGAAGTTTAATTCCGTTCGGATGAAATGTTGGCGGCTATAAGGTCAACGGATTGCCCCAAATATATATAACAGGATGGCAATTCCATCGTTTCAATGTGACGTCGTAGCAGCGAAGTGGAAAAATTCATATCCCTGTGCTAGTAGTGGACACCCTTTGCCCCCACCCTGAACTCCGCAATCAGGAAGCGCATCTCGATCATCGCCGGGCATCTAATTGGATATCATTGTTGTTAGTCATGCATCTCCCGCATCCTCCCATCCTGGAGCCCCAGTTTTTAGTGGGAGCCGTGCGCAGGATTACAGTCTTGGCATATGCTTGGCACGCGTTTGACACGTGGGGTTGGTGATGTCATTATTCCAAGTGCGATTTAGCGCGGCGGCCCCTCCGTTGGCAAGCCGACAAGTGCCAAGACTTTGGGGAAGCTTGGTTGTCTTGACCAGTAGCTTATTGGTACCACAACAGACACCATGTTAATAGTCGGCTATTCGCTTCTTTGCATGTTGTTCGAGATATAATATTTACATTCTAGACCATGTTGAAAATTATCTAAACTATTTAGTATGGAGTATTCGGTATACCCACCACAGATGTCAGGAATATTCGGTATACCCACCACAGATGTCAGGAAACCCATTATGTTTATCAAATTATCATGGTCAATTGCCCATATTGAGGCACTAAAGCGGCTCAATATTAGGATGAAAGGAATTTTAACTAAACAAGTAGTATAAGACAAGGCATATATTGCAACCATTATATATTGCAACCATCATATAGGTTTTTGCCATAGTTACACGACTGAGCTATCCACGGCCTATTCTGTCGCCTCTAGATGCGAACTCTATACCTAAGTCGAAAGTTTCATACTAAAAGCAATATATAATGTCGGAGTATGAACCACAGGACTATGGGACAAAAAGGCCTTAAGGCCCTCTGCCCCATGTTCCCTTTGGAAACATGAGCCATTTGCGAGTTCTACTAACACAAGGATGACTAATCCTGAGATACATATAATGGTATTTCACCCCCCAGAGATTCTGGGTTTAGCTCCAGTCCTTCTACCTTTATTAGTATGAAAGTAGCTGTCTTTTATCGCTGCCACATGCAAAACTGATTATTCAAGTTTTAATATTTGTATATTTGCATCTGCACTAATCTTAAGTAATAGTTTCGCCATATCGGTAGCGTTAGGATATAAGATATTCTTTATAGCACAATAATTAGTACTGTAGTTCTATTCCATTTCTATGAATTGTTATTTCTAACATAGTAAAGAGGAGCTCCATGATCTCAAGGCAGCGGTGCTCTCCCGTGTGCTATTAATGGGGTGCCACCTTTACTCCAAGTAATTATGTCTACTCTATTATTTGTTAATTAGTAGTCCCGCCATTTTAGTCTATTACGCTAAAGCCACTGTTCTCAGTTGGTCCCCTAAGTGGAACTTCACCCTCTCTGTCTCTGGTAGTGAATAAATCATTGATATGCTTTTCACTCATATCGCCCACGAAAGGGTTAAGATTCTAGTTTTTTCCATAGCCCCAAATCTACCCCCCTTTATATCTACCAGAATTCTAAACACCTGGCTATCCTCAATTCTTCCTATATTTAGCAAAGTATTTAAGACGTTGGCTATCACTTTGTTAACACCTAGCCATGCAGCATTCCCTAATGCTCTAATAGTTTTTCTGTACCCTTGTACTGCATAAGAAACGGGTGTATTGCCAAGCTTGTTTTTTCCATTCTGCTTAACTTGCTTGATATTTCCCAGCACTTCAACCACTTTACCACACCTTTACTTACTGCTGAAGACAATAAGATCTGACCCTAACCACCATTGAGTCGTGGGTCGCACCATTTGTTCGATATCAGCAGATTTACGATACCTTCATTGCCGTTTTCAGCTGCGTAAAATATTGGTGTCTTTAAATTTCAAGAGCTGTCCACTTAGTTTGCTGACTCCGCGTCTTGAGCTAATAGCAAACGGACTATAGTGAGATGTCCATTTTTCGCAGCCAATGACAGAGGTGTCCTCTGCAAGTCATCCTGATGCGTTGCATCCACTGCTGAAGTGGGTAGAAGTAGGTCAACAGCCATTTCATGCCCATATTCTGCCGCATTGGTGTTTTGCTAGAGTTGTCTTTTGCATCGGGATCAACCCTTTTATCAAGTAGAAGGCGCTTTATGACGTCAATATGTCCATAACTTGCAGCGTAAAATAAGGGACTGCGCCGAGATGAGTCCGCAACATCTGGAAGTGCTCCCTTCGCCAAAAGAGGTAGTTCAATGAGTTGATATCCCCATTCTCGGCAGCATATGATACTGCATTACGACACGTTTCACCTTTCCATTCCAAGGACGCCCTGTGCTCTATCAAGGATTTAACAACAGGATACCAACCTTGCTGTGCGGCCATGACCAGAGTCTCACCCCCAGATAACCCATCACTCAAACTTGACACCTCATTCAATAGGAACAAAGTGTATTCCAAATTGCCTTTCCGAGTCTCCTGTAAGAGGGTATCTCCGAGATATTCTCCCCGAATTCTCTCCCTGTCGAGGAGGTTTTCGAGGAGGTAGTCAGGTTTGGAAATTGCATCTCGATCGATTAAGGCTTTTTGTAAATTGATAACTTTTTCTTCGAAAGGTTCAGGGTTATAACAAGCTTGAAAACGAGCGATGCGAATGAAAGCCTTTGCGTAACAGTGAACTGCATCGGCAAGCGTGTATCGAGATCGTCTTTTAAACCATTCTTTATCACGGTAGTTGGCTGAGTTTCTCTCATTATACCAACAATTAGTCCCAAATAAAGATATTTGCTTTTGTTGACTGAGACTAGATTGGCGTAGAATCTTGGTGATACCACCCAGACTAAACTCAATCTCCTCACAATATAGGGCCTTGCGGTAGCATTCACACAGGGACACTACCAGGAGGCTGTAATGGTTGAGGTATTCTGTTCCTTTTACAGGACCTTCTTCCGAATTTGAGCCTATTTGTGACTGTTGGCTATATGGCACCGCCCATAATAGTAACCTTTCAGCGTCTAGCAATGGCCGCAATAGTAATGTTTCTGCGTCTCTCCAATTATTTTCACGGACAAAAGTATTCTGCCTCATCTCTGCCAACAAGATAGGGCTCAAAAACTGGGAGAAGCTTCCTTTAAATTATTAACGCTGGAATGACACAGGTAAAAGCATCCACTGCGGATCCTAGGCCACTCTCGGTAAAAGATCCTAGCAGCTTTGCAACATTTGCATTCACGTACTTCAGTCCCTTGCTCTTCTGAAACTCGGTTTTACCACCAAGATTTTTGATAGTATGTGTTATTGAGGAAAAGAATAATGCGTAGATCTCCTGAGCACACATCATTTCTAACGATGTAGCATCAGCTGCTACTTCTAGCACTGAGAAATTGGTACAGTCTCTAACAGGTATGTTATGTCGACCAAATAGCAGACCTGTCTGTTGCTTCAATTTAATTTTCCTCTCGTCAATCTTAAAGCTTCCATTCTCGCGCCAAAGATAAAAGTCAGTAGTGGTATATATATCTATGGTGGAATCTGGTATTGGGGAAATTATACGCCTTAGGGATATCTGTAACTTGTTTCTCATACCTCGGAGGGACCACAGCCATAAGCCTAGAACAGCCTCCAGCTCAGATTCATCGACATGCCATTTACCACTAGGTTGTCCATCTTTATCGATTTCACGGTTTAGTGATAGGTAAATGTTTCCACTAGTAGTATCCGTTCCTTCTAGCGTTGAGTGAACGACCCAAAGTAGAGTAAAGGCCGAATCCCACCCTTTCTCAAAATCAGTGTCAGATGTAAGGAAGACCCGCATCGTAGACTCAATGGCCTTTGCCAATATCTGTGCAGTGCTTCGAACACTGACAAGCTTATCCTCCCAGCTATCAGTCAAACGGGCGAGTCGAGCCCTGTACATAAAAGACCTAACGCATCCCTCCACTGGTAACGACTTGGCCGCAGATTGTTTTGACTGAACTGCAGCCCGCCATCTATACGGGGCACACTTGACGTAAGATTTCCATGTCTCATCTATTTTAAAATTAGGGTCCCACCAATCTTCAGGGATCAGGAGTTTATTTCCTCCATTTCCCCTTATTGCGGGATCATCAAAGTCTACTCATAAGCCAGAAAAAATGCAACTTCCAGCGTGTTCCACAAACATCTTTACAAAGACCAGGTTCTCGTTTTTCAGAAACTGCCCTTGTATTGAGGGAGTATATTTGGGCAAGCGTCATGCTTTTTGAAAACTTTTTGTTGTGTGATATGGGCCTGATACGACTGTCCATATTTGCTTAAACTCGGAGTCGAGGGGGCTTGGCCCAAGTTCAGTTCCAATATTTAGAGCAAGCCAGTCAAGCTCGTGGGTCCTGTACAAATCAGGTTTATGTGCTAGATAAACATCTTCTTCGCGTAATCGACTCGCGCGCAGAGTTGAACGCACCACACTCATCAGTATCGTCGCCCCGAGTTGGGCCACTGCGACGGACGAATGACATTCCCTGAGTCCGAGGAACTGTAGTAAAAAACCCACGGATGTGCTTGTTATAGCACACCATATCCAAGCTCCGTTATTTCCATTTCTCCCTATCTTCCAATAAGTGATATACCGTGTGAACTCGCCTTTTTTGTGCGTGTATGCGAATGAGTCGAAGGCTTGGTCCCCAACAAACTGTGTACCGGGTTGGACCCAGTACACCTGGGAGGTAGTTGTACCCCCATCTCCATTTCCTTTTGACCTCCTTTCGAAAACCCGTTCCATGGTGCTGCTCTCAATTAAGTGAGCGCAATGCCCCGTTCCAAAACATAAAAGAAAGGTACCAATAACAACCAGTGGAATGGCATAGTTATCTTGTAAGTCTCGTTTCACGTCATTGAATTTGTATCTAGCAATTGTAGCCCATACGAGGACACTTAATTGCAGCAGACCACCAAAGATAGCAGCGGCAGTAAACCAATATTTTGAGCCTTGTTTTATACCCACATTTAGTGAAAGATTTGGGTGTATTGCAAAGTCCTGGTCGTTATCGGATCCATCCTCCATAACCTTCTTTTCTTCATCACCCACTCACCTCGTTATTTCTTCCCAATCTTGATTACCTTTTTTAATATAATCCTTGAATAAGTAAATTCCAACCGTGGCTTGAGAATCGGATGTCTTCTGAAACAAGTCTTCGATTGTGGCATTCTGATCATGTACGATCTCCAGAAGCTTGGGGCGCCCAAAAACGCGGGCAATGCCTCCATTGTTATAAAGCTCACAGTCTTCTCGACTGGTAGACGAGCAAAGTTCGGCTTCCGCATTGCCAGCTCCCTCCTGGGCTCTCCCGATGAATGCTCTTAGAGACGGTGTTCCGCAGACCCGAATTGCCGATACAATTGTTGTGATAATACCTAGAGGTGCCATCGAAAAGATGAAGATGTCCGTCTTGGTCAAGCATTCGCTTAGATATTGTTTCGTCGGCGCTTCCCCAAATAGGGCAATGAGAGGCGCTAAATCTGTAGCCAAATTGTTTGAAAACTCATCCCACCAGCTTCCTACCATTGTAACGGGGAGGTATATTTTCTGTGAAGGGAATTATGCATTGAAGGGGAACCATGTAGCTGTCGGAGTGCTCCTTGTAAAGGATAATTTTCCTGAGACGTTCATGACCTCCTGCACCGAGAAGGACTTTGGTTAAATATATCGCCAAGGATTTAGGAAAGTAGCCTTTGCCAGGGACGAGATGGGTAAATGTCTGCGCCAGGATGCGCACTGCCAGACAAGTCCGTGTTTGAATCATTTGTCTTGTCCCCATTTGCCTCCGTGGTGGGAGCACTGTCGACACTCCAGTAGCTAGTGGAATATAACTGATAAGGGAAGTACCAATCAGAAAAATAAAGGATGAAACGGAAAAGGTACTGTCTTACCTGTAGCTAGGCGTCTAAGCTAACTAGTGTTTTCCGCCCTGCGAGACGGTTAGTACAGCCGTCTGAGTGTGTTACATCGGTGCCTAATTGACTAAATTTAAGTAGGATTTCCTGTGGGCTGCATTACCACTCAATGCTTAATCACCGTCAATAGTTAGAGGGTTACAGGTATCAAAAGACTTATAATTGCTAGTAATAACGTTAAAAGCAACAACTACAGTCATAATCCATTAGTTCTAGGGTTAATGGCCGAGATCTAATATATTTATATACCTCAATAGCGTGAAAAGTTCGAGCATAAACTTCCTTTACATTGGCACTGAGGCCTTAAGGACTCGGTATGTTAAGTGTATTGTAGCATGAAAACAGGTAATTATAATGGGGCCGACGTATTCTCTCCTTGATGCTGAGAATGTGAAAGCTGACAGAAAAATGAGGGCTGGGATATCGTAGACCCTCATCATTGAGCGGGAGGAAAATAAATAACAGGTAGGCATGAGTACTCTCTTAGCGCAAACTTCCCTCGCAAATCTTGTTTGCAAGACCTGCTAAAATTGCATCAATCTCCTGTTCATTCTCCTGTAGTTCGTATCGCTTATCGTTGGATCTGTCAAGATAAGACTCCAGCATTTCCTGCTCAAAATTGTAGGAGTAAAAGGACACATGGCTGCCAACAGCACAAATACCGTAAATGGCCCCCGAATACTCTTGCTCTGCACGCACTACTTTCAGGTAGTCCAACAGCTGGCCGGTAATGTCGTTCCAGGACGATGCACTGATAATGACCACCTTCTTAGAGAAGTCGCCTTGCACGCCATTTCTGATGCTGAGGATATTGATATTTGCACGATTCCTGATCTCCTCTACCAGTGATCGATTCTCCAGCTCTATCCCACACAACCTGTCCTGAGTAAAGTATAGAGGTAGAACATGGGCCCAAAAGTGGTTAATTGGAGTCTCTTGAAAACCGTGTTTCTTGATTTCCGAATAGTAAAATTGAGGAACAGGCTTGCGTAGGTACTTGCATATCATCAACACATGAGTATACAGCAGATTGAAAGGTATCAGCTCACGTATGACATTATTATCAATGGACAAGTAATGCAGCCAGATTTATGTTGTTCGTCTTTCGGTCATCCAAGGCTGCTGTTGTCTGCTGGCGTTGCTTTCGCCAAGAACTCATTATGTAATTCATTAATAAGCGTTTCGCATTATAGTTATCCCGCAGCCGAATCACATGATGGGCCCCGCGCCCCGGCCTGGCCCAGGCCCACCCGCCGCAAGAACCATCCATTAATTCTAACTTCCAAGTACCAACGAAACAGGTGAAATGTGTCCATGACAAGAGCGAGTAGGCCAAAATATCAAGAGTGATAACACCACCACTGCTGGAATATCCATCTTACTCCGTAGGCTGTGGGGAACTTTTCCAAATACCCTTGCCGCCTTAGCAAAGGCTTTAGCCAACCGCAAGAGATTGCCCATCCAGCGCCATCTCATAGCACTCTTCTAATAAACAAACAGAAACTTCTCCACTGTCCATTTTGGCAAGTAAAAGGGAGCAAAGCAGGAATTTTGGGAACGACCTGGAGTCTGTGGTGCCATTTAAGAGCTAATAATTCTGAATTGTTCCTTGCAGGGCTGAGAGCCAGCGGCTAAAAACTTAGAACTTGATGGTAACAATGCTATTGTGTAACAAAGAAAAAGAGGAAAAAAAGAAAGATAAAAGCCACAAATAGAAGACTAAAGGAATATGGGTATAATCTGCATGATATATCTACTTTATCCTCGGACTTTCGTTTCCATAGAATATCTCCTAGAACGAGATTCTCTTGAAAGTGTCCGCTGATAATTTCTTAAAAATGGCAACCTGTAGCAGTATATTTGATCATGTGTGTGCCAAGTATATACTAACTAATCTCCAGTTTATGGGTTAGTTTAGAGCAAGATGGAGGGGAATCAATTGCCAGCATGGACCAACACCTTCGTAAATGGCGCCTGAATTATGGAAATGTTCTAATTTTAACGAATCGTAGGTATAATTGATTTGGGTTGGCTGAGCTTGAGTAACTAACTAAATTGAGTAATGGTATTCTGGAAGTTGACTCCATGGGGTATACCAACGTCTGCCTTGCCGGTATCGTGAATGACATCTGACTGAGGACAGGCATTCACATTTATGCACACCTAGCTGTCATTGAAATTATAACAACTCATCTTAATCCGAGGCTTATTACGTATATAAATGACATGTATACCCCCGAGTTGCTGGAGGCAGGTCATTCTCCTCGACCCTACTGGAGGAGCCTAGCCGTGGTTGCAGCCTTTGCAATACTGTGAACTATGGCTGACGGTTCGATCAAGGTTGAGAATTGCCCCACCTCGGGACGGCCCCACACTACCTAACTTGTTATGACAGTTTGCCCCTCCTGCCACTCAACTTTTTGGTATGTTAGATTTCACAAATGGAATATACGATCACGATCTTTACGTATGAGATATATTAACAAAATGCATGAATGCCCAAATTTAGGCGTTTCCTTGATTTAAGCTGCCGGTCCAAACTCGATGCTGGATTTGGAGTCAACTAGCTCAGACGAAGGGTGCTTCATATGCTGATTATGATGTAGATCTGACAGAGGGTCACACGCTAACTAGTATGAACCTACAAGGAAGGAAAAATGACCATGGAATATTAGAAGGTAGACATACTGTGCAAATTTACGAATCCCTTATCACACATTGCATCTATCTCGTGGTTTAGGCCTCTATAAAAGAATGTCCAGGTTTATAGTCAGCTCCTTCTATTAGGCTTGAAGTGCCGCCATTCCACTTTGAATCTCCGTTCTGTTGCCAGTTAACATCCTTATCGTTCAACGCCCACCATGTTCGACACCACAGCAGCGCATAATGAGCTTGATACCATCCATCAGATCCAAGATGCGCTGGTGGAGCGTCTTAAGCAGGAGCGCACCAAGGGACCACGCGCTATATTGGCAGCCATAGACAATGGCATGACTTACCTTTACAATCTCGCTGTATTTGTGCATGCAAATTTCAATTCACAGGTGGGAGATATCGGGCCCACGCCTCCAAGCAAAGCCCTCTTCCAAAATGTGAGAGCAAGTTTTCAGCAGGTCCAACAAACAACGGCGGGGACCCTGGATGATTTATCTCGTATTCAAGCCGAGGTAGGCGGACTGTGATCCTGTCATAAAGAACCTCTCGTGGCGACTGACCTTCAAAGAGTATCGACCTAAGCTCTACTCGGGTTGCGAAATTACTGGCAAAAGTTCAGGAAGCCCAAAAGTCCACCGAAACAACGCTCAAAGACCTTGGTGAAAGGATTGCGGAGGCGTCGCAACAGGAGCAAACCTGGATTGAACAGGTAAAGAAAAACGAAGAGCTGCTAAAAACTGCCGAAGAAAAGCTCAGAAACGACGAGGAAGCGCAAAGAGACACTAATATTGGGGTATGTGGCATGGCTTAGCATTCCGTCTACCTGTTGTCTTTCACTCTAGTTACTGATCATGATGTTATTAAAGCTTAGTATCCTCATACCATTTTGGGGATTAGCTGGCTTGATTGACCATAGAGCAGCACCAGGAAATGTCCTACTCTCCTCTGCAGTTGGCGCCCAGAGGCAAGCACTACAAGATGCGAATAATTCATTGATGTCTACGAGAAACTACCTAATCCAAACGAAGAAAGAAGAAGCGGATTACGTGAACGAAAGAAACCAGCTGGATGTGCTTACGGAACAGCTTCAAAACTTGACATCCGCTATTGCTATGACCGCAGGCAACATCAATGACATGGTTAAGGCTACCGGACAGTTGAAGGAAAACGCCATTCGCATGGTGCAACTGGGGAACAAAATGTACAACGACGCAACTATTGCGTCAGGAGATGCGTTCTTCCGGGATGAATTTGTTAACCCAATACTGGACCTCTGCTCTTTGGTAGTGATCGAGTTCAATGCCGCGCCTAAGATTGAGACGATCCTTGACGAGTTGAAACAGGCCTACGGTAACGCCCCTATTCCCCAACCTATCAATCAGAAATTCGAGGACATTAGGGCACGCATCAAGCGGTTTCTTCCCAAACAACTGCCCTCTCTATAGTAACTAGGATAGAGTTATTATTAAGTAAATATCAAATTGAACTTCTTGACGTGTTCCATTTAGCCTACTTACCTTGGATCAAGACGAGTATCCCGTTTCCCCGCTCGCAGTCGCATTAGCCTTAGAAATTACTCCATGAGCTGTTTATTACCAGAGGCTGTTGGGCCAGATAAACCTTGCCCGGTGGGCCTAGTCTTGAATGCAGGAAGATGAAGGCATGAAGCGGGGTTTCCTCGGGTTGAATGCACCCAGGGGTATTTTGAACTTGGTTCATTGCCAGCAACCTTGGATGGGCACTCGTACGCATCCACGAAGCCAAAGCCCTGCCAGCCAGCAAGAACTTTGACTCCAAGATTATGCTGCAGAAACACGATCTCAACGTGGCATCCGCTAAAGACTTTGAAAGCAATTTCATGAGGGGTTATGACGCAGGCAAGCCCATGCAGTTCAACCTCCAACTTTTTTGAGCAATGCATCTCAACAACAGGGGGCTTAATATCCCTTTCCAAACTTCTCGGCTCTGCAGGGTGGGTAACATCCCAATTTTGAGTCCTATTTCCAGGTGGATATCGAACGTAAGGCGATGATTCACTTCCCCAGATGGTAAGTGACCTATCACGATATGCAGAGCGATAACAATGCTCAACTCTGCCTAGGGTATCCCAGAAATACTTACCCCTCAGCGTAATATTAAAGGACTCTGCCGTTCGCCTGGTGTTAGAACTTTCAACAACTGCAACGTAGGAAATTTCGTTAAATACCCATTGCGTTATATGAACGTTACTATTCAAAATGGCAGACGACCGAGAACAAGTTACCAATGCTGTCCAAATTCAAAAAAAGATGGACTATGGCTCGGGGCCGGGAGACCTTCCTGGTATGGCTGACATAGCCGTCGCCCAAATCAAGGCCTCAGCTATGTTCGCGCACCCATGGCAGCAGCTTCTGGGTTCCGCTCCCGTTGCTATCAACTCTACCGGACTGGCATTCGTCGCTGCAACGTCCGACACCGCAGCTACCATAGATCTTGACCCCCCTCAAGGCGGGTTTAAATATCTCCAGTAAGCAATATCCTGAAGCATAGGGAACTGCACAAGCTGATCATCTGCTCTCTAGCTATAAATCCCTCCGCGCCAATCTTACCGAATGTGGTGACATGGGCACAAGGGCCTTCCTGGCGGCTGATGGTGGAATGCTGTATATCCACAGTGTTGCTTCCATGATCCCCGATAGGGTATGCCGTTGCCTGTTCTATAGTTTGGATATATATATTGGCTAATGTGCTATTTAGGTCAATAGTATCATGGAAATCATAATCGATCCCATGAGCGCTCAGAGAATGCTCAAAGGGGCCCTCCTTAGCATTAAAAAGAGCGCTGACGACTGCTATGACAGGGCCAAAACGATTGATAAAGGGTTTAATGACTGGATGCTGTACGCAACAGAGCTGTATGCTTGCTGCGTGGAGAAGGAATCATCTGCCGAGGAGCAGTTGGCGAAAACAAAGCTTCAAATGCTCGCAGCGCAAAACATTTTAAAAGCTGACGAAATCAATGTCAAGAACCAGAAAGACGCGACAAGAATATTCAAGAAGCAGCTCCAGATAGCGTCAAACGTATATAAGAAAGCTTCGGATAGCTTCCCCAGTGGGTGAGTCTGACAATCTCATATACACCTACCATAAATCCTAGGATTCCCATCCTTTATCAACGGGTTAAGCAAATGCATCGTCTTGTGGTGTAAACACCGCCACCGTTTCCAATCCCCTGTCTGGATCTAAGCATCTCCATGCTTATCCACATTCAAAAGGAAGGGTGTCCTTTTACCCTGTCTGTTGATATAAGAGGAAATTCAAGGTTTATGGTAGGCTGCCAGAAGAGCATAGCAAAAAGCTGACACAATTCAACAAAATAGGTGGGACCTTGTGGGCCAGGAAATAGTTGGTAAGCTTGGAGATACCCTCGTCACTGCTCTGGGTCAGTTGGCCACGGCATACACGGAGAACATGAACTATACTGCTCGAGCAGAGGAGGCAGAAAAGCTCTTCAAAGACTTCAATAAGAAAGGAAACGACGGAAGTGGGAACGGGAATCCTCCTCTCCCAACCCCTGAACCAAAAGCAAAAGCTCCTTTGCCTCAGAATAGCACGGACCCTGCATATGTGCAAATTAAGCCGACTATCGTTTATCTGAGAGTGTTATATTCCATCCTATTTAAAGGGAATGGTGGTGGTATCAACTGGGATGAGGTTTCCACAACTACTGGCTCTGGATCCAAGTCACTCTTATACACTCTGCAGATGCTCAAGAATGCTCGCGATCAATTCATCGAAGTGACGACTGACAAGGACCCAAGCGTCAAATTCAAGCAAGTCCTTCAAACTTCTATTCAGGTGAGAGTTAAACGGAGATCAAGCTTGTCACACCATCGTTCACTGGCTAACAACAGGCGGCCATATTAGATCGCTACCGAGGTTTACAATCTCGGTGGGAAGGGTAGTATGAACGATCTCCCTGGCCCGGATGATGCGAAGGTCAAGAAGTGGCAGCAAGATTTCAACCCTGTATACATTGACGCAAATGAGCTGTTTGCAGTGTCCAAAGCCCTTCCTGGCTCAACCGGCACCGTATGAATTTCCGCTCTTGTAATCGCGAAAAAAGTTACCTAACTAATCGAGTCGATAGGAGACGGTTATGGCCAATCCCAATAAGCAACAAACTCAGGACCCCCAGATGGCACAAGGCCAGGCGGTACTCGAAGCCGCCAAAGATCGACTGCACACGACCCAGCAAGCCTATATTGCATCATCGAAGGCTTACCAGGAGGCCACGAAAGCTCTCGCCAAAGACCAGAGTGATCTGGCGGCAGCACAGAACAAGCTGTTGCAACTTAACACCGATGAAAAGAATCTTGTACGCCTGCCTGTTACGCGATTTTAGCCTGTCAGATCAATTATTAACACGCAAATTTTAGACAGCCATAAAGACTATCCTTGAGGCATCTATCCGTCTCATCGCCGTTGTCAAAACCAGAGTCATGGACCTGGTTACGTTTTTCAATTCGATCAGTTCGACCATCGAAGTGATTGTTGAGGAGGTGGTGGAGGAGTTTTTGAGAAAAATCCAGGAGAACGTCGCCAACAACGACCCGGATGGCGAATTGGATGACCTTAAGGTTGGCAATTATAACTTCACTGACCTGGCCCGTACTGTAAGTGTGACGTTGTACATTGAACGGAAGAAACAGAATAAAGTGTCTGACAAGAAGATGCTAGCAAATCTACAAGAGCGCCATCTTCATGCGAGCATATTTTGAGATATTCGGCGAGGTGGCAAAGATGTGGTCCGACTTGTCCATCGAAAACATCATGCCAGGCATCCAGCTCCTGGTTGGTATCAGCTCCGGATTCGCGGGACAGTTGGGCAAAGATCCAAAGGAATCCAGAGACAAGGTCATGGAGAGTGTCAAGAAACTTAACAACTGGTTCACAGATGCAAAAGCCAAGATTGAGGACCTCGCCGGAAAAGTAAGTGCCCCTATCCGTGCGCTATGCCTAGCAAATACTCCTAGCATATGGTATCATCAAGAACCCACACTGACCCCCTCTCCAGGAGCAAGAGAAGATTCTCGGCCAGATGGACAGCCGCATTCAACAAGTCGCAGAAGACACCACAAAGTTGCCACCTCCAGAACCGACGACCGCAGAAGCCATCAATACCGGCGCAGCTAAGGTCAAAGATGCAGCAAAGAGTGCAATTGAATTCAATGCGGACAAGAACCCCATGGCTGTTTGGGTAAGGAGGCAGCCCTAGGAGGTTGGAGGTTGGAAGGCTGGACGATCTCTCCTATCTTTTCATTGGTAGTTATTCCTTGGTATGAAGCTGTTGGGCAAGCGAGAAGCTCGTCAATAATTAGTTAAGGGAACTCTTGTGGTTGGTGACCAACATAACTATAACTAGGGCCTCACTTATAGTTGCTCCCACAATCTATGATTCTGGCTGAGGGCAGTTAACTCCCACTTAACCATCATATCGTTCATATTGTAAATGATACTGTAATTAGCGTAAGAGATAATAGATCATACCTGGTAATAACATCAGTCATCGTTAATCGTTGGACCACTTACATGCATTGGTCTGAAGTTTGATTGAGCATGCCAACTGATGTGGTATAGTGCATGCTGATATCCTTCACCTATTCGTGTAGCTACGGATGGGTAAACAGCCATGGTAACTAGGAGCAAGCTCCGTTGTTGAGCCGAAATTGTGGCACTGGTGACGGGAAACACACCCAGCCACCTCACGCAATTGAAAGTTTCCTTCAGTAACTGCTCCATACGGGGTACAAATCAGCCTTATATTCAGGTCAAACTTGTTGGGTTGCCTAGACGTCGGGGTGGTCGGTCGGCTGATAATAAATAACGGCGCAGAATCAACGCCAAGTTGGAATGTATTTCTTGCATAAGATTGTAGGTTGGGAGCGCGGCAACTGGTAGTGCTCGATGGTGAGGTCGACAATACTCAGTTCATTTCACCGAAAACATACTTCCGAACGGCCTACAATCACATCAGCGGAGGAGTAGGTACACTGAGACTCAGTCCTCACCGTACGAAGGACGCCCTGACGTTGCTGCATAGTATAGACCCCTCGATACTGCTCGATGGTTTCGTTGACGACCCGAGTCTTAGTCGTTTGTCCATTGCATATGGCAGTCATCTTTAGCTCCATCTACGCCTGTCATCAGTAGCCCGTGACGGGGATTGGTTAAGAATGTAATCATACCTCCCTGCGTAAAAACGGCTTCATCAAATTAGTCTCAAACCCCATATTCTCGTGACCCTCAACCAAAGCGATCCCCAGCGTCATGGGTATGAACTCGCGAACACCCGTGATAGCGCCGCCACAGCCAGCACCGCTATTCCTACCGCCACGACGAGGGGCTACCGCAATTCTACCTCTATGACCATTTCCGCCTCTCGCTTGAGCGGACAATTCCTCGGACTTTTCTTCGTCATTTCCATGCTGCACCTGCCTTGGCTGAGCTCTGGCCTCGACGTATTGTCGGTCTATAATTGTGACAATATGGTCGGCCATGGTGGCATCGGTGCCGATACCATTCGCGTTCATTAGTGCAAGCAGGTCTGGTTCAGTTAGATATCCAGGTGGTGAGATCTTACCTTCACTGAGCATGGCTTCGGTCGGCTCGAAGACCTCGCCTTCGATGAACGTGGGAAGTTCTTGGTTGCTCCACCGATCGTAAACGTAGACATCGAGATAGTTGTGCTCTAATATGACAAGGCCAGATGCCTGGAATTTTTCCGGCCCATAGAGAATACTAATGTCGGTCTTTGACCCCTGAGCGTCTTTGCTGCAGCATGCCAGGAAGCGCCGGATGATGAACTCATGAACACGCTGTTCTTCATGTGAGAGCGTAGCTGGATTGACGAAATTGACCGGGTGGATAGGTGGATGGGCCTTGTCATTATTATGTCCGTTACGGGGCCACGAAAAGCCTCCTCCTTCGACCAGCGCCGTTGCATAATCAGCCCAGCGGCCACCCTGCGCCTGCTTCTGGACGAGGCCGCGAAGGTCCATACCCCGATCGAACTGATCTGTCTCGGTTCGAGGATAGCTAATCCAACCTTTTTGGTACAATTTTTCTGCAAGCTGCAAAACTTTTTGACTATTCATTCCGAAGAATCTGCTACCGCACTTCTGAAGCTCTAGAGTAGTCAACGGTAAGGGTTTCCACTTGCTCGTTGGCGTGGTTTTGACCTTTTGGACCTGAGCATTCTGCGAATCGAGACACCGCTCATAGAGAATATCAGCTATCGATCTGTCGAAGAGATGTTTACGAGCCCAACTAAAGTTCACCCTTGCTCCAGCTTTTTGATGCATCAGTTTGATGCTCCAGAATGGTTCCGGGATAAAATTTCGAACGCGCCAGTAGCGCTCGGCGATGAAGCCAAGCGTAGGAAACTGGCAGCTCCCGTAGCTGATTAATTGACAGGCTTCTGACAGATTGCCTCGCTGAAGTATGGGGCGAAGGCTAAGAGTGAGGTGCCGGGTGAAGCTTGCGCCCACACGAAGATCAAGCTCGATACGTGAAGCTACTGCGTTGGCTTGCGCTTCGTCGAGATTGACAGGACAATGAACGGCGTGGATGATATGTGTTCTTTCAATGTTGAAGAAATATGCTCTTACTGTGCCGCTAGCACGAACTAGAGCCTGGTTGCTTTGTGCTGCCACCGACCGAATCTCGGTGTCTATATGCTCGCCTTCACGGTCGCAGTCGGTCCAGTTAAAGAGCACGTCAGCCCGGCGAGCGTGTCGCTTGATGTTGTCCGCGATAGGCTCGCTGTCGCTACTAACGAAAACCTCGATGGGAGCGTCAAAAAGCACAGATGGGTCGCATGAAGTCCAGCTCTTGTATCGCGGCTCAAACTCATAGCTGAGGAGGTGGCCGAGCACAGAGGTCATCATGACACTGCAATGACCCCATTGCGGAAAGGTGTAGTCGAATTCGTAGTTCTTCACATACGGATTGCCTTGGATATCATGCTTGCACGTCCATTAGCTCGACTGGCGACTGGCGGATTGCGCGGGTCTGTCCTCACGAACGGTAATCACTTGATCTCCCAAGTGGTTTGCAATTGCTTCTGCAATCGATGGCTTTTCCGCAACGCATTAACACCGTCCTCACCCCCATAGCTGGTCGTGTGTTTTTCAATGTATATACTCCATACTAAGTTACCCCCGAACGACGCTTCTCCGAACTTGCGCAGGCCTAAGGTAAGTAGCTGTATGCGAAAATCATGTTAGCCTATCTGGCAAAAGGCCAGTCAACATGTCTGTAGGCTTTTTGTACTCCGTATGAAGAATAATATTACTGTCTAAGAGTCTCCTGAGTTAAGGAGATAAGAAGATGAAGTTGAAGTTGATATTGGAAGAGAGGCTAATTAGTCACATGATACGGAGTATTCCAATTGATTATAAGGGACAAAGCTGCTAGTGGTAGTGCTCGCTGATTGGTGAACTATTAAGTTAGTCATCACTCCCAAAAAAAAATATGGTGAGTTCTTGAATTCTCCGCCCGTCTATCAGTATCAGTTAGATATGCCACCAGTCGTATGGTTTACAACCGACGCAAATTTGCTTACCATTTCATAAGCTCCGTAGTTAACAATAACAAGAAATATATTCATTATCAAATAAAAAAAAATAAAAAAATAATAAATAAAAAATAAAATAAAATTGACCATTCCTTCAGTTCCTATGTATCTACTACTGACTACATTTGGCATGTCCCTACATCTGGTGGTAACGGGGAGTTGTCTTGAAAAAATATCCGATATAGTTGGCTCCGCGACTTGAGCATCGCTCAGGCTGGGGCTACGAGTATGCAAACCCGACAAATTCTTCATACGCCCTATTCAAATCATCATTGACAATTACCTTATCGAAAAACCCCGGGATATCAACATACCCAAGCTCGACAGTCGCCTGAGCCAACCTCCTTTGAACATCTGCCTCATCCTCTGTCCCACGTTCCCTGAGCCGACACTCCAGCACCTCAAGGCTGGGAGGTCGGATAAACACATACCGGGCATCAATACCGGAGTCAGCCTTTACCTGTTCGACTCCCTTCACAACTATCTCAAGTATAACGACGTATCCTTTGCCCGCTAGATCCGAGATAGTCCGTCTGCTAGTTCCGTAACTCTGGCCGTTGAAAGTGGTGTGTTCCACAAAACCGTTTTGTGAGATGAGAGACGTGAATTGCTCTGGTTGTACGAAGAAGTAGTTTATCCCTTCAACTTCGTTGGCTCGTGGTTTCCGAGTTGTGTGGGACACGCTGGGGGCAAAGACATCTGGAAGAGAAGAGACCAATTTTAGGCAGAGCGTTCCTTTGCCAACTCCGGAGGGTCCGCATATTATGAGTGGCCGACGGTCAGATGGTCGGTCTCCTAGGGCTTTGTTAGGCTGTCTGGTATCACCTAGGTAAGGACCGGAGTGACTTGCCAATAGACATGTTGTTCTGTATAAAGGGAGCCTAGTTCCTCTTGGTGATAGAGTGCGACAGTGCTATCACAGTAGACAGCCAGGACGCGGGATAATAAAATGGTATCGTGTAGTTTGGTGTAGGTTGTGCGTGAGTGACGTCGGAACCAGATGGCAGTCTTCCATGGACAGGCCTTGTCGCCACAGCATCGAGGTAACCAACGTTTTATACATACATGTAGCCATTTACATGTACGTTTATCAGAGCTTGAGGCTACGGACACCAGAGATGCGGTTGACAGAGTCAAGATGCAGCATCTCGAACGGCTCTCCATCATCATTATACGAATCTCCATCCCTGCAAGGGAAAAACTGCAGTTCGCGCCTATGCTCACGTGTCCATAAAAGAAAAAAAAAATCGCACACTCAACTTTTCAGTATAAAAACCTTCATGAACATGAGATAATTTGTAACAGAACCATTTACATCCTCCACTAGCAGCTCCAACATGTAGTACTAGTCTCATCCACGGCCTCGTAGGCCATCAAAATCTACAGAGTACAGGTCCCGGTGGCTCATTAGGCGACAATGGCTCGAGAGCCTCCATCAGCCCGGCTAGCTCAATCGGTAGAGCGTGTGACTCTTATACTCTTATACCAAGTTTATAACGGTTGGCCATCACAAGGCTGCGGGTTCGAGCCCCGCGTTGGGCTTTCTTTTTTGCTCCTTTTTCGTCTGCAGGCAGGCGTCTGGTGGATAGCGCGCGGTTCAGTTCGGATACGGGTTCGGATTGAGGTTCAAGGGTGGAGAAGTCTTTGAAAGAGAAGCAATTTGGTTGGAGGGTCATTCATTGATTCATTTGATTCATTCATTGATTGAGAATTGATTTTTGGTAGAGTCGAGAGGGAGAGGGTCATTTTGATTAAAAGAGATAGGCAAAAGAAGAGACTGGAAAGACAAGGGGTTACAAAAAAAAAAAAAAAAAAAAAAAGAATGAAGAAAAGGGATATCAATTAGTAGAAAGAGAGGAAGATGATCAAATGGCTGACGGCTGATGTGGAGGGGAATGACAGCTTCCAAAGGTTATTTTATCCTATAGCTTGGGATAGTCGGGGAGGTTTAAGGGTCGATAAGTAGTCGGTCGATAGACTGTGTGGCCTGATTCAAGGAGTATCATGGCAAAACAGGGGAGGTGTCAGTTTGAGTAGTAAGGCCGATATGAAGCAAAGAAATGACAGTTAGAATAGAAGAGAAAAGCCGAAGATAAAACGCCGAGGAACACCAAGCAGGAAGCGAAGCGAAATGAGGAAGAGAAGAGACCCCAAGCTAGCCGTTAGTTAAGAATGGAAATGAAATATGAAGTAGAGCCAGGAGTCGAAAGTAACTCCGAAGTGACGAAGGAAAACCGGAAGATGCAAGCGAAAGCAGCCAAAAAAGGCCCAATGGTGTGGTGAACAGATAAGGAATGCATAAGGACATCATACTTCATGCAGGAGGATACGAGGGTTTTTGTGACGGGTTCGGGATGAGTTTTGACGTCGTGATTTGGTGAGAAGGCTGGTTGGGTCGATATGCGCCACGGATAGTAAAAGAGGGAAAGATGGAGGGAGGGAGGCGAGGGCAGGGCCGCCACAAAAAGTGAAGATCATCCCTTGGCTGGGCCAGTTTGCCATATTAATGTTTTTGACGGAAGAACAGAGTATGGCCATGCGGATTTATATAAGCTTGGACGTGATCGACGGGCTCATCAAGGCCATTTGGGCAACAAGAGACGGCCTAAATCGAAACGGTGGGAGATCAATTGGGTTCGTTGAGGAATTGAAGTTGGTTCATCGGAATTCGATGGCAGCACAGCATCCGTAGTTCTCCACAGGCTTGAGCTCAAGCTGTTGGTGTCTATAAGAACCATTAGCATGTTTGTTTTTTTTTTTTTTTCGATTTTCTCATTATTAGGCACTCGATGGATGGGGCGGTGAGACCTACTTTTCGCTCTTCGCATGGAAGTAGATGCCACTAATGGTACCCTGAACCTGGTTGAAGCAGATGTAGTAGAACCCTTCAAAGCTGGCGCCGGAAATGGTCTTGACACGGTGGTCGGGCACAAGGAAGGCTTCCTTCCACCGCATGAAGATGTTCTCCCGCTGAGCATAGTCCTTGAAGGTGAAGTTCGACTGCTTGGCCAGTCGAGAAAGGGGACGCCAGGCTGGGAATCGGGACCAGTGGTGCATATCTGTCTTTTCAGTGGCGCCCCAGTCCTCATGACGAGTTTGGAACGTATGTTTGGTGCCAATTATCTCGCCTTCGAAGAAAGTTGTTAGAGTAGGATGGTCCGGTGTCAGGCCTGTAAAACTGTCAGTAAGATGCTACGCTTGTGCACAGTAATACTGTCAATTGGAGAGGTAAATAATGCCGTACCTTTAATTTTGAGGTATCCGCAGAGATAGGACTCGGACATGTCAACGTTCTTGATCTCCACGTCGACGGTGTAAATCTGCTGCTCAGACTGTTGAGTGCCGGTAAACCTGCTGCCCCCTCTGAAGTACGAGGAGGAGTGGTCTGGCACGAGCTGGCCAAGTAGTCGTGTGTCAGTACATTAGTGTACTCCCACAGGCCGTCCGAAGTATTTGTAAACTCGAGGGAGACGTGACTTACTCTGGCATGAGAGTACTCAAAGCTCATGGAAGTCCGGTGAGTGGCCTGAATGTCGGGGATGGCTGGAGTAGCAGCAGCAGCAGCAGCAGCAGGCTCCCGCTGCTCATCCTTGATCTCAGTGGCAGCAGAGACGCTCGTCGTAGGGGTCATCGGCTCGTCCGTTTCATCGTAGTCGTCGGTTATGGCAGTCGAGTCCGATACAGGAGAACGCACCTCCTCGGCAGTGGCCAGAGACTCGACTATGCCCGAGCCTGCAGCACCGTTGTTTCCTGTTCCTGGGGAGTGCATCGTAGCAGCAGCATCGTTAGAAGTGCTGTCATCACCCGTTGCAGGCACAGGCTCGGGTCCCTGAGACTGCTGTTCCTGCTCACGCCGCTGCGGAGATAAAGCTTCATCGGTTGTCATAGCCGAGTCAGAATCAGGGCGCTCGCCCGCCGTAGTTGGAGGAGACTGCGCCGTCAAAGAGCCATTATCGGCCACGGGGTTGATTCTGCCTTCTGCGGACTCTATCCAGGAGGTTATTCTGTCGCTTTCCGGGGGACAAGTTGGTCGTGTGGGCGCGTTTGAAGTAGCTGAGACTTGCGTATGGGCGCTGATGTCACTGTGGGTTGGCATGGAGACGGCTTTAACGGCAGGACATAGGATCGATTGAGCCGGCAGACGCAGGTAAGGAGCGCAAGCTGAGTAGCAGAGACGCAGCAGCTAGTGACAAAGAGAGAGACGGTCAGTCCGGTTCCTGTGTTGCGGTGTTGCAGCGCTGAAGGAAATGCGAGGCAGAGAGAGAGAGGAAGAAGACAAGTTGTTTGGGCGCGGGAAGGTTTTTTCCCTTTGGCTAGTCAACGCACTTGCAGGGCCAAGCAGGCCGTCGAGTCGAGCAGCGCAGCGCCACTGGAGCGAGCAAAGGGGGTCATGCGATCGCGGGGAAGGGCCAGGATGGCGAGGTCTACGGTGAAGAGCCTATATAAAGCTATACCGACTAGGGGCAGCGAAGCGTATTAAAAGGAGGTTATATGCCAGGGGGTGGAAAAGCGTGAGAAGTACGAGCAGTATTCATTAGCAGCTAAAAGACAGATAGACCAGCCTAACTCCCGATAGATATTCATCACATAGAACAGCAGTAAGTCCTCTCTCTGCGCCCGGCGAATGCTTTTAAATGGGTTTAATCTAGAGGCGCCCGTGGTCAGTGACAGCTCATGGTGGTGATGACGTGGGTTGGCAGCTTCCGGCGGGACAGGGGTGGTTGAAGAGCCAGCCATACCTTGAAGTGGAGGGATATTAGTGAAAAGACGAGTGCCTTGAGGTCCTGTACGAGATAGTAGAAGACTCGCAGGCCCTCAGGATCCGCCGACTCGGTGACATCGACAAGCGAGCCTATCTTTGCTGTCTGCATGTCATGCCTGGTTAGTTTTGCAGTTCGCTAGCACCCCACAGACGAAAGCGGCTCAATGCATGCGAAGAGGAAGAGCGCACCTCGAATGATATGTGTTCATTCCCAAGTCGAATCTCGAGCTCCTGTCGTCCATCTTTGTTTTTCTGCGGCCATTTCGAGTCGTCTTCCCTATTCGATAGTAGATAGAGGGTCAGAGCTGGGCGATTGCAGCAGACAAAAGTAGTCAATGCCCAACATACTTGAGAATCTCGCTCTCTTTGATGATCCGTTTAATCTCCTGTATCAGCAGCGAGCTGACGCACACTGTAATAGACTCTTCTTAGCCCTTCTGCCGCCATCTTTCTAGTCGAGGGGAAGGGGAATGGCAGGTAGTTGTATGACGTACTTTCTTTGCGGATGAGGGAATCATTGCGGTAGTTCGAGTTGTTCGCATAGCGCGCGGAGGCACTGCGGCCGTCTCCAAGAGACTTGAAGTCGAATTCTACCGTCGATCAGCTTGTATTCCCGTCTGTCAACCGCGCTGGCTGTCTCTAATGCTCACCTAGAAACTCATGTCCGAACCGCCCAGAGTGTCCCGAGCTGGCGCCGTCAGCAGGTGGCAGGGAGAACCTGGGCCCCAAGAATAGAATAGTCCTTACTAGTATCGCAGATAGAAGGTCTCGTTGTCGCCCGGCATCTTAAAACTTCTCCTTCTCGTCTTCTCGTCTTATCGATGTGCTTCTTCTTCTTCGTCGTCACCGTCGTCTTCTTCTGCGCAAAAAGTCACAAGTTGAAGGCCATGCTTAGTCATCCACACATTTGGCGGGCCGCGCAAATACTGGCCAGAGTGGACAAGTTGGAGACGACGAAGACGAAGGACACCAAGCAGACAGGACGGCGAGACGAAGAGAAGCAGACCTTTCGACGGTGATTCTCTGATACAGTGCCGATATACTCCAGGACGCCTCTCTCTCCGCGGACTACAAGGCGAGGCATGCGGACGCTACCCTGAGATTCCTGAACACCCTGGACCGCTTCTCAAAACACTACCGCAGACCCCCCTACATACTACACTACACAGAGCTTCCACCGCCAGACGCAGGATAAGGGACAAGAGAACGGCACAATGGCTTCGTATCTGGATCACTCGTACACGCTGGTGCACCAGGACAACTCGGCAGACCAGCCTACGGTCCAGGAACTGAAGACGCAGCTGGAAAAGGGCACAGATGAGACGAAGATGGAGACCATGAGGATCATCCTCATCATGATGCTGAATGGAGACCCGATGCCACAGTTGCTCATGCACATTATCCGCTTCGTCATGCCATCGAAATCGAAACCTCTCAAGAAATTGCTCTATTTCTACTACGAAATCTGCCCTAAACTCGATGCCAACGGCAAGCTTAAGCAGGAGATGATTCTGGTCTGGTAGGTGGCTATGTGCTCGTGAAAGTTGATGACATCTGGCTAATCGAGTACTATAACTGTAGTAATGGAATCCGAAATGATCTGCAGCATCCCAATGAGTACATTCGAGGAAACACACTCCGGTTCTTATGCAAACTCAGAGAGCCAGAACTACTGGAACCGCTGCTCTCGTCTGCACGCCAGTGCCTCCGATACAGACATGCATATGTACGGAAAAACGCAGTCTGGGCAATTGCCTCCATATTCCAGCACTCCGAATCCCTCATTCCGGATGCCGCAGACCTGTTGCTGGCCTTCTTAGAGACGGAGACAGATCCCACTTGCAAACGCAACGCTTTTGCCGCATTGGTCACCATCAGCCATGAGAGTGCCTTGGTATATCTGAGCTCAACTTTTGACAGTATAGCCAATGCGGACGAGCTGCTTCAGTTGGTCGAGCTTGAGTTTATAAGAAAGGATGCTGTGCAGAATACCCAGAATAAGGTAGGATTTAGCATTTTATTGTTTCAGTTGACACTTACATATGGCTAATTCATTATTAATACGGCCAGGCGCGATATCTTCGGTTAATTTTTGATCTTTTGGACGCAAACACTAGCACGGTTGTGTATGAGGCGGCTACCTCCCTTACCGCACTGACGTCAAATCCTGTTGCTGTCAAGGCTGCGGCTGCAAAGTTGATTGAACTATGCATCAAGGAAGCAGACAACAACGTCAAGCTTATTGTGCTAGAGCGTGTCCACCAGCTCATGAAGCGCAACGAGGGTGTTCTCGATGATCTTACTATGGAGATTCTCCGTGTCCTCTCCAGCCCGGACATTGATGTTCGACGCAAGGCCTTGTTCATTGCTCTTGAGATGGTCTCCAGCCGGAATGTCGAGGAGATTGTTCTCTTGCTTAAGAAAGAGCTTGCCAAAACCGTTGATGAACAGTATGAGAAGGTAACGCGGCTAGATTTCCATCATTATTGGCATCGCCAGCATAACTAACGGTTACCTGCAGAATAATGAATATCGACAGCTCCTCATCCAGTCAATCCATCAATGCGCCATCAAGTTCTCCGAGATTGCTGCCAGTGTCGTTGACCTTCTCATGGACTTTATTGCAGACTTCAATAACAATTCTGCTGTCGATGTGATAATCTTCGTCAAGGAGGTCGTCGAAAAGTTCCCTAAACTCAGACCATCCATTGTCGAGCGACTAGTTTCCACTTTGGACGAAGTCCGTGCCGGGAAAGTCTATCGTGGAGTTCTCTGGGTTGTGGGTGAATATTCACTCGAAGCAAACGATATCAGAGAGGCCTGGAAGCGTATACGAGCCAGCTTGGGAGAAATCCCGATTCTCGCCTCAGAGCAACGATTACTTGACGAAGGCCCTGACGCCAGTGCGGCGGGTCAAGACTCTGTAAATGGACATGCCAAGTCGACAACGGGGCCTAAGGTTCTGGCGGATGGTACATACGCACAGGAGTCCGCTCTAACCAGTGAATCCGCCGCCGCCGCCAAGTTAGCGGCCGTCAAGGCAGCGCAGAAGCCGCCGCTCAGACAGCTCATTCTAGATGGAGATTACTACCTCGCAACCGTCCTCTCATCGACACTGACAAAGCTTGTTATGCGCCATTCGGAGCTTTCACAAGACGTTGCCCGGACTAACGCCTTGCGCGCCGAAGCCATGCTAATCATGATTTCTATCATCCGCGTTGGCCAGTCGCAATTCGCCAAGGCGTCTATCGATGAAGATTCCGTCGACAGAATCATGTCATGCGTCCGATCATTGGCCGAATCTGCTCAGCGGAAGGAGCTTGAGTCTATTTTCTTGGAAGACACTAGACAGGCCTTCCGTGCCATGGTTCAGGTGGATGAGAAGAAACGTGCTGCTAAGGAGGCCGTTGAAAAGGCTAAGACAGCCGTCCAGGTGGACGATGCCATACCCATTCGACAACTGGCAAAGAAGTCTGAGGAGGGAGCAGAGGAGATCGAGCTGGATCTTGCCAAAGCCACCGGTGGCAACTCAACACTGGAAGACCTCACCTCCAAACTCAGCAGAGTGGTGCAGCTTACGGGATACTCCGATGCCGTTTACGCAGAAGCATATGTCAAGGTCCACCAATTCGACATTGTCCTTGACGTGCTTCTAGTCAACCAAACCACCGAAACCCTTCAGAACCTCTCCGTCGAATTCGCTACGCTCGGTGATCTCAAGGTCGTTGAGCGACCTACCACCCAAAACCTCGGGCCACACGATTTCCTAAATGTCCAAGCTACCATCAAGGTTTCCTCGACTGACACTGGCGTGATATTCGGCAACGTGATATACGATGGCTCAAATTCCACCGAGACCCATGTAGTCATTCTGAACGACATCAAAGCTGACATCATGGACTACATACAGCCCGCTCACTGCACTGAAACACAGTTCCGAACGATGTGGACCGAGTTTGAATGGGAGAACAAGGTTAACATCCACTCCAAGGCCAAGAGTCTGAGAGCCTTCCTCCAGCAACTCATGGACCGAACAAACATGAGTTGTCTTACCCCTGAAGCTTCCCTAGAGGGAGACTGCCAATTTTTAAGTGCGAATCTCTACGCAAGGAGCGTCTTCGGTAAGTTTCTTCCCCATATCTTCCCATCCCACGCCACTTCGCATCATTGCATGTATCCCACGCCACGCTACTTCTGTGCATCCACTCCGTCGGCCCCTCAAGAACCAAAGATTGAGCTAACCTTCTTCCGTAGGCGAGGACGCTCTTGCAAACCTGAGCATTGAGAAAGAAGGTGACGATGGCCCGATCACAGGCTTCATGCGGATAAGAAGTCGATCTCAAGGGTTGGCGCTTAGTTTGGGTTCTCTCAAGGGCATAAAGGCTAACTCCGTTTAATCGTCCATGATAATCTGTTTTGTTCATTTTGATGTTAATGAAAAATGGTAGATATTCTATTCTTCCTAGCCATGGGGGCCCTTTATTCCTGCCCGTTTACTCTGCTCCTCTGTTTCCGCTCTACTTGTTCCTGTGAATGGTAATGAATTTTGTCTCTTCTTCATCTTCTTCCTCTTCTCCTTCTACTCTGCCTAACTTCCTTGTGTCTCCTCCCATAACGCAATCTATGAGTCCACTAAAAATAGGCTAAAGTTAGACTGGAATTTACGTAACACAAGGCAAAATGTTTTTGGCCTCTTCGTGCCCCAGTCCAAAACAAAATTAGCAGCCAACCGAGTTGCTCGAGGACCTTGCAGATAAGAGGCAATGGAGGGCGAAAAAGGATCTTCCATGATTGGTTTCATTCGTTATTGTACAAGTGTCATTATAGATCGCTTAAGGCGATCGGAAATTCTGTCAGTATCTAAGTCTGGCAGGGTAGAAAACTACTATAGTAGTGATTAAAAAGAAACTCGTTAATGGACATCGAAAACCGTAAGTAAATTTTTGAACCTCACTTCTCCCTATCTCCAACCAGTGTTTGCACAGACACTTCTATGTAGATGCTCCGTTCCCTTAAACCCCTTAAAAACCGCGATCGACAACAGGCTCCGGGCTGTCCATGGCGGAACCGTCCATGGGCACCAACCCCACATCGTACCCATCGCTCGCCACGTGGAAATCCATATTTTAAAAAAACCTGTCTTAGAAGCACACCCAAGACGGACGAGGTTCTTGTTTCCTTTCTCCCGAGTCATGCTAGCGACGAGGGAATGGCTTGTAACGACTTGTTTGAGGGGATGGAGTAGGGATTAGCACGGTTGCTGGAACCGGCGGGTGCCATTTCGTAGCTAACCTCGAATTCGGTGCGATGGATAATTTCTTCTCGCGAGTCACTTTCGTTCAGAATCCTGGTCTTTCGGACTTCGGCCGGAGTAGGGGCGACAACAGATGCAGTGTGACCGTGTGGATGATAGGTAGAGGGTCGTGATCGAGCAGAAAAAAGGGACTTGTAGGAAGCAAAGCAGGATACCATCACTGCGATGGTTGCTTCCATTGAGCTCCAGAACAGGAGCCATGACGGAGGTGATAGTTTAGTTTTACCATCGGTTTCAATGGTGCGGAGGATGGATATGATGACGACTGCGAGTCCGAGGAGAAACAGGACGATCAATCCTGTCTTCTGGGGCATGGGGAGAGATGATTTGAGGACAAAGGCAACAGGGAGAGACACAACTGTTACCATTTCTAGTTAGCGGAACTCGTATGAACTCGTACACATATGACATGTGCATGCTGTCACTTACTCAGAACGTCTGTTAGCACATCAAAAACTGTGCTGACGTAGATATCGATGGCAGCTAACTTTATCTGCCTTGGGGAGATACAACCAACTAGGATACAAGTTAATGGGAGCACTAATATAGCTGCTATACAGATGAACTCACGGGCAGAAAAATCTGAACACGCAACTGGAGGGAGAATCATAGAGAGGGCAAATCCAATAACCGTGACAACGATAATCCCCAGCCATGCGCGGCGGAACTTGGGCAAACTGCGGAATAATCTCCAGAGCAGGGCAAGTAAACTGGCCTTAACGAGGTATATGCATATGCGGAAGAGAAAGTTGCTGGAGAGAACGAGTTTTACTAGGCGATCAATTTTCCCAAGGATATCTGGTTGCATGAATCCATGGTTATCCGTAAAGAGATCGAGCAGTAAGTAAATCGTCGGCGCGGCTAGGGTAGCGAGAATATTGTGGCACAGTAAGAAGATATATGCAAGGCCGGCAAGTATATCGTCCCAGAAGAGCTGTCTATGGACACGGAGCCTGATCGCAAAACGGCTTATGAGTAGTAACGTGGTAACGGCAAAAAGAGTCCAGACAGATATCTGCAAAAAGAAAGCCTTTTAGTCCATTGCTCTTAGTAGATGGAAAGTACAACTCGCTAAACATACCAGCAATCCATTGCGACCAATCTTGCGCGCCAGTATCACCTCGTCTATGTGCACGGCGAGGGGAAGGCGGGTTGGTAGGTTCCAAGAAACTTCCATGCTCGCAGGTCTTCTTCAAGGGACATGCCCAGCGACGAAGGAGTTCTCTGAACGAGTCAGGCAAGCACTCGAAATGCCAGGAGTAGATATTTATGCAGGACCGAGATGCAAGAGTTTTTGGGGAACCCGGTCAATATAACTGGTCAACCGACTTAAACTAGTACCACTGTGCTCCAACCATGGCGTGTGTTCTGGCGGGCTTCGGCAACCACCTTCAGATCAAGGTAATTAAAATGGGCCAACCCTTGCGTGCCAGGCACAGGGATGGGGCATGATGCAGGTCCCATACCGCAGTGCGAATCATCTTGAATCTCGATTTCCAGGGGCTAGGCGCAAGGGTAACGTATCCACTGGCCACAGTTACAGAACGAACCGTCCTTCTATCACCCTTTTGCTGTCTAGATTCTCGCTGCGGTTGGCCATCCCAAACGGTGGGGAGCTCGATTAGGTCATTGTCCGAGAGGGAGCGGCTTGCCACGAGCCGACACGAAGGCCTTGGTGTCAGCGGGCTTTGGATCTCTGTGGGCGGGGGATGGGTAGCTAGACTCTTTGTCCGTCGCTAGCGAATGCTCTCTAGCTTTCTTTGGAAAAGCCCCGGAGTACGGAGTACTCCGTTTATATACTAAGTTACATCCACAGTGGCGGCAAACGGTAGCCTCTCGAAAACGTCTGGTGGGTATCATCACATCACCAAAAAAAAAAAAATTCATCGCTAAAAAAGAGATGTTCTCCATATAGCCGATCTAGCTATATGGATCAGTCTTACCGCCGCCCGCAGTCTCCATTGCTATTCTGTCCTGTCCACGGTTTTGTCGACGTTGATGTCGTCTTTTGCGAAGTCAATGAATTCGGATTTCCGTCGGCGTTCAATCTAAGTTATCCACGTGATACAAAGTTTCCTCTCTCCTGGTAACTAATCTTATGTAATCAACTATATACTCTTCCAACGACTACACTTCAACCTTATCCGTATCAAATTTTTAAGAGCATTATCTACGAGATGGTATGTATTCTCTTTCCCCTTATCATTTGACAACTTGGAGTGTGGCGCATAAGTGATTGAAACCTTGGATGCGTCCAGATGTACTCCCCATAACTAACTAGTTACTCGAGCAAAAAAACGCAGGCAGGCGACAAAGCCAGGGCGATGAATGCTAACAGGATGTCCCCCCAGCCAAGACCCTGCCTCTTGAACAGAGACAGTCCGGCAAGCGGCAGAACTGCCCCAGATGAAGATCTTTCGACTGATTTAGTTGCAAGTGCCCTGGCTGCGTAGATATCAAATGTATCAATGAGATAATGTTCCTCCACCAAGCGTCAGGGGAGGACGGGCTGAGATCCCTTACATTAAACAGAAAAGATAACCATTAAGACATTAGCTCTCACAGCGCAAGCAATTGAAAGAGAAAAAATGAGAAAGAAAATATTCAAGAGTTATGATGAACAGCCGGCCATAGAGCTCACTAAGTGGTGCTAGAAACAAGGGGCCAACACAGAAGCCGAGAATATAGACTGAATCGGCAAAAGAAGCCAGTGAAGTATAAGCATCCTCAAACTCCTTTAGAAGCGCCGGAAAACCAGGCGCGGGAGTAGTTGACCCATAAGAACTGTAGATATATATTTCGTTGTGTATATATTGACTGTCGTGGCCAAGTAGATCAATTACAAGGAGTCTTACGTGACAAACATAATGTACGCTACACGCTTGACTTCTAACAACATCCCTACAGGCATTGCCTTGTGAAAGTGTGGTGATGAATAGCTAGCCGTGGTCAACACCGATTAAATGCTGTGTTTAGCTCATATGACATGGCTCCCTTTCCGGGATAACGACAGCGTAAAGGACGGAGACATCGTCAAGGTGGTGAACTAGTTGACCGGAGTACAAATACGCTGTCACTATTGAGATACCCAACTTTTATATCTAAATATCAATTGCTTAGTGGAGGCTGTGAGAGATTCCGGTCTCCCTAACCCGCAAGCTAACCAAATGTTGGACGCGACATCGTCCAACAACTTTTGGCCGGGGCTCCCGGAGAGCGGGAAGACGTGTTGCGACATGGTAAAGAGTACACGCGTGATGTTGTGAATCAGGATGCGGTCCCCTACTAACCCCCCCCCCCCCCCCCCCCCCCAACAACGCGGATTATAGGTGATGATAGGCTCCCATGTCGAAGAGGAACGGCGTAAGTCATTTAGCAGAGCGAAAGAGGCTAGATTCCTGATTCTAATACTCCTTTTTTTCCCAGATGGAATAGTCATTCTGCATGGCTCCAAGGTGATCGTCTCAGTCCTCCATTTGGAATTATCCCATGTCAGCTCTTAACACATATAACTATCGTCTTGGTGGTTGTATTCGTGAAGCGCCAACATTCTCTTGACGACCACGCCCTTTACTCAATTCCAACCAAGTCTCATTGCTGACTCCTATCTCCTGTTTTGTTAGAAGCATTCGTTCTATGGCTTATCTACCAGAGAAATGCGTTTGAACACAGAGTACAGAATGCTTGGATCGGACTACGAGTTGTTCACAGTTCTTAACTGGAGGCTCAACAGCATGGCCAAGCTACAGGGGACCCTGTTCGGATTATCCATAGCCTGTCCAACGGTCAGGTTTAACGTCAAAAAAGCCATTTTTATCAATCAGGATATAGAGATAACGCCGTCCCTTGATAACCCCCGTGGTTTCATATCGACCCAGTCAGCAATTGAACATGTCGCTAGCATTCCTTAGGTTGCCTCATCGAAGGATGAAATATGTTATATCAAATGCCACAGGAGCAAGAAGACGCGTAAGACCTGTCTACAACCCTCAACGCTTCGTGTTCAATTTATTTGCGTCCAACCAAAAAGTGAAAAATGGGCGAAAGGAAGAAGCCATCATGTGACTGGCAACGTCTTCACTCTTTCCAATCAGAAAATGGGGAGGAAAAGACGAAAAGAAAACAACAAAGCCGAAGTTTTCGTCAAAGGGTCTTCAGGCACAGCTTGATTCTTTTCATATTTTATACCGGCAACAGATCTGGTCGCATAGGATGCACGGTGCGGTCATCGCTGGACACGTAGAATCTTGCATGCGCAGTGACTCTCAACCTCGGCAGATCATTCGAAACGCCTGCTGACGATCGCATCGTGACACACACACCTCGTCCTGTCGCCCGGAATCCTGCCCTCCAACGTATATATACACGACTTTACGGAGTCGCTGCTGGCTTGCGAGAAGGTCGGAGCAGCCATTGATAGTCGTGGAAAGCACTGCGGGCCCCCTTTACCACGTCTCCTCCGCTCTTTTATCTCCGTGGGACGCTTCGGCAATGCGCCTAGCTGGACTTCGCAGAGCTTAAGTTATGACTTTCGGCCGCTTTTTTTCAGACTCAAGAGATGCCGGGAGGGACGAAGATGCTGAGATGCAAGCTCCTCAGGACGAAGCATTGGTCCTACCGGTCGGGGTGAATGCGTTGTTGACATTGACCGCGGACTCGCTCATTATTCAAGGTAAGGATATCCCTGGCTACCACTCCTCTTGTCTCTTTTTATTTTGCCATATACATTGCCATATACGCTATATATTCTTGAAATCTATCAGTTAATAACTTACGCCACTGCCTCGTTGCAGACGATAGCCATAATAATAAATCTAGTCGAAGTTGCTGCGGCGCGATAACTGCTCCACGTATGAATTTGAACACCCTACTGTGATGGTGAGCGGTTTGCTTCTCCGGAAAGAGTCTGACTCCTTATCATCATTCTAGGCGTTGCGCGGGTGACACGATCTATCCCTTTCTTCAATATCCTTTGGGCGGAAATATCGAACAACCATATCAATATTAATTACGCCAACCCACGGAGTAAGCTAGATGTCGGCCTGGCCACGGTTTGTTACAGCATCGAACGCACGCAGCTATCGAGAGCGGAAACATGGGCTGCCTCGCTCTTGGATTTGGCATACGGAGAAGCACAGAAGAAGAAACGGATAAAGGTGCTGGTGAATCCCTTTGGCGGGAAAGGAAATGCGTCCAAGATCTACTACAGGGAAGTCGAGCCGATATTCGAAGCTGCCAACTGTGTTATCGAGACCCAGGTCACCGAGTACTCTGGTCATGCCATTGAAATTGCCGAGAAGATCGATGTAGACGCATGGGACGTGATTGCGGCTGCTTCCGGAGACGGGTTGATCTTCGAGATTTTCAACGGTCTAGGCAAAAAGGAGAACGCCGGAGAGGCCCTTGCGAAGCTGGCCGTTGCACACATTCCCTGCGGCTCTGGCAATGCCATGAGCAGGAACCTCAACGGCACGGCAGGGCCAAGCATGGCTGCTCTTTGCATCATAAAGGGTCTACGCACTCCCATTGACCTTGTATCGATCAGCCACGGGCAGCGTCGAACCATCTCTTTCCTCTCCCAAGCATTCGGCATCGTAGCAGACTCTGACCTCGGCACAGACAATCTGAGGTGGATGGGCCCTGCTCGTTTCACCATCGGCTTCTTGATAAGGTTGTTCGGCAACACGGTATATCCATGCGATGTGGCGCTCAAGGTTGAAATCGACGACAAGAAACGCATCAAAGAGCATTATCATGCCGTTGTGCAGAACAAATCAAACGCAGAGCCACGCGAAGAGATCCCAGAATCAGGAGGCCTGCCACCCTTAAAATATGGTCTTGCAACAGACCCCATCCCGGACGATTGGATGAGAATCTCTCATGATAAGCTCGGTAACTTCTATTCAGGGAACATGGCGTTCATGTCTCAGGACGCAAACTTCTTCCCTGCCTCGCTTCCAAACGATGGTTTCTTAGACGTCATTATGATCAGAGGAGATATCAGCCGATTAACTGCCGTCCAGATGCTGGGTTCCTTGGAAGATGGAGAGCTCTTCGACTTGCCCGATGTGCACGCGCTAAAAATATCAGCCTTTAGGATCACTCCCAGGAACCCAGAAGATGGCTATATCAGCATTGACGGCGAGCAGATCCCCTACGAACCATTCCAGGCTGAGGTTCATAAGGGTCTCGGCACAGTCATCTCCCGGTCAGGCTTCAAGTATGAAACTGGGAAGGGATCTTAAAGCACTTGTTATGCCATGATATGCGTCCTCTCCTGGTTGTCCGTTTTGGATCACTCGTGTCCGTCTCTCATACCTACCATCATTACCCAACCCCGAACGCTCAGTTGTATTTATAAACCTACTCTCCCCATACCCCGGGCTTACATAGCTCAAAGTCTGTGTCCGGGCGCGCTCCTCTCTCGTTTAACCTTTTTTTGCGTTGTTAGACCTGGCGTTACGGTAAGGGACCGAATTGCCATGGCAGTATATACCTATATCCCTTGCCACACGGGCTGTGAATACAATCAAGTGGAAGTTGTCTTGGTCCATCCAGGATCCTCTCAGTGTACTTTTTTTTGGTTTTGTCTGCAGTATTATACGGTAGTTGAGAGGTAGTTATTGAATACATTGAATAGTCTCTTCTGTTTCGAATGAGTAATCGGTCCACATGGCAGATATTTGATACCTCTTGATTATAATTTGATAAAAACTCCCGGAATGCCCCATTTCATAACCTCTACCCAAACCTATATTATTAGCCCACCATTTTGACGTTGGAAAAAACCCACTAAGTAGGTAGCTAGAATTTGAGAATTTTCCATCAGACTTGTAGTTGATACGCCGCAAACACCAGGTGACTGTATATACCGCATACTATCTACACGAAAAAGCGAATACACACAACCGAATAAAATGGATAATTAAAACATTTGGACAGGGAGGAGAACTGTTCGGCCCGCCAAAAAGGAGAAAAAAGAAAAGAAGAATGATCCTATTTACTTTGCTTGAGAAGAAAAAACATGGCCAGGAAGGAAAAAGGGAGGGGACTCAGTTTACTACGCCAATAATATGGGGATGGGAACAGCGAGGTGTCTTGCATATGCTTGCTAACGGGGGGGGGAGAAATGCAGTAGAGATAAGATGCCGGCCCAGCCACCTTCGGCCTGAGGGAGGATCGGACAAAGGGACATGAAGGGACTGGAGAGATAGAGAATCGTGGATGAGATATGCGATGCGTATATGTATGGAAAGAAAATATTGGATAAAGACATTGGAAAAAGGACAAGGACAATTATAGGAAAAAGGAAGAGACAGAAAGGAACATGAGACGGACGTCAGGCGTTAACTTGATAGTTGCTTGGTTGAAATTATAGAACACAATATTAAGGCCTTTAATGGCGGTATGGGGATAGGGGGCACAAAGTAGGAGATTAGACGCGATTAACATATAAGACATAGACAGGGAAGAAGGGGGGGGGAGGCAAGGCAGCAGGTAAAGACAAAAAGAACAAAAGGCCCACTAGTGATTGAGATATGGTCTCAAAATATTAAACAGGGAAAATAATAGGGGGAAGACGCGGATAAGAAGGGGTAGCATAGCGCAGTCCTGCGTACGCGCTGGTGAACAGTCGGGCGTAGACAGATATTGAAGTAAGTGTGTGTGCGCGCGCATAAGGAGGCTGGATATTATAGCCTGAGATTATCTAGGATTTTCTTTGCCATTTCCCGGTATTGCCACATCCCTCCGGATACTTTCTTGAATTGGATACCATGCAGAGAGAATAGGGGAACTTTGACAATGACGATCTCAAAGCGCAGGACCAGGTTCGCGCCGGTATCAGTTTGGACTTTGGTCGTGGTCTCGCCTACCACGCGTTCTCCGCCGGCAGTGCTGTCACGGGGAGCAACGTATTCATCTGATCCCTCAGAGTTGGTGATGAAGCTTTGATCAGGGGGCCGTTGGGTGCTACGACGTGACGCCTTGGTGGATGGGGGCAATGGTCTGTGGTCTTGCGACTCTTCGCCTGTGGCATGAGCTCGGAGTCCGGCAAAGCTGATGCGGCGGCGATGGCCTGAAACAGGGCCTTGTCTCTCTGGGCTTGGGGGGTTGGTGTCGACAACGCGGTTGAGGTCAATGCTCGGGGCGTGACGGCAGCTGAAACCACCTTTGATCTCAACGTATTCGACCCCCAACTGTTTGAGAACACGAATGATGTCGGAACGGATGAATTGTAGAGGTTTGCTGCTGGTTGTAGAGACGCTGAATAAGCCCTTTAGGTAGACGGGCTTTGACAGATCTTCTCCAGTGCCTGCCACGGCGTTTGGGCCTTCAAGAAGCTCGTTGTCAGTCTCCTCGGGGACTTGGGCTTCCCTTGCTTCCTCGCGTCGAGAGCGGCGGACCTGGACGCTCTCGTGTCTCGCATGGCCCAGAGATTTGGTCCTAGATTGGGGAGGATAGGTATGCTTGGTCTCTGCAGGCTGTTCGCTGCCGGCCTTGGTCCGTTGGACGTGTAGGTTAGATTGTTCTGAGCCGGTTGCCAGTTCGTTTGGCGGAGAAGAAAGATAGCCCGAGGGCCCTCTCCTGTTGTTCCTTCGGATGCGGTTTTCTCCCGAGTTGACGCTGGTTGACCTTGCAAGGAAATTGTTGGCTCGGGAAGGGGAGAGTCCCGAATTTGAACCATGAGGAATATCGGGGTACTGGGAATGGCTCCCACTGGGGTGTAGGTTGCCTGGGGCTGCCTCTCCACGTCTTGACCTCCGGACGCTGAAGCTCTTTCTGGGCGCAAGAAGGTCCTCGGCAAAGTGGGCGTGGGCAGACGGGGCTTGGTGGGCTGGGTACTTCTCTCTCTCCATTTCACGGCCTCTGTCCTTGGTTCGTCTGGTGCTGAAACGTCTCAACAGGCCAGCGGCGGCACTCTCCTTCTTTGGCGGTGCAGCTTCAGCCGGAGTTATGATGGTGGGAGATGCTGCGTGGTGGACAGGTGGTTTAGACACCGCCAGGTTCTTGACACCTTCAGCGATATCATCGTCTCCGTGTGTCCTGGCACGCGGACGAGATCTTCCACCGGTATCCTTCTCTCCGGGGACTTCAAAGGCGTTTTGGTTAGTATAGGCAGCTTCAGGCATGGGGAGATCTAGCTGCTTGAGCGAAGGGTCCACGGGTCCAGGAACGCCGCCAGGGTGAAGTTGGGGATTTTCTCTATCTTGCTTCTCTCTGACAAGATTATACACTGAGATGAGCGGATGGAAACCGCAGGTAGGGTCACCAAATGAATGCATGGCTTCAAACGAAGGGGTAATGGTCAGGTTATCTTTGCTCATTGAATTGCGGCGTTTATAGAAGTCAAAGACGCCTCGTCGCTTCTCGTTTGCAGCGTTTAGGCTTTGCTGCTGTTCTTTGGCACTGCTTCGGATAGCGAGTTGGTATTCATCAGACTCGATAATCTTGGTGAGTTGAGAGGAGATAAATTCGGGGGGACCAAAGTCGAATCCAGTCATCTTCTTGACCACCTCTTGGTCTAGTGGGAGCTTTAGAGGCTCGCGTTGTGGGAGATAGTTTTCAGGTACACCGCTGTACCCTTTGGTCATCCAAGGATGCTGCATGATTTCAGCTAAACTGGCTCTCTGCTTTGGGTCAGTGACTAGCATGCGGGAGATGATGTTACGGCAGTCTACCAAACGGGTCAGCATACGAGCAAGGTAGAAAGATATAAAAAAAAAAAAAAAAAAAAAAAGGGTTGACTAACCTGAAGAAAGGCCGGGAGGGTACTCGACGACGCCCTTCTTGATCTTAGCATGCAGCTGGGGCATGCTCTGGTCGTCAAAGGGGACCTTGCCGCAGACGAGAACGTAGAGGACGATACCGAAGCTCCAGACGTCGACTTCTGGTCCGGTATATTGACGAGCCTGGAGCAACTCTGGAGCAGCAAAGTAGAGACTGCCGCAGAAGGTCTTGAGCTGGCCCTTGGGGGAGAACAGATTGCTGAGGCCAAAGTCAATGATTTTGATATCACCGGTCTTGCTGATAAGGATATTCTCTATTTTGAGATCTCGGTGGACGATGTTGTTCCGGTGACAGTAGTCTAGAGCACTTGCAATCTGGCGAGCAAACTTGCGAGCCTGCTTCTCCTTGAGCTTGCCGTGGGAGATGATGTAGTCGAGCATCTGGCCGCCGTTGACATACTCGAAGAGCATGTACCAGTGGTAGTTGGTCCGCACGACGTCTCGCATGCCACAGACGTACGGATGATTGAGGAGGGTGACAATGGCCGCCTCTCTGGCGGTGCGTATCTCCTTTGAACGGTCCGCCCGTTCATTCTCTCGGGTGCTACGCTGCTCATCGTTGGTGTGACGGGGGATAATTTTCACGGCAACCTATCAATTGGATTAGCAGGAGTAAATGAGTAAATGGATAGTTGATATATTCAAGAGGACAGACCTGCGACCAGTCTCGAGGTTCTTCGCGAGCTTAACCTTGCCCATGCTCCCAGCTCCGATTGTTTTGCCAAGTGCCCACTGTCCAGAGGGCGTGGTGATGGTCGTCCGTCTCTTTGGCCCAGAAGCCAGCGTCGCTCCATTGGTTGCATGCGAAGGGGCATCACCGGCAGCAGCGGCGGCGGCGGCAGCCACCACTGCAGCTGCTGGGTTTGCTCGAGACATGTCGACGCTGTCTCCGTTGTTGTTGGTGGTGGTGGTGGTGGTGGTAGGCCGAGACGCCGTCCGACGATGGACGCGAGCAGGGTCAGGACGGTAGGAAGACGAGGAGGCCTCCCGCGGCCGGTCTCTGGACGAGCTGCGGCCGGTCGTGCCAGGGCGAGACGAGGAGGTAGAAGGCTGAGGCTGGTCGTAGTCCCGTCGAGCGCTGCTGGGGGTGCGAGAGTGGCCGCCGCCGGGCTCCTGCGAGTACGACCGCGAGCCCGAGCGGCTGTGAGAAGAGCGGTGGTGCGGGCGGCCGCTGGCACTCAGCGTCCTGGCCGGCGAGCTGGCGTCTGCTGGCGGGCTCCGGTAGGAAGACGGCGTGCGGACTGCGGTGGGCGTCGAGGGCGCTGCGGCCGACATGGCGATGGTCGTTTATCGGTGGGAGATGGTGAGCGTGAGAGATGGTGAGTGAGTGTATGTGAGGCAGGCAAACGGAGGTCGAAACCGGCTTGCTTGCGGCAGCGCAGCGCCTGGAAAACCGGTGCACCAGCTCTTCCAGCGGACGTCCTCGCCGGCTGCTTTTCTTTCTTTTTCTTTCTTCTTCTCGTTTGCTCCTTCGGCTGGTCGGTTTCCTGCTGCTGCTGGCTGAGCGAGGTCGAGGTGGCGGGAGGCCGTCAGGACGAGGCGGCCAGCGATAACATCGAGCAAAAAGAGTCCCCGCGGGCGGGCTGAGCAGGAAGAGAGAGAGAGAGAGAGAGAGAGAGAGAGAGAGAGACGAGCGAAGAGGCGGCGAGGAGGAACAAAACGACGAAGCGAACGGCGAGATGCGAGCCCGACTCGGTCTGCTCAGGCTGGCGTGCGTCTTTCTCTCGCTGCGGGCAGGTCGAACGTGGCGATGAAGCTGCCTTTTGGATGGTTTTTTGCTGGTGTTTTTTTTTTTTTTTTTTTTTTTTTTTTTTTTTTTTTTTTTTTTTTTTTTTTTGGTAGTTATTTTGTTTGGGGCAGATTTTAAACCCGCCAGAGCGACAGCAGGTCATTTATTCGATAGAGAGACGCTGCTCGTATAACCAGCAGTCCAGCACTTGATTATTATTATTATTATTATTATTATTATTATTATTATTATTGTTATTGATTAAGGAAACGCCTCATGCGCAGATAGCTATTTTCTGCAGGGCCAGACAGGCTGCGGCGGTTTTATTAGCTGGTTTGCTGCTGTCTTTGTCTGGCGTGACGGAGGCACATGAAGGGGCCTCGCGCCGGCGACGTCGAGCAGCAAGACGGGCGGGAAGACAAGAATCAGAGACGGCGGACGACGGTTATACAGGCAGCCTACCCGGGGGTGCTACAGACTGCAGGTGACGGCCGCTGGTGACAGTCATGGTCGCTGGTAAGTCACTGTCACGGCCGCTGCTTGAACTGCGCTGGAACGCTGACCATCACAGGCAGCATCACCACGACGACGACGGGAGAAAAAAAAAAAAAAGGCAAAGTGAGAGCGTAACGACTGCTGCAAGGGCGAGAAAGGGCTGAGACGAGCCGGCCGGCCTGATCGCTTTGTCCGCCAGACACCCCCTTACGATGGCGTACAAGCGGTCCCGCGCCGCATATGAAGACGATCTCCCCGGATCCCCCTTCGTCTTCTACGGCACCCCGTTACCCCCGGACGATCGTGGTGCGCGAGACGATGGCTCGTACGTGCCGCTGTGGAAGCAGGAGGTCAGGGACGAGAGGGGGCGGAAGCGTCTGCATGGTGCTTTCACCGGGGGATTCAGTGCTGGGTGAGTTTACCAGCTCAAAACATTTATATTCACCAGGAAATATATTCACCAGGAAATAGTACTAACTGAAAAGTAGATACTTCAATACGGTAGGGTCCAAGGAAGGATGGACACCTTCGACCTTTGTCTCGTCTCGCAAAAACCGGGCCAGGGACAACAAGGACCAGCAGCACCAGCAGCAGAGGCCCGAGGATTTCATGGATGAGGAGGATCTACGAGAGGCAGAGGAAGCAAGAGAGTTGCAGACGTCCACCAAGTTCGACGGCATCGGGTCAACGGCTACAGATGCAATCAGAGACACAGGGCTGGTCGACCTGTTCAGCTCGTCCGGGGACACGGTTGGAGTTCGACTACTGAAGAGGATGGGATGGAAGGAAGGCCAGGGGATAGGACCCAAAGTGCGACGACGGGCAAACCTCGACGACCACCAGGATGAAGACGATGGCCAGACGTACCTCTTTGCGCCAGAGAATACCCCGTTGATAGCGTTTGTGGACAAATATGACCGCAAGGGCATCGGTTTCGAGGGAGAGCAGCGCCTGGATGAAGCCGTCTCGCGCAGTGGCAACAACACAGTTGCTACCATACCCACTGCGAAGCCATCCGCAATCGAGAAAAAGACGCAAAGGACCAAGCCACGGCGGCTGGGCGGGTTTGGCGTCGGAGTGCTGAACGACACTGGATCCGACGATGAGGACCCGTACGAGATCGGGCCTAATATCTCATACAACAGAACCATTGAAAGCTCCAAAAAGAACTCCAAGACCAAAAGAGCCGAGATTTCAAGGCCGGCGATCAGATCATCAAACCCGCTGCTAGATACCAAACCCGTCTTCATTTCAAAAAGGGCGGCCGGTGGTGCCGCAAGGGGCAAAGACAGGTCAGGCTTCAGAAAGTGCCACGACGGACGGCTGCCGCTGGACGGCTTCATCCTCAGTGTACAGGTCGATCTCACCCCGCGGAACAAACTATATGATCCTCCCAGGGTGCCCGAAGGCTGGGTGCCTGCAAAGACGGCATCCACACAGGCAACTACTACTAGTACTACTGCTGCTGCTGCTGCTGCTACTGCACCGCCAGCCCAGCAGGTTTCGCTGGCCGAGGCTGCCAGGGCGTCTACCCTCGACCCCAAGGCCCGGGCAGCACTGTTAGGAGAGGCACAGCTGCCAGGAAAGTCTGTGTTCGACTACATGACTCCCGAGGCCCGCGAGAAGATCGCTCTAGCAACCGGGCGAACCGATTTACCACCTGCGCTGGGTGAAAAGGCGCCTCAGGGGTTCGAGGCGTCAGACAGCCAGAAACGAAAAGATATATGGAACCTCATCCCCAGTCTGGACAAGGACGCTGCCATACAGGCTCTTAGCCGGGGCGCAAGCGGCTGGATGCCTTATGCTGAAGACGAGAGCAAACGGAACCGCTACAGGTCCTTCCTCGAGGTTCGAGCTGGTATCGTAACTGACCGGCTGCCAGACCGTCTTCCAGGCTCCTCGACAGACGAATGGATCACAGAACTGCGCGAATTCACCCGTGCTGCAGAGGTCTTCAAGCCGATATCCGGTCTCATGGCCTCCCGCTTCACTTCGTCAACTTCTACATCCACGCAGCCCGGCATGGAATCCAGCAGCAGCAGCGGTACACCTCTACTTACCAGACGAGAGGCCAAACCGGAAGACCCAACTGAATCAGCCGCGAAGCTAGGGATGTACGGTCCAATGACCCGTCTTCTGCGGCCGTTTGCTCCCGCCAGACTGCTCTGCAAGCGTTTCAACGTCCGCGTCCCTACCGGCACCAAACATGACGGCGGCATAGCCGGTCTATCCGACTTTGCAGGCCTCGAGGCCCATTCTGAGCCGCCGCCGCCGCTCGTGTCAAAGGAAACCATGCATCAGCTGATGATGGAGTCAGGCCGAAAATTAATTCCATCTCCTGCATCTGGTTCTGGTTCTAGCTCTGGTTCTGGCCCTGGCCCGGCTATGCCGGCGGAGCAGCCACCCGCGCAGCCGGCAGCAGTTGACCCTGAACGCAACGAAGCCCTCGAAGGCGAGCGACCGGGCGAGGCGGTATTCAAAGCGATCTTTGGCAGCGATGATGAGGACGAGGACGAGTAAAAGTATTCTGCTTTATCTTGTCACTGCTTGACCTGGCCCTACGCGTGTGTGTGTGTGTGTGTGCATGTCCATCTTATTGATAGACCGCCGCACCAGGGGGCAACATTCAAACATCTAGCCAAAAGCCTATCCATCTGCTCTGCTATTTTCTCCACGATAGATGTATAACTATATGCTGTATAACGAACACCCTGTACCTAATAATAAATGACGGCCGCGCGCCCGCTTTGCTCAAAACCCACCTCGCCACCAGCACATTTGATATCTGCCATAACCCCCAACGCACCCAGCTAAAACCCACGTCTAGACCACCCGGGCGAGAGTCTACCTGCTCTTCTCCCTGGATACCACGGTATGAGTCCAATACCAGCCGGCATGGCCCTGGATTTTGCTTCTTCCAAATGGACGCCGGCCAACCAACCAGCGAGAAAGCCGACCAGGGACAAGCAAGCAACGCAAAAAAGCACCGCAAAAGCTATAAATACACGTCTTCATGCAGGAAAAGAAACTAAGGAAGAAGCGGGACAATCTGCTAGTCCAGCAGCTAAATAAACAAATAATAAATGTAATGAAAAGAACAAGAATAATCAGCTGCATCATATTTTGTCTGGCCAGGGAATATTTTTCTTAGCTGTTCGTCACCTCGACTTTCTTCCTCGTCTTTCTTCCTCTCCTTTCGCATTCTCGCATCTTCTTCCCCCGAAGCCCCTTTCAACGGCCAAACCATCACACGATGCGCCATGGTAAGTCTAGTCCTTGTGTGTTTTTTATATTTATTTTTTTTTTTTCCCCCTCACAGCTGCTTTGCGCTCGCCGGTTGCAGATGTAACTGCAGGATAACCGAGCTTGCTGTCTCTGTCGCGATCTTTGGCTGTGGGGTAGCAGTCGTTGTGCTGGGACATCTACAGCAAGACAGCAAGTCGGCGACGGCGACGGCGACGGCGACGGCAGACTCTCCCGTTCATACACCTACTATTGCTACTGGGATAGCTGTCTAACGGCCGTGTCTGTCTCTAGGGGTGCTGCTTCTCTCGAGACGCCAACAGCTCGCCGTATCCAGGCTCTACGGCCGGCCAGCATGGTGACTCGTCTCACCAGATCAACATCAACACCGCCGGCCACCGCCATGACCAGACAGAGCGGCCGTCGCCAAACGGCGGCCTCTCGCACGCTGCCTCAGATGCCTCCTCTGCCACCCCTCGACCATCTCGCTCAGCCGCCCGTCGCGGCGTCCCGCTGAACGAGCACTTCAACCAGCCCATCCGCCCGCACGTCTGGAAGAGCAAACGCCGCACCTGGACCCGCGCAACCATCGACAGGGAGCGGGAAGTCTTCTTCGATACCAGGGTCGCCGGCCGACCAGAGATATGGGCTGCTCTGTCCACCGCCCTCTCCCTGCTGCGGGACGGGGACGTCCAGACCGCCCAGGGCATCATCGACGCAGCTGGCATCACCATTCCAACAGGCGACGTCTGCGAGGGATGCTACGACGAGAGCGGGGCGCTGTACAAGTTTCCAGAAGCTATTGTGTCTGATCCCGTAAACCTGGCGGATGACGACCATGCTGCCGAGGAGGCCTTCAAGTGTGATACTGGCGCTGACCTGGACGGTGATGCAGACGGTGATGCAGACGGTGATACAGCTGGCGACGAGACGTCTACTGCAAAGTTGGTGCTGGGCACCGGTTCCTCTGACGACCTGTTGGACAAGGAAAAGGAACGCAGGCGGGAAGAGAAGGGGAAGCGAAACGAACGAGACATGGTCAAGGTCACTGCTCGGCTGAGCGATCGCGGCGGACCAGATGTAGTCGTGAGCATCGGCAAGGAGCAAACCGTTGCCGCCCTTGTTCGGAAGATCCAGGCTGAAGCTAGAGTAAGTTTCTTTGATAATAGTGGTAATAGAAAAACAGAGTATCACTGCTAACTGCTCTCCTGCCCAGCTCCCTTCCAATACCCGCATCCAGATCGTATATCTGGGCAAGTTCTTCAGAGACAGCCAGACACTACTTGAACAGGGCTGGAAAGAAGGCAACGTCGTAAACGCGTACGTTAGGGTTTCGAAATGAGCGTAGGACCTTGCATGTCCAACTGCAAAGGTCTCACAATCCCCAGACCCGTTCTCAACGTCTCGACGTCCTCGGACTTGCGGCCTCGCGCCCTGTCCTACTCTACGGAGCCTTCAACGTGATTGATCAAATGTCACCAAGGCTGCTCTCAGCCAACCCCATGACCCAACTTTTTCGCCTATAAACATCTAATCACATATCAGCTTTCCGGCGTTCATCGGCGTCCCTCTACCGGCGTACTAGGAGACTATCTACAACATATTCGTTTTCGATCTTTTGGCAAGCATCGGCGTCCTAGGAGTCGCCTTTACTTGAGTACACATATACATTGCAATTCATCATTACTTTCTTTTGAGATCTATGGCCGGGCCGTTTCTTTTGTTTATTCACCTATTTGTATATACTTCTCCTACTGCCAATATTTAATCAACCTAACGATACAATTATGTTATCCCAATATCAACCTCTGTCTTGCTATCTTTCTATACTCTCCTCGTTCTCGAACGGAAGTTTTGTATATTGATAGTCGGATGCAAACAAGACAAACACAGCTAGAAAGTTAAAAAAAGTCGCAAGAATAAAAAATATATATATATATTCACAAAAATATTCAATTCCACGAACTTTTCGCAAACCACAAACTACGCCAGGAAAGAGTCCACAGGAGGCTCTCAGAAGCTTGTATTATTTGGATAATTGGCTTAGGAGAAAGATATCTGATTTACAGGCCAAATTGACATCGCAATCGAGCCCGAAAAGCCCCTCCGCCATTATGGATCTACAGCAGTCCCCCTTCATAAGGGAGCTGGCTTCAAGCGGTAGGTATTCGTATTTCCTGATGCCATGTGCTCTTTACCTGGCTGATTCTGACTCTGTGTTGAAGAAAGAAAAACTCGCGATAAAGCAGTTGAGTCTCTAACCGCCTTTCTACGAAGCAAACGAGACCTGAAGCTATTCGACCTCTTGAAAATATGGAAAGGACTATTTTATTGTACGTACAGGATCCATTCGATAATCAACACGCCATTCTCCATCATGTTAACAAGAGACGGAAATATTACAGGCTTCTACCACTCCGATAAACCCCTTGTCCAGCAAGCCCTCGCCCGCTCCCTCTCATATACCCTAGTCCCCTCCCTACCAGAGCAGATGGTATTACCCTTTCTAAGAGCATTCTGGATAACAATGTCACGCGACTTCCACTCTCTGGACAGATTACGTCTAGACAAATATCTTTTCTTAATAAGATGCTATGTGGGCGTTTCATTCGAATACTACTTGAAGCGCGGAGGGAAGAACAAACGCCAGTCGGGAAACAATAGCACCGAAAACCAGAAAGGCAAGAATAAGAGAAAGAGAGAAAACGACGAGGCAGATAGCGAAGTAAATGGTGGTTCGACCTCGCGGCGCAAAACGTCAAGTACATCCGCCGTACAAGTACGCGAGGGAGACGAATGGGCCGAGCTAGAGGCGTATCTCGACATGCTGGAAGATGGCCCGCTAAGTCCGTTGATCTTTGATCCAAATCCATCCAAGCAGATGTCAAACCAGGAAGATGAGAACGGCGCATTGGTTAAAGTGCCTAAGGGTCCGGATGGGATACGCTATCATCTCATGGATATCTGGCTGGACGAGCTGGAGAAATGCGCTACCGAGCCCGACGAGTCTAGTGCTGGAGATGATGAAGAATCTCCAGCTACGAAACTAAAGGACGGTGTTCCGATGGAGTTATTACTTCGACCAATTGAGAGGCTGCAGTCCGAGAGCCCGAATAAGACGGTTAGAACCCGGGCTAAGGAGACGCTGGCTGATGAAAGGCTGATCTTGTGGGGTGTGAGGGAGCCAGAGAAGGCTGAAGAGGGCTCGGATGAGGAAGATGAATGGGGCGGTATAGAGGATTAATCGTGGTCTGTAATTATAGTAACAATAAAGGCCTCTTTTGATTAGGGATAGGCTGTTGGGCGCGATAAAACCGGTTCGACCCTCGTATTCATTGATGACTAATACGAGGAATGAAAAATATATCTAGCTCAGCTGATAATTAGTTTTCAAAGCGCTCTGTTAATCACTCTAGGTTAATAGAAATTTTTTATAACGTTTTATCAAATAATCTAAAACTATTTAAAATTAGATATTATTATATTATATATTTATTCGAGAGCGCTATACAATCACGTGACCTGAATAAAGTAGATGCAGAAACTTAGATTTTATACTATATATCAAACCTTATAATATACATTATCTATCACGTGACTTATATTTTTCCAGGTGGAAAGTGAATCCAGACAACCCAACCTCGATAAAGTGCAACAGATACTCGTATCGACTATCGCTTTATCTCTCCCAAAGAATACATAGCACCCCCCACGTAGTATCAATCCATGCCTTTAAGACTATTTTTACGCTGCACTCTCAAGCTGCTGCTGGCCCGCTGTGCTTCTTCTCAGCGGCTTCCAGCGGTCGCGTCGGCCAGTGGAGCAGTGCATCATCATGTGCTCCCCGAAGTTGGCGGACATATAAGAAGGCGCTCGCCGCCCCCTTCCGCAGAGGACTGGAAATCTATCGAACTGCGCTATCCATTTGACTGGACCCAACAGCTCTTTATAGCCGCGATCTATAGACCCGGCGCCCCTTGCTCTCTCCCACTCAACCAGTAACCTCCGCTGGGCCCCATCATCCCAGGGATTTGATAGACGATAGTCGCGATATCGCAATCAGCCGAAATCGATATAGCTTCTCCTTGTGTTATACCTCTATGCGAGTATGAAGCGTCGGGTAAGAGTGCGCCCCGAGTTCGTGAAGTTAACTACAAGTCCCAAGATGGCGGGGTTCTGGCTACCGAAACCCGTACTTGATTATAGCTTGTCAAGATCACCTGCGGGATATACGCAGGTGAAGTTTGATTATTATCGACCCTAGGTAACGAGGTCTAGAGTGTAGGAAGTATAACATGATCTCTTATAACGTGGTGATGGATGGGACTACAATTGCGATTACAACCGCCGTTGGAGATATCTGTCATATGATTATAATAATATTGCTAGTTGATTCATATCGCACGCTCCGAAAGCTCATTTGAGAATACTTGTATTAATTATAATATACATCTTTTGAATCAATTTGAAGATTTACTTATTCAGGAGTACCGCAACGGCGCGGCCTACCACCGTCATCAAAGGAGGGCTCTGGGCTTCCAGCTTTGCTAGGTAACTATAGGACAGGCGGAAGCACGTAGTCCGAATAAATGAGAAACTTCAAACCTCTTCCAAAATCACGTTATATTATTATTCACTTCAAGAAAATCAGTGACTAGCTCTCTAATCAATCCAACGCTACGTTATAGCATTGATTCGTCCTGATATCGCAGTACCTTCAGCCATCAAGCCAATTGTTGAACGGTGAACCCTACATCAACATGATCTCAATCGAATCTACTGATATATCATTTTGAAAGCCCGCCCGACTACAAATATGAAGGTTGGAATAATTCGTCGATACTCTATATTGTATTCGTTGATATCGTAAGGGAAATTTGTTCGTTTCTATGGTACAACCCTTATTCTTCTCGCCGCTTCTCGAAGACGAGAGGATGAAACTAGTAATTATTGGTATCAGCTTCAGAGCCTTCAGCCTTCATATCGTAGAAAAGGCTCAAAGCGTAAAAAACGGTAAACCACATAAAAGAGCGCGAAAGTCGTCTGGAAACAAATCTAGATTCTAAAATCTAGTTATAGCAATATTTTCCTGGAATATAGTATATTCAATATAGCGAATCAAACTTTTGATGATTATAACGTTTTCAGACTCGGAGAAGGTATCGAGCCATTATATTCGTTAAAAGCTCGTTCCTAAAATTCGATTATTTTTATTTAATAATATGATTAATATCGACGAGAATCAAAAAGTCAATATTATATATCACTATTAATAAAATTCCGCGAAAATTATTAAATTGTCGATCTAATAGTATAAAATAATCGATTCTATCGCTATTATTATATATTAAATTAGTATATAGAAATTATAGTACTATATTATTGCTTAATAATAAGGTTTATAAAGGTAGCGTGTATTTATTCTTGTACTTCACTTAAAGAAATCTCTGCTTCTTCATCAATTCACCCCGATAAAATTTCTCAGATTCTGAGAACATGGTTATTCCTCTAATAATACACTTTTTATTAGAGCAAAAAGGTAGGGAAAAGTGTACCTTTTTAGCTTTGTTACTATATATTATTATATCTAAGAAATGGCCTATTCTTCTAGCGTTTTGGCTTTTAGGCGCGTCTGTTTGCTCTCAGGGTGTACAGGCTGTTTAGAATCGCCCGGATACGCTGGCAAAGGGCGCCCTAGAGACAGCAGAGGCCAGCATACAAAGGTACGAAGCAAGTTGGCTGAACAGACCCATATTTTTACCGGCTTTCGAGGCTGACCGAACCGTGGTACTCTTACTCCAGATGGTTACCGTCCTGGACTCAGACTCAGACGAAGAGACTCTTATCGTATGCCAACCCAAAACCCAAGACATGCCGTGACCCGTCAACTTTGATACCTTGGTCTACTCCGAGCACTTTTGGGCGTTTTTTAACCGCTATTTAGACGCGGTTTCTGTTATTATTTATTTATTTTTATTTTTATTTTTTTTATTAGAGCCGCCTTCCGCGGTTGTTTTTTTGTTCATTCTCCAAGTTCAAACCGAGCTAACCGCTTTGGGACCACCCTGATCTATAGCAACCTGAAGTGATATCAGGCCGGCTGCTCAAGGCATTCATCAGCCCTGACGACGACAGGCGGCGGCATTCGCTGTCTAGACCACCGAGTCAACCAGGGCGTGCTGTTGTTGACAAGGGCTCGACGTCTTCCAGTTCCCGCCCACAGTCCAAGGCCTCAAATGTTTCGGTAGTCATCTCTGTGCCACTACGGCGGCCAAGTCCTTCGCCAGCGACTACCAGCCGTAAGAGATCTCTATCGTCCGATGGGGATATCAACAAAGCCTTGTCTCAAAAGCCTACGGCAACTAAGATTCCGGATCACCATGGTCTAAGTGATTTCTACGCCGTGGGGAGTGGAGATATAAAAAGACCGTACCCTAAGTTGAAAAGGTTCGACCCGAAGAAGACTGAGATACCCCGGTCAGGCGAGCGGTATATTCCGCCCAAGAGACGCAGTGATAAAGAGTCAGCGTGCTCTCGTTTAGAAGAGCTTTACAATAAGAAGCTTCAACGGATCAAGGGCCCCCCAATTCAGTTTAAGGCTAGCAAGATCGCAAAAGAGATCAATTTTAACTTTGACTTCATTGACTCCTATAAGATACACAGCGGGGTTAATCAGATTGATCCGGAGTTCCTATGGGGCTGCGATTGTACAAAATGCGATGCTGAATGCGATTGCCTCTCTAAAGACTTAATTCATTATGAGAAGGGTCAACGTGTACGGGCCGTCTTAAAGTCAGAGATCCTGAATAAGCGTACGGCATTGATCCGAGAATGCTCGTCGCGCTGCAAATGCTCTGCAGTCAAATGCTGGAATCATGTTGTCTTCCGTGGGCGAAAAGTTGAACTGGAGATTTTCCAGACCAAGAACAGGGGTTTTGGAGTTCGCTCGCCTCATTTCATAGAGCGAGGGCAGTTTATTGACACTTATGTCGGTGAGGTCATTGAGCCATCTACTAGCGACGCCAGAGAAGAAGCAATTGACGTGGAAAAGTACTCTAGCTACTTGTTCTCACTCGATTACTTCCCTGTTGAGGAGGATGAGAAGGATAAGGATATCTATGTCGTTGACGGCCGCAAGTTTGGTTCAATTACCAGGTTCATGAACCACTCCTGCAACCCAAACTGCAAGATGTTTCCTGTCACTCAGACAGACGACCACAGGGTCTACCACCTTGCGTTCTTTGCGGTCCGCGACATACCGGCCGGCACTGAACTGACGTTTGACTATCATCCTGGTTGGGAAGGGGGGGATGTTGACCCAGACGCAACGAAGTGTCTCTGTGGTGAACCAAACTGCCGTGGCCAGCTCTGGCCGGCAAAACGGAAAACTACGCGGCCCGGTGAAGATAGCTCTTCCTCTGGCGAGTCTTCCGGGGAGTCTGAGGATGATGAATGAGGATGCACACTCTGCGGTACTTGATATACCGCCTTTGCCTTGCATAGTCAGTCGCGTTCATACTTGGATTTATCTTGGGTTACCGATTCTCTCCTGTGCTTCTTCTTTTAGCGCTGCCCGAACTAGCTTAGTCCGAGCGTTCTTGTCACTTTCTTTCACCGTCTTGAAGCTGCTACTACTGTACACCTAGCATGATACCCACGTTTCGGATTTACCTCATTCACTGCATGTGTGGAGTTGAAAGGACGTCGAATGGGATTTTATCTTAATTCAATAAGTATTTCTGCATTAAAGTGTTGCCTATCTTCTGTCTTATCCGGTTGTAGGGAACAATCGTAGACCAAGAGGGTAAAAAAAGGAGTAACGGTAAATAAAAGGGGGAGAGAAGATGAAAAGGCGAGGATAGGGCATCACATACACTGATATAGGAAATGTTATACCTATGAATATCTGGTATCATACAACGTTTCAAAAGGATGAATTAAAAAGAAGAAGAGAAAAAAAAAAAAAAAAAAAAAAAAGTGAGGAACGGAGGAACAGAGAAAGGAAATGAACAGAGGAAACCGGCCCTTTTTACCAACCCGAGCCTTTATTTGGCGGTAGTAGGGCCGTTTAGTGGCTCGATGGTAGGCTCGTAACGCAAAACGGCGTTTTTCATATCAATATGGTAGCAGCAGAGTGTATCCGTCTCTGAACAAAACGGGTGACATTGTATAATGGGTTGGGCGTGAGGTCGTAAACTTTCGAATATATAGAGAGAGGGATGGCGCCTAAGCAGAGCCCTCCATGACTTCGGCAATTCCCCCCATGACGAACCGCGGGGACAGGCGGGCCGATAGGGGTGAGAGCGGCGCGGAAGGCTCTTTGAGGTCTGAAGTGACGCTCGACAGGTTGTTCGATGAATCAATAGGTGCCTGGCCATCGGTCATGAGCGGCACGGGGTCAACGGGACGCGGTTCCAGCAGGCCCAGCCCATGTCGCTCGATCGAGTCTTCGGTGCACCGGTAGCGCTCCTCTGTGAGCGCGAGGTCGACGTTAGACGGACGACGGCGCAGCAGGATGGTCCCCATGCCGAGCGAGGAGGACGAATAGCACTTCTTGCTCCGGCTGCCGATCCGACGGAGCGGAGAGGTGAATCTGTTCATGCGCGGAGAGGTGCTGATGGGGCTAGAAGTAGGCGAGGAGGCCGGACTGGAGGTTGCTGAGGTCAGAGGGGATGGACGGTCCGAGTCGACCTCGCTGCCGACGGTCGACCTGGGCGAGTACGGGATGGTCAGGGAGGGAGCCATCTCCGTCCATGGCGAGGGCAGCAGCTGGCTGAGATAGCAAGTGTGTTCGTCCATCTTGGACTCGCTGGTCTCGATGGCCTCGAACAGGCTGATCAGGTCGTGGACAGCTGGTTTAGATGCCATTTATATGTATCTTCCGTCCAGCCGGGGAGAGTCCAGGGAGTGGCTGGTCTGTTTTTTTTTTTTTTTTTTTTGGGCTCTTTGTCTCAAGCTCGAGCTTGTGCTCTCTTTCTCTCTTGAGCCTTGCGGTGTATAATATAGGGTCTTATAGGCAACTAGCTTCCCCCCTGGCGGAGTATTATTTCAATGTCCGTTTGCCCTTGTGTCCACGGTATGAAGCGAGGAAGTAGAGGCGCTGCCTGGTCTGTTCGGGCCTGCCCAAGGCCTTTTTCGGCTGCAAAACAGTAGATGCACACGGAGATTATACTGTCTGATATCAAACCGGTCGAATAATAACGCCCCGTCGTCGCAAGGAAAAAACGCTGGTGTCTCTCTCTGGTGTGTGTATCTTCTGCCGGCTCTCTCTGTAATTATAACCAACGGATCGACCGTAGGCAGCTCGACCGGCAGCAGCGTCCTTTGCGTCTTCTCAGCGGTTCCCAGCCAGGAGAAGGAGAGAAGAGGGACAGAGAAGGGGCCCTCTCAGAGGGTCGCGCAGAGAGCAGTTTTGTATATATATATATACACTCCGTATATGAGGCAACGATGAGCCGTAATTAAGTATATCGCAGAATCACTGCCTGGTTGGGTGAAAAAGCAACGGCCGACTAGCTGAATCGCAACCAGAGAACAGACAGGCAGGAAGACGCTCGACTTCAGCAGCACCGGCAGCAGCAGCAGCACTGGAGAAGAAACAGATCAGACGAAGCAGACGAAGATGCCATCATGCATGCAGGGGAGAGAGACATGAAGAAAAGCGGGAGTCGAGGATGAAACGAGCCCGCGTAGATCATGATACCTGCAGTGGATCTCTCATCTTCCTCGCCCTCGCGAGCCACACACGGCATGTATCAAACATCGGCCGCCAGGCCAGCTTAACAGCCGTTGGCGACGGAGGAGATGGATAACCGCCGTCCACGGCATCAACAACGGGCCTTGTTTCTTCTGCCTCTCGCTGCTGTGTCTCTCGCTGGCTCGTCTTCCACCCCCGTCTCGAGCTCTCCAGTAACTCGTTAACTAAGACACTCTGCAGAGGAAAAACCGGCCTCGCCCTGGCACAAGCAAGCAACCCTGCCATGGACGGACCAGCTTTGTTTCAATTCCAACCCCCCCGGTCCATGTGGAATTCAGGGCCTGGCAGGAGACGCAGCCTGCCATTGGGCAGTTTCGTGATTTCCCGGGTCGTTTATTGGCTGCGACTGTGCGACTATTTGCCTGGGATGAGAGCGATATCAGCTTGGTTGGCGGCCCTTGGTTATTATATCGGGGAGAGGCCAGACGGCTCGACGGCCAGATAGCCCCCCTTTCTCTCCCGGCTCGCTGCGTTTAGGGAAGAGAGTTAGATGAGTTGAAAGGCAATGGACTCGTCTCCAGCTCAGCCACCTTCCCCGGCGCCAGGGCGGTCCGCTGGCTGGGCCTGTCCGAGAACTGACCGGTCCGCGGGTTTGGATGGAGCTGGTTACGAATCTCTGCGTGTTTGATCTTCGGGCTCACGAAGGAGAGAACTCGCTGCTAGGCCGGTTGCTTGTGCGAACCAGGCAGGCAGACAGTCAGACGCTGGGAAACTATTATTAGGAATTATTGGCTGTGTGGAAGGGAAGGCTATGGTATGTACAACAAAAAAACAGCTGTCTAAGGCGAGGTCGAACGCACGCGCTGCACTTGGATGGAAGGATGGGTGTCTATGCGCGAATCTGCAAGGGGGGGAAACAGGGATATGATAGTTAACAGCAAAGAAAACTCCCAAAGCTCTAGCCAACAACTTGGTCAAACCGTCTCGAATCACTTAAACCGTCAAGAATACTCTCAAGCTGAAAAAAAGGAGAATCAAATCAAAGGGTGGGGAACAAGTTGGAGTTATCAGCACATATACAAGAACAGAACGTGGTGAAAAAGGGGGGGGATTTCAAAGGGTAAAAATCAAAGCATCTCGTCCGTTAACAAGGATTGAAGAAAAAGCGGGAGGGAAGGAGAAGAAAAACTCGAACAAAAACTCCCATGAGATCCCGTTTTCGCTGCTATCAAGGGGGTCTCATATATGCATTACTGTATAGACGGGACAGAGACAAGTAATTTTTCTTCTTGCATTTCGGAATTGGTTCGGGGTTGTTCTGTGCTTTTTTGGTTTTCTCGGATGAGTTGGTCATGTCTGTCGTTTCTGCATTTCCCCATACTAAGGGAGTATCCACAAAGGGGGCTGATAGGTATTTTCACCTTGGTAAAGGTAACTCGAGGGTAAAAGAAGTCGGGGAAGAAAAAGAAAAAGGCTGGGTGACTGCGCCTACTCGCCTGCTGAGCCGTGGGACCGACGACGGGTGAAGCTTCGTCTGATACTTTCGCCCCATACAGAGTGATCGAAGGAGTCCAGCACGTCTTGTACGTTCTGTACGCTCACAGAGCTGTCACCGCGTTGGTGGCCATGCCCTTCACCCGACTCATCGCGAGGCATGCTGCTATCGTACGTCGTAGTAGGACTTTGAGGCGTCAGAGAAGGATTGAAGTTACCCCAGTCGGAATGTGTAGGTGACGGGAGTCTATGAGCCTCGTCGCCAAACATGTTGGTCTCGATCTTTGGAAGAGCGATGCGCGGGGCTTTCCGGCTTGGGGATCCTTCTGGTGATCTTGCACGGTCTTCTGATGCTCGTCTCGATTGATCCTCGTCCATAAGGCCGTCCTCGTCCTCGACATATATCTCCGGAACAGAGAACTGTGGTACCGAGACCAGGCGAGAGTCATGGCGTGCTTGAATACGTTGTCGGAATCGCCTCGACCAATAGAGCGTGTTGAAGAATCCGACTACCACGTTTCGGCGGACGGCTTCCTCAACTCGCTGTAGACGGGCACGTCGCCGTAGGAACTCTTCCAGCCTGGATTGTGTGTCGTTAGCTTGTTAAGTGCCCACAAGTGGAATGGATCACCTATAAAAAAAATAAAAATAAAAAAAGGCTTACCTCAAACTCTTGCTGTCAGTGATAACATTGTAATGAGCAAGGATCATAAGACATGAAGTAAAAGATATTCCTCGTTCTGGATCAGCTGAGACAAGCACTTCCTCGTAAAAGGCGTTCAAGCGTGCACGTCTTTTGCGTATTTCGGCAACAGGAAGATGGGAAAGACGGAGCATAAGCTTCTTGAGATCTAGTTCACCCACAGATCGAGAATGCGATAATTCTGACTCTCGAACATTGACACGACAGTCTTCTAGAATGCGGCCGACGGTAAAATCTCCTTCGTATATACGCATCTCGAACACGCCAGAAAGTTCCTAAGCATAAAGCGTTAACAAGCATTCAATTAAAATAGAATTGAACAGACGGGATAATACTTACTCCTAAAAGTCTTGGGAAGGCCTCTTTTGAAATATATCCCGTTCCGTCTGGGTCAAAGGTAGACCACGCCTGTTTGAAACGGCGGATTTCATCTCTGCTGATCGCATACAGGCCACTGCTCCGCTGATAGACGTAGGAGAAGCTCTCGAAGATGAGTGAAACAAATAGAGAGACGAAGATGTACATGCTCAGAATGTTCCATGAGATAAGCAGCGTTCGAGCCCAGGCGGCACTGCCACAGTCGCTCCTATAAAAATTCTCGCCGAGTGTGCAGTAAGGTGGCTCCATCGTTGCAAAGTCTTCCATAATTTGATTCCACCCTTCACCACAGCTCATGCGGAATAGGAGGATTAGCGCTTTAGGCACGCTTCTGAAATTGAGATTGCTCGTTTCAGAGCCCCCGAACTTGGTCAAGCCGAAGATCTGAGTCAATGCTATGGCGTAGACGAGGAAAAGGATAAACCAGGTGGCCAACAGGTTACCGATTGATGTCAAACTAGCCGCAGCAGTCTTGAAGAGCTGGTCAAGTTGGTTGTTGCGTGGTATAATGAGGAGTGCAATGGACACCAGGAATAGTTTGTGAAGCTGGGCGAAGACTATGCTTTTATCATTGATCAGGGCAAGTAGTGTCGTGATAAAGGTTCCTACTACAGATAGAATGGAGTAGAGATCCCATGAGCTGCGGCGAAACCGAGGCCAAGTTAGGCCGACAAGACGGATGACAACGTTGGCGATATAGAATAGGGTGAGGAAGAGGAACAGGGCGTCTCTTGTCCTCTCCCACCAGTCAACTTCCGGGTAAAACTCGAGGACCAGGAGAACGAGGTGGACCAAGAGCAATCCCGTGATAAACCGGGCCCATCTCCCATGTTTTTTAACCGCAACTCGATAGCACCAAGCTTTGAATTTGTTATTGCCTTTGTTAAGAGATCGCTTAGAAGGGGATATCTGCTTCAGAAGCTTGCGCAATTCCAGCCACGACCGCTGTTCTGCCGTCAAGAAGGCCACACCGGTTTGTTCCGTGTAGTTTCGCATGAAGACAGAGACGAACAGAGTAAGGACGAAAACTGCACCGAGCAGGTTGAACACCACGAAAAATAAGCCGTTCGCTTGGGATGAAAACGGTTGAGGCTGTTTGTTCACGCCAGTGATACTCATGGCATTCCATAACACATCAGTCCACCCTTCCTGAGACACAATCTGGAAAAGGATGAAAAGGGAACTTCCGAAGTTGTCGAAGCTGTAGAATGGGTTGTGCACGGCTCGAGGCGCAAGTACCTGCCATTGGAATTGAGAGCTTTTATATTCTCCAACACAATGCGCCAGGGAAACATAACCGAAATCCCCGTCGTTGCATTGTTTCATTTGTCCATTGAAAAGATTCAAGCCATAAATGGCGAATGGAATGAGGAAACTCATGGAAACAAAGGCAGCCTAATACACATTCTGTTAGTCTCTATACTGCGGTTGGGTGCTATATGCCACATACTGAAATGACTTTCCATCCACCCATTACTATCACGGAATGGAATGTTTCTCTTGCACTTTCGCTGACATTCAACAGTCTCAATGCTCTGAGTGCCCTGAACGCACCAACGACTCGCGAAACATCACCCGTTCTATACAAAGCAGCCACAACGTTCACCCACAAAGTGATAAGAACAATACCGTCAATGAAGCCCCAAGATCCACGGAAGTAGGCATTTGGTGTCCAGAAAAAGCCGTCTGCTATCACCTTGATAACAGCCTCAACACTGAAAAGAATGGCAAACCATAGATCCGTCCATACGAACCAATTGTGGATGCCGGGGCCATGGGTCTCAAAGTACGCGCGTTGGTACAATGGAGTGCAGATACAAGCAATTAGCACCATTGAAACAATGGCAGCGTAAATGAATGCTGAAAAAAGGTACCACACCGGCTTGTATGGATCCACTCCTTCAATACGGGATTTTCCACGGCCCGGTCCTACCATTCGTTGACAAATGCGGCGGATAGGATTAGAGGGCGTAAAAATATAGAGAGAAACATTATACTTTGGGTACCTCTGGAGGTATTGTCGTTGGGCACGTTTTCTTTGTTCGGCAGCTGAGAGAACTTCTTTTGCCATTGCTGCTGGGTCTAGTTCGTCATGGTCCCTTGAGAACTTGAGTTTCGAATAAAAAGGGTTCGGCTCCCGGTTCAACACACGCTCTGTTAACTTGTTGAAGATACGGGAGAAGAATCCTGGCTGCACAGCCTGTTGCTCCGGCGGGTGTTCCGTTGGCTGGGTTTCCATGGGCCGCAGTGGTGATGTCTCGTCTAAGAAGTCTTGAACCACTGCTTCTTTTAGAAGCATTTCAAGTGCTGCAGGGCCATGATCAAGCGGGTCTCTATATCGTTCACGGCCACGGCCAAGTTTAAATATGCTGGACAAGGCAAGATTCCCATGGGATGATTCGCTTAGTTGTTTCTGTTGTAAGAATGCTCTGACCTGATAGAGCCGTTTCTCATCTTCAGAAATATCAAAGCTCTCCTGGATGACAGCAATAAACATGTTCAACACAACAAAGTTAGCGAGCACAAACCACATGATGAAAAAGGCCGCTGAAATCCAGGCTGTGCCTCTAGGGCTATTAGCTTCGGTAGCCGAATATAGAATCGACGTCCAATTCTCGCTAGAGAGGATCTGATACATCCCCAGGAACGAGTTATATATATTGGAGAATGTAGTTCGAGTAACTTCGCCATCCGAGTCCATGGCAGGTATCTGGTCACGGAACAATTGGACAGCAAATATGGAGGTTAGAAAGGTGATCAAAAAGACGAAGATAATGAGGTTGAATAGACCGACGATGTTGCTAAACACAGTCATAATAAGGGTTCTTGTCAGCGAAAAGGCCAGTACTATCCGATACACCCGGAGTACCTGGAAGATGGATAATGCTGCGTAGACGCCACCAGACGAGCGGATGGGAGGAATTTGCATCACCATTGTGATGATGGCAAGGATGAGATCGGCCCAGTTCTGTCGGGATTTAAAAAAATTTCTCCAATCTACCCCAATGCGGAAACAAATTTCGATAAAGAGGATGACGGTGACGGCAGATTCTGTGCTATCAATAAGCTCTTTTCGGTTGGAGCTCATCGAGGAGCTCCTCAGGCACTGAACTATTAGACCGAATGCTATGATGCCAATCCAAACGTAGTTTGTACGGTTAAAGAGCCGTTTTAGTTTGCTGACCCTGCGAAAAGACGTGTCCTCTGGTCCAACATCGTCGATTCTATCAGCGGTAAATGCGCTTCGCTTGCTTTCTTCTCGAATAACTTGAAAGGAGGAGGTGATAACAGCTACTAGCAAGTTGACGAGCCATAAACTAAGGAAGATGAAGCCGGCGATGAAGAAGAGGGAGGCAGCAAGGTAATCGCTGTCTGTGGTGAAGTAAAGGAGATCGGAAAAGGTATTTGAGCTCATTATAACGAAAACAAGTTCGAGAGAGTGCAACACATCGTCGAAACTCATGGTACCTGCATATGGATTACTGCCCTCGATGCATAGAGATCCCTGGGGGCAGAGATGCCCTTTTGGAGATGTCGTTCCGTTTTGCCCGTTGGCATGGATCCAGGGTTTAGCCAGGCCAGTGATATTATCTAGGTGGCCTCCACAGAACTGAACTGTATCCGGAGCTTGGTTAAAGGTGAAATTGCTTACACCCAATGGATCCACCCAAACACAAGTCCGACGAAGGCTAGACTTAAAGCTCTGGATTCCAATTATGGCAAAGAGAAGCCAGAAAAAGCAAATGAAGAAGGCAACATTGACTAGAAGAGGTGCTGCCTTTTTCAAACTTCGAAGAATCACCTAGAAAAACATTAGCAGCAATACGGAATAGATGATATGGAAAGGGAAAACTAGAATTCATACAGTTGTTCCACTTGTCAAAGCAAGAAGACGAAGAATCCGGAGACTGCTTAGCATTTTAAATATGTAAATGTGGTGATTTGTGTCGATGGACAAGACGGACAAAGCAAATGCAATCCAGTATGACACAACGGCTAGAAAATCCAGCCTATTGAATGAATGTCGTAGAAAAGCTCGGCGGGCAAGTCGGATACGCTGCTGTTGTCGACTATCTCCAACTTCATCCGCTTGTTGTTGCATTGTGGTGAATGACCTGATAATAGACATTTGCTGCGGATCTGCAGGCTTCTTTGTTGATGGCTGCCGCTGCAACGAAAACAGCTCTCTTGCTTTTATCATTACAGCATTCCGAAACCCTGCTGAGCGGTCGAGAGTGCTGTACTCCTCGGGATTGAGAATGAATCCCGACACGATGGTCCTGGCTATCAATTCAAGGGTATATATGATGAAGATTGCTAGGAAGAGGATGTCGACAACGGGAGAAGACCAGCTTCCTTTTCGGCCAGTGTGAACAGATGATTCGATGGCTAGTAGAATTGTCTGGATGATGATAAGAATCAAAATTATTGGCTCCGTTGCGGGATGTACCAGGAGTTCACACAGCCATCTCCGGACCGGATTGTCTGCCGAGAATATGCCCAACGCTTTACCCCTTAATGGACTTATGGCCGGATGTCCATGTTTCCGTTTTGGTTTTGAAGACCTTTTTTCTTGTCCCCCCTCATTTACGGTCTCTGAGGACGCAACATCATGCGCATATTCGAACATGGCGGGTAAAGAGGGGGGTTCATCCAGGCGGGCATGTTTAAGTACTGATTTCTGTCTCATAACACTTTCGATAACCTCCGGTTCATTACTTAGGTTGACAACACGCTGCGAGACCATTCTCATCATGGAGCTTGCCCTAGACAAAGCTGATGAAGGAGATGGAGAGGGTGAAAGCCGACCTGTAGCAGATCGATGTGAGTTTCGTACGCTGCTTCGCCCCGACCGAAGTCCGCTCTCCAAGTCATCTCCCAGGTGAGAACCACCTCCCATAGCACTTCCAGCAAAATGAACACTTCGGTCTTCATTGGAATTCCGTTTGACCTGGGCCTGTGCATCTGGGACAGAAGCGCCACTAATTGGCTGTAAATATCGCGAATCCGTAAGGGGCAACGAATCGTTCTCCCCGACGAACGATCCCGATCCAGTCTGGCCCACAGTATCCTCAGAAGCACCGAAATAGCTGTTATCATCACTCCTTCTGACCATAGAAGATCCCGAATGTCGAACTTGCTGGGGCCCAAAGCTCAATCCAATAGTACTCTGGTGAAATGAAGCATGATCGAAGCCCGACGGCCCGGCATCATTAGACAAACTGACGGATTCGAAGTTATCAGGATCATCGGCTCTCCTGTCCCCTGTAGGCGAGTTCTCTGCAATCCGCTCGTACCGTTGCGAGAGCGGCCTGCCTATAGCCCGTATTCCCCGAACAGAGGTCTGCCTCCCCGGAAGCTCATCTTCAATCGTAGCACTCCTCGCCCGGCGTCCAGCGCCATCCGCGATCACCGTACCCGGAGGTCTTGAAAGGTCTTGGAGGGGTATCGAATGGCTGCCGGACTGGTTATTCGCATCGTAGCTGGGGTTCTCGGACGGAGCCATTTGTTATTGGCGCTTCTGCTCATCGATTCGTAGACATTGCAGCTATCGGTCCTAGGCAAGTATCGAGTGAACGTCCTATTAGCGAGTTCGCCTGGTCAGCAACAGGGCGCGGTCAAAAATCTGGCGGGTGAATGGACCGCGCGTTGTCCAAGTGGTAGGCGAGACGAAGTAGGCTGACTGCCAGTCTTGCACACGCAGCGTTGGGGAGTGCTGCAACAACTGGTGCGAGATGAGCGTAAAGGGGCGGGAGGTCAAAGAAACTGTTAGCTGTGTGTTTTCCAGAGATGAATCCCCTTCAGCTCTGCAGCCATTCGAAGTTGACATCGAGCCCGCTTCGCGTCTTCCGCAGGATCTAAATTCGGCAGTCAGTTTTCGCGAGACCGTGGCTGAGAAAGAGTGACGAGTTGCGTAATTGGATTACATACATATAAATTACACGCAAAAGTGAAGATTATATATGGGTAATACGGATACAGCATACAGATACGACGATGAGAGTGGCTTGGAGAATCATTTGTCCTTCACGAATTGGACATGGAGTTGTTTCTAAGAATAACTAGCGGCCTTGTAGCTAGCTAATCAGAGCATGTCTTCGATGACACTGGTTGTTCGCATCAGGGGTTGGGGGCTTGGGGCAAAGCTAAGACGGCTGGTCCAGGGGAGGGATAGAGCTATTCGTGAAGATCTGAAAGATAGGGACCGTTGAAAGCCGCTATCTCAGTCTGTCTCCATACTATCACCCTTCTGGTTGTCCTCTACTTGCTGCCGGACGCCTTCGACAAACGCTTTGACAGCCTCTCCTCCACCAAGCGGGACACCACCGCGACGCATGAAACCGCCATTCTGGACCGGGATCTTGAGTGCGTCACTAATACTGGGAAGTCCTCCGTCTCTGATGGCCATGGTAAGGCTACCAAGGCTCTGTGCAAACTGTGGAGAGCGAAGAACCTTACGGAGGGCGTTACGTTTCTTGTCGACGCTAATACGCTCGACTGGTGCGTTGCTATTTTGCTTGGAGAGGAGCTGCAACGACTCGGGAAGAGAACTGAGCAGCTGGTTGAGAGTGCTCTCGTCTGCCGATTCAAGGAAAGGTAGAGTCGATGGGGTCGATAGTAGATCGGCAAGAGTCGTGTACCGCGATTCTGTCGTCTCTTGCTGGCTATTATTGCCTTGCAAGGACCGAAGAAAGTTTTGTACAACGGAGGAGGGATCCGAACCGGCAGCACTATGAGCTCTCAAGTTAGTATGGTGCACACAGCTGTAGAAATAAGCAAAATACATATATGCGGCATGCAGCAAAACCAAAAAAATCTCACAGATTTAAATGTTGGGCGTATACAGCCAAAAGTCAAATAACGTAACTGGCATAACATCAAAACTATACGCAGGCTCTGGCAATGCGCTGAGTTTTCTAGATCATGAACAGAGCAGCAGGGAGGATAGCAAGGATGCAGCAAAGAAAAAAAAAAGAAAGAAAGAAAGAAAGAAAGAAAACGCTGTGCCGAGAGTAATACCTACGCTCGTCCGCCATCTGCTCCTCCCTCTCTTGACTCTTGACCTTCTTCTCGTATGTCACCGCCCGTAGCACCAGGCCCAGCACCTCCGCTGCCACCATGTCGTCGTCTCTCAGGGCTATGGTCTGTTCCCTCTACGTCTTCCATAGTCTCGTCATCATCACCACCATCATTACCGTCGTCTCCTCTGGGCAGGCTGTCAATGGCGTCTTGCACATCGATATCTTCGCCTTGCAGCAGGGTGTTGACGATCTGGCCCAGTTTCAGATCTCGCGCGCTGAACCATGCTGGATTACCCTGCTCATGTTGACTCCGAGATTGCAGCCAGAAAAGGTGTCTCTGCGAGCTGGAAGCAAACTTTAAAACGTATATTCTGCCGTTCGTGGGCCGTTCGGGGTTGGACGGTCTCTGGGCGCTGGTGGGTTTGTATGGCGTGAATGTTCCGTCGGAAGGCACCATGACCAGATCGAGCTCCGGCTGATCTATGGGCGCCGAACGCGGCCGCCAGCAGAAATGCACAAGGTCATCTTCCGAGTAGAGGTAGATGTATCCGGGCGTAGGCCGGGCCTTGACGGCGTTGGGGGTGACGGAGGTCTGTTTCCCTGTTAGCATATTTCCAGCTCGGTCATGTAGGTGTCATAGAGAAAACACACATCCAGCTCACAGATGCCACCCTTGAAGGTGATAATCGGTGCTATCGACATGTCCGCTTCGTCGTCTCGTCTTCTCGTCTGCTTCTTCTTCTTCTTCTTCGTCTTCGTCTTCCGCTTCCCGCCAGTCTCGTCCTTGTCGTTCGTTCGCTTGACTTTCTGCTGTTGTTGCTTCTTTGGCTGCCGGTTGGTCTAAGCGCTGCTGACTAAGTAACTGATTACTCATATCATTTACTAATAGACTTTATCTGACGCAGCCGGAAAAATTGAACGCCGAAATTGTCCCAAAGTAGCCTAGCGCCCTCGGCTAGAACTAGGGCACTTTGTGCGCTTCCCACAAAATATCGAACAAGCGCAAAGCGAGAAGTCGAACTTCGAACTTCCAGATCTTCAACAACGACAAAAACCACCACCACCCACCGTCGCCGTCGACCACCCCCGGGAATCCCGCAGTATTGCAATTCTCGTTTCCCAAGTCTTCGTCACATAGAGCCAACATGTCGGCGCCTGGCCAGACGAAGAAGTTCGGAAAGGGCGAGAGGACCGTCCCGACCAAGAAGGCACAGAAGTGGTATCCTGTTGATGACGAGCCTCAACCAAAGAAAGTCAGTATACCAGCGTCGACGTCGTGTTGCAATTGTTTTGCAGATGCTCGAGGAGCAGCCGAGAGGAGAATCTGCTATATCTGGCGATAATATCTCTAAATTTCCAAGAGAATTGCGAAATACAATTGGAACGGCAAAATATAAATATATATTTCGATATATATATATATTTGATATATAAATATCAAGAATCGTGGAAGACCGCGGTTACTGACATAAACGTTCAACTACAGGTTCGCAAGTCCGTCAACCCCGCTAAGCCACGCGCCAGTCTCCAGCCGGGCACTATCCTTATCCTCCTCGCTGGCCGTTTCCGTGGCAAGCGTGTTGTCCTTCTCAAGCACCTCCCACAGGGTGTCCTCCTCGTTACCGGTCCCTACAAGCTCAACGGTGTCCCACTTCGACGAGTCAATGCCCGATATGTCATTGCCACCAGCGCATCCGTCAAACTGACCGGCCTTGACGAGAAGACTTTGGAGAAGGTCTCTCAGCCCGGATATTTCACTGCCGGCAAGACCACTGAGAAGAAGGGAGAGGAGGCTTTCTTCAAGCAAGGAGAAGCACCTGAGGTATGTACAACGGGAATTCTTGGGGCGGACAAGCGGAATAAAGGGCAATAGCTGACATGTATTGTTTTCCCATGTAGAAGAAGAAGATCACAAGCGAACGTGCCAGCGACCAAAAGGCCGTCGATTCGGCCCTTTTGGCCACCATCAAGAAGGAGGAGTTCCTCGACAGCTACCTTGCCTCCAGCTTCAGCCTACGGAAGGGCGACAGACCTCATGAGATGAAGTGGTAGATTCGGGAGTGTGGTGGTTTCATGGCCGTTAAAATAATGTCTTCTGTTCTCTCTTTTCACTAAGCGGAGATTCCTTGTATGTTGCCAGGGAGGGAATATGCAACACAACGCCCTCAACTTGACGTGTGTATGTTCTTGTGTTCTTTAAAGCTATGCTCCTCCGTCACACTGATATGGCGTGTTTCCCACCGAAGTATCAAAATTTCCAAAGAAATCAAGGGCCTTGGTTGCAACTTTCCAGACACTCTGCAATATAATACAAACAAAAACGATGACGACCAAACAAACAACCTCTTGCTCTGTTTCTTCTCCGCCTTCCGACATTAGCGAAACCTGTCTTCCTGATCGAACATCCCCTACCACATACCTATATCTCTGCCCGTTGTCAAATACATGCCCCTATTTACTCTTTTCTTTACAAGCCGCTCGTACACATGTCACTATTACCAATAAGATCGCAATGACTGGATGGCATCTTGGTTCTTTCACTTCCACTTATCATTTGGTATCAAGAAACATCAAATGTTTTATCCAAGAATAATAATAACTTCATTAGTTAGTGTACATTTTCTCTGGTCTTTCGGCGGTGGCTTCGCCTTGGCTTCTTTTCAACAAGCTTCTCAGCGATGCTTTCGCCGTTAGACTGCTCGGGAATATCATCTTCCAGCTCGTCCCCTATAGATGTTCCAAATAACCAATCCATCATTCCCAAAGGCGCATAGTTGCCATGCCCCCCATGCAAGAGATGCAGGTCCACTCGTCTGGCTATACCGCCAATAAAGAAACTCGTTGGCATCGGCTTATACCCCGAATGCGCGAATGTTTCCTCTAATGACACCATGCTGAGATAGAGCATGTATGTCAGCAGGTGGCATCTGAATGCTGCTGCTGGCAGGAATGTAGGAAGGAAGTGCCAGAGTAAGTATGCGACCGGGTGGTCGTAGTGAGCGGTTAGCGGGTACGGAGTGTGTATCGAATGGTACCAGTCGTTATGATATTGCTGGAAAGGTGTCCATGAGTGCAGAGCATAGCGATGAACAAGATATTGCAGTATCTAGATCAGACTTCAGTCTCTGGCTGTCAATGAAGAGCAGCTTGTAAACATACCTCTCGAATTATCAACGCCCTCCCCACTCCCTTGATAATATCCCACGGCAGAGGCAGCTTCGTCGTCACCTTCAACCGACTCTTCACCCCCAGTACTCTCGTCAAAACAAATTCAATAATTCCCTGTGCTGCTATGCCCAGAATCAAATTAAATATAGCCCAGAGAGCCACCTTAAGCTCCGAACTGCCATAGTTCTTCTTCTTCCCTTGTGGCAGGCCATCTTTGCCGTATACTTTCAACACCACCGAGGCAGAGGGAATTAGGATATCGAATAAGAAGAACAGGACGGACGGTATGAAGTAAAATATCAATCGGACGGCCGTGGTACCGACGAGCTCGACTTTCAACGGGCCGTGGGAGAGGACGAGTGTCGTCCAGGTGAGGTAGAAGAAGATCAGATTCAGGCTCGTTCCGTACGAAGACATGGACGGTATCAGCAGATACGATAGCACTGGAATCGAGAGAAGCGCGCCCATCGCTGACCGGACCTTTGCGACGGGCAGCCGGTGAGGTTGGCTATGCAATGTTTCTGTTCGCCTTTCAGATATATTTTTTTTGGCAACAAGGATCTTACAGTTGGTTAACGAGCTGGACGGCTTGTTACGTCATTCGTCTTATCCACACAGACCTGCTAACTATTTCATGCTCTTCATTTGATGCTTCGAATATCGTGCTATAGCTACAGGTCGAGTGGCGGCCCGGCTTTCGTCATGGTCGAGCTGGTGGAAGCCACTATCTACTCTCCGGTCACATACCGTGCAACGTGGAGAAGAGCCGTGCGACTACGTAGTTCTACTATCACAGCTAGCACTGACTGGTCTGTGTGAAGCAAATATTCAAGAAAACAATAATGATATTTTTATGTAACTTAGGGCAATCCGTGGTTGAGGTAAGGTGCAACTCCAGGTACGCCTTCAGGGGGTAACCAGTAATTTCACATCACCAGGCAATGAAGACTATCAACGAGGTTTGGGAACTCCATGAGTGCGACCCCAGTTCCATGCTTTGCCTGCCAAATCCGGGATAACAAAGATGAATGCGATGGCGCTGACCATGCTAATAAGGGTGTCGATGATGATGTTGTTTCGAGGGCTACTTCCCATCGCAGCTCCCTTCATCAAAGTTCCAATTAACATAGTAGTGATCATATATTCACCCTTCTCAAGGCCCTTTATGGATATCCTGGCAACTTCATCCGGTGTCTGAGGCTTATCGGCTTCCTCTAACAGTTTGGTCAGGTCCGGCTTAATGGTTTGTTCGTGGGCAAATCCAGGCGAGAGGATCCCCATAGGGTAAACGATATGGATCTTGACATCAGCAGCTGGAGCTGGTTGTTGCAGGTTCTTCCTTGATCCATTGTATACTTCAATCTCTTGTGCGAGGGTGTCTGCCAGAGCTCTCATAGCGGCCTTTGCAGGACTGTAAGGGCCATAGCCAGCCAAGGGCACAAATACGGCAGCTGAAGAGGTGAAGATAATGTGGCGGGGAGAAGATTTTGTGTTTCTTGAGCTAGGGTCAACCGGGGACAGCCATCTGCTAAGAGTCGAGTGCGCGGTAAAGGCAGCAGTCCAGTAGATTGTGTCCATCTGGGACTTTAGAGTCTCTGGCGGAGTGGTGACGAAGAATCCAGGTAGTGACATCCCAGCACAGCACCAAACAATATCAGGAGGCTGGCCGCCGTTCCATTTGCTGACTTCTTCCAGGGCATGCTCGGTTCCTTCGTGGTCTTTGAGGTCTGCGCTGACATAGTGAAACTTCTGCCTCTCCGGGTATAAAGCTGTAGCCTGTGTAAAACATGAGAAAACGGCCATTTATATGTGTTGCTCGTCAATATGCATACGCACTTTGATATCATTCAATGCTGCCTCAAGCTTGGATACAGTTCGCGATACGATGACAATGTTGGCACCCTTTTTTGATAGCTCGATGGCAACACTTCGGCCCATTCCCTCTGAGCCTCCAGTGATGAGAACCGTCTAAGCCTATATCAGCCATACGTAAAACATGTCATCCATATTACCAGCTCCCACATACCTGTCCATCGACCTGGAATTGGTTCTTCCCGCCAAAGCCAAACATCGGTGCTGCCAGGTATACAAATATGCCAAAGAGCAAGACTGCTGCAACCGACTTAACACTCGGATAACCTATTCCTTCCATACAAACGGCTGCACGCCAGAGTTACCTGCTTAGAAGTATCTGGAACCTACACAATCTTCGGGGTTTATGTGATCTTAGATATGGACAGAGAGGTTGAGTGTCTTCAGGAGCTCACAACTAGTTTAACTCAACTAGCGAGAAGTACCCGTGCTTCTCAATAATTCCTTTTTCAAGTTACGAACCTTGTGATTACGTACAATCACCACATATTTGTTATCGATAACCGTAATTAATACCAAAAATACACTATACCTAATTAAGTTAGGCCTCGGCTGCTCCACCAGACTTTGGTAATTTTTGTATTTTTTTTTTTTTTTTTTTTGGAAGCTCGAAATTAGCACTCTGATTGTCAACTTTGATCTTGCGGCAGGCGTTGGGAAGAGTGAATAATTCAGGATACACTTGCTCTCTTTATAAAATATCATGGCAAAGAAGAGAAAGGCTGGCGGAACTGCCCTAGCTCACCGCAGCAAGAACCCTATTGAGGGCGAAAACTCGAGGTTTGCGGCAGATGCAAGATTTGAGAACTCTGAGGATGAATTCGAAGCTGGACGAGACCGTGTTTTGCTTGAAGAACGCCCGGAGGTGAAACGCAGGCGGAAGCTGGAAGAAGACGGTATTTGCGCGCTCACTTTTCCTCATAGAAGTTCGCCTGAGTACTAACATTTGAATACCTAGAGCGGTTACTGCAACTATCAGACGAAGAGGTTCACGGGTACCTATCCGAGTCAGCATCGGAGGATGATTATGATTACGGGGATGAAGAAGGGGAAGAAGAAGTAGAAAGGGAAGATAAAAGCGCACAATCAAAGAAGAAACTCCCGAAGCTACGACGAAGAGAAGAACTGAGTCCTGACCTCCTTGATGACGGTAAGAAACCGGAGGAAGACGAGGAAGAAGGGATCACCGCATGGGGAGTATTGAAATCGGACTACTACAATGCCGACACAATTGAGACAGAGGGAGATGCGCTAGAAGAAGAGGAAGAAGCCAAGAAGATCCAGCTGAAAAAAATACAGTCCATGACGGATGCTGATTTTGGATATGACGAATCCGAATGGCTTGACAGTATGAAAGGGGATGGGGAAACATCGAAAGACTCCATATCGCATGGAAAAACCATTACAGAGCTACTCCCAGAAATACAGATACCTGATGACATGAGTGTCGAGGAGAGGTTGGATATTTTATCGAAGCGGTACCCTGAGTTTCTACCTCTGTCACGGGATTATGCAGAGCTTCAGCCTCGATACCGAGAACTCTCTGTGGCAGTTGATGGGCCTCGGAAGACTTGCAAGGAAACCCTGGGTGAGAAGACACCACTGTCCGTTCTGCAATTCCGTGCATTAGCTGCCTACCTTGGAGTCATCAGCATGTATTTTGTGCTTTTGACTTCCCCTGCCCGAAATGGCACTGAAAGCTGTCTAGCCTTACCACCAGCGGAACTCAGAGAACACCCCGTCATGGATGCATTGGTTGCCTGTCGAAAAACCTGGGAACAGGTAAAAGATTTGCAAGAGATTGAAGAAGAGCCATCTGATATTGAAAAAGAGGAAGAAATTTCTATCAAAATTCCAGCCAAAAAATCGTCACTAGACAAACCATCAAAGGTGGCCAAAGCTGTGAAAATACCCAAAAAATCAAAGGCTCAGAGATTGATGGAAGAGGCGCAGGCAGTTGTCGAGTCGCAGCGTGCTGAAAAACTCAACCAGACTGAGCTTGGCCTACAGGAATTATCTAGGCTGCTGGATCAGGGAAATTCGTCAAGGCTAGCTTCGCAGCGTGAGCCACGGCTTCATGACGATGACTCCGATTTTGGAGACGAGACTAGACTTACTGCTCACGAAGTTGCCGAGAAAGCTAAGAAGAAGAAATCACTACGCTTTTATACCTCCCAGATTGCCCAAAAAGCAAACAAGCGCGATGCTGCCGGTAGACATGCTGGTGGAGATACAGATCTACCATACAAAGAACGAAACAAGGACCGTCAGGCTCGTCTTAACGAGGAGGCACAGAGGAGAGGACGCATGGAAGCAAATGAGAACGAGCGCCTTGGCGGTGATACTGATGAAGATGACTATCGGATGGCAAGAGAAGTTCGCGGTGAGATGGATGGTTCTAACAGCGACAATTACTATGACATGGTTGCCTCTCGTCAGAAGCAAAAGAAAGCTGACAAGAAGGCATTATTTGAAGCGCGTGCCCTTGCTGCTAAGGAGGGTGGCCGTGTGGAGATCCAAGAGGAGGTTGGCCCTGATGGCAAACGTGCCATCACCTATGCTATTGAAAAGAACAAAGGATTGGCACCAAAACGAAGTAAGGATATGCGAAATCCTAGGGTGAAGAAGAGAAAGAAGTTTGAGGCCAAAAAGAAGAAGCTTGGAAGCATGAAGCAGATCTACAAGGGTGGTGAAGGTCGTGGTGGATATGGCGGAGAGTTGACGGGTATCAAGAAGAATTTGGTAAAGAGTGTAAAATTATAGAGCATGTCGTCGTTTGGTATAAAAAATAAAAGGGAAACGACTGATAATAACACAATTCATGGTAAATTACATGCCAGTAGGGAAGGCTTAAGGCGACAGGAGAGATAAAGAATTTACAGCGGGAGGTGGACTATTCTCTATATTCTCATCCGACCCCATAACACGGGAGACTTCATCCATCCTACTCCCTATTATCTCCTCTAGGAGTGATCTGGCGCATGTTGTTGTCGTTTCTTCTCCGGAACCAACATTTGAAAAGTCGGCTTCCAGGAATTTCCTTGCCAGATGCTCCTAATTCAGTTGAGTACCGGTTAGGTTCTGCGGGATAATGCAGTGACTTCACTTATAGGTATCAGGAATCAGGTTAGAGCAGTACATACCGCCTGTTCAAGCTCTTCCGCCTCTCTTGCGGTCATTCTTGCGCAACTAGCTACCAGATCTTCCTTGCGATGTATCAATGCTTCTATTTCCTGTGCGCGAGAGACTATTCCAGTATCTATCCCTGCCATTGCAGCACAGCTAGGGAGTCCGTTAGTTATGTCAATGTCATGATATATTACGTAAACGTACTTGGTTCCAAAGCTCGAGCTGCTCTTTCCCAGCCGGAAACTACTAGAAGCTTAGCATTTGCGTTTCTTAATGGTCTAACAATGATATCTCACTTATAGAGGTATGTGACTTGATCCTCAACATTCTCAGCGGAACGATTGATTTGAACTTCCATGTGACCAAATTCTAGCTCTGGGCGTGATTTGAGGAACCCATTTTCGAATATCTCATGGAAATGGGTAGCTGCAATCACCTTTGGGCGCTGATCTCCCACACTTAGGAGGTATTCAAACAATCCGCAGGCCAGACCTGCACCGTCTACGATCATGAGTTAGCACTAGCTTGGTGTTATCTGGGCAAGAAACTTGTACCGGATGATTCAGTGCCTTTGCCGAATTCATCAATGATTATCAAACTTCTATTGGTAGCTTGATTTAGGGCAAATGATACCTGTTGAAGGTCGTTCGCAAATGTACTTTGAATCTAACGTTGTAAGTACCATATATATTGCACGGAACTTATCACAAACCTTTGAAACGGTCTCCCGAGTTGATATTCTAGTCAATATCCTATCAGTATAGCCAATTATGGCGCTATCAGCGGGGACAAAGCTGGCAAGTAGTTAGATTTTGAAGGATAGTAGTTGAGAATTGGTATCAACCTTCCAATATGAGCCATATAAACAATGATAGCAACCTATACAGAGTTAAGCTCTAGCCAGGCTATCTGGATAGGGCAGCGTGGCTTACCTGGCTGAGGTAGACACTCTTCCCTGAGAAGTTTGGACCGGTCAAGAGGAGCATGCTTGGTCTCTGAGTTGTTTCTCCTGCGGGACGTGGGTCAGTGTTAGAGGGCACATCATTTGGGGTGTCCTCCATGGACCCTTTCCCGCCGACAATAAATGTATCGTTGGGTACAAATGATGACACTGTTGCTTCATGGAGCATATGACTATGGAGAGTTAACAGCCTCGTTACGAGAGGAGATTAATAAGGAAGACTTACCGGCCACTCTTGATGGATATTACATTCTCCTCGGTCATGCGAGGTCGTACAAGTTTATGCAAACTAGCACCCTGGACTAGAGCCAGAAGGCTATTCTAGTCGTGAGAAGAAGCTGAAGACTAGGATCTAGGAATGGTATACCTATCAATTTCCCCACATATATTAGACGCATCAACAAGCATCTTCTCGTATGTCAAGATATCTTGTGCAAGTTTATAAACGATTTCTATTTCCTTCTCTGGATATTGTAAGTGATTTAAGTAGAGATTTGGAATACTGTGGTCAAAACTTACCACAGATTAATCCGTATACATCACCGAGTTTCTCATCCATTTCACGCATTCTTGAGTCTTTAAAATAAGCTCTATTTTCCGTGTTGAATACCTGAGTCCAGTCCTCGTCGTTTGAACCATACATGGGCATATCCCTATCGTCAAATGGCATAGCGATATTGAAGCCAAGCTGTGGGAAATAAACGACATTTATTTCCTTAGTTATCGCCTCTGGGAGGGATGCGGCAATGTTGACAGCGACCTGGTTGAGCAAGCTATCCATACCGCTATAAGTCTCCTTCAAATTGTCCAGTTCCTGATCAATTCCAGATCGAACCACTGTGCGATGCTCCTCGACAGAAATAGAAAGGTCAACCTAGTGAATGGTTAGCTGGAATAAAAAAATGTCAAGGTTTCCCCTACTATCTCATGGATTTTAGCCCCAACCTGATGTAGCTGGGCTAGATCAAGCTTTAGTAGTGCCTACAAAACAACAAGTAGTTAGAACTGTCAAGTCAGCGATGTTCGATTTTCACGAGCCCACCTTCATGCAAACGTCTAGTGCTTGAACCCCAGTAACTTCCTTCAAAGCTAGATTGACATCAATGGCATGAAACGCAAACTATAAGCCATGTTAGTTCCTGTTTAGAGGCCAGCAACTATATATAAGGATTTGAAGTAATAGACATACGTCAAGTAGACTGGACCACACTACGCCTTTAAACCCTCTGAACTTCGCACTTCCAGTACTGATTCCTTTTCGCAGATGAATCATAACTGGTCTCATATTCTTAATATTCTTCAAGCTTTTGATGAGTTGTCCAAGGGTAGGGTCATTTTCTGGCCGTAAAAAGACACTGATGAATTCATGTCTCTGGCCAATTACGGTGGGATCAGTACTTGGACGAAGAAAAAGCTGCTTTAGCAAGCGTTTTCCTTGGGGTGTTCTTGCAAAATGATGGAAGAGACCATATATAGATAATCCTTCCTTCGACCCTGATGACGTTTTGCCTGGGCCTTGATTGAAGGCGTTTGGATGGGACTCGGACTGTAGTATTTGAAGGGAAGCCAGGGTATCTCTATTGATGAGCCTGTGGTTATATGTTAGCTGAATTTGTTGTAATATGAAAGCCCAAGAGAATTCTGACATTGCTTTTTGTAGGCTAATCATCCCAATAGCGCTAATACCGATTGCGGGAGCGCCTAATGAGCCATGTTGCAGGGATAAAGTAGCACGTTTCCTTTGCAAGTACGTGAGAATCGCTCCTGCACAGCCGACGGATATACGGTTTTCCATGTCAACGAACCCACCGATGTTCAATAAATCGCCTTGCTGTTCTGTGAATTCAACATTTTCTCCTGTAACATTACCATCATGAGAGAAGCCTGTTCCCGGTATAAGGAACTTAAACGTTTCATTAGACTCAGAGTTGAATTTGAAAGCTGCGAGTTTGATCTTTGCATTTTCAAATCCAAACTCTTGGGTTGGACGCACGTCTAGCAGGTATGGTAGCTGGAGATGCGAATCTAGAGTATCATTGGTCAGATATTTGTCCTTGCTTCTATCGAGTGATGGAAGGCTAACCGATGTCAGAGGTAGCACGACTTGTGCCTTCCGGATGTGTAGGATCTTCTAATCCCTGATCAGCCCGCAGAGATAGCAGCAGCACTGTGGGTTCGATTTCTAGTTTTACTAGTTATAAGGGAATTTAGTAGACAACAAGAGAGACAGGTGCGGAGTCTCCACGTACAGATGTCAATAACACCATACCCACCATAGACGATGTCCTCCATGACATATAGTTTCTCTTCCTGAGCAGAATAATAACTGCAGCCGATTGTTCCTTGGTCCTTCATATCTACGGCCATGACAACTTTGCAAAGCTCTTCATCATCATCGTCCAATCGCTCCTCCTGGGTAGAAACTTGACTATGTGGCAATGTATTGGAGGGAAGATTTTCATTTTCATTCTGCGGATTTCTACTCGTTGCGACCGAAACGGCTCTGGAATAAGATGGCCGTGATGAAATATAGTGGGTATCTTGGCTCGAGGTTCTGTTTCCACGAGACCTTCGGGAAAAATACCCTCTTCCACGACCTTTGGTGAATGGATTCCTCCTCTCCCTGGCTGGGAATGATCGTGCCATGCTGTGGTGCGATTGTGTATTCTTGATATTCCTGGTAATCCTTGATAATCTTTACTAAGAGAAATAGAGTGGAGGTTGGAGTTGTCTTTCGTGACTTGATGTTGATTTAAGCTTAATCGGGTATTACCCAATTAGGACACGAACAAAAGTGGCATCGTCCAAAGTAACTGTTCCTTGTGAACGAAAATGATGATATCGAACAATATGATAAATAGAGTAGAGGCTCTTTCATTGATATGAGAACGGAAAGAAAAGAGATTCGTGGTATATTGTTATATAATACAAACCAATACCATAATCATACATGATAGCGCAGAGGCTCAGGCTGACTTTTCAGTTGCGATATCCAATCCCGTTTTGTCTTCATTGAAGATAGCGGTAGCTGTTTGACCAGAAACAACTTGTCCTCGAATGATTTTATCCGCAAGATGATTACCGATTTCCTTAGATATGAGCCTATTCAATGGTCTGGCACCATACTTGGGATCATAGCCTTTTTCACAGAGCCAGTCTTTGATTTCGTCGCTGACACTAAGGGTTATTCGCCGGTCATCTAGTCTAGCTTGGAGCTCCTTGACGCGAATGTCGACGATATCCCGGAGAGCGGATCGCGACAATCGCTTGAACAAGATGAATTCATCTATTCTGTTCAGGAACTCAGGTGGGTATGATGACTGGACAATTCCCATTACTGCTGACTTCATTTCGGGAGAGATATCCTCACCCTCAGAAGCATCTGTTGAAACAAGCACTTCAGCACCTAAGTTGGATGTAAGGACAATGAGGGTATTGCGGAAGTCGATTTTGTGACCCTGGGCGTCAGTGAGGAAGCCTTCATCCAGCACCTGAAGCAGAAGAGCAGAGATGTCACGATGAGCCTTTTCAAACTCATCGAAAAGAAGAACGGCATATGGTTTCCTGCGAACAGCTTCAGTAAGTTGGCCGGCATCATCATAACCCACGTATCCAGCTGGAGATCCGATGAGCCGGCTGACAGTATGTTTCTCCTGGAATTCACTCATATCGAAACGGACAACGGCGGTTTCAGTTGAGAAAAGGAAACCAGCCATCTTTTTGCATAATTCAGTTTTGCCAACACCGGTGGGCCCAAGAAACATGAAGGATGCTAAGGGTCTGTTTTCACCGCTGAGACCGGCTCTCTGCATCCTTACGGCGTTTGCTACCGCTTCCAAGGCTTCGTCTTGACCACGAACGGATTTGCGGAGAGTATCCTCCATGTGGATTAACTTCTCGACCTCCCCGGACATCAGTTTGTTGACCGGGATACCTGTCGTGCGAGAGACCACACCGGCAATGTCATCAGCGGTAACGGAGTCATGTAACAGGCTTTGTCCTTGCGTGCCCGTCGAACCAGTGTCGTCTTCTTGAGGCAGCTTCTTTTCCAGATTCGGGATCGTCGAATATCTCAGCTCACCGGCTTTTGCAAAGTTCCCTTCCAGCTGGGCTTGTTCTAGCTCACCCCTGGCCCGTTCCAGATCCTCCTTAGCTTGTTTGATAGCTTCAAGTTCCGCCTTCTCTTTATCCCATGCCTCGGTGAGTTTTCCGACGTCCTCTTGTTTGGATTTGAGGAGTTCTTCAAGCTTCTCCCGGCGTTCCACGCTAGCTATATCCTTTTCCTTCCGAAGAGACTCTAGCTCGATTTGGATGGTCATGATCTGCCTATCAAGTTCCTGAATGGCGTCCGGTTTCGACTCTTGCTGAAGCCGTAGGGCCGAAGCAGCTTCGTCTACTAGGTCGATAGCTTTGTCCGGAAGGAAACGATCGGTGATGTATCTATTGCTGTAGGTGGCAGCAGCAACTAGAGCACCATCAGTGATTCGGACTCCATGATGAACTTCGTATTTGTCCTTGATTCCTCGGAGGATCGAAATGGTGTCTGGAACAGTCGGTTCCTCCACTAGAATAGGTTGAAATCTTCGCGCCAGCGCAACGTCCTTTTCGATCTGCCTGTACTCATTGAGAGTGGTAGCACCACAGCATTGAAGGTCTCCTCTCGCTAGAGCAGGCTTGATAAGGTTGCTTGCATCTATACTGCCTTCTGCCTTGCCGAGACCGAGCAAGGTATGCAGCTCGTCGACGAAGAGAATGACACCGCCCTGGGCGTCTTCCACCTCTTTCAGGACGCGCTTCAGCCGCTCTTCGAAGTCACCTCTGAACTTGGCACCAGCAATCAGCTGTCCGAGATCAAGAGAGATAACTCGCTTGTTCTTGACGCTCTCAGGAACATCGCCTCTGACTATCCGCTGGGCTAACCCTTCGAGCACAGCAGTTTTGCCTGTGCCGGCCGCTCCGATGAGAACAGGGTTATTCTTCGTCCTTCTCGACAAAATTTGGATGGTTCGGTGAATTTCAGCGTCTCTACCGATAACCGGATCGAGTTTTCCGTCTTTCGCTCTCGCTGTAAGGTCGACTCCAAACTGCTCCAACGCTGGCTTCTCTGGCTCACCACCAAGATTCATTCGGTGTGTGCCGCCAGGAGGATGAGGCCTGCCATTCGCATAGTGACGCACAAAACCGGATGCAGGAACATACTGCTTCGACAGTTGCCGGGGTAGCAGGCCGTATAGGGCTCTTCGCGCGGTCGTATTAATATGAGCTGCAGCTCTGGGAGCTTGAAACAGCTGCCGGCTCCCTCGCATAACAAGACGACAAGACATGGTGTACGTCTTCACTTGCTGGAGATCGACATACCATGCGCTGCCCTTTTTATATACAAATATATATATATATATTTCCAACCTCTGCGATGGCCGTCCACGAGTCGACGGCCCTTCTCGAAGGCTCCAGAATGCGGTCCCGTCCCAGTCGTGAAGCTCTCCTTTGGTTGCCCAAGGTAACCTTCCGTCGCGGTCACCTGACCTCTCACTAAGGAAAAAATCTTTTTCTTCTTCGTTTCGATTCTTCCCCTCCATCAAAAACCATCCACGCAAGAAAGACACACTCGCAAAGCCCTTCGACGCTCCCTCAATTCACTGGACCATGGGTTTCGCCGACTTCTCTACCGACTCTGGCCTTGCCAGTGAGTGCCTCTTCGCCACCTAGCTCTGTCTGCTGGAGGCTAATCATCTTGTACAGTCGCCGACTCGTTCTTCTCGCGAAGGACCTATGTTGAGGGGTAAGCCATCACAGCTCAACCGACCTTTTTATTTCCCTGGTATCAAGTACCAAATTCCCCCAAAACACCTCTTTTTATGATGAAAGCAAGTTGGTCCGTGTTGATGAGGCGGCTTAAGACACCGCCGAGTGACTAAAACACAATTGTCCTTGTGACGTTTCTGAAAAAAAAAAAAAAAAAAAAAGTTATAAAAAGGAACATCTTCTCTGTTGCGTTGCGCTGTCCTTTTTTCTTTTGATCTTCGTTCATGCCATTGTCTATCTGTGCTCGAGATGAATGGCCAATGCTAATGTAAGTTGCAGATACGAGCCAACTCAGGCTGATGTTGTCACTTTCAAGGCCTTCAAGAGCGAGCCAGACGCCAGCAAATACCCACACGTTGCCCGTTGGTACAAGCACGCTGCCTCCTTTGAATCGGAGTTTGCTACTCTTCCAGGAGATGCTTCCAAGGAATATACTGCCTATGGCCCAGAGAACAGCGAGCTGCCAATAAACACCAAGGAAGAGGCCCCAGCTGCTGAAGATGAAGATGATATCGACCTCTTCGACAGTGAAGACGAGGACCCAGAGGTTGTTGCTGAGCGAGAGCGTAACCTTGCTGCCTACAGAGCTAAGAAGGCCAGCAAGCCCAAGCCAATTGCCAAGTCCATCGTCACCCTTGACGTCAAGCCATGGGGTATGTCTGATACGGTCCTCTACTCTACTTGTTTCCCATATACTGACCCCACTTCTTCTTATTAGATGATGAGACCAACTTGACCGAGCTTGAGGCTCACGTACGATCCATTGAGAAGGATGGTCTCGTATGGTCTGGCTCCAAACTTGTCCCCGTTGGCTTCGGTATCAAGAAGCTCCAGATCAACCTTGTCATCGAGGATGAGAAGATCTCCCTCTCCGACCTGCAGGAGGAGATTGAGGGCTTCGAGGACCACGTCCAGTCCACCGATGTTGTGAGTTTTAATTTGCCCTTCTTCTATAAACCCGCTCGGCAGAAGCTAACTCACTCAAACTCCAGGCTGCCATGCAAAAGCTTTAAGTTAAAACAACCAACAAAAAAAAATGGTAAAAAAAAAATACCACGTCGAGTAACCTCGCGTTTTAACATGTTATGAAACAGCTGATGAAGAGCAGGCGGGGATCATGAACTTTTGGCTCTAGGACGCCGAATATTCCCTTTGTCGAAAGCACGCATAGTACTGAAAATGCTAGATATTCCTGCTTATGTTTATTGACGTTAATGAAAATTCAAATGACTCGACCAGTAGATTTGCTGCCTCTCATGCCATGGAGTAGTTTGAATTCATCTTGTAGAACGTTAGAATCAACTTGCTGACGCTTATCGGGCAGCAAATTTATCGAAGCTAAAAAAATATGATGCAAACAGGACAAACATCCACCAAGCTCATCCTTCGAAGCGTCAGCCATAACAACTCGCAGTGTTAATATCGTAACCACCAGCAACAAACGTCAACAAGATACCAAAGCGCAACATATAGCTCTGCCGCAGATAATGAGCTTATCTCGCCTAATAGTAGGCTTCGGCCTGCTTCTCCTCGCCCATGCGTACGTGTGAGAGAACCGACCTTGCATCCCCTAATTTAAACCGCAGGATATAATCGTGTACTTATGCGGGATAGCTAACTATAGCTTACTACTAGGGGTTACTCTACACATGAACATTCGACATTATACGGCAGCCTCCATTCTCTCCCGGCGGATATCACGCTCGAGACGCTTGTGTCGGTGATAATGGTGATGGCAGGATTGGTTATGGGATCTGAGAAGCTACGGCCGATTAGCTGGAGTTCTTGGGCAGGCGAGATAGAGAAGCGAGGCGGTGCGGAAAACCCGTTTAAAGGACTAGAAGAACGGATGGGATTTCTTGATATCAGGGTTTGTTCTGCCAGGAGCTGACACTCGGCTGTGGACGGGATGAGTGTATACGTCGTTCTGCGGGCTACGTTTTGCTAATTTGTCTGGATTCTCTTTTCTAGGCCAAGCGAAGGGAGTTTGCGGACTGGATTCGTGAGAAAGGCGTATCTGCTGACTTGAAGCAGTAGATGTTGCATGTGTATCTGTGGCTGGACGAATATCGAGTGTGTTTATCATCACATATCAACAGAATCAGAGATGGCATACTCCATCGGAGTAGACTCCGTGCACTCCAAAACTATGATTAGTGGTCATTTGACGTAATGCCGTGGCCATGCGTAATTGAAGTGCAGAGCCATTTCCGTCGAGGGTCGAGATTGGAGTGGCTGGTTGCAATTTGCGTTGATATGGAAGTATCTCCGCATATGCAGGCAAGCTGCTGCCCCAACCTCAAACGGGGGGAGATGGATGGATATGCAATCTTGGCAGCTGGAACTTGCTCGAAATATCGTCCCGCTCTCTGTAAGATAGCAGTATTGACTCAGTAGCGTCTCCTCCGAAACGGTACTTAAACGGCGAAACTACGGATAACCCAGAGAATTGACGCTGTTTTGCCCAGAGAGCCATGGCCAGTATTACTATATATAGGGAATGAGCCGGAGTCAGATAATATTATGATAGGCATATATACTCCCTCACACATCCATCCCCCCGAGGATTTTATGCGTGGCGATGGTGAAACTGATGCTGCTCTGCTGCCAGCCTGACCGTAGCCAATACTGGGGGACCTGGATGCCCCGAATATAATAAGTCTGTGAGCATTAATTAACGACGGGGATGTGCAAGAGCCCTGTCAGCCATATGTTCCTCATGCGCACCAAAAGGGGAGAGAAGCATATTAAGCAATTTGGCACTTGGGCAACTTCTCCATAGTCAAGACCGAGCTGTTGAAGAAGCCCAATCAACATATAACGATGTAACGCATTTATCAGGCTCCATAATGAATAATATCGAAGAGATATCCGTATGGAGTACTCCGTACGAAGCAGCACAAGATGGAAAGCTGAAAGGCCAAGAAGACGCAGGAACATCGAATTAGCTAACACGAAAGCTCCAGAAGAAAGTAGAAACGTCCGTCTTCGATTGGCTTCTTTTTCCAAGGATCCAGGATAGCCCGTATGTACTCTGTTCTCCGTTAGCGACCAGTCGAGCTTGTCTTTCCCTCAAATTCTTTCCTCTCATCGTTTTCGAGGCGAAAGGCTTGAGTTAGTAGCGTAAGGGCTGGCTAGTGTTGGTGCGATGGAACGTCTCAGACCACAGGCGAGAAGGCAGACTGGTTCCATATTTTCCCGGTCATTTATTGTTCACGCCAGACCCGCGCCGGCAGGGCGAGAATTCGAACCGCAAAGCTCCATTTTCTGTAAATTAACCAGTCTGCGTCTAAGGACGAAATTTTCCGTTTTCTTTTGCTCGGTCCTTCCTCCCTTTCTCTCTTCGCCGTTGCAAGGTGAGACCTTTTGCGCTGTTGTGGGATTCTGGTTGGAAGGGATGCATGATTGGCCTGTTTCTATATTTATGGCTGGAGCTGACGAATGCGTTTCCCCCCTAAGCTTTTGCTTTGGCTAGTAAGATCGCTTGCTCTTCCGTATGGAGAATAGATAACACGACAGGGTGGTTGGGCTGGCTAGATGCATGACAAGGCGCAGTTGATGCCGTGACAAAGACAAGGGGGGGACCTCAACATCCAACCTCTTCGTCTTAATATGCTGCGGCAGGCAAGTCCGTACCCAGCCGTGGGAGGAGGAGTTGTCGTGTTTGCTTGGTGGCTGGACAAGTTGCGACACTTTCCCGTTCTTTTCTCCGTACCTTGTGTATCCAAGACCAAGGCGGTCGACCAACTTGCTTTCGTGGCAGACGGGCGGTTTAAGCGTTCAAACTGTCAACCGCCCAACAGGAAATGCGCCGGATGGCCGGTCAACCAGCGGATTCTGGAAAAAGAAACAAGACTGATGAGTCCATATTGGCTGTCCGTGGAGCCTGCCCCTGGTCCACTTCGCAATATATTATCCAGCGAGCCGCAGGTGAAACCAGAGGAAGATCGACTTTGAAATGCGCCACTCAAGCAAGGCAAAATTACGAATCACAGGGGAACCTTTGTGCTTCGTTGTCTAGCCATCGGTCTTTTCTTTTTTTTTTTTTCGTTGCCGTGTCCACCTTATAAATATTCCCCATCCCTTCTCTGTCTTGTTTCTCCTTTCTTCCTCTCTCCTTTTCCCATATATATCTCTCATCCACGACTTGCCAACAACAGCTGTACTCGAGCACATACCAAATCTCGAACTTCCAAGACATCCATTCATTCATCGTCCGAGTTCAGCTCAACAAGAAAAACCACACATCAAAATGCGTTTCTCCGCTGTTTCCATCCTTGCCCTGGCCACCGTTGCCATGGCCAAGTCTGAGGTATGTCCATGTCTGTATCTTGTGCAATTTCCAGCTGCTAACGTATCTTCCTTCAGTCTGTCGAAGGGAAGATGTCCATCCTCCCATTCACCAGCAGCATGGTCATGACCACTGCCCCTGCCCCATACCCAACTGGCGGCAGCCCAACTGGCATGCCTGGAACTGGCACTGGCTCTTCCACTATGCCACACAACTCTACCAGCACTGCTGAGACCAGCACCCGAACCGGCTCTGGCCCATCCTCTTCCATGACCAGTACCTCCACCTCGACTGGCCTTGCTGCCACCGCCGGCCCAGCCATTGCCGGTGTTATCGGTGGTGCTGCCGTCGTTGCTGCTTTCCTTTAAAATGCATTCATTCTTCTGCCATGGGAGGGTTCCCTGTTTCTCTGGATGACATTAAGCCTTAATCGGTCCTAAGAAACGGGAATAATCAGGACAATTGACCTTCCGTTATTCTTGTTGTTACTTCTTCCATCCATCAATGTAGACCCTTTTTCTGTACTATTTTCCTTTAATTTAATATACCACGCATGTTTACTTTACTCGGCGTTGGGCCCTTTCCCGCGGTTGGGTGGCCTCAGAAATGGAATGTTTTTTTTTTTTTCTGGAACAAAATATTGTTGTGATGTTGCCATTCATTCGGTCGTGGGCTCTTTAATTTCGATCCCTTCATGAGCCTTTTCGACTGCCTTTAATATTATTGTGATATATGCTCCGTAGTTGTTGCTAGAATATAAAGATACGTTAGCCTTTATACTTCGATGCTTACATCAACAAACAAGCCACCAGCGTTCATCGGCCTTGGGATGCCTCTTATCAATGCCCTGCCGCCAGCTGTTGACAGGAGGGGCACTCTCACAGCGCGCCAGGGGTCCCTCGCTGCCCCCGGCAACCCGTCCGCCCGCCATGCGCGGCCGTTCTTCAGCGCCAGGCGTGATGTTGTTCGGTCGCTGCAAGCTTGAAGCCGGCGAGAAACGCGAAATCAACAAGTCGCGGCGCCGTTTTCGTGACTATTTAACCCTTTTGGGCCTAGCGCCCGTCGCCCCCCAACCTCGCATCAAAACAAACATGACGAAGTTCGACGAAGATCAACCAAAACAACAACAACAACAACAACAACGACGACGACACTGCCGCCGACAAACAGCAAACATCCGCGCCGCCAGCAACTTGAGACAAGCAAGAGGAGGATACCGGCACGAAGAGTAGCGACTGCTGCGTGGTACGAAGACGCCGCAGGATATTTGCTCCCCTCCGCTGCTGTGTTCGTGGAAGAAGCCAGCTAGCTGGACGCACACAGACTACCCGGCACGCTTGTCACAGCCGAGACGGCAAGATGGTATGACCCCTTGATGATGATGATGTCAAGCACGCGGCATGGCTAACAGCCTCTCTAGGCTTCCAACTTGAAGCGTTTAGCTAGGGAGCATGCCTCGCTCCATCACCAGGGCCTCCCGCCATACTACTGCTTTCCCAGCTCCAACCCCGCTGGCCCAGATAGTTTGACGCAGCTCACCGTGCTGCTTACCGGGCCATCGGGGACACCTTACTCGCAGGGACTTTGGCGTCTGCAGCTTCGTCTGCCGGAAGACTACCCCTCAAGCCCGCCCAAGGCGTTTTTCAAAACACGAATATGGCACCCAAATGTCGAGGAATCAACTGGTGCCGTCTGTGTGGACACGCTAAAGAGAGACTGGGATCCAAAGCTTACACTGAATGATATCCTGATCGTAAGTGTCTTTTACTCTTGACGGATTGAGAATGTGCTAATGGCTAGCTCTAGACGATATCGTGTCTTTTGATACATCCAAACCCTGATTCAGCACTAAACGCCACTGCCGGTGCTTTGCTGCAGGAAAACTACGAGTCATTCGCTCGGCAAGCGAAGCTGATGACCTCTATCCATGCTCCTATTCCAGCAGAAATGAAAGACCAAGTGAATGAAGCCAAAAGAGATGACGACGTTACTGCCAGTTCAACTGGTGAAGAGCAAAGCAGCTCGAATAGAGACGTGCCAGTGCAGACAGTCATCATGAAACGAAAACAGCAATCAACCCCACCATTGCTGGAAGAACAACAACCCGCGTCGGAACACCAAGTGAATCAGCCAACTGAGGACTCAGATTCAGATGCAGACGCGGACTCGGATTCAGAAAATTCAGCATCAAAGGAGAATGATCCAACACTTTCAAGTTCGCCTGTCATAATGCCTGTCCGCAGCCCACGTAGCGTCCTTGGGAACGCCCCTTATCCGTCCTCTCTGTGGCAGAGGAACCAGAGCTCGTTCTGGTAAATGATTCCTCCGACGACGAAGGGGACGCAAACCAGCCGCCAGAGTTCAGTGGTATGACAGCCTCGGAGAAGAACGTAGCAGCCAACAGCCCCGACTTCGCAGCTACCATAAGCAGAAACAGGTCAAATTCAAAACATCAACACCAACACCGCATCCCGTCTTTAAATGATCAATCACTCCTTCTCCAACCGCGCCGAAAAGCTCCTAAACTCTCCGATTCGACAGCGAAGCGGTCATGCATTAATATGGCCCCAGTCAGCGTCTTGGCTCCTGCGAAGACAGCGGCTGAGAGGAAGCGAAGCTCCGCCGGGTCAGACGGTGGCAATTACGCGAATGCGAAACCGCTCAGCCCAATCATAAGTGTCGCTACGGCCACCATGACCACCAAGGAGACAAACATGAAGCAGGCCGGTGGTCCAGCACCTTTCCTGACAAGTAAAGTCGAAGCCTCGTTTTCAATGGACGATAAACTGTCTGTTCGAAGCAGCCTTGCGCCCCTTCCCCTGGCTAGGAAACCGCAACACCAACATACCTTGAGTAATCTAACGGTCAGACCGAAGCCCCGGACGGGTCTTAGGAGGTTGTAATTGATGGTGTTTCTGCAGCTAGTTTGTTTCATCCCTCTTTTTCTCCCTTCCCTGCATTGAGACATGCATGCATATTTAACGAGAGCAATTGGTTTTTACTTACGATTATGATAATGATGGGTTGGGATGGACTGGTCCGGCATATTACGGTTGGAGGATGCAATTGCGTTATTTGGCTACTTGGCTGTATTGTGCTGCCGCAGTCCAAAAAAAAAAAAATCCACGATAATCAATCAACTAAATTAGTACCTAGGCGGTTCTTTAATCGACGTGTTTTACAAAAGAGCTGAGTTAACGAGTGACTATTTTTGTATTAGGACTGACTGACTATGTAAACATTAAGTCGCAGTATTGATAACAAGCCTGGGGTTTAACGATAATAATGGTAAGAACAAGGTCACAATGTAACAAATTGATAAGGACAAAAAGACACCATATTAGATAAACAGCTTGTTGCCAACACAACACACACACTCCCTTGTGGCCAAACTGGTAAAAATGCAGGAGCAAATGCGTATAACTTATATTTTTTTGGCGAGAGGTTTTGTAGATGGGGTGGGTAATCGTCCTGAAAATCGAGGGGTACTGGCGCAAAGGGACTTCACCTATTCCTCCCTTTCATTATATAGTTCAAGTCGAAGTGCGTTCTGCTCCAGATTCAGGAACACCTTTCCAGGCACGATAAGGGGATGATGTATCATGACTAGATACCATAAAAAGATAAAAAGAACAAAAGCAGCTAACGCCCGCAATGAGTATCCGATACCGATGATGGAGTGAAAGAGCGACATGTGTGATTCAAATCACACTGAAGAAAAACAGATCGATTGCTGTTAATGAGCGGAATTCATCTTGGATAAGTAAAGATAGTATTGAACGTCCTGGCAACGATTTGATTGACAGTGGAAGCCACTGCCAATGTCATTATATTTTGATAAGAGTGTTTTCAACCGACAGCAATGGTGGAATTGAAATCCGATCCAGTACTTGAGGTCGACCCAATGATCGTATTCTTTTTTTTTTTTTTTTACAAAGCGTAAGGGTTCATAGATCGAATAGTCAAGCAACTATAAATGATTATTAATAATGAGATCATTAGAAGCAGTAGAGTAGAGAGTAAAACTTACGGTGGGCTCTTGCTGAGATCGATCTTGAGAATGATTGGAACGCGGGCCAATTCCCTGACATCCTGGATATACTCTCCATCCTCTTCGCGCAATTCGAAAAGATGGCCATATTTCTCTTTCGGGCTCAATTCTACAATTTCACCATCCTCGCCATCCTCACCATTCTCCGCATTCTGAGTATTTTTAGTATTTTCGCCACCCTCGGCATCTTCGTCATTGGTAGTCTCGCCCGCAGTAGTTGCAATTCTGGGGTCGGATTGAGTACGGTGAGGTGGGTGTGCAGGACCATTTCGTGGAGAAGGTGGCATGCTCTGTGTGGAACGGTCAGGGGAGTTAAGAGACACTCCGGCGAAGGAGTCAGTGAGAGCATCCTCATCATCATCAAACAAAGCATCAACGTCATTTGGAGAGACAGTGTTGGTCTCGGTGCTGATTCGCTGGGCTTCTTCCCTCTCCTGTTCTCTCTTTCGAGCTTCCTCCGCTTCACGGGCGGCAGCAGCCTGGCTAGCGGCACGTCCACTGAGAGTTGACTTGGGACGCTCATCCTCGGGGATGTAGGTAGAGGACGGAACGCCCTTCTCCCAGTACAACTCTAGGACGCGGTCATCCTTGCGGAACTCTGCCTTCTTAAGAGGGAGTTGGTCACAGTGGACACGCTTCTCACAGCCATACTCGGGAATCAGAACGTCAAAGGCAGACTCATATACGCAGAGGACGATACCCTCGGCAATGAGGTCGCCGTCACTTTCTTTTCTCTTCTTCTCCATAGCGTGGCACGCTTCAAAGTGCACACTCTGCTCCTGTGCATTTTGAGCAGAGTCTTTCCTGCTGTTAAGGTAGTTAAGTGCCTTGTAGTCTAATTCATCTTGCCACTCTGTTGTTCCTGCCAATGCTGCCTCTAGCTGTCTGTGGACAACAATGTCGGCATAGCGACGGGATGGATTAGTGAAGTGAGTGTAAAGTGACAAGTTAAGCATGTAGTGAGAACGGTGCTCTTCCCGGACAGTTGGAGGGGTGTAATATTTTCCACGGCTCAAGGTCTTGAGCAAGAGTGTCTCCATACTCTAGAAAAATCATGTTAATATAGTGGTTGTTATGAATAATGATGATTGGGTTCATACCTTCCGCACGTCATCATTTTCCACCTTGAAAAGACTGTTCTGCAGTGTGCCACTGCTAGTAGGATCAATGTTGTACCCAAGTTTGGACATGCGCTCGACAAATGTGCCTAGTCGTCTAAAGTTGGGCGAAGCCTGTCGACGGAGAAGGGCATGCTCAGGGAAGGCCTCGAAGATCTTCCTCGCAACATAATGATTAGCCATGTAAGTGAGCTCATCAATAGCTTCACGACCCGGGGAGGCATTAAATATGTTCTGCTGGACAGGAACATTCTCGTCATCAAGCTGGTATAAGAGGCGGAGAGGGCGCAATTTTTCCGCACGGTGTCCAAGACGAGCATCGCGAAGTTTGTTAGAGACATCCTATGAAAGTAGGGATTTAGTAAGGCCGTCTTGGTTTACCTGAATAGTATGATAGACAGTGGATACTTACAGCCAATAATTTAATGTCCTTGACAGAGACACCATCGACTTCAACTTGCCCAGTCCCTTTGATGATTTTATCGAGCTCGGCATAACTCAGCTTTCCTTTGCTATTGACAATACTCTTGCCAATCCAGGGCTGATCGACAATCTTGCCAGACTCAACAACAACTTGGAGCAGGACGCTCACAGCGAGACGATCGTTTCCAGGCAAGAGAGCCATGACTTTCTGGGCCAAGTGTGGCGGGAGCATATCCACAATGCGATTCATCAAAAAGGCACTGGACACACGCTTCTTAGCCTCGCGTTCAACCGCACCACTAGGATCAACAAAGCGAGCGACATCAGCAACATGAATACCGATCTCTACTGTATTGTCGTCAAGTCGTCTGATATGGAAGGCATTGTCCATTGCCTTGCCTCCATTGGGATCAATAGTGAAAACGTTGTATTCACGGAAATCTGTGCGGGAAGCAAGAGACTGGGGATCCTCTTGTCCAACGGACCAATCTTCGAATCCAACCTTGTCAAGAACAGAAGCTGGGAAATCCTCGGCAGCGAAGTTGTTGTCTCTGAGCAAGGCATCAATCTCAACCTTCAGGTTGCCCATTGGACCAAGCTGCTCGCAAAGGGTTCCAAATGGATGGAGCGAGGTGATGGGCCATCGTTTGACAGTAGCAACGAAAATAGTGTTTGCGTAGTCTGCGTGACGGTCAACGAAGTCACGAGGTGCCTGCTCGGTTGGAATAGCGATCAAAGGTACACGCTTGTCGGTGGGCTTGAACCAAACAATCTTTGGTCGCTCCTGGTGGCGCTCATGCTGAGGACGTCCGGAGTAGCCGTCTCTGGCCTGTCTTTCGGCTTCCTGCTTTTCCTTGGTTGCCTGGCTGCTGGGTCGAAGAAGGCCCAAGGAGCCAGCGAAGATCTGGTGGGCCGCACGGTCAACGACAGCAATGATATGACCTGCGTACAAGGGTTTGTGCTCATCGCTGATCTCATCTTCTTCGACAAGAAGCAAGCTCTGACCTTCGACTTCGACGTCATCATTCTTCTTCTGGGTGGGACGCTGGCGAAGACTACCTCTGCGGCGAATGCTACCGTCAGGGCCAATTTGCTGGATGTCAGCAGTAGCATTGGAGTCGGAGCGGCCACCTCGGTCAAGACCAGCCGTGCTTCCGCTTCTGGTATCAATATCCTTGCGCTTCTTCTTTTCTTCCTTTTCGCGCTTCTGGCTCCAGACTTCATCAACATCGAGGAGCTCGACGGCAACAAGATCACCCTCGAGTGCTCGATTTCTGTCCTTGCTACCGCAGATGAAGATATCAGCGTCAAGATCAGAACAGGTAACATATGCGTCTGAACGGTTTTTCTTGTTTACGCGAAGGATGCCAGTCACCAGCTTACCCTCCTCGAAGAGATCAGGAAGCATTGTCTGAGCAAGGTATGGAGTGAACAGAGTTTTGCGATTCTGCTGTGCCTGCGTTTGTGATTGCTGTTGCGGCTGAGAGGCTTGCTGCTGACCAACCAATTGCAGGTTCTGTGGCAAGGAACCGAGCTGTCCGCTCTGCAAGGCTTGGAGCTGTGCCAGTTGAAGGGCATTATTGTGAAGTAACTGCTGTTGTTGGCCCTGGTACATCTGAGGCAAGACAACTTGACCCTGAGGAAGCTGGAAAAGCTGCTGGGTGTTGGGGAATTGGAAAGCGGACATGGAGCTCACAGATCCCCTGGAACGGTGACCTGGTTGGAAGCCGCTACCGCTTTGCTGCGGCTGGGGAGAGAGGCCACTAATGCTGGCTCGGGGATCCTGGTTGCCACTGCCGCTGCTGGCGGTGTTTGGTGCGCCTCCCTGCTGGCGCCAGTTGCTATCAAAGTTTCTTGAGCCGCTGCGTCCATGGCTGGCGTGACTGGTTCTTCGTCCAGAATCAGGTCCAGGTGAGCCGGAAGATTCACCGCCTTGGGGGAACTGGAACGAGGGAGCATTTCTCCCGGGGTACTGGCGAGCATTACCTACAGCCATGGACTGGCTGCGTAGATGAGCATTACGGATATTTCCAGAGCGTTGAGCACCAAGTCCCGCTGCCAGAGGTGAAGGCATCGGTGCTGCAGAACTAGCGACATCTCCTGGATTGCCATCGTTGGCGTCACCCTGACCCTGACCTTGACCTCCAGAAGGACCTGGAGCTCCGGCACCTCCTGGGATGGGGAACTTGAAGGCGCCGGCGGTCTGCCTTTGCTGAGCCAATTCCGCGGCCCTTCTGGCTTCAGGCAAAGCGAGCGAGTGCCGACGATGGTGGCTTCCTCCGGCAAGAACAGCCCCCCTGCGAGATTGGTTGTTATTGTTATTATTATTATTATTGTTGCTATTGTTGTTGTTTTCACGGCCTTGGCCTCCACGGCTCTGTGCATTTTCGCCATACTGAGAACCAGACGCCCCGGAAGATGGGGCGGGCGGTGGTCCCATGCCAACATTTGGCAGGGCCGATTGATTACGGCGATGAGAGGACTGGCCGGGGACTCCAAGCTGCTGTTGGCCTTGCATTTGAGGGAATTGAAAACCTACGGGCATGACACCTTGGCCTTGCATTTGAGGATAAGCAAGGGGCTGCATCTGCTGCATCTGTTGCTGGGGTATCATGCCGATATTCAAGAACTGCTGATTTTGCTGCTGCTGGGCGGCAATCTGCTGCTGGTGTTGCTGAAGAACTTCAATTTGCTGTTGTAGAGCAAGTTGTTCCACTATTCAAAACGGGTTAGCTGATGATGTCTCCTCCTATGAAGTGAATGTATAGCCCACGTACTAATTAAGGGGGTCATTTCCGAGGGGCTGCGTCGATGAGCAATGTGGATGGGGCGGCCATTCGCCCTGGGAGGGCCAGAATTGCCCTGGGAACCCTGGGAATCCATAACGACAGGAACTTTTTCTTTTTTTCGGTGCTACTGACAAAGTCCAAAAAAAGGGCACAAATGTCCCAATTGAGTTATGTTCGGTAACGTGGTAACGAGACTAGAGAAGGTAGTCTACTCGACAACCAAAAGCACCACAGAAGTGAGCTGATCCTGGCGTTTGTCTGTCAAGTGAGATGAGTTAGAATTAAGTTGACCATGCCACTGAAGAGCAATGAGTACTGCCAACAGTTTTTTTTTTTTTAAATCACAAGCGATGGGATTCAAACTACTAAGGGTTAAAAAAAAAGGGCGGAGGACTGAGAGAAAGGGTGTCTCCGTGGGTTGGGCAGGTAAAACAAGTATCAAGTATGCCGTATTCTGTGAATGTGATCCAAGATGTGTGCAGTTGTTTTTTGGTATGCTGTGTGTCTCTCGTTTGTTTATGTTGACTCGGAGCCAAAATATGCAAAGCTTCTAGGAAGGAATGGACAGGACGAAGGGCCGTAGAAGCTGAGGAGGCAGGGAAGGAAGCAGGTGGCGGAGGAGAAGAGGAGGAGGAGGAGGAGGAAGCAAATAGCAGCCTTTTCAGCTTCTCTTCGTTCGTCGTCTTCTTCCTCTTCTTCTGCGGATTGCCTTTGCTGCTTGGCTGATGATCTGCCGCGGCTTGACGCTGGATGGGTGGTGGGTGGTGCTGGTGGAGAGAGCTCCGACGAGGCCACCACAGCGTAGCAAGCTGCACCCCAGGAGGTCGACGGGAGCTCGGACAAGGGCTGAGCTCGTCTCCGGCGCTTGATCTCGGGCAGACGAGAGTGCGTAGGCTGTATAGCAGCACCAGTTGAATGAGGGTGGATGTTGGGCGTGGGGGAGGCGACAGGAGGCGAACGAGGACGGCCGTCCGAGACACCAACAAAAGGAGAGGCTAACAAGCCGGCAGACACAGGCAAAGGAGAGACGGCCAGGATGCGGATGCGGCCAACGACAGCAACGAGGTATGAACAAGGACAGGAAATGGGAAGAAGAATGAAGAGAGAAGAGAGAGAGGGAGGGAGAGGGCAGAGAGAGGAAGAGAGGGTGGTTGATGGAGGTGATGGAGCGAGGTTGACGGCGGCGGCGCGACGGTTTTTAGGAGGTTTTTGTTGTTCCCGTTTAGGCTTGGGGGGGCAAAGGGCAGGGCTTGGCGGGCAGCGGCAGACTTACAGAACGTCAGAGCCAGCGAGCCTGACTGCGGGCTGATTAAAGGCTGATTAATGCAGATTACAGCGGATTACTGGCTGGTTTGGAGGAGGTGATTCGACGGGAGAGGTGGGTGTAGAAGGGGGGAGGTTGTTTGTAGTAACTATAGGGGTAAGGAGTCGGTGGTGATGATGTTGCTGGTGACAGGGTGGTTGAGGTTCAACGGTTTGGAACGAAGGGACAAGGAGGAAACGGTGAAGTGCGGGTGGCAGAGAGAAGAGAAGAAGAGAGCAGGAAGAGCGTCTACGATGAAATCTACGCCGTTTTATATCTACTCTGGCAGGACGACATTGGACGGGCTGACGGCCGTTGAGACAGCGCGGGTTGGTGATGTAATGATGCTGGCGTGTCGTTTTTTTCGCTGTTTGCCCGCCTCAAGGCGAGCCACTGGAACGGTTATGCGTTTAATCACAGTTTACCCCTTTTTCGTCTCAATGCAGTTGGCCTCCTCTCGCGGTCGTTGTTGATGTCATCGTCGCTGTCAGTATCGCTTGTCAGTGTCGCTGTCGCTGTCGGTGTTGTTGTTTTGTGTTGATATCAGGTGTTGATTAGTTAGTTAATAGTTGTGGGGCCTGCTTAGTTATCTGATCGTCACGCTTGGTTATCTTTTTTCCCTGCGCTGCCAAAGTGTCGGGACTTCACCAACTTCAACTCTTCAACTTCGACGAGACGGCGGCGGCAACACAACCAACAGCGGCCCCAGGAAAACGCCGGAACAGCGGTTGGCGGTAGGTTCACCCCCATTGGAACTGTGGGATGTGTGTGTGTTTTACTAACTTTCTTTTTAGCGGAGGTTGCCTTTGCCTGTTGCGTGGATCGTTTCGTCATAGCCCTCTCGACCTCCTTCCCCTGTTTTCGATAAAAAGCCGGCAACCCCCCATTTTCTAGCCCTGCCGTGCAAGGAGAACACCTCACCAATCCCCTTCTTTTGAGGGAGAATCCCTTTCGAACCTGGGGTTGGTATCATCTTCTGGGAAATAGCTCTCTCCTGCCGCTCTTTAATTCAGTCCCGTCATCGGTGCTGGACAGGTCCAATTGCGTCCATTAACACTACACCATTGCTGCTCCTCCGTCGATTAGCTACCTCAGTTTTAGACTGCGCCTATAGCAGCTAACTGTCGACGTTCCCTGGCTCATTTTGCTCTGTATGCTTGAATTGTTCGGCTCAGCGCCACGGAAAAGGCAAATTGGACACCCCCTAGACGCGTCATCGAATTTGGATATTTAAGTGCAACGAGCTAAATCATGGTTCGAGTGAACACTCTTGCTCATCGTGCGCCTGACAGCCCTAGTAGACAGCTTCTGCAGGACTTGACCAGGGATCTAGAACAGGTCCGCATACATGGCGAAGAATTAAAACTTGTCAAAGCTTACGAGAGCCGGACTTTCTACGAGAAGCTTGATCAGATAGATCGGGAGAGAGAAGAGGTTCACACTACCGCGCTCAATGCCGCGGCGGCAAAGCGTGACCAGAGAAGGCTACAGGCAGAGGAGACGTTGCGACTCCATCTGCAGGCTGTAGAGGAAGAACGCAGGCGGAAAGAGGAGGCTGAGAGACGGCGACAGGAGAAAATCAGGCAAGAAAAGGAGGAGAAAGAGCGAAAGCAGAGAGAAGAGGCTGCCAGGCTCGAAGCAGAGCGAAAAGCAAAGGAAGCAGAGAAAGCTAGACAGGCCGAAGAAGCCGAGAAAGTAAAGAAGGCCGCCGAGGAGGAGAAGGCGCGACTCCAGCGGGAAAAGGCCGAGCAAGAGAAGAAGAAGGCGGACGATGAATCGAGACTCAAAGCAGAAGAGGAGGCAAAACGGAAAGCAGCCGAGGCAAAAGAGCAACAAGCGGCGACCAAACAGGCTGCTCTTGGTATCAATCATCGGAACCAGCAGGAAATCCAAGAGCATGAACGCTACCTGAAGCTACATGCTCATCTGAAGGAGTTCCGGTCCTACATGAGAGCCCAGACTAAGTCAAACACCCTCCTGAAGCAACATATGGGTGACATGCGCCGAACCATTCGAAAGTGCGTCGGCCAATTGGTAGCAGATGATAAAATAGCAAATCAAAAACCCGTAAGTACCGCCCCGAATTTCGCCTTTTCCCTAACAGGCAATCACTCGAATGAGATTACTGACTAATTCTTTCTCTTTCTCTCTTTTTTTTTTAATCTTATGTAGACCAGGGAAATCGCGGCGATTTTGAGAAAGGCGCAGGAACTAGCAGAACCCAGCGTAGATATACGACAATTCATCGCGTTTCCTCCCCCGAACATCGCAAATGCCGAAAACCCACAGGTCCCAGCTCTCTGGGTATACCTGCTGAACATCCTCGCAAAATCCATCCTCGCGCAGCTTATGGCCGAAGCAGGCGTGACTACAAAATGCGCCGAACCACTAGGCGTGCTTACAGCCCAGATATTCTCCATGGATGCCTTTTGCTACCAGGGCCAATCCATGATCGACATTCTCCTGGCAAAATACAGATTTCTCTGCCCTGTGCTCTGGGGCTTCTACGGAGACCAATCGACCGACCAAGGAAAAGCAGCGATTGGCTGGTTCCGAGAAGAGAAAAACGGTCCCTTCATAAGCGCCCAGCTCCACGAGGAGCGCATGACAGGCCTCGGAGCCGGATACGCAGCTATAGCATTACGAAACTTTGCTAAAAGTCCGCGCCAAAACCCTTATCCCAACAGCAATTTCTGGAAGTCACTTTCGTACATCGTCAACGTGCCCCCCGCAGAAGTGCAAGATACGCATCTTGTCGTGCTTACGGCCATGCTGCGCTATTCTGCACCCCGTATCGTTAATTTCTGGGGTGACATGGGTGTTTTGGCGCTAAGGCAGGCTATCGTTTTGTTCCCTGCAAAGCTTTCTCGCAAGTCAACGCAAAGAGCCATGGTTGAGGACCTGCGAGATATACTTGCCAGGGAGAAACGCATAATCATTTAGCCACTCGACATTATCACTTCTTGATGTTTTATTTGTGAACGGTCACTTTTTTGCATCATATTAGCGAGCGATTTTGCTGCACATTTTTAATTACATGGCTTGCATTTAACGCTACGTCAGACTGGCCGTCGACTCAGCCAAGATCTACAATCCACATACATACGCATCTACTGTATGTAGCCATATGATTCCCCCTGGGTACCTCGCGACAAACCATCAGCGCCTCATCGCATCGTCACAGGCGCATTACGTCGCCCGCGAATATTCGACTTATCAGGCACCCTGCTCAAACCGTTTAGCCAGAATAACTTTTACGCTTTGCGTGGCCAATTTTCTTGCGCTAGTCCATTACCTTGGTGTATATTATTAGAACCTGGGCTTCTTTCTTTTCGATTCTCTTGTTGGTATTTTCCTTCGGAGGAGTACGGTTAATCCGCGGGGCGTTGGCCACTGAATATGATTTTTCTGATCAAGGGGGAAATATAAATATGTGGTGAATTTAGTGCACCTTGATATTTTTTTTGTTTTTTAATAGAGCATCCAATTTACTTCGTACCTTTTTTCAAGACCCTGCATGGCATTCAAGCTACAAAGCTAGGTGGTTACGTTGATGGCATGCCATCCTAGCTTACATAACTAAAGTATCAATCTTTAAAACCCAGCCTATGGATACTGAGACAAATACCCCCGTATGCGAGAAAGAATATGATATTCATGTAGATTTGCCGATACTAATCTCTATGTATGTATATCACATTTACCGTACTGTATACTCGATGAAAGTCGATGAGGTCAATTCTAGCTATTGCGAAATAATGTTAAGCTCGATCAAGTGGGGAAAAGGAAAGCTAAAATGGCGAAGGTTTGAGCCGCATAGCTATGGGTCCACATGTCAATGGGGAAGTACAACATGCTTGTAGCGAATATACACGTCTAGAGAGTCTGGTAAAAACTAAGTATTTCAAATAGTTGGATAATAGATAAGAGAAAACAAGTATAGCTGGGGAGTAACCATTCCATAGTTGTATGTACCATATCAGTTAGGACAGGTTTATCCGTCAATCCCTGCGTATCAGAACTCCTTGATAACAAGATAGAAATACCCACAACGGGCGTTGAGCATTATGACGGATTTCAAATGGGCTTACGGAATGACTTTCGGACCAAAGCCCATTCAGAAAAAGTGTACTATGCCGAGCTTGAGTCTTGGAAAAGTACACCCCTGTAGTTAAAGAGCAGCAAGAGCTACAGACCATCAAAAAGTAGTATCGATCCATTGAATCTGAGGTTAATAATGAGAGCCTGTTTGAATTGACGCGGTTCAAAAACTATAAAACAGACCTTGAGACCCACGAGAGGGTGTATTCAACTATCATAATACAACACGCGAGTTGTGACAGTTTCTTCCCTCGAAGACTACCAAATATTTAGCTAGCAAAAGGTTGGGAACTGATGGTATTTAGTACCTCTAGGTATGTCCGTGTGCAGAAGAAAGTATAGTGCCATCTTATTGGATAGAGCGAGGTAGATACCGTGAAGGAAGCACATCTGGTGCCAAATTCCTTGAGGAGGGTGAGTTGAACCATTTTTTAGAGTGAGCGAAGTTGTTCTAGGGGACCCAAAGAATGGTATGGAACGCACAACTTCGATTCGACAGATTATATTGATGGGTGGATCAAGTTGAGAACAACCGAGATTCTATGGGTATTGATAGGCCCTTTTCTTTCGAAGCTGGCTTTGATGTCTCTTGGTAGAAGAATATCCGGCTTTGAGCTCCTTTATGCCCTGTTTACCAGGAAGATATTCGACTCACCAGCGCCCTCTAGAGTGGAAGGTATTGTAGTGTCTGCCAGAGTACGGTCAGTAATATTAGGGGCTTCTCGATCCCCCTAGAAAGACGACAATAAGGACAGCAAGAAGGACAGCAACGAAGAAGACAGCGATCAATAATTGTCAAGTAGCTTCATGTTCTTTCAGGAGACGCAACAATAGAATACTGACGTATAAAAAATAAAGAAATAAATTTCAATCTCGTAAAGATACAGATAGTTATAAAAAGGTTGTGGCTTCGCAAAAACGTAGTAATCTCGAACTAGAGCCGCAATGCAGCCTTGAGTAAAAGTTAGTCTCAGTTTTTTGTATTAGTCATCTTATCTCGCTACTCCTTGCTTTAGCACATTCGATAGATCTTCAATATCATCATCCTCCTTTCTGACAGTTAGTTACATGGTTTCCTGCAGGCCAAGGGACTCCATATACCTCGAATGTACGCTGCCCCCAGCCACGTCAGCCGCTTGTGACTCCAGTACCGGTACAATCAAAACAATCACATTTTCTTTCTTGACAGTTCTGGTGCTCAATTTTATAGGGCCGTACTGTGTTCTATGTTGAGAATGGGACCTTCAGCACATCACCTAAGCAGCTAGATATAGCCTGACTGTGGCTGAAATAACTAACAAGATAGAGGATTACGCGTGACCTTTCCCCGTTGCCGAATATGACCGGAGAGTAAGAAGTTATTATGTACTCCTGGGCATACATATACATGCATACATGAGCCCATGTCCATTGATGGCTTGTTGTGTAGTGGGTCATGCAATATCCAGCCTACTTAGTTCGTCCGTAACTATGTATCCAACGGACAGTTAGTTAACCATGCCAGGGTAGCGAACCCACTGGTGGACGGAGTTAAGGATTTTGCTCTTAGTTGACGAACGTCCGACGGCTAAACGGCTCGTTGATTCATGTGCGGTTCTCCCTGCATCTGCGCCCCCACGACCCGTCTTGTTAAGACAGATATATGCCGCAGGAGGCGAAGGGGGAGAATGGAGGACAGCAATCAGGGTTCAGCGGAGTGGACGATCGATCCATTCAGGGCAGTGGGAATTTTCAACGGCTGTGGCTCAAGAATCGGGCTGACAAAGGGACCTGATAATTCACTGTTGATGCATTATTATCAATAGCTATTGCTTTCTATGCTCTTCTATTCGAGGCTCAACCTAGCCCCCTTTGCTGTACTTCGAGGCTCGGACGTATATTACAGGATGAAGAGTCATTCAACCCCCTGGGCCATGGTTGGGTTATATATAGGGCAATCATAGCGGATGATCCACCTATTGCTCTTAGATGCCCGGGGAATGAAGTTTCTCGGCTAGAACGCTTGTACAAACTTTACAAACAACTAAGAAGGGAACATGTCTCAAACAGGCGCTGGGGATAAAGATGCTAAAAGGCGAGAATACAACCGAAATGCTCAGCGGATATTTAGTGAGTTTCCAACAGCTCCGAAGAAAGCAAATTATTAACAGTTCTCTAGGGCAGCGGCGAAAGGAACATATCAGGAACCTTGAGCGAGCACAAAATGAACGGATCTCAAACCAGACGGATGTGATAGAGCATCTGCGACTGGAAAACTTGGAACTTCGAAAGGAGAATGAGTCGTTGTCAAGGCTACGGTCGAACTGCAGTTCCCCTTCGATGCTATCAGTTACCGTCCCTTCACACTCCAGCTCAGGAGAACCGAGCTCTCTTATAACTATGAGCGACTCCATCTCCAATAAATACTTCCCCAGGGTCCCTGAGGCGCCTCCTGACACTACATACCCCACTAGCAGCTCCATAGACGAGCTTAGCAGGTCACTTAACCGATTATGCATCTTTTCTCCATACGATATCAACCGGATGCGCAGCTATCTACACTTGCTCTTTCACCCAGTCTTGAGCCTTGTCGTGGATGGTACACCCCTGGATACCCGAATACATTTTCTCGCCCTCGCAAGTCTGGGTCCGTCCCTTCCTCCATCACTGCAACCAACGACTCTGCAACTCCAAGTTCCACATAATGTGTACGTCGACCTCATACCGTCACCATCACTACGAGACGTGTTGCTAAGATCAGATCCTGCTATGGTGGCTGCGTTCTTAGTAGATGTCTGTACATTTGCATGTGACATTGATGACCGTGGACAATTAATTATCTGGGGAGAGGATTTTCTCAATGAAATTTCATGGGAGTTCTCGGTGCCGGTATTAGAAAAATGGGGCGGGTGGTTTCTGCCTTCGATATGGCATGAGCGTGCGGATTTTTGGCGTCGTCACAGAAGTGATTCCTTTTCGGCCACTGGCTAGCTAGAAATAGCGCTGGGAATTTAATTTTTCGTGAATTTTAAACAGTTTCATAGATATCTTCGTACTTTATATCAGCTCTACTTTCATAATATTTTTGACCTTTTTATTCAAGCACAAGAATTTTTTAATATTTTAATAACTATCTAGTTAGTTACCTCTAGATCTCTGATTCCATGTTTTCCATGCCAGCAATGATAGCTACGGCCACTATAGTTAGAATCTAAGGCGAATCACCAGATTCGTAAGCCCATGCCCAGGAACGTCATACTTATGTCACTATCAACAATGAAGAAATTTTAAGAATAAATAAATAGAAATAAATGAAAAAGAAATTAAACGTCATCGGCGTCAAAGACCCACTTGATCGTAAATTTAACCTTGTTTGCCTGTTTGCCGCCGGTCAAGGTGTAGTGTGAGGAGCCGCTCAATCCAACACAACAATCTCAAAAATTATATGGAGTAGAGACGGGCAGGGGATGTGTTTGAGGAACAGCGCACGGCTGGATAGTGCGTGCAGTTTGGAAGTCCTAAGTATATGGAGCTAAGATAGGAGGAGTATCCCGTCTCCTGGAGAGTGATGTCAAATACTACTTGTCTGTTATGGGCTAGTTACTTTGGGAGGCAATGAACTTCAGAGGACCCAAGCAATTCCAGCATTAGCCTGTCGTCAAGTGATGGATGACGAAGGAGGTGAAAGGGAGAGATGGATCAAATGGAAGAGAGATAAACGATGGACGTGAATAATTAGTTATACAGAGAGAAGAATAATAGTAAGGGGAAAGCAGAGTCGGTATCACAAATTCTAAAAAGGAGAGCCGTAAAAGAACAAAGGAAATAAATAAAAAAAAAATACCCATTGGAAAATTAAATATATAAAGTAAACAGGGTGTTGAGAAGGGTGGAAAGATCGTAATCGCTATGCAAAAAGGGTCCAAATCCAAAAGAAGTGTATTAGAGTGGAAGGGAGGGGTGAGGAGAGGGAAGTAAATTGTAAAAATGTGTCGGTATAAGAATCTTAGAAACATGGAATAGTATATGAGTAAGGAACGGGGCCAAAAAAAAAAAAAAAAAAAGAAAAAAAGAAAAAAAATAGGTCAGAGAAACTGAAAATTAAATAGAAAATAATAAAGGGAAAAAGTTTGAGAAATGAAAAATGAGTCATTGAAGTTTATATCTCCGGGCCAAATGGTCCTTCAATAGAGCGGGTGCCAGTTTCTCGCCCAATAAGGCCGCCAATGACACTGTCATTGTCATTGTCGTCTGTCGAGCTGCTAGCGCCATAATGCATTGTTTCGGCATCATGGTCGTAGCTTGAATTGCGTAGCAATGGTGGCGTTGTGGGAGGCATAATGTTTTCTAGTTGGCGGCTAGATAATCTTCGGATGCCCGGATTCTGCCCTCGTAGCGGTCGGGTTTCGGCATACGTTCGTCGTCCTATCGGGGCGGGCGGCACGACAGGCGGGTCACGTGTATTTGAGCTGGGGGGCGTCATAAGTCCGGAGAGAAAACCTTGGGACGCTGTTAATGCAGGCTTGGGCGGCTTAGACGGCGTGAGCTGGTCATCGCTGTGGCTACTGTTGCCTGAAGATGCCGTGGGTGCCGAATTGTTGTTGTTGTTGTTGCTGCTGCTGCTGCTGCTGCCGCCATTCCCTTTACGCCAGTTCCCCCACGCTGCAGCTGCCGCTAGCGGCAACGCACGGGGGGAGGACGCAAGGCTGGTAAGCGATGCTATGCTAGGAAACTGGCTATTGCCTCCAGACATAGCTCTCTCCTTTTCCTGCTGCTGCATCTGTAGGTTTGCTCGAAGGCGAATTGCAGCATCACGGACCGTGTGCTGATCGAATGATGGCTGTGAGACGGCCCGGATGAGATCTCGGAGATCATCAAGGCGGACACTTAGTAATTCACGGAGCCAGTTAATCTCTGTTTCCTTCTCCTTGATCTTCGCAGGAGCATCCCTGTCAATGGTAGATAGCTCTTGTTCGAGTTCTTCAATTCGTCCTTCACGTTGTTGCAGCTGGTCTTGCAATACCATGATCGATTCTCGCAAAGCCTGTGGTGAGATCTTATCGGGAACTTCAGATCCTTGAGCATAAGTCATTGACGGGGAGGTCGTTTGAACCGCCTGCTGAGACGCCGGAGCAGCCTTAGCAGTCTGAGCCGCCTCTGCGGCAGCCCGGGCGGCAGACTTGGCGATTTCGAGCTTCTCTTCAAGACTTGCTACCCTCTCCTGAAGGTGCTCAATCTTCTCATCACGCAGAGCAACAACTTCCATATAATGGGCTTCATCACGTTGTCTATCCTCGGAAGTGTTGTGCATAGCACGAGCGTGTCGTTCGCGGAGGTCGTTGAGGGTACGTTCGTGCAAGCGACGTTGATCTTGGATGGCCACTTCCTTGGACTCAGCAGCATCATGAAGAGCGGCTAATTTGGAATCTCTAGCTTCTGCAAGCAAGAGTTCGTATCTTGCCTTAGCAGTCTCGGAGTCCATCTTGGCATTGTCAAGAAGGCTCTGTACGTTCGAGATTTGAGCCTCAAGCTCTGTGCGAACGAAGTTGACCTGATGATGAGCGGCATTGAGATCCGTTTCTAGCAGTGCTCTTACGCGTTCAGCTTCAAAGTGGCTATTCTCAATAGCCGCTTTGGCTTCACGTTCAAATTGGGCAGCTCTGGCTTGGTGATCGTGACTCTCCTGTCGAACTTGCATCAACAGTGCCTCAAGCTTATCATTTTCGTTCTGAGACTGGTCTAAGATAAATCTCAGTTTCGTGGCTTCCATCTCCTTTTGCTCAAGATCGCTAATGTGAAGTTCCAATTTCTGTCGCTGTTTATGTTCACGATCAAAGTCAGCCTTAAGGGTATTGTATTTGATGTTAGCCTCAACTTCCTTTTTCCTCCATTCAGCCTGTTCACGGGCAATATTCTTGATAAGCGAAGTCATATCTCCTTGTAGTTTCTCAAATCTTTCGCGGAGTTTCTGCTTGACGTCCGCGCCTTCATCGGTCTGAATCTTAAGAATCTCAATGGTACGAAGAAGGTCATTATTTTCTTCTTCGAACCTCTCCTTTTCTGCTCGAGCTTGGTCCGCGCTTGTTCTGTATTCATCAAGGGTGCCTTGAAGATCGATGTTCTTGTTCGATAGTTCCGATAGAGTAAGACGCATCATCTCCTGTTGCTCTTGAAGGTCTCGGGACTGTTGTTCAATCTGCTGGGCTTGAGAGAGATGTTGACTCTTGACCAATTTTAAAGCCTCTTCGGCGGCAGCCTTAGCTTCCCGTTCAGCCATAATACCCTTCTCAGCAGCCTCCGATCGTTGTTGGGCTAGAGCTAGAGCTTCCTGGGCAGCTCGTCGAGCATGGTACTCATTCTCAGCGCGCTCATCAGCTAGTCGAAGCATGCTCTGCAGCCCCTCAACTTGTAGCTTAAGCTTCTCCATTTCTGGAGCCAAGTCAGGCTTCTCCTCAACGACTACCTCCTTGGCATTGAGAGCTGGATGGTCCGAGATGCTTTGTGAGATGATATCTCGAATACCATCTGTCTGACTTTGTTGCTGTGATACCAAGGCAATGGCGGCTTTCACTTCGGCAAGCGTGGAGGTTACTTCGGACAGATCAACCTTTGGAGCTGGCTCTGGCACGGGAGTTGGGCGGTGTGTGGCCAGTGCTTCAGAAACAATGGCCTTTATTCTCACAGCGAGTTTATCATGCTTATTTCGAGGAGACCGTGGTCGGTGATCACCATCATCTTCATCATCCTCGTCATCAGCGTCGCTATGCTCCACCCTTGTTGAACGAGGTTTATACGAGGGATTCTGGGAAATCGCTAGTTGGATGGCAGACAAGCTTCGCTCGATGGGAGCGAGATGGTCTCCCATCGAAGACCGAACTATGTCTTTGACATGGGTTTCGAAGAATGGTGCTCTCTGTCGAAGTTCTAGATCATCCCCGGATAGAATTGCATCGTCCCAGTCACTGATGTGATCTTGCGGTTGAGTGTTTAGTTGACGGATAGAAGGCGGTCCGCCGACGGCCGGTTTGCGTTGCACAAGAGGAGCGGACGGAGGCTGGGTACGTTCATATGCTGGTACCTCGGGACTTTCCTGCTCAAACGGCGGCTCGTCTAGCATGCAAGGGCTAGGAGCGTCATTGTGAGAAACTCGGCTTTGTGCGAGGTTGGACACTGAGTTATTAGCAGAAGAAGCCTGGAAGACAGGTTTAGAAGGAGATTCCCGTCTCTCAACACCAACACTTGAGTCACCGTCATTGAGCTGTTTCATAACAGCATCAATTTCATCTTCATCTGAGGAATTGACGCCCTGAGCAGTGAGTTTCTCAACCTCTTCAACCTCTTCAGTTTGTTCGGCTGCCTTGAGACTAGCTGTAAGAGTGCTCTGGTTTTTGACAGGCTCAGGAGAATCAGGTTCGGAAACAGCGTATCGTGAAGCGTAGAGGCCTTGTTTCTTTGGCTTAGAAATAGGAGTCTGTAGGGGTGATGCAACTGGGGAAATAGGCTTCAACACTGGAGGCTTGCTTGATATGAACTCGAATGGCTTGGCAGTAGGTTTGAGCACCGAGGCCTTGGGTTGATCAGCGATATTTTCCGCCGGGGACTCGTGCTCTTCTTGATCATCCCCTTCAACAATGGTATCTTGTTCCTCTTGGTCAACAGCAGCATCTTTATCTGCTCCGACTTCAGGTTGCGCTGGCTGAGACTTTAAGGTCTCCTGGTCATCGACAATCTTCTCATCTGCAAGAATAGAAGGATGAGCAACGTTGAACGCAGCAGCATCTTCTTTGTTTTTGAACTCAAACTGCTTGCTATCGTCCTTTTCTTCAACAATTTCTCCTTCTTCCACTTCCTCAAGATCATCGTCATGCGCGGACAGAATAGTTTCGATAATCTCCTCTTCTGTCCTCTTGCGGTTCGCAGCTATTTCGGGAGGCACCTCATCACTGTCTTCAATCAGAGTAGCAGTGCGTTTGGAATCGGCCGCAGCAGCAGGTGACATGGTAAACATAAGTTCACGAGTAGTGTCACTATGGTCACCGCCATGACTTTCGGCGCGACGAGCACGTTTTTCTCGGCCCTGAGCACCAAATCTACCAGACGCATCGCCATCAGGTTGGTCATTGCTCTCTTTTCTATCTCCAGGACGCACAATAGGAATGGCTTTGGACGCCTTTGTGGGTGGGATAATTGCTGCCGGATCAAAGTTATCAAATATTTTAGTTCGTGGACCTGATGGAGAAGGTTTCTGGTCAGATGAGGGAAGAGTGAAGTTTGTTCCGGGATTAAACACTGGAGCCGCAACATTGAAGGTGGCGGAAGAGAACTTGAAGTTACTTGGAGTGGAGATTGGTTCTTGGGGTTTCTGGACTGGAGCGAATGCTGGCGCTTCAACGTTGAAACCGCTGGAATGTGCGCTGTGGGAAACGCTTTGCGGCACATCCTGGTTGAAAGCGGGCCGTGGATGAAAGCTGCTGAAGGTTGGTTGGAAGGTATTATTGGACATGAATGAGAAGTTGGTCGGGGAGAAAGAGGATATGGAGGGGTCGAATGCCTTCGCAGCAACGTTGAGCTTTGAAATGGAGGAAGTGGACTTATGGCCTGGGATGAATGTCGAGCCAGTGCTTTGTTTGGCCTGGTGAGTGTGGTAGTCATCCACAGGGGAGCGGACATCCTTGATACTGGGATTTGTCTCAAGATCGGATGCCTCTTCCTCGATATGAGATTTGTGAGCTTGTTGCTCGTTGAAAATATGCTGTTGGAGTCGGCTGGACTGGTTGATGGATTCAGACGGGAAGAAGGAATGCTGTTGACCCATTGATTGTTCAGGAGCAGCCCATCGAGAATTCATCAAGTTATCCTCTACTCTTGGCTCATCCTCGAGCACGGGATTCTCCATCTGGTAGTCCCTTTCAACCCCCTTTTGCAGAGTCTCGCTTACATTGTGTCGATGGCCTCGAGGGGTTGGATGGGCGATTTCAGGTCCAGAATGGGTTGATTGAAGGGTGGTATCTGCTTCCCCTTCCATTTCAACGTTTGGTTCATCCATGGGCTGGTGGTGCATGGTGTTTTCATATTCGTTCATTCGACCTTGTGGCGTGCTAACACCATATGGGTTGTTAAAGTGTGAATGGGGTAACATACTGGCCAGGCCAGGGTACTGCTTTGACTCATCGAGTATAGGTGAGACAGAGTGCAGCAGAGAACCTAGGTTGGGCATGTTGCCTATGTTAGTGGGAGTGATGCCATTTGGCCTTATACCATAAAGATTCTGTGGAGTATGAGTGCCGTGTGCCGGCGGAGTAGGCTGGAATGGCAAGAATGGATAGTTTGTTTCATTCCCGTACACCGGCTGGAATTGTTGAAAGGGAGATTCGGGATGGAATCCAAAGGGTGACGCAGGAGAGTTCATTGAACTGATGTTGGAAGTTGCCTTTGTGGATTGGTTGAAAGCCGGAGAGAAAGGGTTCTGCATCATGTTCAGATTGTTGCTGCCAGCAGAGGAGGTAGGGATGGGAGGAGAGATGGTGTGCCCAGGTAGCATGGGCATCTGCGAAGAGTTGCGGCTCATGGCTCCCGGCGTAGGTGACATGATGGGGTTGGGTTCTGGATCTCCCAGGCTGACGCCGAGAGCTCGAAGTTTCTCTTCCTTTAAGAAATCGACATACTCTTCCCAAACGGACTGATCTGGGAAACTGACGTGGAACTGCTTCTCTTCGAGTTCCCGGCGTGTGTCTGCAGGATCAGGATGGGTCTGGCGATTCTGCAGATCGACCGTGACCGGTTCTCCGCGGCCAGTTCCTCGAACATCGTATCCCTTTTCTTCCCAGCTATCCAAGATCTGCTCCACGTCGGCGGGTGTTAGAAGTCGTTTCCCCCCTTCGGCCGATCCACGGCTATCCTCTAGAGGGAGTGCGATGATGCATTGCTTTCCACGCCAGGCGACTTTCTTTTTGGGGCGTAGGAAGGCTGGAGCAGTGCGAATGGTCTCTTTTGGTCCACTAGGTAGAGGCTTATCTAGTGCATCTTCCACCGGTGTTGGAGGGAGCGGGAGAGGCTTATCTATGGGCGAAACATAAGTATGTTGCTGTGGAGGCGGATGCACTTCCGGTATGGTGAGTGGCTCGAGGTTTGACATGGTGACGGAAGCGCAGTCCTGGTCGCAGGCTTCAGACTGGGATTGGGACCTGGCAAGTGAATGAGATCTCGATTGAGATTGAGAGCGGGATTGAGAGCGAGACTGGGACCGGGACGATCGTTCAGGGTCCTGGCCAAAATCCCAAAAGTCGGACTGTTTCAGGGTGGCCGTGCTCGCCTTGGGAGCGTGCTTTGCCCTGAGATGAGCAGGCCGGGACTTCCAGCCAAACTCTGGTCTCTTCCCCTTGAGCAAGCTTGACGCAGTGGGCGTCTTGAGAAGATCTTCCTTGTAGTTGTTGTTGTTGGCACTGTCGTCGTCGTCGTCGAGATCAAGCCAGCCTTCCGAACCGTCGACACGCTGCTGGTATGCGGTTAGAAACGAACCAACGTCGCTGTCTCCTGAGTCGTCACTCAACCAATTCGTCCGTTCCGAGCGAGGCTTCCCCGTCAGATACTGATTGATCCAATCCTGCGTGAAATCCTTGATGGACTTCCCACGGTGCCGGCTGACGCTGCTCTCAGGCTGCAGTTCCCGTTCGAATAAGGTCGAGGTGAGTTCGGGAAAGGGTACGATACCCGTCTGGCTAGCGGAGTCCGGCAACAGCTGCTCCTCAACACGAGCGGTCGTACGGATGGAGAAGGGGGAATTCTCGAGGTCAAGTTCAGACTCGAAATCGCCCTGTCTGCTCCTCAGCTGCCAGGAGACGCTCCGTGGGCTGGGCGTGGCGTAGGGAGAGCCCCAGGCGGCCGTATAGTAGGCACTGGCGTCTGTTCGCTTGTTGTCTGGCGAAAAGGTCGACGACTGCGCGTCCGAGGTTGGGCCGCGGTATCCTCCTGCGGAGGGGACAGCAAGTGAGGTGCCTGCCGCGATGCTCGAGACCGCACTTGGAGTGACGGACCGGCGCAGTGGCAGTGTCAGCGTATGTTCCCGCTCGACTTCAACCTCGTCGTCGTCGCGGTGGAGGGACGGCTGCAGGATAACGGGATTGGGAGAATTGACTGCGAGAGTTGGGCCTACAGGTGATGCACACGTCAGTCACACGCAGCCAATGCCATTGTACGCCGGCGTCGAAGAAAGAACAGTAACTGTCGCTTCAACGCTGCGGAAGAAAAAAAAAAAGATATCTTACTGTCCGTCTTGTCTGATGCAGCAAGCACAAGCTCGCCGCGTTCGATGTCTGCCGGAATCTTGACGCATAAAACTCAACGGCCCTGGTGCTGCCGTTGGCTGTAGAAGCGTAGCAGGGCCGCAGTAGTACGGAGTACAGAGGAGCTGTCGAGGCCTCGCCGTCACCGTCGCTGCCAGCCAGCAACCGTCGAAATTAACGCCCGAGAATATATATATATAAACCGAACGAGAACCGCGCAGACAGGCAGTCAACCGAGTAAACACGTCGTCTATTCACCCCCCCCTTTTTTCCCCTTGTGCTTCTTGTAGTTTGTCGGAACCGTGGTTTAGCCCAGGGAACGAACCATGGCTCACGAACGAGTGCCGCTTTTTGGTCTTCGGGTCTTCTCGAGGCCGGATCGTCCGACAAAGTGGGATGCCGAACGCGATGAGGAATCGACGAGAAACGAAGACGCAAAGAAGAAAACAAGAGAAGGAGAAGGAGAAGGAGAAAAGCTGAGCGTTAGAAGTTGAGGTTTGTCGATGTCAAAAACGGGAAGCCAAAATTGTTATTATTACTTTTTTTTTTTTTTTTTTTGGTGTTCGCGACGCTAACTAACGTTGATGATATTCTTACTAAGACGCGAAAAGGGGTTGAAGCCGTGGATGGCGAGAGTTCGATGGTGGCAGTCAAAAAAGGAGAAAGAGACTTACAAAGAGGGTCGAGAAGACGATGTTGATATTGATATTTGCACTCATGTTGGTAATTAGAAGCAGATAGAGCAGACGAAGTATGTGAGACGAAGAGAAGGTGAGTAAGAAAACCGGTGTATGTCCATGGCCAAGCTATGCAGATATACAACAACAATTAAGGATTAACGATTAGACTACTCGATAGACCAGTCTAGTCCTTCTTCTTATTGACCTTGCAGTCGGCGTTAAACTTGGACTTGCGGTCAGCAGTGTACATGCCCCAGTGGGTCTCGTCAGCGGCATTGCCGTTGTCACCGATGCTCTTGGGCTTCCATGGCTCGTCGAAGGCCTCGAAGTAGAAGACGTCTACACCCCAGGCGAGCATGGCGCAGACACCCTGCTGGTAGAATTTCTCGGCGTTCTTGGTGCCAGCCTTTGCCGCGCCGTAGTCGGTACCGCCGTCTAGATAATATAGGTGTTAGTTTATGTGATAGCCGAGAGGGATACGGATGGACGAACCGGTAGGCCAGCCAGTTTCACCGATGGCAACGTAGGGACTCGAGCCCTTGGGGGCTTTGTCGGCAATATGCTTAGCAGCCCCGACCAGGTCGTCGAAGAGGGTTTTGGGGGCCTGATCGATGGGCTTGCCCTGCCAGAAAGCGAATGCGTTGACCAACCTACACTCGCGTTAACAGTTCGTTCAAGCATGAGGAGAGACCACAGACGGAAAAAATGGGGAGACACGTACAAGAACTCAACGCCACCCTGGATCAGGGCATCAGCAGTACCGTCGGCGTACTTGTTCCAGCTATCTGCAGTGCCGACCTTGATTTTGGGGAACATATCCTTGACATCCTTGATCTTCTTAAGTAGCTCTGGACCAGTGAAGTTGCCGCGGTAAAGCGTCTCAGAGCCAACGGTGATGGCAGCAATGATATCTTCGTTGCCTGGGACAGCCTTCTTCAGTGCTTCTACATCAGCTTTGTAAGACTCCTCAACATCAGGCCTGAAGCCGTTAGCGTCACCATTATCAAAGCAGAACAGCCATCCTTTTCATGGAGACTTACCAGATACCGAGAACCACCTTGAAGCCCTTTGCCTTAGCCGCTGGGAGAATGAAAGCAGTGTTGCCGCAGTCAGCAGCCGCGTATGTCCTGACGGTGCGGCCGTAAGCCTTGAGGGTGTCAAAGTCCTGCTCAAAGTCGGTCTGTCCCTTGCATGTACCATCGGGCTTCTTCACGCCTAGAGAGAACCCCAGGTTGCCGGCAGCGAGGACGGCAGCCGGGCTGGCCGCCAGAGCCAGCGAGAGGGCAGTCGAGAAACGCATCCTTTATCGTCCTATGTTGGTGATGTGTCCAAGGTGTTGAGTTGGGACGGGGTTTGTTGCTAACAGTGTCGAGTGTAACGACAGGAATTGGAGGGAGGAGAGGGAAAAGCAAGGTCAAGAGGCAAACTCCAGAGTTTTATATGACGACTGCAGCGAAGGAACTTAATGGATCTTCCTCGTCTTGTCTTCGTCAAAAAAAGTCCCGGAGTCGAACCAGAGAAAACAGGGCGCTGCTTAGTCATGAAACATCCGCAAGCCCAGACTTTTTTGGTTTCTTTTTGCCCCCTGAAAGCTGGACTTTAGGGGGAGGAGAGTGGACTGAGTGGCCCAGAGTGCGAACATGTGTTTACACGGACGGGATAGGGGGCCACTAGATGCTGGGGTAGGACGCTGTCTGAGTTAAGAGAGGACGAGGTGGCAGCGTTGGACAGGACAGACTTATATCGACGAGTTCAGGGTATAGAATCGAGAAGCTGATAAGGCTCGCTAAAACGCGGTACCTGCATAGCGTATCCGCAGCCGTGGCCGTGACGGTGGCTTATGACGGACGGATGTGCCGTCTGGCCTCGTCTGGATCAAGTCGCTTGCCGGTCTTGTCAAAGAACTTGGAGCAGATGCGTAACCACATCTCCTTGTCGTACTTGTCCGCAAGCTTGCTGAGCAGGACGGCCTCCTCTGTACTCAGACTCTCGTCTGCATATACCACCTTTGGGATTTCTTTACTCTGCTAAGTTGTTAGCTGGCCATCGCATCGCATTGACGTGTGGATATATGGATAATTTTAAGGGTGTGCGGATTCGAAAAAAAAAAAAAGGGATGACCACCTTTTTCTCCTTGACTGACTCCATAAACACGACTTGCTTCTCCTGAACGCCGTCTTGCTTGACCTTTTCTGGCTCTTGCTGCGACTTCTTAGGCAGCTCAGGCTTGATGGCCCGCCATCGTTCCCTTAGCTCGTGGACCGGCCAGTTCATCGTCTCTGCGATTTTCCGCCAGCTGATGTTGTCCTCCTTCAACTTCTTCAACTGGGCGTTGTCCTCGTTCGTCCAGTCCCGGACCACAATAGCCGGGACGACAGCGGCTTCAGGCTTTTGCTGAACGGCCCCTGGTGGTAGATCAGCAGGCGGAGGAGGGACTGCGGCTGGTGGAGGGCCAGGAGGCCCTGTTGCCTGACCGTTGCTGTTTTTCGCCTCCTGTACCTTGGTGTATGGTGCCATCGCTGCGTTCAGGTCGGCTAGTCTCTTGTTTTCGGCCTTAAGCTGCGCTCTCTGCTCGTCTGTTAGCTGATGTTCCCCTGTATGCAGCGGTTGAACGGCTTGCCTTTCTGGCGACCAGCTCTCTCTCTGCCTTGAGCGCCTTGCTGCTCTTGAAGACATCGCCAAACGACATCCTAATATCCTGTCCTGGTACGTTCCGCGCTTTGGGGGTCATGTTCAAGGCTATTCTCCTTCGTCTTGTATCATACCAGTCAAATGCTGTAGAATTGTATGTAACGACGGTGTTTGAGCGGCTATTGGTGTAGAGAGGAGGGTGAAGGGAAGTTCCTCGATCTAAATAACTAGCAGGCAGTCTGACTACTCTGGGGCAGCGGAAGCACTCTCGCAAAACTCCGGACTTTGCAGCTCTGTATACTCCGTAAATGGCTTCAGCTATCCTATCTGTCCATGTAGCCGCTATTCACTGCTATCTTCATCGTCGTCTACTTTATTTTACTCTCTTTTGCTGCCTCTTACTGCCTCTCCTTTGCCCAGGATTGCGTATGTGGTCCGTGCGCTTCTGGACACGCAAAAAAGGACGAACGGCCGCTGACGACGAGGACAAGCAAGAAAACATCCTCAACCCTCGACTCGACGGTTGCATAGCACAGGTTACGGCATCTGACAGGCTGTATCTCACCGTGTCTTCCTCTTAATTGTTCCTTGTTTGACCTCCCTGCGCCGCCATGAAGCTCGCCTTTTCCTCTCTCGCAGTGTCCGCCCTGCTCTGCATAGGGGTCGCAACAGCACATAACATTCCACTCAAGGCGCATTCGAGGGAGTGTTTCTTCGAGAACCTCCATGTCGACGACAAGATGAGCGTGGTTTTCCAAACGGGAGACACCGAGTTTGGCGGAAGCGGAAATCTCGACATTAATTTCTGGGTGCGTTGATACCTTGGTCACCCAACGGACAGACAGACAGGCCAGAAAGAGCAGAGATGGGAGAAATCTAGATATACAGCAACAGTGGACATGCACGCTAACTCGTTGATTGAATACAGGTTGAAGATCCCGCCGGCCACAAGATTCACAGCAAGAATTCGATTTCCTCCGACGAGTTTACGTTTACCGCTAAACGGGATGGGAAGTATGTCTACTGCTTTGGCAACGAGGCCTGGTCGTCGAACAGCAAGGAGGTGACATTCAACGTTCATGGAACTGTCTACGTGCCTGCCAGTGAACACCCGTCTGACCCTCTAGAGGCTGAGGGTACGCATTCACCCTTTTTTTTTTTTTTTTCTCTACACATGGAACATATGGATAGCTGGCTGACCTTTGCTGTACAGTAATGAGACTCTCCGACGAGCTCGCCCAGGTTAAGGACGAGCAATCATACATCATTGTCCGTGAACGTACCCACCGTAATACTGCGGAGAGCACAAACTCGCGAGTGAAATGGTGGAGTCTCTTCCAGCTTGCTGTCCTGATTGCAAACGGCATCTTCCAAGTATGGTGGCTCAAGCGGTTCTTCGAGGTACCTTGTCCCTTTCCCCGTATATACCTAGACATATCGGAGCTAATTCATTCATATATCTACAGGTTAAGAGAGTCGTTTAATTCCTACCCGGTCTTTCTATCGGCGTACTATGAGATGAGCAACGCAATGGGTTTATTTTACGTGGAATAAAAAACAAACGCCAGGATAGTTGATAGATCCCGTCGGCCGGGCCGATTGGACGGCTGTCAAAAGAGATCGATTTGACGGATTCTAATATACCTTCATCTAGGGGCTGTTCTGTTTATCAAACAGCCAGCCAGCCCTAACCTATTAGCATTGTTTACTTGCGTGATGATATCTACGTTTCTCACTACCATTTTTCTTCTCTCTATCCTGGTCAAGTAATGAATGTCTGTCTGCTCGAGGCCAAGTCTCAATATATTGATATATCTAAGTATCGCGCATCCCCCCTACCCGTCCATGTCATATAAAGTTACAGATCGACCATGAAGCACCAGGGTAAAAACCTCTTCTGCCCGACAGCCCAGCGTTTTCGGCGCTTTACTGGCCGGTATCAAGCCCTTTATGCACGAATTTTCTCCAGGCAGCCAACCAACTTGACTCCCTTGCTTGAAAAAAGGGCCCTTGGCATGCATGCATGCAAGTATGGAATCGCTGTTCAGCTTGTGTAAACATGCAGCCTGCAAGAGAAAAGAAAAGAAACAGGACAAAAACGACCATGGAGCAAACTCCTCATCTTCTGCCTCGTCGACCAGACGATTGCACCTGTTTCACCACTGTTAAAGAGCTAACTAGCGCAGCAAGGAAGGCGTCGCAGCCTTAGATCGAAAACCGACATGACTGCCGCCAATGGCATCGCTATGGCCATCGAGCAGTTCTACGAAGAGCGCAAACAGGGCGACCTCCTACCGTTCTGCTGGCGGAACCAGGACTGCGGCAGCTGTCTTCGTGCTGCGGATTTTTGCAGTTGGTGCGCATTTGTATGTACTGGAGGATTTTCTTCTGATATATATATAGGCCTTGCTCAGATTATATATATATACCCTTCATTCAGCGCTCGAGATGCGTTTCACGTCTAACGTATCCTCTCCTGGCTGATACTTCTGCATAGCTGACTTTGCTTGCATAGTCGTCTACCTGCGTGCCGAATACTTCTCCCTTCCCTCTCCTTGCTCCCTTGACAAATAGCTCGATATGCCCACTTGGCGCTAAAGAGAGGTGGGAGATACGTACCCGTCCATTTGGATGTGCGGTTAGCTCCGCTACGTTCCTCACATGCATTGTCTCGGTGATAGGTACACTGCTTCTGGTGGTTGTTGCATACCTTGCTTACCAGATGTGGATGGCGAAGAAGGACGACGAGGAACAGCAGCAGCAGGAGGGAGGAGACGAGCAGCCTGGAGGCGATAGCTACGGGGCTGGTGGAGGGTACGGGGGTACCCAGTTTGGAGAAGAGGGAGGCGGAGAAGGCATAGGAGGAGCGCTTCCTGGCCTTGTAGGCGGTATTTCGAGCTGGATGGGACAGGGACAGGAGCACAGAGCGCCAGAAACTATACCGGAGGAAGACGAGGAGCAGGAGCAAAATGAGCGCTCGCCTTTGCTATGACTAAAAATTTGGGTCAACCTGGAGGTTTCGGTTGGATACAAAACTATATACGGGTTTGGCTTTGGACATGTATACTCTTCCGATTAATGAATAATGCAATTGAATGGTTGTTGTCTCATGCTTGCCCTCCGACAGACTCGGGAGGGGACAATCCTGTCTACCAATCTCAACCTTTACAGACCTGGCTGACCTTATAGTCTACAATTGGCTTCTGACCTTTCTCGTAAATGAATCGACCAGAGGCAACGAAGATACCGTTCTCGAGGGCCGCATGATCGGCGTCTCCGCTCTGGGACAGGTTACGGTTTACCTGTAAGCAATTGTGCCTATGACTGACCTGCAGCCGGGGAAAGGGGATCAACTAACCTCGAACTTAAGGGTAGTGGCTTGAAAGGGGGATATGTTAGCGAGTTTCCGCCATTTATTTATTTTTCCCAGGGAGGTGGATGGATCATACATATATTCCCAAACTGGGTGCTTGCTGCCTCTTCCCTGCCAGTGAGAATGGCATTGATCTCGGGAGTCAAGTCAACGACTCCGGTATAATTGATATACACAGACTACCACCAAGTAAGCCATGGCGCTGCTAGCTGGCTGGTCATCTAGAAAACTCACAGCTCCCGTATCTGTTCTTTAAACATTCAATCAGCTTTGTGTGCCCCAAAAGCTGGGGGAATAGACATACTTGACTACAGTATGGGCATCCAGCCGTAGACGTTTACCGTCTGGGTCGGTGCGGATATAATCATTGCCATTGCTAGCAAGCTGGCCGTTGAAAGCGGGCAAGAAACCAGGCTCGCTCTTGACGGTGCCGCCGACCATGGGCTAGAGACAGACATCTTCAGCTACGAAAACATTTTATCTGCAGCCAGGCCAAAGTTTGAGCAAGCCATGAGACGCACCGTGACTACGAAGTTGCAGTTCTTCGCTGTACTTCCTATTATTGGCGATGTTAGCACTCTGTGCTAGCTTTAGCATCGATACCAACGGGCTTAAGCTTCTGATGCATACCTACGTTCACTGGAGGGTCGATCAAGACCTATATAATGGTGAATGTATGCCGTGGTTAGATGTATCCGTGGCGCTGGGAAGGGCAGTTATAACTAGTTACCTGCATGGTGAATGCCGGCTTCAAGGTGGGAAAGTCTGCCATATTGGAAGAGCCGTGCGATGGTTATTTAGTTACCGTGAATGGAATACTTATATCTACCACGCTGCAGTTGATGTTGAAATTGAAGTTCGAATAATAAGAGCTGGAGATAGAGATAGAACGAAGTTTATATAAATTGACAGCTAACTACCCCGCCATCATGCAGTGTATCCGTAGATGCTTGTCGATGCTCGACTTCAACTTCAGCGTCGGAGTTTCGACGGAATCAGCTCGTCTATCCCTGAGTATTGGCTATTCCGTTTCCTATATCTCTCTACTCTCTTACGTTAGTAGCCCTAATTAGCAGGATTCGAGGTTTGCAGAGTAAACATTCCCAGAGTACACCCTTGCGAACCGATAACTAGTTACCTGGGGCGCCTGATCACGATGGAGAGCTTCCAGTTTACTCCCGTGGCAACTTATTGACTGAAAAGTAGCCAAGTGACTCTAGTTGAGCCGTTTTATAGACGATACATATCAACCATAGCAGTGAAACTATTTAGAGACACCTTGAGTCCTGGGTCTGGGGTATTATGGCATGATACCCCGTCCCGATCTTCTTGTGATCAAGGTCGCATAGAGTAAGCCTTCTCTAAGCTTTCAGATAACTTAAGATAGCTGTCTTGAGTGTCCCAGCTGATAAGGAGTAGGAGACTCTGCTTGTACTGCCACATCCATCATATGGCCCAGTAAGCGAGAGAAACCCAGCATTCATTTTAACGATGGTAGCCTCCATACGGAGTATCGCCTAAGCACTCAGGGTGGTGTATCTACGCAACGGTAGATACGTTTTCTTGGTTGTTCCCAGGCTGTCGATGTCTTCAGTAGTCCACTCCACTGCTGCAGAACGGACGACTTTTGTGGTCCTTTGACAGGAGCCGATCGAGCTTCCCGCTGCCTGACAGTCGTTAAACACTGTATCCGTGGGCGGACATGGCCAGCTGTGAAGAGACTCGACAGCATCGAAACCGACCTTGAATAGCTGCTGATAGACAGCGAACTCTCCAGGTTGTATCACGAGTCTGGAGTAAGTTGATATTCAGCCGCTAACTAATGCATCAAAGCGTCATTTGACAAGAGAGTCCTCCGATGGATCACCTCTCTGCACATGCATATTATATTCTCGCTTTCAGAGGGTCCTTCTTCAGCCTGTTGTGGGTGTGCGGTTTCATGGTCTGCCCTGCCGGTTGATGGATTCTGCTCCGAGTGGTGATCGATCCAAAGGCCCCAGAAGCCCAAGAGGTCTTTGCCCCATGCAAGCATTAGTGATCTCGCGGCCCATCTGCTGTGACACCACCACCACTGCAAGACGGCCTCCGCGCGTCCCCATCCGCTATTATTTGCTGTCTCTCGATCGCTCCGTCATCCGTTGGCTCAGCCAGTGTCTTCTTCCCATCCCATCGAGCCAGTGAACTAGCAGGAAAGCCTCGTTGCTCCTCTTTGCTTTTTCCCCTGCACCTTCAGCCCTTTTTCAGGTCGTCCCAAAAGAGAGCCGTCTCTGCGATTTGCTGGAGAAACTGCCTGCGCACCCCCTTCACAACGCAGTTCTTATCAAGTATTACAATCACATCGTCCTCTGCATGAGAAGAAGAGAAGGCGAGCTGAATGAATCCAAAGAGAAAAATGTAAAAATGTGAAAAGGGCTGCCTCCCCCTCTGCTGCGATATTCTGCTTACCTAAGCCTTCACGTCACTCGCTGAAGATCCCTGCGAACCTTTTTCCTTAATTCCTAATTTTATTTATTTCGCGGAAGCCTGAGGGCGCCTGAAGAGCATTATTGTATCACACGCCCACTCTCGCATTCACGCACGGCACCGTCTGAGGAGTGTGTATATATATTACTAGGTCGCTCCCCCCCCGGCGGGACGTGGACGGTGCTGATGGCGAGAAGGACATTTTGTCTTGATTCCGTCTGATCACTCACAGCCATGGCGCCATGTTTACTGCGCTTCCTGCTGCTGCTGCTGACGGCCGTGGGCGCGGATGCTGCGGCCTTGAACGTCCAGGACCAAGCTCAAGTTCCCCTGGTTACGGCTGTCGACGAAGCTGACAATGTCCAGGGAGAAGGTCACAGCGGCCTGCATGGCCGTTTCTTGCACATTACAGGTGCGTTTGAGCTGGTCCAACGGCTCTCCCGGTGTGTTCGCAGAGGTATAGATGCTGACATTGTGTGTATCCAGATATCCATGCAGACCTGTTCTACAAAGCCCACACGAAGATAAAAAACGACTGCCACCGTGGACATGGTATAGCTGGCTTCTTCGGCACGCCTGGCACAGACTGCGACACCCCCGAGACGCTGCTGGATGCAACCTTCGACTGGATCGGTAACAACCTGCGAGACAAGGTTGACTTTGTGATCTGGACGGGCGACGCAGCGCGCCACGACAAAGACGAACGCAGGCCACGTTCTGAGAAGGAGATCGTGAGCACCAATCGGCTTGTGTTCGACAAGTTTGTGAAGACGTTCCACAAGCCCAAGGATGAACTCGGAAACACCCTCAAGGTCCCCATCATTCCAACCTTCGGAAACAACGACATCATGCCTCACAACATCATGGAGAGGGGTCCAAACAAGTGGACGAGGATCTTTAGCGAGCTGTGGGGTGCAGTCATCCCAGAGGAACAGAGACACTCGTTCGCCATTGGAGGGTGGTTCTATGTAGAGGCCATACCAGGGAAACTGGCTGTCATCAGTTTGAACACCATGTACTTCTACCGGGCCAACAGCGCCGTGGATGGGTGCAATTCAAAGTATGAGCCAGGGTTTGAGCATATGGAGTGGCTCAGGACACACCTGCAACTGCTCCGGGACAGAGGGATGAAGGCAATTCTCATCGGGCATGTTCCGCCTGCTCAGAACAAGAAGAAGAAGAACTGGTCTGGTTCGTGCTGGCAGAAATATGCTATTTGGATGAAGCAATACCGTGACGTAGTCGTTGGAAGCTTCTACGGACACATGAACCTTGACCATTTTATTCTGCAGGATTTCGATGATATCAAGTATATCATTGGTGATGAATCAGAATACGATACCAGCCATGAGAAGTCAGGGAAAGACGTCTCAATAACGGTGTCGATGGGCTACCTGCGAAAGCTGAAGAAGCTGTGGTCGAAACTACCACAGCCGCCTTGGGCCGAGCAGGACCAGGTGAACACTGCTGGGTACAAGAAAGAGCTAAAGAAGTACTACAATGAAGTAGGTGGTCCATGGGCAGAGCGATACTTTATGTCTATCGTCTCGCCCAGTGTGATACCCAACTTTTTCCCTTCTATCCGTGTGGTGGAATACAACATCTCCGGCATAGAACACTCAAAGAAGTGGCCGCAACCACCCTACCTAAATCCCAACGAAGACAACACTCCTTTGTCATATCTCGATGAGGATGATCGTGATGATGATAATGATCAAGACAACACCTCGATAGACATATCGAAAAAGCACAAGAAGCGCAAGAAACACAAGAAGAAATACCCCAAATTTACTGTTCCCAATCCTCCATCCAGAACGTCTCCTCCAGGACCAGCCTACTCCAACCAACCACTCTCCCTACTAGGCTACCAACAATACTTTGCGAACCTGACGGGACTCAACCAGGCCCATGACGAGAAGGCTTTAGAGCTGAGTAAAGTGGACACAACCAAGAAAAGCAAGGCCCCCAAGGACTTTTATCAGCTAGAATATGATACACGGACTGATGCGTACTACCAACTACCTGACATGACCATGAACAGCTACCTTGAACTCGCAAGGCGGATAGCCCGCGAAGAGGAAGTGCCCGTGCACTACAATGAAAAATTCAGTGACGGGGACGGCCCATCGATACTCAAACGTACGGTATCTCTCTGGACAGTTTTCCGCCAACGGGCGTTTGTAGGGTTCTTCAATGCAAGGATGCCTTGATTGAAGACACTAATTATATACTTCCTCAGATTTGGAGTTACAGATGGACTCTTTTCTCGAAACATGGACATATATCCCTCACATAGAATGGCTTTTTTTTTTTCTTGACTTTAACATATGCATAGCCTTTGCTTTATTGGCCTTCTACTTGTCTATTTCTATTAGATTCTGGAAGATAGCACTCGAGAGGTCTGCGGCCTGGTTCCGGACCATTCCTAAGTAGTTGGTAGTTAGATTATATAATTAGCAGGCCAAGCGCCCCCCATCAGCGACACGCCAGATAGCGCTTGATCTGCTCACTGTAGAGGAAAAGGAATATTCACTATTTCCAAGTTCCTATTATTGGATAACTATTTAGCCATTAAATATGTCTCTTTCTAATTGGCTGAACTATATGTATCATGGGTGCCCACCCATTCATAATATATATTTCCACCAATAGAAATAGCTGATTAAATTTGATTATCTAAGAGGTAATGAAACGTTACTTTTTCTTTCATTGCGACAAGAGTGCGCTCACTGGGCTTGTAACCTTTTGATAAAATAATATTGAATGGATAATTATTTGATGGTTCCGAGAAAACTTTATTTTCCGGTATCGGTCTCACGAAGAGACAGAGCGAAGTGAATACCACGTGATGATCAACTGATGTAGCCCATGGGTGGTTTTCCAGCAGTGGGGGTAGAAATAGCTAGGGACCCTCTTCACCCCTTAACATTTCAATTTTCCTGCTCTTCTTCTGAAACAAGCCAGAATACGCTCGCTCCGCTCGCTATAAGAGAAAAAGAAATATTCGCTACGTCCTATTGGATTACCACTTATCTATTGATTAGGTATTTCTATTGGCTAAAAATATATATTTCAATTTGTGCCCGCCCATTCAACCAATCAACACCACATACCCCTTATGCTTCGCAACGGGGTAGTGTTGATTGGTTGAATGGGCGGGCCAGCCAGTTTTATCCTATGAAATTTATGATTGGTTATAATGGATCTACGTAATGGGTTTTGCGGGCACGGAATAATAATTTTACAGGTCACGTGACAGCAAAAATTTACGATCATATTATTACAGCCAGATCTAGACAGCAAACGTGTTCGATATTTGCCATGAAAGAAGACAACGAGGCTTGCCTGCGGAACGACAGCTGCTTTATCTCCTGGCTAAGGTATTTGAGGAGCAACAACATAGAGGAGTCGGCATGCAAGCTTGCTTCTCATCACGTTCGCCGTGAAGCAACCAGCGCCGAGGAATACTTAGCAGGCTCCTTCAACCGCTGTTATCGAGTCAAGTTCAAGGATGGACCTGACGTGCTCGTCAGATTCCCTGCCCTGGGACGGTCGATGTTTCGACGTGAAAAGATAGTGGATGAAATTACGGTGATGGAGTATGTCGAAGGATATACGTCCATCCCCGTCCCTCGCGTCCTCGGGTATGGCGCAACCGAAGTAGGTCCGTATATGATTCTTGAATTTGTCGAAGGCAAGCTACTATCTGGGTATCTCAAGGCATCGGAAGACCCCAAGGTGCCATCGACCTTGAAATTGGACCTTGACCCTGCCACCTTACGCCGGGCCTATCGCACCATGGCGGAAATCGTACTGCAGCTCTCTACATGTCGCTTTCCAGAAATCGGTGGCATTGTCCGGGATCGCGCTGGGTACTACGCGGTGCGGAAGCGGGCGCTGACTCTCAACATGAATGAAGTGGTGGCGCTTGCAAACTTCCCTCCCAAACGACTATCGCAGCGCCGCTATGCGGATACGACCTCATACCTGGTGTCTCTCGCAAATGACCATCTCCATCACCTTGAAACACAACGTAACGATGCGGTGGTGGACGAAGAGGACTGCCGGAGGAAATACATCGCCCGCTGTCTATTCCGTGAAGTTGCTCGCCGCTTCCGCTCTCCGCATGATCCCGACTCGTTTCCGCTGTTCTGTGAAGATCTACGTCCTTCCAACGTGATTGTTGATGAGGAACTCCGAGTTCGCGCCGTTATAGACTGGGAATTCTGCTATACTGCGCCGGCCGAATTTACCTACTGCCCTCCCTGGTGGCTATTGTTATGTCGCCCGGAAAACTGGGAAGCCGGCTTCGATGATTTCCTAGTTCACTACATGGCTAGACTAGAGATATTTCTAGAAGAGTTAAGGGAGTATGAAGTTGAGTTTGCTGAGGGTCATATACCGCCCGGGTCGTCCCGCCTCTCAGAGCACATGGCGCAGTCGATTGAAAATGGCAATCTCTGGATATTCCTTGCAGCAACGTACAGCTTTGGCTTTGATGATATCTACTGGAAATTCATACATCCAAAGTACTATGGTGACTTTGGGTCCACCGAGGATTTGTTGAAACTGCTGAATGAGGAGGACCGGAAAAAGATGGATGACTTTGTCCAAGGAAAGATGCAACAGATGAAAGAAGGCGGCCTCGATTCTCACAGGACAATAGAAGAGATCACAGACGATTGAATAATTTTTGTATGTTGAGGCAATTAAAGATAATGCAGTTTTTCTATAGATAATTAAAGATACTTATAACTCACTGTCGAAACAGACTAAAAGAAGACTGAAAAGGGTGGAAAGGGTGGCCCATGGCTTCAAGCAATTAATGGCGTCTTCGACTTCGAGTAATCTCCGCAGCACGCTCCATGTCCATTCTTTCCTGTAGACTAAGGTTTCTAAGGACTTCGGCCACTTCCATCCCGTTTTTAATTTGTCTCCGGAGTCGTCTTGCTTGCGCGGCGGTAGGGACTTGGCCAACGTTGAGTCCAACAGTGATGATTTCTCTCTCTGACGGGCGGTCGGAGTAAAAGTCGAGAAGAGAATATTAGCTGTCGCGCACGGCATATGTGAGCTCTTAACTGCTATTGGATGACGCGATCGAGTTGCGGTTACCGTCCCACTCTAACTTCCGAGGAGTCATGTACTGATTCAGCACCTCGTCTGTAACGGCCTTTCTTCGCTCTTGGAACTCCATAACGTATTCCTGTAAAAGGGCGACAGCCATTTTCTTTAACTCTCCCGTCAAAAGATCCCCTTTGCGGTAGTCTTGCTCTATTTTCTTAAGCTTTTCGTCGTCATCTTCGAAATAAGAAATGTCTGATATCACGTCAGATAAAGAGTCACACATTAATGGGTTGGAAGCCGGCACATACATTGGTAAGAAACGTCTACATCAGGGTTTCCACCAAGCTGACGGTGCAGCTCAACCGTTGCTTGGCCTCCACTGAAGGCATAAGAGTTGATTTTTTTCTTGGGACGTGTCAGACAAATGGATAGGCAAACAGATACAAGGAACGGAGTAATTGGTTAAACCTACCTTGATTTGGGTGGGGTTGTCTGACATGAAAATGGCGGAGCTAGAGCGAATGTAAGTATGATCAAGTAGTACGAGTGATTAGGTCAGTTAATTCTTACTTTGGATCACTGGCGCTCATCTTTCCACCGGCTCCTTGCAGTGCAGTAAGGAATTGAGAGTGTATCAATGCTGGTTTTGGAGAAGGGAATCGCATCCTATGACAGTTTTCGCGTAGGAGTCTAAAATAAGGATCTTGGTCTATAGCCATGGGAATCAAACACTGAATCTTTGCAATGGCTTTTGTTCGGTCTGTAGCTGGTCTGTCGCTCCAGAGCTCTGGATATGAAGTAGCAAAGGCGGCAGCACTATTGCAGTCAATTATATGGTCTTTTTATCCTGGAGAGGACAACGTACCATTGCACAGCAGGGAACATGATACGACCGATATTTGTGCTATTATTTATTAGTTTACAGCACAAGCATAGGTATGGATTATTGGGGACTGACCTCTCGTTAAATCCAAATGCTCCGCGGACTTGGTTGAATGAAAGAAGCTTTGAAAACTCCCAGACGTTTGTGAGGAATGGGCCTTTGATGTATTCCAGGTCACTGTAGATGAAGGTCTTCTTCAAATCGAAGCCACATGCGATGATATCCTTTGCGTTCTGAAGGGCAAACTTGTGTGTTTCCTCGAAGGTGAGCTTTTCCTTGAAGAGTGCCTTTTCATCATCTTCCTCCCTTTTTATCAGTATGGGGCTATATGGGAGCAAACTGCCCATGAGAAAATGACGGCTTACCAGTAAGCATGATCACTAGATATTGAATTAGACGAGTTTATCAAATAACAGTTTCACTAAGGACACGGAAGAATACCTAATGGGACATCAAAAACATCCTGCAGCCATTTTGTAAAAGTGAGAGGGATGGTGTGGCCGAGATGCAGTGCGTCGCTGGATGGCCCTCTGCCAGTGTACAAGAAGAAAGGCTCGCCGTATTCGTACTTGTCCAAGATCTTGTCGAAGTCCCGATGAGAGAAGAAAAGGCCGCGTCTCAACCAACGATGGGGTTTGTGGCCAGTAATGCGCTCAAAGCGCTCGAGAATGGCATCGTCTATCAATTTAGTCGCCCATTTCCTATCTCAGATGGTTAGCACGCGGTCACTGCAATGAGGAGGACGGGGGATCCTGGGGAGGATGAACGCACTTTGAAATAGCAACATAGTCGAAAGCCAGGGTGTTTCCCTGCGCATCCTTTGCACCTTTAACGTCCCAGGGGTTGATATCCTGTTCTGTAGTAGCAGCAGGCTGTTCTTCTTCACAAACTGGGACCATGGTCTCCGCCTTGGGCGCCTCCATCTTGATCCAACCAAAAGCAATATCCTTGACAGCAGGAGGGCGGAAGAATGCACGCGGGGGATTTGGGAGAGAGGACAGAAGTTGAAAGAAAAACAATGAGGTCTACAGTAAACAGAACATGAGTCGAGGTTTTCGTAACCCTGGCTACTTCCTTTTCGTTGTTGACTCACACGTGGGGAAGTATCGTCGTAGATGACTAAATCATTCGTAGATTCCTCAACGCAGTGTCTGTTAACAACGGAAGGATAGGGGGCGGTATGCGACCAACTATGGAGAGAACAACGCACTTGTCAAGGCCTAGACGCTAAGGTTGATAGGTAGGTATAAAAAAAATTTCGGGCCGGGCCCCTCGCTCGCTATCTTTTTCGTCCTTTATGTTGTTTGACTCAACTCGAGGGGCATCGCAATAGATGACTAATCAAATTTTCACTTGCAGTCTTATCATGATTAGTAATAAGGCTTCGGTCTTATATTAATACCCGTCCGTGTCACATGATAGATAAAATCAGGTGACTATTATCTTAGATAATCAGGAATCTCAATAACGGAGAACTTAACGAATTCAATGTATCACAAAACTGGTAGTTTGGAAGTAATGCGCTCTTACACTCCGTAGATGCTCCGTAGAAGAACGAAGGCTATGTGCCAGCAAGGCGTGAGAGAGCGTGGCGACTCCAGATAAAATACAACCATACTGAGTACGGAGTATATCAGAGAGCTTTTAATGCTCTGGGACGGGGCTCTGTCTATCACATGACCCGGCTCAGCCTCCACTCCCTCGGCCCTTTTCTCTCCTTCGCTCGAGGACGCCGAAGGTTGATAGAATTTAGATCGTGAAGACGCAGCGAAGATGAAGACGTTGAGGCTGCAGTCTCCGGGGCAAAATGGAGTCCTCGAGTCCCGGGCGGCGCAGAACAGGATGAGGTGGCACTGACAAGGCGAACAGCGAGCGGTAGATGTGGCCAGCAACCTTGACAGGCTGTCGGGTCTTCTGGCGCAGGGCGGCAGAGCGCCTGAGAGACTGACACGTCAAACAGGCGGTGGGCTTGCTAGGCTGCTGGCCCCGGGATAGTCGAGCGAGTTAAGGCCCTGGGGCTGGGATCCTCCGCCAGCGAAGACCAGCAGAGACAGCCAGAAAAGAAGAGGGAAGAAGAGGCAGAGAAGCGAGGCTTCTCGTGTTTTCTTTTTCCTCTCTAAATATACTGACTCTCGAATTCTGTCTGCCGTAGTTAGTTACCCCCTGCAGCTGCTCACCAAAGTATTAACTATCACCATCGCCATCTTGGAGTCGCTGCTCGTCTACTCCCACCAGACCAGCGGGTTACTCCTGTGCGACAGCGACAGTGACGGCACCGAGAGGCACAAACCAAGCCGCGCTGGGATTATGGAGAAGAATTGATCGATTCATCGTTTTTTTTTTTTTTTTTTTTATTCCTTTCCCCTGGTCGTATTTTGGGCAGCGACTCTTTCTTTTACCGACACTTCGACTCGGGCTCTCCAAAGAAAGACTTCTTCAAGCGATGAGACTGGGCTCAATGGCTGCTCAATTCCCCTGACGTATGCCTGAATTGACCTTTTAACTCCTTTCTTTTGACTGACCCCCGTTTGTCCTTCGAAAGAAAAGACAAAACTTCCAGCCGGAGAGTATAAAGGGCGATAATGAGTCGCGAATTGAGTCGGATACACGTCTTTTGCCAGCTTCTTCGATCGTCTGTTCTCGTTTCTCACCTTCGTTGCGCATCTCCAGACTCTGGTGCAGGGCTCAGGGCGACCCAGAGTTTGCTGTGGAGCTAGTTAGTCGAACTGTGGTACGTCTTCAGTCCCGAGTATCAAAATGATACCGGGTACTCCGTACAGAGTACTCTGTAACTCCATACATTTGTATCGTGCGTGTGAATTTTGCTGATGATTAAGTGAAGGATACATCCTTTATAGTCTGCCGATACCTACTTTTCATAACTTACTTTCTTCACGGAGAACTGTATACTAGAACCGGGCTTCAGTTACCGACGACTTCATACAGGACTCGATCTATTATTTTCCCACCGACTGACCATAACCAGCTATCGAATATCATTTCGAGACATACAGAGTACTGTACCATAGACATCACGCTCATCGTCGGCTTGATTTGCGCTTCCCAGCCATACATACCGAACACAGGACCCCATAGTTATCGACCCTTGGCGGACCACTGATCTAGTTTAGCATCTAGCTTCGGTCCTTAGCTTCTAAATAGATCGCGCCTCGCCTGACGCCTTGGGGGTATTTTGAGCTCCTCGAGAAAAGACCCCGAGTCGTTGATGTACAATTGCTCCTACTCCTGAGGCCAAGACGTCGAACCCCATTTTGCGACTTCTGACATCCAACAGCCTGTCAACTTCAGAGAACTGGTTACACAGGCGAGCAAAGGAGGGCCTTGGATACCAGACAGGAGGATATTTAATTTGCCGGTTGGTGCTAATTTTAAGAGGTAAGCGCCCGGTTTTTTTTTCCCTGATCACCACATTTGCCTTTTTTTTCCTCTCTAGCCGCCAGTCACAAGAATATCCCCGAAAAGCAACGAGCATAGGGAAAAACAAAGTATAAGAGCAAGTTCCGTTTCCCTTCAGCCCAGTTAAATACCCAGACATGTTTTGCCATTTTTTGTTCCCCGCCACCGGCTGTGACCCTAAATGCGTTCTGGTCACTCATTCCCGTCTCATCTCTGCTTTCCTTTTGATATATTATTATACTCCATACCTCCGGCAATAAATCGGTGGCATCATGTCAACCACGGAGATGATCAACATCTCCGCCCACGGTCCCTTGAGTCCAAGTCATTTTTATGCCAGAGAACTAATCTGTGCTTCCCGCTTATGGCAGGATTTCACCGAACCCATAGAGTTCGCTATATGGATGGCATCCTCAGAAGTAGACCAAAAATTTCTTGGTCACTTTGCTACCCAAACCAGCGAAACAAACCCGTTCCTCTCGGGTATGCTATATAAGATTTTGGGGCTTTCCGTCATATTATCCAAGAAGCTGCTTCGGGCACGAAAACTGCGACGGCTGGATCCTACGAGGGAAACAAAGTCGTTTCAATTATACCATCATATCCTATGGCTTTCGAGGGAAGGACTGATAATAGTGGAGCAGTATGTGCATCCTATGGTAGCAGATTATGTGGAGCTGCGCGTTTTAGCATATAAGCTGCAAGCGTCGTTCTACCACATATTTGTGCTTTTCCATAATCAGCCGCGTGTCTACCATCGAGGTATCCAGGCTCTACCCGGCTCAGCATCATTTGTTGATATTGTCAATGCAACTGTTCCCTCTGGTGAACAAAAGGGGGGTAATTCGCAGGATCCATCATCAGTGCCTTCCCATCCAGCAGAAGGTGGTCCTGTTGGGGCTGGGAGCCACCTACAACCTCCAGGGCTGGAAGTACCAGTTCAGCCCAAGTTCGCAGCTTCTTTTATTCTTCCTGCCATAGACTACACCCCGCGAGCAACAGAATGTTTCACCTATGTGGCTGCACTGGCCGACCAGCTTCTACCAGGCTCCCATCCGATCCGTCTGTCAGTGAAGCTTGAGTATGCCGCATATCTATATGATTGTCTGAATGATTCGAAAGCATGCAGACGCCTGGCCAAACAAGCTATCGCAGATGTGTACAATGCCCAGGAGGGTATGGACGATGAAAGCTTCGAAGATGCAGCGGAATTAGTGAGTGTGCTGGGCAAGATGGTCAAGCGAGGAGGCAAAACTACCAGCAGTACAGGCGGAAGCAGCAATGGTGGAGCTGGAGCTGGAGCTGGAGATAAATCGGTCAGCGATGCAAGCCAGGGCACACCTCGCGAAGCTGCTGTTGCGACTGCAGAGGTCGGCGGTACGCCGAAGAGCAGCCATCAACAGCCAAAACAACAGCAGCCTTCAACCCCTCAACGACCAATCCCGGTTACCAGAGGAACGCCACCAAACATCCCAGCAGAAACAGGACTTGGCCTAGCAATTCCCTCTACCACCATGGCCAATCCAATATAACAACATATATGTGTCTGGGTAAACGGTACCAAAGCCTCACTATTCTTGGAACCACAAAGCTGTGGAGATGATGTGGCAGTGGACCATTTGGCTGTTTCACTGTCAAATGCGATTTTTATCTCGTTTTCGTTCTGTTCCTTTATTTGTCTTGAGGAGGCGCCTCGCAAGTGGTTTTCTGATTTTAGGTGTTGTATGTATATGGGAGATTGTTAAATATCTTTTTATCTTATAATTATCAAGATAGTCGTAGTGATAATCAAAACCATGAAACGTATTTCACCATTCCAAGCGGTGCCCGGTGTAAGCATTATAGAAGCTTAGGGCATCATGTCGAGGTCCAAGCGCGTGACAGTCAACGCATTTTTGAGGCCCATATTAATTTTTGGTAAAGGTCGTAGCGTGGTTGTATAGACGATTTATAGAACGAGACACTTTCGCCAGGATTGATCTGATTCTGCCCGGTGCTACAGTCAATAATAGGAATAAACAGCGTGTCTAAATAATATTGGGATGAGCAAAGTGTAAAAGGCAGTTAGTAGAAGTTGCATGGGATATCATCTGTTCCTGGAATTCGGGGGTATAGAGGGTAGCAAAGGTGTTGGTAGATGTACCAAATAGAGTATACTTCCAGAGATACCGCGCAATCAAAGAAACAAACACATCCAAGTATGGGGTACTTCAGTGTAATAAGAGGTTCAGGGTCAAGGTTGAAGTCATAGCTCGTCAACCGTAAAGAGGCGGGAAAGGATATAATCGAGGCGAGATGATTTTCAGGCCAAACAGCTCTGTTCTAGAGTCTGGAACTCATTTTCACAGTCGATAACCTTCAGCATATGAAGGAAACCATCTGCTTTGACCTTATATTATGGGGTATATGGATTTTTTTTTTTCTCTTTGCACTTTCAGCTATGGAGATGTTGTTACAGCTTAGCGGCACCAACCTCGGGAGGAGTCAACCTTGCTGGCACGCTTACCTAACTAACTAACTAGTTAATTTTCAGCCGCTGGGTCCAAATGAATCCACGTGATTCCTGCCTCTGCCCAGTCAAGCTTACCCCCGGCTTTGGCACAAGGCTCCACTCCTCCTCATCCTAAAGCTGACGAAGTTCGTCTTATTGATGACCATTTTGATATAAAGTACTAGTACACTTTTTATTCCATTACCTTTGAACTCAACCAGAAATATTGTGAGAATGATAAAATAACATGGGAACAAACTCACCAAATCCAGTTCCATTCTCCGAACCGCCATACCTCTGTGGTCTTCCCTCGCCATACTACACGCAAGCTCATCGTCAGTTCCAGAAGGCATGTCGAGCATTTATTTGGGAGCATTTGCATTCCCATGCCATGGAATGGGAGCGGGAGGGCACTGTTCCACCTCATGTGTTTGAAGTATTTGCCAAACACAACATGCTACTTCCAAACCTGCCTTCTCCCTTACCAGTTGCATGGTTGAAGAAGTTAAATATTCATGATATCTTGGGTGTCAAGGTTGAGGACTGGGATTTAATATACACTGGTATATATCTGGATGAGGTCAGTGGCTACACACTAGTGTGCTACACACCAACTTGTGTTGACTTTGATTAGATGTCAAGATGCGGGCTGAGTGGGCCCCCGAGTTCACTGACAGCTGGGTTTGCATTTGGAATCCCGCCCATGCTGGCATTTGGTAGCCGGGAACTACAAGAGAAATTTCTTCCCGATATGTTAACTGCCAAGGTCAGATCGTGTATTGCCATTACCGAACCGGACGCAGGTAGTGACGTTGCAAATATTACTACCACTGCAGAGAAGAGCGCAGATGGAAAGTACTATATTATTAATGGCGAGAAGAAATGGTATATCCTGGTCCCTGTTGTGCAATTCACTACAGTCCATTGAGACGTAATTAGCTCACATACCTGATAGGATCACGAATGGAATCTGGTCAGACTACACAACCATGGCTGTACGTACTGGCGGACCAGGGCCAACAGGGCTATCTATGATAGTCGTACCTTTGAAGGGGTACCCAGGCGTAACGATGCGTCGACTCCCGGTCTCAGGTCAAGTCTGTGGGGGTACCACGTATATCGAGCTAGACAATGTCAAAGTGCCGGTTGAAAACCTCATCGGTCAAGAGGGACATGGTATGAGGTACATAATGACCAATTTCAACCATGAACGCCTAACAATTGCCGTTGGAGTCACTCGCCAGGCTCGAGTAGCTCTCAGCGCCGCGTTCGAATACTGTATGAAGCGCGAGGCCTTTGGTAAGACTCTGATGGACCAGCCTGTAGTGAGGCACAGGTTATCCAAGGCTGGTGCCGAACTAGAGTCCATGTGGGCTTGGGTAGAGCAGTTCTTATACCAAATGAGCCACATGCCAAAGGTCGAGGGAGATAGGAGACTGGGCGGCTTGACTGCTCTGGCTAAGGCCAAGGCTGGAATGGTCCTCAATGAGTGTGCTCAGGTGGCGGTTTTGCTCTTTGGGGGACTTGGATTCACAAAGTCTGGCCAGGGAGAATTAGTTGAGAGTAAGTAATTTTTCTGATTTGCCCGATTCTATTTCCCTGTTCCACTTGGTTAACTGGCGGTTTACTGATTGATCTAGAAATACTGCGTGATGTCCCTGGAGCTCGGATACCAGGAGGGTCGGAAGATGTACTCCTTGATCTTGCCGTTCGCCAGCTTGTGAAGAATTTTAAGGCCGAAGGGAAGAAGCTCGGCAAGGCTGCTAATCTCTAGAGGGTATTATGTTTTGTTTGGATAGCTGATACTTCGACAACCGCGTACTGTAAAATGAGTACTGTAGCATCGATGATGTATGATTGTGGTGGTTGCTGAATAAATTGTCTGTTCTTGGTGTTGGCTTACAGCGGTCGTCCAGCTGAATAGCAGGTTTCTAACGTAATCTCACTGGGTGGATTGAAACACAACGTTTGCTGGTGCTATTATCTTGTAGCTGGAAGAAGCTTGTCGTTAACGTCGTTAACAATGGTGATTGATTAGGTAAGGTTCCATCCTCAAAATCCACCAATAGGAGCTGGAACTAATTACCGGAAATTATATATCCCGTTCTGCTAGATGACTAAGCAAGCATAACGGGCGTTCCATGAAACCTTAATTTTGCAACAACGAAACTGACGCGAATCTCTCCATACGTTGTACTCAAATGGCTAACTGAAGATAATTAGCAGATGAACGGATAATAATAGCAACTGACGGCTGGATGCAGGCCGTTCAATAGCCTCTTAATTTGTCACTGTTCAGAGATGAAACCCGAGATTTCGCCATCATCCTCCGAAGACCCAGCAGAGTCCGGGACGGTCGTGCCCAAGTCGGCTAGTAAAGCGCAGACCTGCGAATCTTGCCGCTCTACGCATAGCAAATGTGACGGTCGAACACCCAGTAAGACTTATTATTTTCCTATAGGTGGTTGCTTATAATAACATCACTCGGTAGTTTGCGGTTCGTGTGAGAAGAAAAACTCCAAGTGCAGCTTTTCTATAACGCCAACTACGAGAGCCTCTCTTCCTGCCTTATCCTCCAATTCATGTCTGATTTGCAGGAGAAGGAAAAAAAAATGTGATCGCGAACTACCATGTATGCAATCGAAAATGTAAAAAAAGAAATGAAAAGTAAATTGGCAAGAGCTTACCGTTGGTAATAGCTTGCACTTCGTGTCGCCAACGGAATGAACCTTGCCAATACAGTTACCCTTCATCAACGTATGTTCACAGAAACCATCAAAGGAATGCCGTATAAACTAATTTGTCTCTATAGCCTAAAACCAACCCAACGGCCTCCCCTTAGCCCCTCAGGACGACCATCTAAATCTCCAAGACTATCCCTACCAACACGGCCTGCAAGTATAAAGCGGCCATCAACCCAAGCAGATGACAGGGAGCTGTTTAGTAAAGGTTCAAGTGTCATTTCGGATGATATTTCTGACAGCGAGGCGGACGACCTATCTACTGAGAAGTCTGCATCTGTTACAAACACGAAAGACCTTCTGAAGCTCTTCCAGCGGTCTCGAAAGAAGGGCCCAGAGCCGCGAAGTACTTCTATTGAGATTGTGGAGAGTTTTGACTCCAGAGGCACGGATAAAGATACCCTAGATCTATCTACATGGCTAGCCGAGCTCAAAGAAGCGATTCTACATAGGACGGACACCTCGAAACCAGGTTATCGCGAGAAAGCAAAACGAGAACTTGCTAGACTATCACTACTACAGAAAGACAATCCTGGAATTACGGAGATAAAACCAGACCCGCTTGATCTCATAAGACCTCCTCGTTCAATTGCAGACCGTTATTTTGCGATATACCTTACTCGTGAATATGTTAACCTGCCAGTATTTCATCTCCCAGCGTTGCATGCTATGTATATTGAACTATATACAAGTAAAAATTCTGGAGATGATAAAATTATTTCTCTCGGCATATTTAACATGATCTTTGCACTGGGCTCTATTGCCATTGATCCCTATTTTGACGCCTCAGATTATTTCAACACGGCACAACGCCTCCTTCGACTAGGCTCCCTGGGGCCAGATAGCTTCTCGACTATACAAGCACATATTCTTGCCAGCCAATACTTGATTGCAATCCACAACTTTCACGCTGCGTGGAAATCTATTGGACTTGCAATTCGTATTGCTGAATCACTTCGGCTTCATCTCTGTTCAGGAAGCCAGCATCTTGAAGATAGAGTCGATAGAGAGCTTGCGAGGAGGCTCTGGCACAGCTGTATTCTTCTAGAAAGGTTGGTTCGATCGGATTCATGCACTGATTGGGCCCATACTGACCGGTAAGTAGGACGATAGCTCTAAACCTGGGTTCAAAAACAGTTGTAACCCCACGATCCTTCCAAACACCACTTCCAACGCCCCTTGAAAATGAATACATCGACGTGATATTTGGGGGAAAACCCGCAGCTTCTTCTGAACGGCCATCAATTATAGAGTTCTTCACCGCTTATACCCGCCTGATGGAGAGGTATGAAGATGTTGTTGCTGTGCAAGAGGAATTTCGCCCTATTACGCATCACCCCCATAAGCTAATGGGCATATGTGAATTCACCACCCTCCTAAATGCAGATCGGAAGCTGTGCAACTGGATGGCCGCTCTTCCTCCTTTTTTGTTGCCCGAGAGCAATCACTCTTCCTTAGAAAGTCCAGTTGCAAAACGACAACATAACATTCTCCGCGTTAGGTATCTCAGCATCCGACTCCTTTTGTGGCGGCCTCTTCTAGCTCTTGTTGCTGCATCGCCGGATCTACTCTTGGGCAAAAGCACCTCTAACCGCTCAGGCGAAGCCTGCGAAATTGTTGATACACCTATAATACACACCATAATTCTGAAAGGCGCCTGCAAATGCATACTCTCCGCCCAAGAAATAATAAATTGCTTGGCAGAGAATCAACATCCCGACGGGAAAATTGATCATCAGGCACCGATACCTGACTGGTGGGAAAATATTACGTCGACCTTCATTTGCGCTCTCGTGCTTCTAGCTGCTCGTCTCTGTCCCGTTGATCTCATCAAACAGTTACCGAGAGGCAGTAAATCTGTGGAAGATGCCTGGGAAAAATGCACTGGACTATTTAGTGAATATCGAAAATTCGATTCCAAGGCTGGAACATACCTAGTTGCCATAAAGTCCCTCGCTAATAGCGTGGCTGAGATGGCTAGCACCAATCCTCCCCGTGCTAAGGACAGGGAATCAGATGCTCAACCGATAAATGATGTTACCTGGCTGGAAACGTTGCCAAATGATTTGCCTTGTTCAGTATGACCATCGCCGTCATTTTCTTTATCCCTAAGCTAAGATAGCTCACAGCACAGGATAGTAATTTGAGAAGCTTACTACAACAAGGATGCGACAGTTCTCTGTTTTCATTTAACTATTTGGATAAAACGATGGGGCGTCTTTGAGCGTTTATCTACTCAGTCTTGTCATATACGGCCAGGATTGGCAGTACCCTCTATGCACCCTATACCGTCAACAGGGAGGTGGAAAACTTCGATACTTAGGAAAGAGAGCGGCCGAGGTTATTAGTACCAAGCGGAGGTGCCTCTATTTGAAACCTATATGGACTGCTTAACCGCAGATGAACCGTATAGCCTCGGAGGCTCAACAGTGTATGATAGCGTACAGCTGCTTTAGGCTTAGTCATCCGGCGTTGCCCCCGAAACTTATATAGATCAGATAGTAGCCTATTAATCAATCTGTAGGCTTGAAAAGGACATTGTTTTGTAATAAAGCATAAGTTATAAAGAAGATCTGTTTATGGTTGTGTATACCAATAGCTTGTTGGTACAGCTGCTGTGTGGGGTGCTCTGCCATGCCCATGCTTGTGCTGTCATGCCATGTCGGCTTGTCGGGCGGCGCCGGCTTAAGCTCCTAAACTTGCATAGCATCCGCAGGGTGGAGAAGCGTTGTCTTCCGTATATTTACAACGAACTAGATATACAAGTTGCCGAGCGCAACGGGGCAGTGGTTGAACTTCTCTGTATTTCACGCTTTGCTCCAGATATTCTTCTTCGTTTGCTAACTAGGGAATAGACACTTCACGTCCACCGCTTCAAAAATGGCGGCTACAATGCAGGCTGCAAACCGGCTCCAGTCCGTCCTCAAGGCAGGGAAGACAGCATACGGTGTCTGGCAGATGTTCCCTGGCGCCAACCTCTCCCGGGTGATGGCGAGATGCGGATTCGACTGGGTTCTCGTTGATACAGAGCATGGCAATATCGATGGTACTTTACCATGGTATTTAGAGTAAGATTGAGTATGCTCTTGGATGCTGATATTGAATATAGATGCCCAAATGCATGAAGCGGTAGGAGTCATTGCGGCTACGGGAGTCAGCCCTGTTGTCAGGATTGCGGCCAACGAGGGGTGGATGGTCAAGCGTATGTTCATGGTCAATACAGCGTTTATCACGGGGGAAATGGATAATGATGGTAGTGAGATAGGCGCACTTGACGCTGGGGCTCATGGAATACTTGTTCCACTTCTCGAGACGGCGGATGATGCAAGGAAGCTGGTCCAGTCGGCCAAGTTTCCTCCAGTAGGGAAGAGAGGGTTTGGCGCCCCGTTTGCAATGGGTTCAATTGGCAATGTGTCGCCGATAGAATATCTACAGCATGCGAATGACGCTTTAATAACAGCCGTGCAGATAGAGACTAAGTCTGCCCTTGACAATGTTTGTACCCTTTATCCCTCCTGCACAATCCGCCTTGCTTCTTGAACCCCGTACTTCACACAGGCTGCTAAGTTATGGATAGGTCGAAGAGATTGCCCGAGTACCTGGAGTCGATGTCCTCTTGGTCGGGCCATGGGATCTTGGAAATAACATTGGCCGGCCTGTGGTCACTGCCGAGTTCCATCCTGACCTTGAGATCGCTATCGAGAGAATCCGTAAAGCCGCGACAGGCAATGGGAAGAAGGCAGGCATATACTGTCCGTCCGGAGAGTTCGCGAAGAAGTACATTGACCAGGGATTCCACATGGTGAGACCTGCTTTTCCTTTTTGTTCCTTGTTTCAGCTTCGTGCTGTCACCGTTTGCTGATTCGGTTCCGAGTACCATAGGTCTCTGTTATTTCGGACGTGACTGCGCTTCCCATTTTCCTCAGTCAGAGCTTGAAAGTCGCAAAGGGAGAGTAAATTCAGAGATATCCTCTCAAAACTAGCAATTGTAGATTCCTGGCTTAGAGATATATGAAATATATACACTAGCATTCATCAATGGCCTTTTGAACCTCTGTTTCGGTAAACCGGTGGAAAAGCTTCTTTGGATCGCTCAGCTGGCCATTGGGGAGTGTCTTCTCAACGTGTAGAACGGGAACATCGAATTCATACATGTCCTTCCACTGCTGGTTCCCAGGGGCCATCACGTCTATCTCTGCGTACTCGAAAGTCTTTCGCTGCCGGAGGTTGTTGAGGGTGAGTTTGGCGGTCTCGCATAGGCCACAGTTCAGGCGGGAGTAAAGGGTCAGCCGAGCATTCTGCAGAAGCGAGAGAGTAGGCCGCATCTTTAACAGATATATCGAAAAGTAGCTACCTGGCTGAATTGCTGGATCACCGTCCTTCACTCAGCGCTTCTCTTCTGGGTCCTTTTTGTTTATTTTATTATTTTTGTTGGCGTGCCTGGGAGGAAGAAAAAACTTTTCCTATCCAGAACCTTCGATAAGAACGATAAGAAAAAGCAACGCTGGAGGAGCTGTCGCTCTCGCTCGCCCACCACCGCCCTCAGCTGGATTAGTTTAAATATACTTGGACGCACCCCTCCATCCCTGGCGAAGGGCTCAATTTGTGCTTGCTACCACCGTCACGGACAATATGGCTCAGAAATGTGTTCACAAGGGGTGTGGCAAGGTGTTCGCGGACGCTGATGAGTCGTGTGTTTACCATCCTGGCCCGCCAATATTCCACGAGGGACAGAAAGGTTGGTTCTTCACCACGGGGTCGAGAGTGTTACTTATTTTTACGTTGGCTCCTAGGTGACCGCAGTTACTGACTGGCAAGATAGGTTGGAAATGCTGCAAAACCCGAGTCCTGACCTTTGACGAATTTCTTGCCATCCCGCCGTGTACGACCGGCAAACATTCTACGGTTGACGATACACCAGTTGAGCCAAAGAATGAGACTGCTGGTATCCCTGCATCGACCCCTGCTGCAGATGCTCCCGTTGGCACGACCAAACCCATCGCTGTATCAGCTGCGCTACCTTCCTCGCTGAGTGCAACCGGAGCTCACACACCTACACCCACGGGCACTCCCGCCCCGCCAGAGTCCGAGTCGGACGATCCGTCGTTGGAGATACAGCAGGGAGCAACATGTCGTCGGAAAGGATGCGGTAAGACGTACGGTGGGTCTGGATCTAGGGAAGGAGAAGAATGCATTCACCATTCCGGATATCCTGTTTTCCACGAGGGGAGCAAAGGGTGGAGCTGCTGTAAGAGGCGAGTGCTGGAATTCGACGAGTTCCTGAAGATGCCTGGTTGCAAGACGAAGAACCGCCATTTGTTCATTGGCAAGGGAAAGAAGTCTGCTGAAGAGAAGGTTAATGATGTGCGGTAGGTCGAGCTTAATTTTCCCCCTTTACAAGCTGCTTTTGGTTATTGCTACTTAGTAGAGGCACTGACATGCTTGGTGATGATTAGGGCCGACTATTACCAAACCTCCTCGACAGTGATCGCGTCAGTATACCTCAAGAAGATAGACAAAGAGGCTGCCAAAGTGGACTTTGTATCGCCGACCACGATTGAGCTTGACCTCCCCACCGCGGACAACAAACGGTACAAGGAGACCTGGACTCTATTTGCACCAATTGACACAGAGAAATCGAGCTACAAGATCATGGGGACGAAACTTGAGTTCTCTCTTGCAAAGGCAAATGGGGAGAGCTGGCAGACCTTGCGGAGTACCGACCCACGGACAGGCGAGATCATTCAAACCGGACGACCGACAAGGGCATGAGAACACAAGTTTCGAGCATGAGAGGGCGAAAATAATGGTACGAGTAACGAGGTGAACGAATTGGTGAGGAATAGTGGAATATATCTGAACTTTTTTGTATTGACATTTATAATTTTTCTTTTTATCGAACACACAAAAATAAAAGTGTGAAATTTTCACCACTTGAAAATTCCAGCACCTCCAACTCCCCGATCCTCTCTTCCAGTAGACATATCCTGCATCATGGAGATGGCTCTGAAGATGGATGTATCGTGTCCTCCACGACTAAGCCAACAGAGAAGTATGAACGCTCAGCCATAAAAGTATGGGAAAAAGGACGACGAGATCTCCTCTCCGAAGCCGGGAACGGAAGGAAACCCATGGTGAGATGGAGCAACCTTCAGCAAGCCGCCGTAGCGGTGCCTCGGGATTGAAATTTACATGTAGTAAACCTCTACTGATGTGAGGAAAGAAAGGAAGAAAAAGAGAGGAAGCGAAAAGCTGAAATTTTGCAGTTTTATAGCCCCGGCCGGGCGGAGATCACATGACTACTTACATAAGTCATGCTTACTAAATACAAGCTGACTCAGGTTGATTACCTAATGGTTTTCACATGCTCGGAAAACCACGCCGGTTGCGGCTAGTGCGGCTTGCGGCGCCAAGGCCAGGCGGGTCCTGTCCGAAAGGGGACTAGGCGCGCTCAGGGCGGCAAGTGGGCACGAGACCCTATTTTCTTCACTCTCCTTTTGCCTTTCCTGGCTTTTGGCCAACGACGTCGAACATCGCCAGCTCTCCTTTTAATATCGAGAAGTGACACGCGACGCCGTCCTCGTCTTCACCCTTTTGCCCTGCCTCCCGGTCCTGTACTCGTCAAGGTACATATACCCTGCCCTGCACTACCGGCATATCAGTCTCCGCCCGTCGATCGCACGATTCACAGCAACCAGGCAAAGTCATCTGCGGGGACGGCGCACTCGAGAACGTCATCTCACATAAAGTTGCTCCCTGCCCTCCACCACACCCCCAAGGCTCACTCTATCCCATTTTCCGATAGCCACGATAAGCGAGCTGATATTGTTTTCGTCGTCGTCTTCGGAGAAGCTGGTCTGCCTGGTGACACACACCTATTTATTTGTACCTCTTCTCAATATACATATCACATCGCCCATCGTCTCTCTCACGCACACACATCACAACACTCATACACACATACATACATATTATATACACACACCAGCACAAGAATAATGCCCTCTGCGTGTACACAGCCGGTTGGCTGCCATGAAGTCAGATACATTCCGCTGTCATACAATCATGCTGACTCGCAGGCATCGGCTTTGAGGCTCGTCTTGACGCTCAACCCGCACTGGAAGGATGCTCAAGGTAGGATTGAGTTTGTTCGCTTCACGGATGGGATCACCAATACGGTATGTATATCATCATGACAGAGAGAATGGTAGACTGTCGTTCGTCCGCTGCTTCATAAAATACATCATCTCTGCTTCTCCTGCGCCGGTCTGACGAATTTCCATCGTAGCTGTTGAAAATCATCCTGAGGGCTCCTGACCTGTCTGAGGAAGAGATTGATAAAGAGGCTGTGTTGATGCGAGCATATGGAAATAATTCTGAAATCATCATAGACAGAGAACGTATGTCTGCGCTCCATTAGACTTCCCTATGCGATAACCCACTGAGCGCTTTGATCACCTTGCTCGTTTTGTTCTATTTCAGCCTGGCTAACCCGCAGCAACCCATTCATTGTCTACAATAGGGGAGACAAAATCCCATGCCCTTCTCGCTTCTCGAGGCCTTGCTCCTCCTCTCCTCGCCCGGTTCGCCAACGGACTCTTATACCGATTTGTCCGTGGACAAGCAGCTTCTCCTGACGATCTCACCAAGCCTGCCATTTGGCGCGGAGTTGCTCGTAGACTTGGCCAATGGCATGCTGCTCTGCCCATCAGTGATGCGCCCTCCGATGCACCCTCACCGGGGACTCGGGACGGCGATTCCCTCTCTCTAGGCTCCAGTGACTCCGAGATCAAACCGGTTCAGGAATCAACCGCCGTCGAAGATGACATCACACCAATCAACACTCGTTTCGAGGGGCCAAACCTCTGGGCAACGCTCCAGAACTGGATCCTTGCATTGCCAAAGAGCACGGGCCAGGAACGGACCCGACGAAAGAACCTTCAGAAGGAGTATGAAAGAATACTTTCTGAGTTTGATGATGGATCTGGCCTAGGTGAAGAAGGAGTAAGACTTTTTATCCCTGGCCCTATCATATACTATATTGATCCATATTTGCTAACCTTGCTACCTACATAGATGGTCTTTGCCCACTGTGACCTATTGAGTGCCAACGTCATCATCCAGCCTCGACCAAAGGAGTCTACTCTTGCGGATGGCGCCGCTGAAACCGTCGATTTCATTGACTATGAGTACGCTATTCCGTCGCCGGCTGCGTTTGAGCTAGCCAACCATTTTGCTGAGTGGGCCGGCTATGACTGCAACTTCTCGAGGCTACCAACTCGATCTATTCGCCGAAGTTTTCTAGAGGAATACGTCGATAGTTTCGCCCAGCACAGAGAGCTCCCTGAGTCCAAGCAGAAGACTGTCGACAGCCTTTTCGCTGACGTTGATCGCTATCGTGGTCTTCCTGGCTTTTACTGGTATGTTAGACCTTATCACACATTCATACACAGACACCATACTAACATATCACTTCTAGGGGCGTCTGGGCTTTAATTCAAGCAACTATCTCCAGAATTGACTTTGACTACGCCTCTTACGCTGAGCAGCGTCTCGCAGAGTACTGGGCCTGGAGGCATGAGCAAGACGGCTCTCGCTCAAAGGCCGGCGAGAAAATGCCTCTTCGCGAGCAGCGCTGGGCCCAAGAGGCGTAATCACTTCATTCCGACTTTCCTTTCTTCCCTCCCTTGCCCTCTTTACTTCTGCCGCTCTCATTTATGGGCTACTATCCGAAACAGCTTACCGCTTTTTCAGATCTGACTTGCTTGACCTCCCGATGGTACTCGTTGTTTGACCTTGACAGTCTCTGCGGTACGTCCTGTTCCACTTATTACATCTTCTACCTTATTAGCGCCCACCCCTATTTTTGGCCTCTTCTTCTGCTTTATCTATTCATTTAATGTTTCATCTACGGGACCTTCCATTGCCTGGACAAATCATTCGACCACGAGGCAATACTGTACTCTTCCGACGACTGTTTCAGCCACACAACATAGTTTCTCTACCGTTTAGACAGCAGATAGCAGAGTTATACAGGCGCCACGAGGTTATCTGGTTATCTTAGCTAGCTTATATTACACATAGAGTAACAAGCCAGTTAGCTGAAGCAAAAATACAGTCCGTGCTAATAATAAGAGACCGCAAAGCTACTCCGCACAAAAGATTAAAGAGGTAGATGTCTTGAAATTGACCGAAACAGAATAACTTTTTTCTCCAAATGATTTGAAATATTTATTTATTGCTTCGTTTTTTTTTTTTTTTTTGTTTATACTCCCCGGGTGGTTCTCAATGGATCCACGGTGGAGAGCCAAAGATTCTTACCTACGTCATCCCGAAACTCTCTTGCCGCCGGGCACAACCACATTTCAACCTCCCTGCACCCCACAAATCATCCGAAACAGAGCCTGCAACTATGCTACAAGATGTTTCTGGTTTATCACTTGTCTTTTAGCTCCTACGTCTCTAGAATCACTTTCTCTGTTGTTTATACCCAAATTTCTGGAGACTAACGGCGTCATCACAAACTTTTTCCAGCATATCTTACGGCTGGCAACTATGGCCCAACTACCCCGAGGAACTATCTATAAGCCGATATTCTCCATAAAATTCAAGGAGACTTCGTGGGTGGGGAAGGAGATATACCCTGGCGGGCTGATATAACAGCTGTCTACGACAATTTCCTTATATCATTGATGAAAATAACTATTGAGGCTATAATGCGCCTCATGCTGCGTCCTCCTCGTCCTCGGCTTCAACTTCTTCCTCCCCTTCTTCGTCCTCTTCATCGTCATCATCTTCAAAATCCTCTCTATTTGAAAGAGATTGAGAAATAGCGTCACAAATCTTAACTATGGTATCGCTTTCTGTCCGAAAGAGAATTCGGTTCATCATTCTCAGCGCACTGGCGTCCATGGTTTCCTCAGAAGGCTCCTCCGCTGCGTCATACCATGCTTCATCCCTGGCTTCAAGCGCCTGACGAGCAGCTTCTTCAGCCTCCTTGACTTTTCGAACTAATTCAGGGTCCTTGCACAGGTAATCTGCTCTAGCAATTACGCTGCCGCCAGCACGCTGATTGTCGACAAATATCTGCGGGTCGATGTGCTCGCGGCCCCAGACGTGCCATTGCATGATCTCGATGTCTTCACGGAGGGTATATGGCGGCTCATCATTCCAGGTCTTACTGCGCCATTTACGGGATAGGCGACCATGAAGGCGCATGTCTGCTAGATGGCCTATGATACTATTCAGACTACGACCTGCGAAGGGGAAGTTTGCATGGAGCCATGCGGATGTGACATCTTTCATAGAGTTGACGACAAGCCAAGCTTCCTCGTTGTCGGTCCATTTACGACCTGCTTGGATTGATATTAGCTATTTTGGTCATTAGCATGGGATTAGGTATAGTTACCTCGGATAACTGTCGAAGTTGTCTTGTTTTCTATTAGCCTCGGCGGTCGAAATGGGTTAGGAGAGGTTTATTAACTCTGCTCAACTTACCTGGGTCCCTTGATCTTGGGACGTAGCCATTGGGACTGAGAAATTGCTGGTTGTTGGGGTATGATAGGGCTATAGAAATGGTATTTAGGATTCCGAATAATGCAGTTGGCTTATAGCGGCTATTGTATAATTGTATACAATATCTACTATCGAAAGGAGAAAGTCAGGCCGCTTTATATATACCGACTGCGAACTGCAAAGAGACCCGTCCACAAACCCATACCCCTGATGAACAGTTGCAGGCCACCGAGTACATGGCAGATGTCGCCAACTCTGCCCTCCGTCTTGTCCCTCATTGGAGGGTATCGGCCATGGGCAGTTAAAGCGGTTGATTCTATACTCGGGAAATTGACTGATGGCTGCTTCACTGATGTTGTCTCAAAGGAGCTGAAGCTGCCCAGGGAATTTCAAGCCACATTATGTATGCATATACAATGCAATGGCTCAGGAGTCCTCCGCCCAACAGTGTAGTTTCATGACAGACCCCGGAATTTTTGCTTGTGCATTGTTGAAAACAATAGTGATAGTTTCTTCGAGTGATTCGTCTTGTTCTTTCTGGCGATATTGACAGGAAGATGTCCACAGCCAGGCTATAGACATGACCAGGGAGTGAAATTTTGACACCTTAGTTCGTATTTTAGGACGTCTAGCCCAGATACGGTATATTATTCCCCAAATAGAGATAAATTCTAATAGTCAATGAAAAGTACGTAATTTCAAGGGCGACATGTAGTTACCAAAATCATATACGCCGTCATATGTTCGTCCAGCTAAGCAATATGCTCCACTTTGCTGTATGCAAACTGCTACAAACAGGTCTAAAAGAGGTACCCGTTTGGTGAATCATGGCTTAGGCTCAGATATATCTTCCTTTCTACTGGGAGCTGGAGCTTGTAGGTACACATTGGTTACTAGGTATAAGCAAGTTAAATTATGCGGCTGGGTTCGATTATCATTATCTAGCTAGGGGAACGAGTAAGAGAGAAGTCGTAACTGCCATGACACAACCTGGCTCCATTGTCGCCGAAATTCGCCGCCTCTAGGTACCCATGGAAGACCATTAATCTAGTATAGAAAGAGGACGAGGACAAATAGAACAAGTGATGGAAAGGGGTGAAAGAAATAAGGGTATACAGGTGGGGTAAGGAAGAGAAAAGGATGCATTATTTTTCGGGCATTCGAACCTGTGGAAGATGAAGAGAGGGTCCTTATTTTTATTTTTATTTTTATTTTTTTTTTTTTTTTGTGTGTGTGTTTGGTTTATTTTTGTTAGGGGTAACAATCCGGGGAAGAAAGTGCAGGGAAAGAGAAAGAAGGAAACAAAAAAGCCTCCTTTTATGCATGCATGAGTCTGTCTATGCCGTAGTCTACACAGCCAAAGGGACCAAGGCAGCCATGATAGCGCCAAGGGAGAAGCCAACGAGACGTCCTGCTCCGTTATTCTGGGCTGGAGGAGAAGGAGTAGGGGTTGGAGTGTAAGTGGCAGAGACTGTAGGAGGGTGACCGCTGGTGCTGATAGCTCCAGTACCAGTAGGGAAAATGCTAGAGATGATGCCTGTGCCAGCTGTGCCAGTAGGACGAGGCACATAACTAGTGGAGGTGCCTGGTTGCTCGACGAGGGTGAAGTTGGCGCAGGTGAGGCGCGTACTGTTCTTAGCGTGGATGACAATGGAACGGTTTCCGAAGAAAGTGCCCAGGCCAGACTTAGTAGAGGTGTAGAGGTCATGGAACTTCTGGTGGAAGTGTTCCTCCATGCTAGAGGTCCTGAGTCTGCCGTACTTGCCGCTGAGGTCTCCTACCTCGCAGCTCTGAGGAAGAGTGTCATCGCATGGAGGTGTCTGGCCACGAATGAAGGGATCAAGATGGTCGAGGGTTGGTCCGCAGCTACCATTTGTTGGGACTGGATCGACGTGGATGTGGTATGCTGTTGTTGTTGTTAGCTTAACTATCTTGTTTGTTTGTTTGTTTGTTTGTATGGTCGAAGCATGTATGTAACTTACGGAATGGACCCTCTGTCATGTCGAAGCCCCAGAGATCGAGAGTAAACACAACACCTCTGCCGGAACTATGAGCAGTAGCATTGATAGTTCCTCTGATACCGGTTCTGCTGGACTCGGGCAACTTGGCCTGGTACACGACGCCGAGGGGGTTGTTGACAGTCTCAGGGGCGTCCTGGGTGGGAGTGGCCAAAGCAAGGCCCAAGGCCGAGCAGGCAAGGAAAAGAGAGGCCTTCATGCTGGCTGATGATGCTTGTGAGGGTGGTAGATGTGCAGTATTAAGGGTATGTATTAGACTGTGAAGCTGAAGATGCTGGTAGTTGTTTGTTGCAGGAAGAAGAAGGGAAGAAGAAGAAGAAGAGAAGAAGAAGCAGAGGAAGAGAAGTGAGAAGCAGCTTCTTTAAGGGAATCAAAACAAGGTGAAGAAGGGGACGACCGCCAGCCGCTTCGTGTAACTAGCTGACCAGTTAGTTGATTAATTCACTGATGATGATGATGATTCAAGCAAAGAACAAAGAGAGAGAGAGAGAGAGACAGCCAGTCTGAAGCCATCGACTTCACTCCTTATATAGACCTTGAAACCCGCCAGCCAGCCCAACTTTTAACTACGTTTCCAAAGCGCCGTGAAAGAGCGACGCCCATTTCGCCCATTCGATGGGGGGCTGTTTCCAAATCATGGTGAAGCTCCCTGCTCGGCGCCTACGATAGGCCTGCCCAGCTGCATCCACTCGCAGGCCCGCCGTTGATTTGCAGCTAGGGATAGGCCGGACGCATCCCCCCCCGTTAGCCCGTTTGCCCCCCTGAGCAGTGCGGGCGCTTAGAGCCAGCGGACGGCCTGCTGGTTGGCTAGCGCTCCTGCTGGGCCCCGGGCAAGCTGGGGGGGTTAGTTAAGTTATTTTTATACTCCGTGCGAGCTACCCGACTCTGACTTGCTCCCACGAGATCCGCTCATGCGTTTGCCCTGCGAGTCTCGATTTCCTCTCAGCCATGGTCTATCGTCTTGGCCGCCTCTCCCGCCTTTGCCATCGCCGTCCTTTTCTCTTCGTCCTTTTTCCTTCTTCGTCGTCTTTCTTCGTCTTTCTTCGAGTCTTCGTTTTTTACTTCCTTTTCTTATACGGCGGGCGCTTAGATAAGACAGGGATGGCTGAGAGAGACGTCCCAAAGAGGACTAGCTTGTTTCAGGTGATGACATAATTGGAGCTTTGACTTTCTTGGCGTTTTGAAGCATAAAAAAAGGAAGAAAAAAGCAGAAAAAGTGAAGAAAAAGAGAAGAAGATAGAAAAAAAGGACGGACAAAGGAGAGCGTCAAGGGATATTGATACATAACAAGACGGCAGACACAGCCGGGCTTTTGCTTTATCTCTTATCCTGCCCAATAAGCCCCACAGGATAGTCACTTGAAAGGATGCCACTATTACTAGCACCTTGTGGTTGATGTGATTCTAGCATGGCCCATCTTATAGGTATATAAAGCAGCTTTTGACCGCCGAATCTCTGACATCTGCTTTTATCTTACGTCTTCGGCTTGGCGGCTTACACGATGAGTTCGACATCCTCTATAGCCCAGAGTGGATATTATTAATTATTACAGATCTTCGGAATACTAGACCACATATATTTGAGACATCCATTTTACATAATTCGCATAGGATGGGCTGCTCCCCTCATGGCTACTGGGAATGTGGAGACATAGGCCTCTGGGAGCCCGCAGGGAGACTGACGGACCTTATACTTTACGCCTCACACACATTTTGGCCTGCGAAAAAGTTACCACATAATCATGGGACAGCCACACTCTATAGAACATATGTACTCCAGCACCAGGGGCAATACCCTCCACATCTCTCTTTATCCATCAGACACCTCCAACGAACACTAGCTGTTTATGAGATTATTTTAGCCAGTGCAGTACTAGGGCTTTCTGAGAGATTTGCCGTGGTTTTCGGAACTGATAAGGCTGTAAAGGGGTGTTGGGAATGCCGGTCTCGACTGAACCATAGCCGATGACAAACGAGTTCTTCGTCCCAGACCAATCGATACAACTCCCAATCGCCGGCCACCAGATGAGCCATGGGGTGCTTTATGTAGGGAACCTGCGCGGCAGCTCACTCTTGTTCATCATGGACTTGCGTTTATACGGAGCTGCAACTTAATGGCGTTTACCCTGATGTTCGACATCCAGCTGCTTACTCCCTTGTCCCTGCTACACAACCTGCTGCCAGCTAAGCAAGACTTCATCTGTAGGGTAGACGCAACTGACTCGCTGAAATGGGCTGCTGTCTTTATGAAGAAAGTATGGCCAGAGACACAAGCACCAGGCATTTCAACCAGGCGACCTGGCCTACTTGAATCTCCACAAAGGCTATATAACATACCAGCAACCAAAATACTCGGACTAGCCCAGTCAACTTTGACTACAAGTAGCTTAGGAACCCTGCGGTGGGTACCTTTTAGCTCTCTCTAGACGAATTGTAGACATTTGGGGTAACATGCTACCGTGATTGTTCGAACTGGCCAAAGGGAATGAGGATACTCACCTACTTGATATTCTCACATTTACAGGCTAGGTTAACCACTTTGTTCAGCCCTTGTCGATCACTCTCCCGTTTACCGAGTCATTAATTGCTTGAGTATTGTTCTGTCAAGAAGGGATAAGTTACCAATTCTGCTACCTGTGTGGGCTCGCTCTTTGGGCCCAATGCCATACTTACTTGATATCTTCTTGGCCAGGAAGTTGACCAGATAACTACTTAGTCGGTTATTTAGCATTCACATGTGTAGCCAAGCAGTCTAGAACACTCATTCAATCAATCACTTCATGAATGTTGGGAGGCGACTCCTGATGCACCAGGTTCCCACATTGCCTTCCCAATGGTGGATAATAAAACTATCTAAGGTTGAACAGCGGAACCGCGGAGCCCGCAGCTACAGGTCACTCAATCAAATCACTCCCCAAGTCCCTGGATAGGCAAATCTCAGAAGATCTTCTTCACTATGCTAGTTATGACTCTTGGTTATTCACGCCGAGAATGGCCGGGAATCAATTGAGTTAGCTGGCCTAACTACCAGGCTAGCTGCTCCGGAGGTACGGAGAGATTTCTGTGCCACCTGTGGGACTCCAAGATATCTGATAAATAACTAGGTTAGTGAGTCAGTGATGAGCCACGGATATCACCGAGCCCATCATTTGTCGTGAAGAAGAATTTATACAAAGACGACTACTCACTTTGCTTGGCTTTGGGATTCGGGATTCGGGATCCCGGGCACTGGATAGGACATAGATGGTCAAGAAATCATCTCGACGGGGCCCAGTCTGATAAAACCATACCAAAGACCAATCTGATAAGTGGGTGGTGCTTTGCAGCTTTTTTAACAGGGCCTTGGTTTCTCGTGAGATGGGGATGGCTAGTCTTGCATGGCCACATCCAAAGCGGCGCTTAAGTGCTGAGTTTTTCTCCTTATTATTTCTCCATTTTATATATCCACATGTCCCAGGGCTTTAGGCGCAAACAAAGTGTATTTTAGACCTGACATTGCATGGCAGGTGTTTATACACGGAGTCACTTGGGATTCTGCGCCAGACCTAACCGGGTTCCTTTGCTCGGAGACGCACCTAGGTCGTTAAATATATGCGGCATAGTAGAAGTGCGACTTATCTTGCTACCGTTTACCGTTTGCTGCGAGTAAAATAAGGCAACATGCTCTTCTACTGTAGAGTGCTGCTTCATTTTTATACTTTTATACCTCCATGCGCCATCCCTCCCTATGCATAATTTCTTTGTGGTTCAGCCGAAGAATATGAATCAAATGGCTGGGGTTTACGTTTCCCTTCGAGACTCGAAGAAATACTGCTTTCTGACTAAAGAGGTCTCGAGGAAGAGTTTCTCGCTGTTTGTACATTTGTCGTTCGTGAATCGTGGGAGATGCCTCTCAGTCGGGCGTCGCTGATACCAACCCCGATAATATTTTATGCAGTGCCCAGTTATGCAGCTAGAGGGGATCAACAGCCGACTATTTATTTGTTTGACGGGAGACCCTTGGTCAGTTACACAGGTGACGAGCCAGCCTGCTCGCGCAGTAACCAGTAGCAGGCCATCGCAGGATTCACAGCTCGGGTAGCGATTGTGTCCCTCTTTTAAAGGTACACTCCTCCGCCTACATCATCGATGGTTCTTAACGACCGTCAAGCGTCCAGCGTCCAGCGTTCAGCATCCAACTACTCAACAACCAGCCAGCCAGACAGTCAACTAGTCCACCATGAAGCTGGCTTCCCTCCTCGTCGTCCCGCTGATGCTTGCCGTCCCCACTATCGCCTTCGAGCAGTCTGCCATCCAGACTCTCCGCGTCGCTACGACTGCTGCTGGAGCTTACCACTCCAAGTTCCCACAGGCTCTCAGTGAAGGGCCCGAAGCAGCTATATCGAATATCAACTCTGCAACGGCGAGAGCGGCAGACGAAGCAAAGGCTGCCATGACTGGGCTGACGGTGCAGAGCCAGAGCGTAAGTGCGCAATGCAGCCAGCTACAATGAATTTAGAGAGTAAAAGTTGACCCCGGTTCAGAACAAAGGGCAGTGTCATCAGTTGGCTGGTGCCTTGAAGGGCGTAAGTTGGATCTCATCTCATACTTTGGTCGTCTTTTTAACGCCTCAATACTCCGTACGGAGTACTGACGATATTTATTTGGCAGTACTTTGACGCCATGACGACGCTCTCGCATGATGCTACCAACCCGGCGGTGTTCTGCAGTAAGAATATTGACCGTCTGGGGCCGTCTATGGGATGGAACCTTCGCCTTGTCAGGTATGGGATAGAGGTCGGTTCTGTCCTGCTCCTTTCTTCTTGTTCCTGATAAGTCGGCTAATGATATTCAACAGCCCTATGCTGCGACGCTGAAGAGAGACTGTAAGGACGGAGAGAAGCTCGTTGCTGGTCTGGCTGGTGGTTATAAGATCGTCGTCGACAGTCTTGAACAGGCCCAGGCGATGCTGGAGAGCCCTCAGGGCAAGTGTAAGCAGTGAATGCCGTCAGGTTTCAGGCATCAAAAACCAACGATCACGACTCTACCAGCTTATGCGCTGTCAAATATTTCTAATAAAGCTCTTCTTATCTCCGTCATGTTGCCTCCTTATCAGCTTCTTCATCTCTCGTTTTATATCTCCCATCACGTCCTTTTTCTCCAATCTCCAACCAAGAACGAAAAAAAAGCATCACGTGAAATATTACTAATATCTTCTATCACATGATATCCCGCCCTATCTGGGACTAGTGGGTCCAGTTGCCATGGAAATGATGACTAATAAGAAAATAATATTATGATTGGCTAGATCCCCGATAAGCACCACTCCATGTCCCACTTTTTGTAAACACTCGGGCCTTAAAAGCAAAAAAGTTTCGGCTTTATGAGATCATGTTTGGATATTCAAGCCGTGCGACGCGCAAGTCAAATCTGACACCCAGACTCTTGAGGGTTTTCCTCGTCCACTGCCATAGCCGTTGAATTCACCTACGTTTGCAACACCTTCATCCCAATTCGGCCACTGTTCATCTAATTGTCGCCTTGTCGAAATCTCCTCGCCGTCTACGGAGTACCCCGTATTCCTGCCTCCTTGTCTTGCCACTCCACCCTGGAAGATCAACAACACCCCCTTTCCAATCCCCCAGATGGACAATTGAAGTGCTGGTTCACTATTACTCCTTTCAAATTCTCACCAGCAATATGGCACCCAGATCAACGTCGGGCTCTTCAAGAGCGTCCTCTGGCCCTCAAATCAAGATTGACACTGAGAAATACTCCCCTTATGACTATGATGAAGAATACGGCTCCCATTCAGAGTTTTCCTATGCAACATCGGCCTCGGAGTCCTCAGCATCCAGACCGTTTCTCTCACAATCAAAATACAGGAGAAGGCCCGGAGTAAAGCTCTACAGAGTCCCCAATTCTATTATGAGGTGGGTTTGTTTGGGCGTGTTTGCGGGGCTGGTACTCTTTGTCTTCACCTTGTTCAGAGTCACGCTGTCCCAGGCAATATTCAAGATTCCAGCTCCTCCGCCGCCAAACATATTCAAACCACAGCCGCCTGAGTGGGAGAGCTTCCCGTTCTTACTGAGATACTATGGCGGACTTCGAACCTTAACACTAAAGAACGAGAGTGCCCCCGAATACCCGGGCGAGAAAGAAGGACAGGATAATTCTACTGCCGAAGAGCCAGTTGACATGGATAGAGTCGTCAAAAGCACGCCCTTCAACCCTTATCCGGAGTTCTCATCCAAGAGTTACATTGAAAAATACGGCAGGAAAGTTGACTGCTTTATGGATCCTGAAAGAATGGTCCCTGTCCCCCAAGTCCGTCGATATGACGGGCTCCCAAGAGGGTTCCCCGATAGTGTCATAGGCTCTAATGAGTTAATTGGACTTGAAACCAATGCATGCTATGATCGATTTGGCAGGCTTGGACCTTACGGTCTCGGATACGGAGTTAGATCAGGCGGTACCGGAGCTGGATTGGAAGGCGACAGGTCTGAAGTAGACCATATGTGGGAGAATACTTCCCCAGTTGACTATCGAAAGGTCAAATGGGCCAAGGCGCAGAAGCAATGTCAGCACGACAACCGTCATCGATTCTCCCTTCCCCCGGCTCCAAAGACAGATAGATTCCTCGGCATGTCTGTAGGTGAGGAAACTCCAAGTGGCGCAGAGAGCGCCCAAAATAGTGCGCCAAAAAACGCCACGGCTCCTACTACTACAAAACTGCCTCGAACCGCAGTCATAATTAGAACCTGGTCAGAGTTTAAGTATGATACGGAAACTATCCTATACCTACGCTCCTTAATCACGGAGCTGTCGCTCTTTTCCGGTGGGGAGTTTGACGTTCAATTCCTGATCCATGTCAAGGATGACAACCTTCAGATCTGGTCAGACGAGGACACTTATAATCGTGTTTTGCAGGAGTCACTACCGGAAGAGTTCCAGGGCATGGGTACGCTCTGGTCTGAGAGACAGATGGGCCTCATCTATGGCGGTCTTGAAGAGTCATTTGCTCGAAACCTCCCTGTCCATGGCGTATATCGCAGTACATTTATGCCTGTACAGTACTTTGCCCTTCAACATCCTGAATACGACTACTTCTGGAATTGGGAGATGGATGCTCGCTACACGGGTCACTGGTACGATCTGTTTAACAAAATGCGTCTATGGGCAAAAGAGCAGCCTAGGAAGGGGCTGTGGGAACGAAACAGCCGGTTCTATGTCCCTTCTGTGCATGGGTCATGGGAAGATTTCCGCCATACCGTTAGGGTGCAAACTGAGCATGGAACAGCTAGCCCTAATAACATGTTTAGCGCAGCATCCAAGGAACGACCAAATGGTCATCGCCCAACTGAAATGAAAGGGGACAGACCTATCTGGGGCCCCGAACGACCACCAGCAGAAAATGATGTGCTAGAGCTAGAAGACGATGGCATCCCCCCAACTACTTACGAGAAGGACAAGTTCGAATGGGGCGTCGGCGAGGAAGCTGACCTCATTGTTCTCAACCCTCTTTATGACCCTGATGGTACCACATGGCTACTCAAGGATGATGTTACGGGATATAACAAGAGCGAGGAAGCACCACCGCGACGAGCAGCCATCATAGCAGCTTCACGTCTCTCCCGCAAACTGCTACTTACAATGCACAAAGAAACCAGCCTGAAACGACATCACATGTTTTCCGAAATGTGGCCACCAACAGTTGCTCTTCACCATGGCTACAAAGCCGTATACGTGCCTCATTCAGTGTACATTGACCGGCGATGGCCAACTGCCTACCTCGAGTCAGTCTTTAATGCAGGCCGCAACGGCGCAACTGGTGGAGCCAGGACATCCGTCTTCGGTAACCGTGAACATAATTTTAGAGGAACGACGTGGTATTACTCTGCCGGCCACTCGGAGAATCTCTGGCGACGATGGCTAGGCTACCGATCCAACAACGATGGCGGTGAAGAATACGAACTGGCTAATGAAGGGAGGATGTGTTTGCCGCCCATGCTACTACATCCTATCAAGGAAGTTAATATGGTTATCGATAGTGCTGGGAGATCATGAGCTCTCTCCCCTGGCGAAGCATTTCCCACCCTAATGATATTTTTACACATTTCTTATCCCATCGGGAATGGGTGTTAATTACTATTTCCTGCCCTTTCATGGCGATGGCGTTGATATATGCCCATGTTTTCTGTTGAAGGTTATCATGTCTTTTCACCACTGTTTGATATGTGCTACCAGTCCCACCGTCTCCTGTTACATATGATGAAGTGTTTTACTGTTGCTTAACCGGTTATCTACATGTTAGATGGGCAATAATATGGGAATAGATTGGGTTTATGAAACACTCCTTGACATCTGCTTCTGATGGTAAACTGTGCTTGCACACAGCATTGATGCTAGCTACATGCCGGGTAAAATAACCCTATATCAATCCTCTCGTCCACTTGTCAAGTACATACGACCACAAGAAGTGGAAAACAGAGCTTCCCGTCCGCTCAGCTGTACTTAAGCCACTTGCCGGTCGGTTAGTAGTTGGGTGGGTGACCACCAGCGAATCCCGACTGTTGTATGTTTTGAATTATTTTTTGATATTTTTTTATCATTATTATTTCGATTATGCAAACTCTTGCTATGAATTAATAGCAGTTTCGATCGGATAAGTTGTATTTTATTTGATGTCCCAAGTAACTAGTTGCAGGCACCCAATTGTGCTGGTAAAAATTCCCGCTGGCAGCCTTAATCGGAGCTATAAATAAGTGTTCCGTTCGTCACTTAACCCAGAGGCTTAGATATAACATGAAGTATCCGCCTTGACTATAGTCTTTGTGGCTTGTAGCAGTTCCCCATGTTCATCACTCACTTTCACCACCGTAGGAGATATAACAACCTGTCCAGCAGCTAAGTTGCTCCAAATGAACTCGAACCCACACGGCTGTTCAAAGAGCCAAATTCCTAGCTCTGCTGTATCCTCCATTACTTTGGTTGGATGGCGTATTCTCTCTGACTCTAGATATTGAGGGTTTGCGAATAGTCGGAATGCAGCTGTAAAAGCATCGACGGCTTTCGAAATGTTCTCAGCCCTGGTGGAGAGGTATGCTTGCTTTTGTGCATCTGGCATACCTCGGTAACTGCTTGCGGTTAACATTCTCCAGTAGAAGTGAACCTGGCTTTCTTCTTGGTCTAATGTAAGGGTTAACTTTGTACTCTGTTGATCCTTGAACTCGTTGTGCGTGCATACCTTGTTGTAGTTGCATATCACGGAAATCCCTAGCGGCAGTAAATGGAGGTGGAAGGAATGAAGTTACTTCAGATCCGGAAGCAAATAGGGCAGCATGAAAGGTAGCTAGAATGAGAGACTAAAGCAGGCAATGCTTTATGATTGGTTCTCGATCATTGGATTGGGATAGTAGAGAGACAACTGGCGCTGACAGAAAGGAAGAATTGTAGCTGCTAAGCATAGCTACATATTGAGATAAATGCTCAGATTCAGAATTCGAAGGTGAGCTGAAAATGTAGTAATTCTTGATATGGAGGGCAGGATGATCAAAGACGGTCAAGATACGGCTCTCCACTGTCTTGTTATCCGCTGGAGTAGGAATATAGTTTCTTAAACCACTTTGCTCCGCGTGTATATCAAGAGAACCAACTGCGTTTGTCTTATCTGTAGTCCAGGCAAATGGAAGATTGCTACTCAAATGGTCCCGGGAGCTAGCTGTTTCAATATCGTAGTTCTTGTCCCCCAACGGTTCTTTTGTCTGCCTGCCTTCAAGGTTGCTCTCCCCTCTCGATTTCCGGCGGCCAAAGAAGAGGTACGCAGCAATGAGAGTTAGAAGCGCACTTCCAGCAACAGAACCGCCAATCGCACCAGTCAGTATTCCAGTACTGAAGCCAGTTGTTTGGGGTTTCTATGTAAAGGGGGATGGCTAGGTTGGAGGCTCTCTGTAGGCTGGCTGTAAGTTGCAGTGGTAGGAGGATATTGTTCAGTAGCTTTCGGATGCTTAGTCCCAGTTGGAGATGTGAGTATTGGCACGACACTGGTCATTCTATCTCCAGGAACATATTGAGGGGTAGGAGATGCTTCAGGTAGCGCAGTCCACGTATTGATTGTATTAGGACGTTGGCTGATAGGAGCTCCAGGAATCGCTGAATTAGCCGGCCACGTCGGAGTCGCTTGAAGCGGTGGTTGCACAGCGGGAGGTATAGCTATGGGATCTTCAGGCGCTTGTCGTCTTGCTACCATCTCGAAGTATATAAAAATGGGTTCTGTAATGCTGAAATCAAAAGCTCGGGTATTATCAAAAGCTTTAGTCAAAGATGGGAATGCCTCGTCTTATGAGAAAACGACGCACAGTCAGCAGTGAAGGCTGAGCAACAAGCGAGTTTCCCATGGCTATAATTTAATCATTAGAGGGCATGGGAGCAAAAATAGTACATTATACGTAAGCAAAATAAATAAAAATTCATTAATAGCTAGGAGAATTGCGTGTACTCAGCTGTTTATCACAAACGAGTCATCAGAAACTGAATTACCAATAGCTATGGCTGCGTGTGCAGCCTTCGGCATGAACAGAGGGACCGTAAACAGTCTACACTCGCACCCTAACGTGAGGTGTACCATATCTCAGCTACCGGAACCAGAAAAGCGCCCAGGGCCTATGATTATTAATGCCGGGTATCAAAGTTGAGCGCCGTACCACGAGATCAGTCTATTGATCTGTCGCTGGGAAGCCGGGCATCGCCCATCTTTATGTAAAGAAGGGTCATAAGTTCAATCTGTCGGTCGTCATTCGCCTGTATCTTCTAGCCACAATGGGTCGACGTATCTCCATGGAGTATGATGCCCTAATTACCAGCAACTCTGCGTCCACGGCCTGAAAGTTCATTTCCGAAAGTAACTTGTTGAATATACAACAAAAGAGCGTTAATGCACCAAGTGTCGGAAACAAGGCATACCGCAATATCAGTACGAAGTCCACTGAATTCAAACGTTAACTATCCGCAATATTTTTCATCCTCACTGAAATACTTTTCATATGAAGATCCGAAACCACTCCTTGTTCTGGTTTTGATATTCGCACAAGATTGACGGTATAAAACTTCGCTGTAGCATCAGGGGTTGTTTCTCTCTCCTTGAGCAGACTGAATCCTTGTCTGAGTGTTTGCTCACAGAGACCAAGCACTCGTTGTAATTTAGCCTTGTCAGGTAAGAGAGCACTGTCTTCTGAATGATTAATACTAGTTTTTCGCGCCTTTTGACAGCATTCTTTAAGTCGGTCAATGATATCCTCCAGATTTTGGTCTTCTGGCAAAGGCACTGCGAGCTTGCCTAGTTGAATGCGAGATTCAAAATCAACTAAGCACGGAAGTATCGAAGTAGTTTCCTGTTTCACTTCAGTATCAATATGCCCCCGGAGGCCAGGGTATGTATGGACGTATGTCAGGTGCTGCTCCGGCGAGAGTATGAGCAACATGTAGGACTCAAACTTTGGCTTCCTGATTAGGTGGAAGAGGGCCGGAAGCATTTTGTCTTCTGTGTCCGGAAATTGATAACTAGTTAGATACAAGACGGCAGCAGATCAAAAAAATATACGCAAAAACGCGTAGTTCTTGAACCTGGTGGTACTTACTATCTTATAGGTATCTCCCACACCGTTGACTGACTGATACGGCTTGTGGGCTTCTTGGTCGGGTAGTTACTGAATCCGCTGCTTTGTTTTATATTGAGGGTATATTTCCCATATTCCATGAACTTCAGAGTTCTGGTCAGTCACAGCAGGTTCAATGAAGATGCTAACGATTTTTCCATGCACAGTTAAGTAATTAGGCAACTAAATTAACGTGAGTTAAGTTTCGGTTCCATGCCAATGAAACACAGGCTCGGTAGTGACAAAACAACGTAGCTATAAATACTCACCACTGAAGCATCACCTTTTCCAAACGGAGTTTTTCTTAATAATAATGACCCGAAAGCGAAAGCCGCATCCTCATACGGCGGCTAGCTCAAGTTCCAGGCTGGACTGACCGCGCCTAAAGCATCCCTGATGCCTGTCTTCGACGACTCCCAACAGTGAATGGACAGGAGAGAAGCGATAACATATGTCCTATATACGGCTCTCTGTCGCCTTGAATGCCATAACTCCCGCTTAAGCACATCTCTCTGGTTCTGGACTGCCGATATCCGATAGCGAAACCGGCTGTACGATATCCTTGGGCCGTTAGTCAAAGCAAGACTTGCAGGCCATGGCACTCCTTACTGGTTTTCGCGTCTTCCAGCTTCCGCCCTGCTAGTGCGCCGCCCCGGCTGACGATGATCAATGACAACGAGCCAGCGCGGCGAAGCTGATGAGCTGTTCGAGCTTCGGCTTCTTTGCTGCGTCTTCGATATCGCCTTTTTTTTCGTCGAGTTCGGCGATTGGACTTTCGACTTCCCTTTTAGGCACCGCCATCCAAGATCCCGTGATAGCAGAATCCAACCGTATATATTCTTACTCAACGTCGTTCTTCTCTTGCTGTCGATGTTTTGTTCTTCACCTCTATCACTTATACCACCCTACAACCTAGAGAAGGCTGAGCGTTGAGAGCTTGCTCCGACTCAAAGTCCCCGTCCTTTCGTCGTTGGTTATAAACCGACACACTGAGTGTTATTGGTGTACCACAGTCGGTCTTTCAACGCTGGTAAGACTTAGTGAGCCACCGCTGTTCAGTTCAGTTTGTCAATCACTAATAGATGCAGTGGAACTTTACTTTCCCTCCTGTTGATTTCAGAATCCAGGTAGACATGAAGAACGCTCTGGTACACGCCAATGTCTATGCTCCACTCTTCAGCTTGATGATCTGGCTTGCATCGACGTTGGTAGCGGTCCTGCTCGTCCGTAGAGTTAGAGCTGGATACCTTGAATTTCTCTCCCTAGGGCCCGGCGGGACACCTTCTACTCCAATGGGATACCTCCGGATATGCTTACTGAGCATCTTTGCCCTCCGGAACCCCTTTAAACCACCACATATCCCCGAGACATTAAACCCTAAGACTGGAATCCTCAAATACCTGCCTCCTCGTACAGGACAACGTCCAAAAATTGCAGGAATCATCCCTCATAGACAAGTCACACAGCAAGCCACACCCGACATGTACGCTGCTCTCAAAGAAGAAATTAAGAAACTTGCCCTCTCCAATTCCGATCGGCTTTATGAGGGAACGTCATGCTTCGAGAAACATAGCATAGGTCTCTTCACTCCTCTCGACTTACCGAATAGAGTTACATGTAATGGAGAAATATGCCACGCCCACCCTATTGATGGGAGCATTCATATGACTCTCCATCCAGCGGATGTCAAGTTTGTCATTGAACGGGGATGGGGTGAGCGGCACCCGCTTGCTCGAGATAGCTGGTGGTGGATGTTTAGGCTTGTACCTACGGGGTTTGTCATGATATATGCTCCCCGCTCGAAGGAGGAGTTGGATAGCGTGGTTCAGATTATTCATGCTGCTTCTTGGTGGGTCAATGGTATTGAACCGCGCTGGTCCACACCTGCGAACAGCAGTCGGTGTGGAGTCGATGGAGGAGCTGGTTTTATCAAATCCCATGTAAGAACTTAACTGTCGATTTCTTCAGCGTGGATGATATGACTGGCTCATGGCATTTTCGGGAGTTACCCCTTTTCCCAACCTTTCGTCATGTATCTTTACCCTCACTTCATAACGAATTACCTAAGGCCGTTAACTAGTTACCTAGTTAGCGTCAGAAATTGAAACGCCATTTCATTGTTAAACTGCTTCTAGGTATGGGATTCCAACGCCGGTTCCCTGAAGATGCAAAACATGAGCTCTCTGTATCTTGAGAAAACAACAAAATGACCACTCCATGATTTACCCAAAGTTCCAGGAAGTTTCAAGCCAATGGAGGTCAAAACACATTTCCCTAAAGAAAAGACCGAGGAAACTCCCAAAATGAGGTCTCTTTTGAGAAGGAATTCCAGGTTTCCGCCTCAAAATGTCTAGTATAAATCACTGTGAAATCGAGAAGGTGGATTGAACAGAGCGCGTCTATTCATATTCTGGGTCATCAACCTACGCATACAAATGAATACTCGAGTAATTAGTGAAATAGAAGACTGTGAAAGTGGTGTGGTGTTCTCACCTTAGTACGCTTGCTGTCTTCCGGCACAACACTGCTAGTACCGGTTCGTTTAGTTACTCGGTGGTGAAGATAGAAGAATTGGTGGTTAACAGGCCTATTGGTGCGTCGGACACTAGTATCGCTGCCACCAGTTATCGACTCTGATTCCTCTCTATCCGGGTCAGTGAGAGTATCATCTGAATCTCCCTCTGGCTGGGTAGTTGGCGGCTCTGTTGGATCATCTGTTTCGATGCTAGGGTATATGATCGTGTCTTTATCCTTGTCTCCCTCGTCTCCCTCGTCCTCCTCCAGTTTGGCATCCACATTGTCATTGTTATTGTTAGATTCTCCAGAAGAGGATAAAGAGTAGAGTGAGTTTGAATAGTTTAGACTATGTGGAGGTGAGAGGGATGAGAGTGACAAAGGGCCAAATTCTGGCTGCTCTAGGCCTGGAGAAGGAGAGTAAGTCACGGACTGAACTGAGCTGCAGTATTCTTCTTTATCTTCTTTCTCCTCGTCATCTGAATGGGCTGTCTGCTGGTAAGGCCTGAAAGAGTCGCAGTAACCTATATCTGGTAGATATCCGAAAGCCTGATTGGTGTTCTCTGAGGAATATGAGGAAGACCCAGAATCTGATCCATGGGCTCTTTGAGTTCCCTTAGGATAGAAAGGAGCCCAGCCAGGGAATCCCCTAGCCATACGAAGGGCTGTTGGAGAGATGTTAAACATGTTATACCTCTCAGATAGAGTGGTGGAATCTGAGGCAACGCTTTCACCATCCTCGGCGCCTTCGGTCTCCTCATCCTCAAAGGAGTCTCCGTACAGATCAGTGAAGTCTTGGTATGCATCGCGGTATTGTTGGGGAGTATGCCCTGGCGATCCAATCTGTTCTGCCGCCACGTTGATAAGTGCATACTTCTCGACGCGAGTTTCCTGCTGGTTACGAGCATAAGCCTCGAGCTTTTCAGACGCGGCGTCGAGCTTAGCTAGAAATCTTCTCTTCTCGTCTCGCTGCTCGCTTTTGGACTTTGGTCTACAGTCCGCTGAGATGCAGCTTGCCATGATGAGCCGAGACTCGGAGGTGCAATAAAGGGAAAAAGGATATGTATGAAGGGAGGCCAGATCTAGGTTGGTAGATATGGCTTTGAAAATGGTAAAAGAGACAGAAAGAGAGAGATAGAGACAAGAGGAATAGCTGCTTATTCCTCTGAGTGGGAGAAGGGTTGGACAAATATCAGACACAGCTTGTGGAGGGGGAGTCATGAGAAAGAACAGCTGCTGGCTGGGCAACCAAAATGATGGGTTTTTATAGCCATGACTAGACAGTGTTGCGCCGAGACAGAACATAGTAGCCATGTTCATACCATACACATAGAACAGAAGAAGCAAAAGGGGAGCTGCCGAACTTCTCAACAGGTAGCTGGTTCTGGTATCAGATGGAGGAGGAGCTGTAAGAAGAGGCAAATAGACCATAATAAGTTTAATATTCTTTTACGGCTTGGACCGGGTCTATAGAAGCCAGAGTAGTGGGAAGGTACGGGCAGGGGTAGAGACATCTGTAGATATATACGTCAACAGGGGGAAGGAATATAGATGCGTAGGTATCATTCTTTTAATAAAACCAGGAAACATCAAGAAGGGGAGGGGGGAAACAGGATATCAACATAGAGATGGTATCTCCTGCATGACTATAAGACAATGCAATTCCATACAAAAAGGAAAAAAAGTCATGTCTGTAGGAAAAGGGAATGGTATTGTAGATATGCAATAAGGAAAGCATAAGAGTCCTTGCACCTAGACACCTTTTTTTTCTCATTTAGCCTGGATGTTGCAGTTATCAAATATATGTAAAGTGGCAAGGGGAATAAAGGGGGGAAGTGAAAAAAAAGGGGAAACAGGAGAAGGAAAGGAAGACAACATCAGGCAGACAGCTGATGGCAAACATGGAAGAAAGCTAAGGACAAGCGAGAAAATGAGATGATTTGGTAAGAAGCGTTTGTTTTCACGTAGGACATCAAGGAGAAATAGCAACAAGACCTATGAAAAAACAATGTCCTGTGTCCCAAGCCTCCCCCCATGCTTCTGCACCATCATGATACAACAGTAATGTCTGCAGAGATAAGGATTTCATATTAACCATTAAATAGAGAGGCATTTACTCGTAACCAGCCTTCTTCAGGGCGCCGGCGAGCCATTCGAGGCCCTCGTAGAGACCATCTCCGGTAGTGGCACAGGTAGATTGGATGTACTAGGCTGCGTTAGTCAGGAGTTTTAAAGAGAGAAAAAGGTCACGGGACTTACCCAGGCACGTCGTGTCAAGGTCTGTAGACCAAGCTGTGAGGTGATCTCGGCAGGGCTCATGGCGTTCTAACAGTTAAATTAGTACCTGCAAATAATGTATGGACATTGGTTTAAACATGTGACTTACGGGGAGATCCTGCTTGTTGGCGAAAACGAGAAGCAAAGCATCCCGTAGTTCATCCTCGTTGAGCATCTTTTGCAACTCTTCTCTGGCCTCGACAACACGGTCACGATCGTTGCTGTCGACGACGAAGATGATACCCTGGGTGTTCTGGAAGTAGTGTCTCCACAGTGGTCGGATCTTGTCCTGACCACCGACATCCCACACGGTGAATTGAATGTTCTTGTACTCGACAGTCTCAACGTTGAATCCTACGCCAGTCAGTATTTCTTTCTCTCTTCTTTGACTCGACTTATTGAGTAACATCTCGAGTATTGGACCTACCGATGGTGGGGATGGTTGTGACAATCTCGCCAAGCTTCAGTTTGTAGAGGATGGTGGTCTTTCCGGCAGCATCGAGACCGACCATAAGAATTCGCATCTCCTTCTTGCCAAACCATAGCTTATCAAGCATTTTCGAAAATGACATACCCATCTTGGCGGTGTTGATAGACTTTGCGGTGGGCTTGAGGGGATAGAAGGGTGAGCGAGCGAGAGGGGAGCGGAAAAGTGAGGGAGAGTCGGTTTGCCTGTGATTGCGGTTAGCTAGCGAACGCGTAAGCCTGGAGACAGCGGTGTCGACTGTCCTGCCTATCGAGCAGCGGCAGATGGTAAACAGGACAGACAAGGAGACGAGGAGAGCGGGCTATCAACGGTTTGGTGGTTGTTGTTGGGTGGTGGTGGTCGGGTGGTTGCTCTGGTGAAGCGGTGGGATGGCCGAACAAGACACCTTTCACAGGGGGGCCAGGCGAGGATTTTCTTTTTTAACCTCGCCCTTTTTTTTTCTCTCTCTCTATTATTACTTACAGGACGCAAAAGATGAGGGAGTCCGGTGGATAGGGTGAGGTGCGCGCTGACAGACAACGCCGGTGGTATCTCTCTGGTTGGCTGTCTGACTGTCTAGCTGTCGGTCTCGTTGATGGTTGGTGGTGGTGTTGTCGGTCGTTTTTGGCGATGAGAAGGAAGAGGAGTTTTTGGTGGCAAGCAAGGCTCAACTAGGAAAGGCGCCAAAAAGGAAAAAAAATTCCCCAGGCAAGACAACGTGACTTTTTGGCTTGGGCGCAGCGACAGTTGGCGACGACGGCGATGGGAACGGCGGCAGACAGAGACGACGAGCAGGATGCGAAGGGATGATGGGAGCAAGGAGAGAGGAAGCGTTTGGCGTTAGTTATAGAACTGCGGTGGCTGGAAGAGGACAGGTTAGCCGGTTTGCGACTCCAAGGCAACAGGATTCTGCGGGCGTTGGTAGACGAAGAGCCGCTTGTTGCTTCTTCCAGCCGTTGGTCGACGGACAGATGGATGATCAGCCAGTCGACGAGTTAATTCACTAGGCCAGGGGACTGCATTGGCTGTGTGCTTCTCGACGAGTAGTGGCAGGCTATAGTCTGGGTTGCTGGTGCTGGTGCTGGTGCTCTGTAGATGTAGAGATTTAAAGCACCGAGCAAGGAGACGGGCACCGCAACGATTACACGGCCCTTCCTTTTACGTATAACGTCCCTGAATATCATGGCAGTAGATGTGGATGTCGATGTTCAGATATCGAGATACCAATTGCCTGCATTGAGAGAACCAGAGACAGCTCCTGACAAGCTTCCTTCTAAACCCCCAGACTCGGGACCGTCTAGTCATCCACTCGAGTCATATAGATCTACCATTACAGCCCTTCTTCGTACAACTGTTAAATATATCGGTTCCACGCTCCTGGATCGGGGCCCCGGGTTGACGGTTCCACTGCAAGTGGAATCACTCCGTTGAGATCCCATCCTTGCCCTGGATAGTTATCATGAGTCACTCTTAAGCCAATACGACCATGAGACAAGCTTGCCTAACTATAAAGACGATGAAGTTCCCTCGACACGTACCAACATTTTAATCACCACGTCTATATCTCAATCGCCAACCAAAGTATCACTTTATCCAATTGAAAAAGTCAAAGATGGCCATCAGGATGGAAATACTTCAAGTGCCTAAGGGCCCAGTTGCCCCTTCAGACCTAGCGGCCCTTTGCAGCCGATACAGAACTGCTCGGCTGAGAGCTTTAAAGACATACCCAGAGGCATTCAGCTCCAAATATGAACGTGAGAGCGCCTTCACGGATGAACAATGGGCCCAAAGACTTCAGAACCCAATGTCAAGAACCTTTGTTGCCGTCTGCGTTGATCATGACACAGAAGCTCCGGCCAGTGTAGCGGAAGTGGAAAAGCTAAAGAGCAATGAATGGATGGGCATGGTTGTCCTACTGGGCCCTAAAGTGGTTGGGTCGAGTATGAAATATGTCTGGGATCCGTTTCTGTCCATGGCCTGGATGCAGCCTGATGATGAGGGCGACTTTAAGGATGCCGAGGCCGCAACTTTTGCAGTCTCGATGTTTGTCTTACCGGAGGCGGCTAGACGTGGGGTTGGGAAGATGCTGATTTCGAGGATGATGGACTATGCGAAGGAGGATGGCGAGAGGAAATCAATTGGCAAGCTATATGTCAGTCTGATAGTCGAGAGGGATAACGATGCCGCTATCCGGTTGTATGAGAGATGCGGCTTCGCTCGGGTTGATGTTGGGTCTGATCTTGATGGTGTAGGTGACCGCCTTATCCCACCGCTGGGGATGGTCTGCTCTTATGACTTATGACTTCACTGACTTCTTTTCTTTATTTATCCTTAATCATCCTGTATAATCTATACCTGCTGATGAATGGACCTAAGTTAAAGACCTAATATGCCTACTGTCGATACATGAGATTGGCTTATCTACACGTGACTTTATCAACCCTAATCTAATGCGGCTAGCGCTTAGGGCTTCCCACATTTCGATGCGCAAAAGTCCAAAAGAAGGAAAAAGCGACTTCGAGATTGGAAAAAAACCTTCTGGTCGACAACGCGCAAATCCTCACCATAAGAATCCTTTTCAAGTATTCTTCTGGAAGACTGTTCTCATCATGTCTAAAATCACAGTCGGTACGTTTTGAGTCGCTGTTGGATCACAAGTGTTCGATTACAGGAAATAGAAGAGCAAATTGGCTAACGAGATTGACGAACAGCCGGAGTGCGTACCAACGTCCAGCAGCTTCTGGACTACTCTCACAATGAGAAGAAGAGAAACTTCGTTGAGACCGTCGAGCTCCAGATCGGCTTGAAGAACTATGATCCTCAACGTGACAAGCGTTTCTCCGGCACCATCAAGCTGCCAACCGTCCCCCGCCCAAGAATGAGCATCTGGTACGATAATGCAAATGTGATAGGAGAAAGATTGATGGGGATAAGTGGCTGACTGGATGGATAGTGTCCTTGGTGACCAGCACGATATCGACCGTGCTAAGCATCTCGGCGTCGATGCCATGTCCTCCGATGACTTGAAAAAGCTCAACAAGAACAAGAAGCTCATCAAGAAGCTCGCTCGCAAGTACGATGCCTTCCTTGCTTCCGACGCCCTTGTCCGACAGATTCCTCGTCTCTTGGGTCCCGGTCTCTCCAAGGGTGAGTACTCCCATATTAGAGTCTTGAGATACGAAGACAGATGGACTAATTGACAATAGCCGGTAAATTCCCTACCCCCGTCTCCCACAACGAGGATCTTTCCAACAAGATGAACGACGTCAAGTCCACCATCAAGTTCCAGCTTAAGAAGGAGCTTTGCTTGGGTGTTGCCGTCGGCAACGTTGGTATGACCGAGGATGAGCTTATCGCTAATATCATGTTGGCTATCAACTACCTCGTCTCCCTGCTCAAGAAGGGCTGGCAGAACGTTGGAAGTCTTACTATCAAGGCTTCCATGTCCCCACCAAAGAGAGTGTACTAAGCTTTCGGTAGTTTGGTTCTAATCTTTGAAAATAAAATCAATAACTCAGCATATGATGAGACTTATGATCCGTTCATGTTTATTTTTTTATTTTTTTATTTTTTTTTTTTAACCGTGTCCTGCATGTCGTAGTTGAATTGTAGAAGTACAATGGTATAGTATAAATACGAAGTGCAAAAGGTACAAGTCGTGCCCTGCCTACTTTATTCCATTCCCTCCATATGATCCGTCTTATCCAAAATCATCCCTCTCATCCCAATGAATTCACGCAGCGACTCCCATTCTTCTCCTACTTCCTCGCCTCGCATGAGCGGATCACTGAAGCCCCAAGTCTGTGCAACTCGATCCAAAGCCTGGCGTTCCTCCTCCCGTAACCAACGAGTTCGTAAAGCAGTACCGGGAATCCACACAACTCTCCTCATATGGTCATTTGAAGTGGCTGCCGCAACTAGTCCGACAGAAGCGGTAAAGGTAACGTATGCAAGAATGGCGGAGAAGGCTATCCCCCTGGCCGTAGACACGTCCATGGTATTCTGGAGGGTTGAAAGGTACGATGCTATTGCCCATGCTGCTGGTGGCGTAGCTACTACACCTAAAAACGGAAGCGATGCTTGTCGGATGATTTTCGAGCGATAGAATGCTGGCGTGCAGAATGCAGTGTCTATGATGGCGAGAGCTAGTGAAAGGTTTCGTTGTTCCATGGCTACTTCCAGAGCGTCATTGGCAATGGTAGGAGGAATTGCATTTTGTGGGCTTTTGGGGCTGGATGGGCTATATTTTATTGTCCCGCCGCTTGACCGTGGAGATGGCTTATTAGCGTAAAGGGCGAAAATGGTAGGTATATAGTCTGCTTTTTTGAGCTGGCATTGGATCGAGGTGTAGAGTTTCAGTATCTCCGGCGATATGAACACTTTCGGGTCTTGTAGCAGCTCGTTTAACTTATTCGATATAGCGGTAGCTGACGTAGATCTAGGGGGATCCTTTTTCTGTGTCCGAGACACCTTCCGCCCTGCCACTGCTTCTTCTTCATCATCTAGGTTGAGGAGAGAGGATATAGCGTCCTTCCTCGGTTTGGTATCTGTCTGCACTTTCGCCGCCTCAACCGACTGAACTGCATCAACTATGGCCTGACTTTGCCTTAAGATCTTAATGACCGACTCCTCTGAAGGTATCGTTGTACCCGATATTATCGCATCACTCTCAGCTATGACATCTCGAACGGCAGAATAGTCATGGGTCGCCGGCTGTGCCGCCGCTATAGTAGATGAGTATCTATATCTCAACTCGTTCTGCCCTGAAGCAGGCCTTCCGCCGTTGAATATATCGCATGGCTTCTTCCGCGAAACGACTGCGCGCGGTGATAATACCGTAAACCTCCGTGAAATCGAGGACGTAGAAAAGGCGCAGAGCTGGCAGAGCGAGCCCTGAGCTCGTCTTGGAGCTTGCAGACCTATTCGCTTCATGGCCAATACCTTCCGGCCGCCCAATTGCTGCTGTCTTCTGCCTCGTCTCTGCCCCGTCGTCCTGTCTTTCTGTCGTTGAAGATGTCCCAAAAAAAAAAAAAAATAACTTTGCTTATGTAAGAGACCTGCACCGCCACAAGCGCCCATCGTCACCAAATCAACCTTCAGCAACACCAGCATCAACCAGCATCAGGCATCTCCTCTGGCGGTATTTTTGACGACTTAGACGCGCAAGACGTCGTCAGCCAGCAGCATTTTTTCACGATACCCGGAAGTGGACTCATATCTATCCAGCCGAACAGGCAGAAGAATAGTCTACGACCAGGTACAAAAGGCCGGCTACCGCCCCCTTTGGACGGCCGCTATATGATTCAACCATCTTCCCAACGGCGTCACATCTCGCCAATCTTCAGCTGAATAGTCACCACTCTTGCACTTAGTCGCGAAGATGCCTCCGCCGCCCCCTCCCCCTCCGCCGCCGCCACCGATGCCTGGAAAGGCTGCCGGACCTCCCAAGGGCGGTCCTCCAAGGGTAAGCAACCTGTATCGGTCACCTAGTTATGTCGACCAGCCTGATAAACAAAACTAACATATGAAAATAGACTGCTCTCCTTTCAGATATCTCCAAGGGCACAAAGCTCAAGAAAACCGTTACAAATGACAGATCTGCACCTCTTATTGGAAAGACATCCGGAGGCTCGGGAGGCCCTCCTGTTGCTGGTGCCCCGCCGGTTCCGGGAATGGCGCCTAAACCACCAGGCGGACTTGCCCCCCCTGTCCCCGGAGGCGCTGTGAACAGACTGAGAAGCAATAGTGCTGGGAATGAACGGCCTGGAGGTGACGATAGTGTTCCATCTGCACCGCAGCTAGGCGGTTTGTTCGCGGGCGGAATGCCTAAGCTTAAGAAGCGCGGTGGTATAGATACAGGTGCCTCTTCAAATGCATCGTATCTGTCGGACTCTGAAGCACAGAGTAGCTCGAGGACACCACCTCCTTCAGGGGCCGCGCCTAAACCTCCGATACCATTGAGCAAAACACCTACTTTTCGTCCATCTCCTCCGCCATCTACAGAAGCTACGTCTACACCCCTGTCAATCCACTGGTAGCCAATCTCC